ACATCCCCGAAGTCCAGCACGGGGATCGGTTGTTCACCAGGATCCAGAGATGCGAGGGGCTGGAGGATCATGCCCAATGGCAAGCCGGTCGAGGAGAGGAAGTCGGAGGCCGAGGGGATGTTGTTCAGCGTTAAGCGGGCGTATTTCGGGGAGGAATTACCTTGGTCCTGCGCCACGAATGGGATCGCCGCTGGCGGGGGGAGGTGTTGGTCCATAGTCGGATAGACATGGTTGAAGTAGTACTGAGCGGGCAAGTCGCGCGATCGTGGGATACTGGGGATGTGCTCGGGGTCAATTCGGCCTTGGGTAGGGACTGAGCCTGCGCCGCTCGGCATGCCAGGCTGGGACGTAGCAGCCTGTCCAGACACCAACCCCACTGCTGGGGAGACTGGCCGATCTTGGTTCAGGCCCGTGTTCAAACCCGTGTTCAAGAACTGCGACGGTTGCTGCGGGAGGCCGGCTTGGTCCATGCCATTGTTGAACCCTTGCGGGGGTGCCGCGGCACCACCTCCGATGTCATGATGGGCATGGCGGTGCTTCTTCTTGTGTGTCCTGGCACTCGTATCCGCTGCAATCCCCAAGCCGCCCATCTGTGAGGCTAGTCCTCCCATAGCCGGGTCTCCTGAGACACCCATTGGTGCTTGTTGTCCATTGTATGCGACATCTGATCCCGGCGTTAACCCGGGCTGTTGGGGTGAGCCGTAGGCGGGCCACTGGTTCGATGATTGAGGAGCGTAGGCAGGTCCTGGCTGTGGAGGAGCGGCTGGAGAATACGGAGCTGGGTGTGCCTGAGGAGGAGCTTGTTGGGCGTACGGATTCGAGGGGTCGTCGCGAGAGCCCTGACCCATTGCGTTATACATTGAAGGGTCAGCCATGGTAGATCATGCCGGTGCAAAATGGAGATCAAAGAGCGGAGAAATTGAAGAAAATTACAAGAATCGTATTATGGGAAGTAAGAAATGTTCATGGAGGATCTACTCAATGTTGATATTGACCACCTAAACTCCGGATTTACGTAGCGCCGAGGTCCTTCACGTGGGCCAAGTATACTTCCCTTTTCTATATTGAACATGTACTCCGTACTCTTCACGTACATTTGCAATCTTACATGTATTCTTGCGCTCTCTTAGAATCCATCATTCCATGTGAGATTTCATCATTCGCTCGCCACTGCCGGGATGCCAGGCTGTCAAATCTCCCGTGCTAGAGACTAACCCTGCAGCCAACCATGCCACTCGGGCCAACGCTATTCCCGTTCTTTGTGCACATGCTAGGCCCGGTCAATTTCCTTCCATTGCTTGCAACTGTATCTATTACGCCTTGACCGGCATTTGTCTCGAATCAATTCATTTCCGCTTATCAAATTGGAGGCCCAATGCCGATGCTAGTCCCGTCTGAAGTTTAGGGCTTGTTTCTGCTGTTCATCTCACCGTTTTTTTCCACGTTGGTTGTTCGGCACTCCTAGCCCCTTGATTTTCTTTTTTATTGAATATAGATACAACACAAGTAGGGTAGACATTCTGTGAGTTTGACTGAAGCCTTTTTCTATTTCTTTTCTTTTTCGTTATCTTTCAAGTTTCCACCTCCTTGCATTTACTGGCCCCCTCCCTTCGCCATGGACCTAACAGTAAAGCCAGACCCGGATCGCAAATTCAGGGACCAGGAGGGTATACAGAACTCTCAAGCTCCAATGGCGACAATTCACGATGATGACGAGCTCCTGCTGGCTCGAATTGGGTATAAACAGGTATGCCCAGGCTATAAGCAATTGCGGGGCACCATCTGATAACGGTCTGGACTAGGAATTGCGACGAGAATTCTCCAAATGGTCAACCGTTTCTTATGCCATCTCAATCCTGGGTGTACTGGGCTCCGTGCCTGCGACTTTTGGTGCCCCGTTGTCAGCTGGTGGACCTGCAACCGCCGTGTGGTGCTGGCTGATCGGCTCCGTTATGGCCATGTGCATTGGAAGCTCAGTGGCGGAGCTGGTATCAGCATATCCCACGGCAGGAGGGATGTACTTTGTCACAAAACATGTCGTGCCTCCTGACCAGGTTCCGATCTTTTCGTGGATTCAGGGATGGTGCAACCTCCTCGGCCAGACCGCTGGTGTGTCGAGTGTGGCATATACTGTTAGTCAGATGTTACTGGCCTGTGTCAGTATGAACTCGGATCTTGTGGATGGCAAGTATTCGTATTCACCGTGAGGTCCCACGTGCTATGCTATCAACATGAGCTAATGGGTTCAGGACTGCGCTGGAAACCGTCTTGGTGTCAATCGCATTACTATGTGTGCTTGGGGTTATATGTTCCCTGACAACTAAGTCCTTACATCGGATCATCTTGTGGTTTGCTCCGATCAACAGTGCGTTCCATTATATTCATCTGATATTGAAGACCTGAAGCTAATGAAAACATAGTTGGCGCCACAATCGCCATCTGCATTGCGTTGATAACCCTCACTCCCAACAAACAGCCAGCTTCCTGGGTCTTCGGCCACTTCACCGATGGCTCAGGATGGGGCTCAAAAGTGTTCTCCTTTTTCTTGGGATTCCTATCTGTGGCTTGGACAATGACAGACTACGATGGGACAACACAGTACGTAACCTAGACCTCTCCTCACTGGCCTTTCTAATACCTCGCAGTATGTCCGAGGAGACCCATGATGCAGCCGTGCGAGGTCCAGTCGCTATCAAAACAGCTGTGCTAGTCTCCGGAGCCTTCGGGTGGCTTCTAACAGTCTCAATGTGTTTCTGCCTAACAGACTTCGAAGGAATTCTCAACTCCCCCACCGGCCTTCCAGCCGCTCAAATCTTCCTCAACGCTGGCGGGAAGCGAGGCGGCACAGCAATGTGGGCATTTGCAATTCTGGTCCAGTTCTTCACAGGCTGTTCGGCCATGCTAGCAGATACAAGAATGGCGTATGCCTTCGCCCGAGACGACGCTCTTCCATTCTCAAAGTATGATGGTTCTACAGATCACAAGCTACCCAAAGCTGATACCATATAGATTCCTATCAAAAGTCAATCCCCGAACCCATACACCTGTCAACGCCGTGTGGTTCGTGGTTATATTCAGCATAAGCTTAAACTGCATCGCCATCGGTTCTACGCAAACAGCTACTGCCATCTTCAACATCACTGCACCGGCACTAGACCTGTCCTATGTCTCTGTTATCCTCGCTCACCAACTCTACAAATCCAAGGTCAAGTTCATTGAGGGGCCTTTCACGCTTGGGAAATGGGGTACTCCTATCAACTACGTTGCTGTTGTTTGGGTCTTGTTTATCAGTACCATTCTCTTCTTCCCGCCACAATTACCTGTGACGCCTGCAAACATGTGAGTTGGCTTGAGTTGGGCCTATCTTTTGGGTGTCGAGGTATACTAATATCTACTGTGCAGGAACTATGCTATCTGTGTCGGTGGTTTCATTGCCGCGTTTGCAATGGTTTGGTGGTGGATTGCGGCTCGGGGGTAAGATATTTTGGAAGAGTGGTGTCAATCTATCCATCGTCCGGCGTACTAACGTATATCACTCTTGCAGAATGTATACAGGTCCTCAGACCAACGATATCATCCAAGAGATTCCTACCGAGGATGAAGATAGCAATGAAGGGGAAGAGTCTGATGTTATCTCTGTTTAGAGGGTAGCTAGCTCCTCACAGGATCCTGTGATTTCACTTGGGGAAAAGTAGACATAGAGAGTACCCATAGTTAGATGTCGTAATGCGCTTAGGTTAAAACATGTTAGCAGATTTATCATGTCGGTCAATCTTGTTCTACTCTCCCAATTTTCGATGTATACTTCGAAAAGTAGCATCAATTTATCCTTTTTACTTGAGTTATCTTAAAAAAAAGATCCGGGATTCGCCAGCGACCTTACGATTTCAGTCGCACACTCTCCCAACTAAACAGTCGTCCTAATAAATTTCAGTGACTCAATATCCTGTCTAAACTATCTATCGTCGTGACTAAGAGACGGAAAAAAAATAATGGGACGAGCCGGGATCGAACCAGCGACCTTGCGAATTCAAGACTGAAGATTATCTTCAGTCGCACGCTCTCCCAACTGAGCTATCGTCCCATTGGATTATGTAATGTTTAGGAGTGGTGACTACATAATTCAGAGTTTACATAGCCGGCCTATTTTGTTTCTGATAAAAAGCGGATCGAGAAAGGATTGCTTTTTGTCAACAATTTATTACTCCGTACAGTACTAGTCCTATTTTCTATAGGTTTACCTGCAATCTTATATAAGAGGGACATCAAATATGGGAATAGCTACGAAGGCAGTGAGATCTATTCGACATTTAGAATTTAAAAAAAAACAAAAGATTAGTATCGGGGGTGTAGTTGTGAGTATGTACAAAAAAATTGGGACGAGCCGGGATCGAACCAGCGACCTTGCGAAGTCAAGACTGAAGATTATCTTCAGTCGCACGCTCTCCCAACTGAGCTATCGTCCCAATGGATGTTAAAGAAGTAGGGAAGTTGGCTTCATAGTGAAAAATGAACGAGAGAGCTATAGGGTCGTTAGATGGGCTCACGAATAGTAAAAATATCGAATGTTGTTTACTCTTTAGGCCTAGCACAGTAGATATTATATAAATAATCGTCTTAATACATATAAAGTATTGAAGTTAAGCATAATGTATAAATACATAGTCATTTCGTACATGAGAACGCAATCTAAATTTCACGTAGGGCTAATGGAGGGGGGTGGCTACAGCTAGTCAATAGATTATGCTTAAATTCACGTTATAACAAAGGAATAGTAAGCAGGAAGCCAGAAATAGCCATAATTGACATTTTTCTAAGCCTTTAATGTAGGGTGGTCACCTATAACAATACCGTCAGTGAGTAATGTATCCCATGCAAATCCTCATCGAAGGCCATGTACTTTGATCATGTAGATAAAGATGCCAAAGGCTATGATTGCATTTTTTTTCATGAAATTGTACACTAAGAAAATATAGAAATACATGTCATGTCTCAGAGCCTTAGTTGCCCGCAACAACAGCCAGACCCTCATAGATCTTCTTCTTGACAGCAAGGAAACTGCCCGCCCCACGGCCCAAATTAGCCTGGCTAACTGAAGACTGCGCAGTGGCTTCAATCTCAATCTTGCCAGTGCCCGATTTTCGGACAGCGACGCACTTGTCAATCAAGAGCGTTCCCTCGCCACGGAATTCGGCAATGTGACCAGCAGCTTGCATCAGCCGGCGAAGATCAGCTAAACGTAAATCGCCGACATGTAGAGGGCGTGCCATGGATCTGGTTCCTGCAGCCATATTCACAGGGAGGATGTCAAGAAGGGGATAGACTTCTGGCTTTTCGGCTGACCTGTTGCCAGGTTCCAAAGCTGGGGTAACAGCAGATGAAGCTGCTTCATCTTTAAGCTGCTTCATTTTCTTGCCTCCTGTCTCGGTGTCACTTTCATCAACGATGGGCTCTGGACCCCGCAATTGGGCCGTGAGAGCAACCACGCCCAGACTGCGGACGTGCTGCCAGTTAAGTCGTCGGACAAGGGTGTTGCTCAGTTTGACCATCCAAGCATTCGTGTCGACACTAGCATCGATGACCTCACCATTGTTGGGTGTGAAAATGATAGAAGCTGAGTCAAAGTGAGGATCGGCAACGACAGCACCAGGCTTGGCAGCCAATAGCTTCTTGCATTCAGAAGCCAAGGCATCAGTTTCTTCCTTCATTCCCCCGACCAAAATCAACTTCTGGGGCTGAATGAGCGGGATCAACATTTCCAAGCTACGCTTGTCATGCAACCCCATGAAATCGACGAAGGCAATCCTAGCGTGGACTGTGACGTTTTGCGGGTGGAAAACAGCCTTGGCAGGCCCTTCGAATGTCTGGTTATCTACTTCGTTCTCAGACTCCACGGCCTCATCGGCATCCTCGCCATCCGTGGCGAGGCTGAGATCATCATCATCGACGTGTAGACGTTTTCGCCCTGCCGCGCCACCGGACAACTTCCGCCCATTAGGCCCCACGGTATCGTCCCATCGTCGCTTTTGGCCGAGCTTGGTCTCCGCATCGGACCGTCGTTGTTGCATATCAATCTCTTCACGTTCCTCAGCTCGTAGGTATTCCTCCGGACGAATGAATTCGCCGTATTCGTCACCCTTTTTTCTAGGTGCCACGAAAGGGAACATGCGCTCGCGACCCTTCTTACCGCGCACATCATAATCGTAGACGTTCTTTCTGCGAAGAAGAATATTAACACCAAGGTCCTCGTCACTGACAGCAAGTTTGCTGCGACTGGCGTGTGCAAGCGATGCTGAAAAGTTCAGTGCTCGGCCCTGTTGCTCAGGATCCGAGTCCTCGGAAGATGTTGAGCTTGATCCGTCATCGAGAGCGTCTGCAACGTTTTCAATAGGCTCTTGGCCCCGGGTTTGCGATGTGTCTTGCAACTGGCGTTTTGTAGCAAGATACTGCTGGTATAGCAGCTGCTCTCCGGCGTCGAGAGGTGCCCGCTGCACATCTGTCCAAGCCAATTCTCGTCCACCGCTGTGGACTTGTTCGAGCAATTCACCATCCGATCCTTTCTCCAGAGCCACACCATCTCTTCGTTCCTCATACCACTCCCATATCATTTTTCCGAGTCTCATCGAACTCCGAGAATCCGCTGTTTTTTCATATATCTTTTCCTTGTGGAAGGATTCTGTCAACAACAACAGATTATTGGGGCCCTCGGCTAAGTGACGAAGAGACTCCTTTGAGAAGCCCCAGTCAAGAGATGTATCGGATGCAAGAATGACTTTCGGGCCTGGATCGGCCAAAAGCCTTTCGAGCCGCTTCTGGCGCTCAATGATCTTTAGGTGCTTGAAATGGAACGGCCCTGCACCCTTGCTAGAGCCCTTATCCTGACCTCCTGACCTTTGTCCACTCGTGTTGTCTGTGCTTTCTGCGGCTTCAAACTCGCGTACGATGTTCTCGTCCATCCACTCCAACATGCTTCGGGCAAGTCGCATTGTGGTGGTAACCTTCTTACCGGCCAGGTATAACCCTGCTCCTTGGAGAACATCATCTTTGTTGCCAGCGGATGCATCGCGCCAGGAGTGTTCCAAAGAATAGGCTAGCTCCAAAACCCGCCCACTTGTGTCCGTCGGGATGAGAACAGTGCCTCCCTTCGCGAGACTACTGCGGATCATATCGAGAAGAAGATCGTCCCGTTTCTTCCGCCCTCCGGGGGGTGCCAGCTTATCTCCTCCTTTGGTGCTGCAGATCAAAGCCGTGGGTTTTCGTAACTGCTCAATAACCTCTGCTCCGCTTGCACCTGAGCCGCCAAACCAAGCAGCACCTGCAACCACGCTCTCACGGGCCTGGTTCCAGTCCATTGCATATACAATGGACTCCAACCCATGCTGAATGTGCCATATGGTTCCACCGACGGTGTGACCCGCATTGTAAGCTGTGAGGGTGAGCCCGTTTAACGGCGGCGAGAACGGTGAAGGTAGTGGCTGGTGAGGTTGGGAGTATTTGAGTGGTTGAATGAGAGAGAAATATCGAGAGATCTCCTCCGCAGTCGGCGGTTGAAGGAGAATTCGGCTTGTGTTGCCAGCAGCTTCGGTGTCTTGATCGCTCGACACACTAGCTAATGCCGAAGCTGCGCCAGGTTCGGAGACAGATGTCTTCGGCAGGAAGGTAGCTGCAAGCGGTGCTGAGGCATAGAGGTCTTGTAAGAGCGTACGACCGAAGGCGATGACAGGACTCGTTGCGTAGATTGGGATTTGTGTGAAGAGTGGGAAGGTTCTGCAGCAGTGAACCAAGGCGCCGATATGCGCCGGTGTAGCGTGTGTCAGGAGGATCAGAGAGAGGGTGGGGATATGTCTGGTCATTGTGTTAGTTCATCCTACATGAACAGATTGGTCGCATTCGTACTTCTCAAGTTCCGCTAAGTCAAGGGTATCAAAGCTATCGTCCCAGCCAACATCCACCAGTATCTTGATGCCTCCATCAAGCTCCAAGATAGACTGCGACGCACGCGAAGATGATGATTGCGCGCCTAGGAGAGGGGTGAAAGTGAACATCGCGGGAATCCGTCGTGGCTCGCAATGAGCCGGGTCGCAATTGATTTGGGCCAACTATGTGGTAGCAGGTCAAGCGGTTGTGACGCAGGTGTGTACTGCAATTTCATTCAGTCAATTTCATTAGGTTAAAGGATCGATCCATTGCCAGAGAATGTCGAATTGGTCTGAGTTGCGTCAGTTGAGACAAAGAGCCTGACGCGCGGTGATAACATTAAAGTCAGATGATTTGCTACCTATCCAGGCTGTGTTTTGGCTTCTTTTTCTGGGTATATATCATAAGATGAGACGCTTGTTATTATCCAATGGGACGATAGCTCAGTTGGGAGAGCGTGCGACTGAAGATAACCTTCAGTCTTGACTTCGCAAGGTCGCTGGTTCGATCCCGGCTCGTCCCACTTTTTTTCGCATATACTAACACAACGTTAGTGTGTTTTTATATCAGAGTCCAAGCTATTATTATTGTTTACATGTAGCTAGCCCTTTCATGAGATAACGTTAGAATAAAATACAATGTTCTACGTTAGTTACAGTAAATCGATAGGTAGTGTCTATAGATTTACAGTCCAAAGCCGCCTAACACTCAATAGCATTCCATTGAATAAGAAAAGAAGCATATGATTGGTATATGTATGATGTGCAATATAGAATGACTAGCGAAGATGAAATCAAATCCAAAAAAAAGTCAGTATCTATGTCTCTCTGTCCATTTTATATAGACGAAGACATAGTGAGTAAAAAAGTGGGACGAGCCGGGATCGAACCAGCGACCTTGCGAAGTCAAGACTGAAGGTTATCTTCAGTCGCACGCTCTCCCAACTGAGCTATCGTCCCATTGGATATTATGTACATTACATCTTTGCCATAATGATTTAATCATATCACTTACGGTGAATACGAAGCCTATGTTTGTTTTTTGTTTACCAACCACGCCCAGCTGGAACCCAATTTCAGGTGAGAATGCTCAACTAACAAGAGCTAAGATCCATAAAATTCATACGCAATATTCTTTTTGTAAAATCTTAAACACTCGATCTCAGCAAGACTTCCTAGGTCACAGTAGTGCGAATTGCTACGGGAGATTACACACCGCGAGCGGAATGAGGTAACAGGACAAGCTTCATATGAAGCGACTCTTCTCCGATGTAATCGGCGTAGCAGTCGTTTCCCTTTTATATACTTAACTGTTTCTTTGATCTGTTGATATATCATTGGGACTACAGCTCTATTGATACGAAAAGCTGCATCCGATATATATATTGCTCTAATCACAACCCAACTACTCCACATTCGACGAAGTCACTATATCCACTCAAGAACAACTTTTCATGAAGGGTACAAATGCCCTTTGAATTAGGCTCACTTAGGAGTTCGGTAACGTTATCCGATCCAATTTTCCACACAAGTGCTACATCCTGCTGGTACTGCCAGAGAAGAGCCAACGCCAAACATTGAATCTCTGTTGTATAGGCTCTTGTTCCTCGACATCAATAGTCATTTCCCCAATTATAGCTATGAAGCACCGAGTGAAAACCACCCGAAAAGCATCCTCTCCAGCCCCTATTCTCTACCTTACAATCTAGTCATAAGAAACCCGCTCGCTATATTGATTGTTTTACTCCTCCCCACTCTCACTTTGACTTTCAGAAAAGAGACCATATGGTTACTGATCGTGAGACCTGTTAGCCTTTCTCGAGGCCGCATCTAGAGTCAGTATGTCAGCATGAGCACTTGTTCAAGCTGTAGGTCAACACCGAGACAATTGCCTGAAAAGGCACACAGAGGAATGCGACGTGCAAGGGATGCCGAAGAATGCAAAGAAACGAAATGCTTCCGCCCAAGGGTCTTGACAGCCAATAATAATGCTTGATGATGATGTCCTGAATGATAGACAGCTCAGAGCAAGCCTCTCACAGTGCGATCAAAGACACATCACACAACAATAAACCGTCTATTAGGCACATTAATAGTATACATCACCGCCTGAACACCCTAAAGACATATAAGAAAAGGCAAAGAAGCATAGAAAGAACGAGAAGGACAACACCAAACCAAACAAATCTGTACTCACCAAGCCGTGCAGTTCTACCCTCGTCATTCCGCTCCAGATCTTGATCCTTGACGGGTTCCAACTCCTCAGAATCCCTTACCCTTTCAATTCCCCGACGGTTAGACCTGGATGACGAAGGCGAATGATCCCGTGAACTCGCACGTGAATTCGTCAAAGTCTGATGCATATTCGCATCTTCAATGCCATTGGGATCAGACCTGATAGCCAAGGTCGGACGTTCATAATCGGGGAAGCAATAAGACGAATCAGTCTCAGTGGGAGGCTCTTTCAAGATGCTCTTCTTATCGTCCAAGTCAAAATATCCAATTCGTGGCCTGAGAAGAAGGGCAGGCAACAATTGATCCGGCTCAACTGGTGGCCACTCCTTCATTGGCCCGGAAACAGAATGTCGGATGCGTTCCCGCTGGAAGGGATCTTTCAAAATCTGGGTTAAGCACTGGTGTGCGTACAGATAGAGCTGGTCGTATTCCAGTCCCCGCCAGGACCAAGACTCGCCGGCGTCGAAGGCCCAAGTCCATCTGTAGAGTTCAAACGATGGACTGGAATTGGAAGTGCTATCAGCACTGCTGCGATTAGAGCTGGTGCCTGTCCCAGGGGAATATGACTTATGGGGGCTGCGCTGCCGTACGATCCGCCAACGAGGCATTGGTGCCATGTCCCCGACGTAAATATCCGGTACGACGGTATCTCCAAGCTTGCCGACAAGGTCCCTAGGCACAGGCAGTGGCACGTTATCATCCCATGCTTCTTCGGACTTGAGAACTGGGGGCTGCTGGGTATCGAGGTTTTCAACCCTCGGTTCGTATGAATCAGACTTTTGAGGGTAGAAATTGGTTTTCGATCTTGGCCCGGACCGGTACTTTTTGATAGAACGTCTCCTGGGTCGATTGACTGATGGCACCTTCCGATTATTCTCCTTCTTCTTTAGGATTGTAGCCTTTGTACATTTGGTGTTCTTGACTTTCGGGACTGTTTTCACTTTCTTCGCCGGGCTGTTCGAGTCAGACTCCCGCTCATCACCTGAGCTCTCAGGAGGGGATTCCGGCTGCTTCTTCTTCTTCTGAGCACGTACGCGCTTGGTAGGCATTTTGCGTAGTTGATTTATGCTAAGGAAGTTGTTCTGTTAGTTATGAAACATGCGAGATATCAAACAATTCATACCGAGTATGACTCTAGGAGGAATCTCTAGGATGACGAGGAATTGGATCAGGGAATAGAGGGTGATATTGGAACCGTCACTCTATATTGATAAATGAAACTCCTGTATTCATGTTAACAAAGCAGATCGGAGCTTAGAAAATGCAGCATTCAATCGCTTACCAGCTCAAAGAGACATGAAAATATACTCTCTGCCCTTCTTTGTACCACCATCCAACCTGTCATAGGCAGACCCAAAATCGTAACCGTATCAACAAGAGGTAGACCAGGCCAGCCTTAATAGCAAGACTCAAGCTTCGTCTTTCAGTCCAAATGAGTTGGTATGGATGTATCTCGTGGGCAATCAACCATATGTGTCCCAAGAGTACAGACACCAGTCGGGTAGTCCCAATAATGTACCTAAGAAGACCGGATAAAGTTAGTCTCCACCTCAAAACAAGAGCCAACACTTCGTACTCACAAAAGATAGCTGACCACACCGCGAAATAAGACGTAGCAGATTGAAAGGCGTATATAACACAATGAAGAGACCACGCACAGAAAATGAACACGTGAGAGCAACCAAAACTTGATGAAGATTAATGAAACAAAGAGTAAGCTTTCAATTATCGAAAATGAATAAGAACAAGTGCCTCATAGCGAGCCCAAAGAGACAAACCAACCCTGCCCTCGAGCCCCAGATGATGTTTACCCAGTCTAAGACCGGAAATTCCAAGCTCCAATGAGACCAAGGGCACAAGCACTTATGAGTAATAGCAATGATACAACACCCCGGGATCGACACGCTTCCCCGGACCCTGTGAATCGATACATTGCCAAAGGGGGTTTGGTTGCGGGTTAGGGTTAGCTCGGTGGAGAGGGCGATCGATGATCGATCTGGAAGGGTCAAGCTGGCATTGTAATTGATTGGAAATATTGAGCCCAAGATAACCTAGTAAAAGTAACTTCAAGGTTACTAGATTGCATGCTCGGACTAGTCTCATTTCGGCACTAAAAAAAACCGCCAGCAAGACAAAGAGAGCAGAACATTGATAGCGGCGAGTGTGCGGCGATACCCAGTACCGAGTTTTCACAATCCCCAGCCCTAATCAGGTAATGAGCTCTATCCCTGGAATGTAAGCATGCGACTCTGGTGTCATTGCGCTGTGCCTGAATGCTCTATGGCCTCATCTCGAATGCTACAAGCAAGATTTGATCTGAGACATGAATAATAAAAGCATATAAACCGTATTTCCTTTGGGATAGGTCTGTTGAATTACACTATCCTAGGATTCGGAGATTCAGCGCGGTCTCGTCTCGTTGCTATATTTGGAGTACCTCGGCGTGAATAGATTGCACTTCATGACTGTATGAGGATTGCCGCTAACTCTCCGTACAAAAATCACTTGATCCGGTACGTGGGAAGGAAGAGCGCAAGACTAAAGTGAGATACGTAGACCGAGACCCATAGATCTGGTCAACTGCCTTGATTCTCACATTCCACATTTTCATATTACAATTTTCCTTCACAAACCATGTGGAATTTGACATAAACAGTTAACCTCGGTGTTTCGGCTATGCAGGACAATGTGGAGCACGAGCTATTCAAAATTTAAAAAGAATACATAGCCAGATCAGAATAGAAAAAAAGAACATCGTCATGCAAGTAGGATTTTGATTGCGGGCCCGTATACCGGAATGCCAGCCGTGTTTCCTGAATTATGTCACCAACAGAGAAAACAGTAGTGACCATCTCTTTCAAAGCGATTTTGTGTCGATGACTATGCATCTTTATTCAAAAAATATAGCCCGACCGCTTACTGCCAGTATCTGGGCTCATCGAAGACGTGGTAGCGGTGGCCACGGACTCCCTCGCCACGGAATAGGGCAGGGAAACGGCGGCCGACGGGGACCATCTCTTCGGGAATACGCATCTCGTTTTCGGGCTCGGGCTCACCAATAACAAACTTGCCAACCTGTGATGGAATGGTTAGATCTAAAGACTGTGTTGAGGGATTTGTGAACTTACCTGGATCTCGGTGTCGGTGATGGTGTCGCGACTGATACGGGCGTAGCCGACACGGTGCAACTTCTTGAAGAGGAGGTACTCGCACCATCTGTCCCAATCGGTCGGATCGATATCCTTCATCTGGCTGCGCTCGCTTACGTAGGTGTTATAGTTACCCTCGAGAGGCTTGGTGACGAGGTAACTCAACAGGATCAGGGGACGAGGGGAGTCGCCCATCAGTTTGGACAGATACTCGCTCTGCAAACGGCGGTCCTCGGGGTCCTCTTCTTGACCAGAGTGGAAGACAACGACGTCAACCATCTCACCGTACATGTCGAGGGTAGCGTGGATGGCGGGTGCGAGCTCACCGACAGGCGAGGGCAGGAGGTGGTGAGTGGAGTTGACGATGGGGAACTTGGAGAGCAGGGCAGAGCCCCAGGTGTGCTTGTTGGGACCTGGGCCAAAGTCGGAGTAGTAGCCGAGGTCCTCAGCAATGAACTGGGTGACGTCCTTGTTACCCATGATGATGCGCTGGTTGTCCGACTCGAGGAAACCAATGACGTCCAGCTCAAGCTCACCGATGACATCGCGCATGCGGCGTTCAGAGGACCACATGTTGTTATCGAGACCGAAGTGGACGGTCCAGATGCCGGCGGTCACAACCTTGTCCTCCTTGTGGTGGGGAGTGTAGTCATTGGTTGGGAAGCGCAGGTAAGCCACGGAGACGGAAAGCAGCTGCAATGCAGCCAGAACGTAGATGTAGTACGAACGCTGTCTCTTGCTGTTGGGGCTGACGGGCTTGTTACGGGAGCGAGTGGAGTTAGAGGTGGCGGCAGAAAAGACACCAGCTCCAATAGACAGCATGGTGGTAATCATGAGCCAGTCAGTGTGCTCACGAACGAGAGGACCACCTGGCACGAAGGCATAGGCAACAACCCAGACGTGGAAGAGCAGGAGGAACACATAGACAATGAAGCCAATACCGAAGGTGCTAGCAGGAGAGTGACGGACACTGGACACGATCAAGACGGGGGCAACCGCCATGATGTAGAATGTCAGAGCGAGAGCACCGTAGTATCCGGTCCAGTGGTGATAGCAAGTGAGGAGAGCAGCACCAAGAGAACCGAGACCAAAGGCAGTCCAGCTACCAGCGACAGCAGGGTGGAAGATACCATACACAAGACCAGCACCCATGGCAAAGATGGTCAGAGCACCGTGGGGAGCGGCAAGCGGTCCACGCACTGGGTATCCATCCCACACCCACGAGATCATGGTGCTCGAGTCGGTCAGTAGGGAGACAATGGCGAACATCAGACCACCGAACCCAATACCGGCTAGGAGGGATGAGCCCTTCTTGCCACTGGCGGGCAGGTAATCACCGCCGCTGGTGTTTGAGCCTCTCTGGGATCTCAAGACAGCGAACAGAGCAATGAAGATACCAATCTTGTTCCAGCCACCGTTCTCGGCGTGAACAATAGGCCAAAGCGGGTTGTTGGTCTTGCATGCGAACTTGGCAACAACGGACATGATTAGTCCAATGCCCCAAGCCATGATGCGGGCCTCAAGACGAGGGCTGTTGGCCCTCTCGGCGAAGAAACCAGCGGTCCATGCTGCGCAAGTGGTAGCAAGGGCGAAACCAGTAACGAAGAGGCGGTTGGCAGGGTCCTGAAATCTGTATGCCAAAAGACCAACGAGGGAGGCCAGGTGAAGCAGGCGGAGGTTCTTGACCGCCGCGTATCTCAAGGATGGGATGACCAAGAGCAATGGAGAAGTGCAGCAAACAATGGCGACCTCATAGCCAGAGATACCCATGTGCCACAGAGGGAAGTCTATAAAGGTTAGACAGATTCGTTCTAGAGGAGATCCGTCACTTACACCAGACAAGAACGGGGAGAGCAGTCACAATGGTCCAGAAAACGAACTATAACTCGGTCAGTAAGGCGCATGTCCATAGAACCGATCGAAATTTACCCCGTTGTAAACATCCGAGGCAGCGTCAATGATCTCGGTCCAGAAGAAACCCTCGCCGAAGGTGTTGCCCACCGACTTGCCCTTCCTATCTACGTGGTTAACTTCCGGGATTGTGGTGGTGGTTATGGGAATGTACACACTCTTTTTCCAAGACAGAGTCCGCAGTAGTCTTCAACTGCCTAATGAATGCAAATTCAGAACATGTTTTCTTTCATAACCAATGTAGCCTTCGCACTATACATTTGATGTGGGTGGTGTCATTTTGGAAGCCACGGTACATACCCTCTGCTAACACCCTTGACATCTCTCACCACAAGTTCAAAGCTCTCAAAGTCCAATGCGGTGATCGCATCGAACCCGACATCGAACAGAATCAGGGACCACTCGAAGAAGGCGTACTTGGTGTAGGCTAGATTAGACTGATCAGCAACCCTATCCCCAAACCCAATATCTTCGTAAAGACTCACCACCGGGAATCTTGTGGACCTTGTGCTGAATGAAGTAGTAGATCAGAGGAACCAATGTCCCAAAGAACAAACCGGCCATAATCTTGCGGTACTTGACAGCGCGGCGGTTGTTGGGGCTGAGCGCCAGGCAGCCGAGGGTCCATGGCAAAGTAGCAACCAGGTACGAGATCATAAAGATATCATGCCAGTCATGGTCGTCGGTAGATGTAACATAGGTCCAACCTCCACAAGTCAAAGTACGGAAGATACCCACGCCGGCAACGAGCTTGGGCAAAGTCGAATTGGGACGCGACGTGAGGATGTACCATAGGAAGACAAGGGCGAAGCGAGGACCGGAGGTAATGGCGATGAAGACCTGGAAGAAAGACCGCTCGGGATAGCGATCACCAATGGTCGCGGACACGGAGGGGAACCATTCGTCGGGGTAGCCGTAATGTTCGTTTTGGACGATTTTGTGGTAGTGCAAAGCAACGCCGACAATCAACGCGCTGATGAATGCCGCGTAAGCGAAGATGGTGTGAGACCAAGCAACCCATTTGCCATTGATCTAGATTCTGTCAGTGGTGGCTCCATACCATCGCGCGTCAACACTTACGGCGACCACGGCATCTCCGTCCTTGTATCGGGGAGCCATGGCGAGGGAAAGGCAAACCCGTATAAGGGTAAACGAGAGAAAAAAGAGTGTCGAGAAGAAAAGAAAAGAGAACGACTCTGACTGTCACGAGCAAACGGCCCCTGAGAGAAGGAAAACAACGTTCGGATCCCTCGGTGGTTCTAACTGTCCTCAACGCTAAGCCCAATGCGGTTAAGCGTCCTCTGGGGGCTGATCGGTGTTTTTTCAATGCGGGATGCCGACTTTTTTTTCTTTTCAACAGCAACCATGTCCGCCGCAACAGACAAGGCTCGGTTCTTCCTCGAGAAGTCGGTACCAGAGCTCAAGGAATACGAGCGCAAGGGGATTTTCAACAAGGTAAACCGAGAGTGCGCTGGCACGTAGAACAACAGCTGATTCGCATGTCTAGGATGAAATTTCCTCAATCGTGAAGAAACGGTCAGACTTTGAGCACAAGATCAACGCTCGTGGCGCGCAACCCGTGGACTTTGTGCGCTATGCTGAATATGAAATGAACCTCGATTCCCTGCGGAAGAAGCGAGTGAAGCGACTTGGAATTCGGTCGGCAGGACACAGCGGCCAGCGACGCATCTTTTTCGTTCTCGACCGGGCCACTCGCAAGTTCCAGGGCGATTTGAACCTTTGGGTTCAATATATTGAGTATGCGCGGAAACAGAAGGCACACAAGAAATTGACTATGATCTTCACCGACGCCCTGCGCCTACACCCAACCAGCGCCGAATTATGGGTCTACGCTGCCAAAAACGTTCTCGATGACCACGCCGATATGACACAAGCTAGGGGTTACATGCAGCGCGGCCTTCGCTTCTGCAAGAGTTCAAGAACGATTTGGATCCAATATGCCAAGCTGGAATTGATCTATATCGCCAAGCTGGTTGCTCGCCAACGCATCTTGGGCTTGGACGAGAATCAAAAGCCCCAGCAAGTGGAAGAGACAGGATTCGACGACCCAAACGCCGATATGATTGCCATTCCCAAACTCACAGCCGAAGATATCGACCCGACCACGGAAGAGGATGGAGAAGTCGACCAGGCTGCACTGCAAACCCTCAACGCTACACCTGCTCTGAGCGGTGCTATTCCGCTCACCATTTTCGATACCGCCTCGAAGCACTTCAACTACGATGACCGGTTCGGACAGGAATTCTACGATATGGTGTGGGAGTTCCAGGACGTGCCTTGTCTCCAGAAAATCTTGGGACATGTGACCGAGACTATGCGTGAGCACAAGCCTTCCAGCCCCCGGACGCAGATCTGCTACATCAAGTTCCCCACGGCTGGAGTTCCCGTCACATCCCCCGAATTTCCGCGGGCTCTTGGTGGCTCGCTTGCGCGTCTGAGAGAGTACCCCCTGGGCAAGGAACTTGCCCGCCAGGTTGTCGACTGGCTTCAACCCGTCGCAGCAACTGAGAATTTGGATCCTTCGCTGCAAAAGGTCATTGCAGCCACCATCCGCAATGCAGAGCGTGCGTCGGAGTAAAATAGCATATCCAGGTATTTGCACTTAGCATTTAGGCGTTGATCGGATTGAATCAAAATTCAGGATGGCGGATTAATCCTATGTTATACACTCAATCATCGTACTTGCTTCCCCGTCGACTGCTTTTCTTATCACTGTGCAGTTTCTTAGACTTGATGCGACCCTCATTTTGAGCGCGTTGCCTGTAATCTCTGTTAGATGGGACATTGGACATGACAAACAGTAGGATAACCTACAATTTTTGCACATGATCTCTTTGGGCTTGCGTAGTCTCGCCTGGGACGACCTCCTTGGCAGTGTTTTTTAACAGCTGGTACAGCTTGTCAAAGCAAGCCTCGACATTATTAGCTTGTTTACGCTCCTCATCGGATTGGATGACGAGGCATTGGGCCCGCTCGGCGGCATATCGGGAAGTCCGTAGCGATTGGTACATCAATGAAGGTACTAATGGAAACAATGAGTGGAAGGGGACCTTCAATGTCGCCTTCGAATTCACCCTGTTTCAAAGATCAGGATCAGCAATCACGGATCCAAGTGGAGTCACTGACTTGTTCACATTCTGCCCGCCCGGGCCGCTGGACCGACTGAACGAAACCTCGCAGATGTGGCGGGGGATGGTCTGGCGATTGAGGCTTGTCAGCCAGTCCCTGGCAACCTGGACATCTGAGCGACTTGCAAAGTACCGCAATTGAGGTAATACCCGGAGACTGGATCGGCTATAGATATACATATCGCAGTGACCCCGAGATGATGCAGAAGAGAAAGTGGAGTCTGACTAATTAAAAGAGGGAAGTGAACCAACCTGGAAGTTGACCGATCCCACGCTAGTAAAGGGCCTTACTGAAATAGAAGCCTTGGAAGCCCTTTTAGACTAAATAGAAGCACTTAAGGTCATCTGACTATGTAATTTGCGGAAAGTCGGGAACTTAGTAACGAAAAGTTTAGCCCCTAGTTGCTGTCCAAGTATGATGTGACTACTGTACATGCATGTCCTAGAAGTTTGCTGGTAAACGCCTCAAGCACCTGATCTGATCCTTCTATGGTTGCCTCCTTTTCCCTTTATCTCACTCTACTTCTCTCTGCTACTCTCTTCCTCTTCCCCTCTAGGGTACCAAGCCCGACCGACCCAATCTTTTCCCATCGCCCCACCTTAGCTTGCGCGAAAATTCCCATCTGGCCGATCTTCCTCTTCACACCCTTGTTCCGTAGATGAGACGACCTCCTCTGCTACATGACGCCTCCCGATGAAGCGTTTCACTTTCGCGGAAAGACTTTGACTCCGGAAAGCCCTCGACCGCTGCATATCCCGGAGCCAGCCAACATCCCCGTCTTGGAGAATCAAATGGACCCCGTCTTCAACGACACTTCAACTTACGAACGTTCGGTGTATAACCAGGTGCAAACACATGATGGGTGGCACGAGAATCTGAATGGTAGAGGACCACGTCAGAACCAGAACGCAGGTAGTTTTCATGGGCAAGACCGTGCGATGCAGAATGATATGACTATTGCTGCGAAATGCTACCCTCCAACCTCTGAGGCCGAGGGCTCTGGCAATGCAGGATACTCTCCCCCCGATCCTTCATACGCCCATGCAGCGCCGGTTGCTCCGACATCCCAAGGCTTCGCCTCCGACGAAGTAGACAGTACCAACCAACTGCCGAATCGCCTAGATGCTGAGAAGGAAGACGAACGCCCTAATGCGGGCGTCAATTTCCAGAATCTACTCGACAATCTCTCCCAGCCCAACTCCGGTGCAGCCGCCTCCGGCACCGGGGCCATGCCCCTAGCTGAAAACCCGTCTTTCCACCAAGCACCCACGGACGAACCCCTCTTAACCCAGGGCCTCCCTGCCCAAACTACCCATTATCCCCCAAACCCTCATTATGCCCCCAATGATGAGGGGAATTACAACCTGTTTGCCCATGAGGCCAATGCAGCGCCTGCCTATACAGCCCACCCCAGTAACCCTCCCCCAAAACAGTCCCAGCCCTTCTCTATTGCCCCTGGCACGGCTTCATCCGTCCACAATCTGCCTCCTCCTCCTACTGCCAGTTTCCAGACCCAGTCTGCTGCATCCGAGTCGCAGGGATCATCGCAAGACCCTGCGCAGGCCCCGAAGAAAGGTCGCGTTGATAAGCAGGGTCGGCCAATCAAAGGCATTGATGATGATTCCCCTTGGGGCCCCGAAGTCCAAAAGAAATACGACGAATTCCTGCACGATGAGCGTATCTACGTGACAGAAGGTCTCTGGGACCGCTTCCCCATGGGATCAAGGTTGTTTGTTGGTTCGTGTTATCCCTGCTCATATCTATAACAGTTATCTAATCGCTTTTGTTATATACAGGCAACCTTCCTACCGAGCGAGTTACCAAACGGGACATGTTCCATATTTTCCACAAATATGGCAAACTGGCACAGATATCGATCAAACAGGCCTATGGATTTATACAATTTTTAGAGGCTCCCTCTTGCCATGCAGCTCTTGGAGTCGAGCAAGGGGCGATCGTGCGTGGCCGAAAGATACGTGAGTGCCCGAATCGCTTTCATCCAATCATTAAATGCGCCTACTCACTGTTTATCAGATCTCGAAATCTCCAAGCCTCAAAGATCTACTCGACCTGCTCCAGCACCAGAGCCTTCCCGGGCACCCCCGCCGCGTCGCTCACGGTCGCCAGAGTTCAGCCGTGCTCCCGCACGACCTACCTCTCGAGTTCCTGGCGATCGATACGACCGGCCCTATGAGCCAAGTCGATTGCCTTTCAGCGATTTCCGGGATGAGCCCTCTCACCGCAGGCGCGATGATCGTCGTCCGCCACGATCACCATCCCCTCGACCCTTCCGGTCCCGAGATGGATATCGGTCGCGCGATAGAACCCCAGAAAGGTTTGAGCGACGAAGGCGTTCTCGATCTCCACGTTCTCCCCGGTCTCCCTATTCTAGAGACCGGCGCTATCGCAGTATAAGCCCTAGAGCGCGTGGTGTATATGAAGGCGAAGAAGATTTACCAGTGCCTCGACGAGTTCCTCGTGATGTACCAGAAGTGCAGCTTCTCGTTCTGGAAGAACTCGACAGGTGAGTCACATACTTTTCCGACTTGGACAAATTACTCACGATACCTAGGAACTTTGTTCTTCATGTCGAAAACGCGTTCCGCAACCGTGGTTTGCGAGTAGACGTCTTGGTTCTTGGTCCTCGCATTCCTCTTGGTGCAGCAGTTCATCGCCAGTTCATCGAAGGAGTTCTTGCAGTCGTTCGCCTCTCGCGTCCCAATCAAATTTCCAGGAAGATTCCTTTGCAATTGTTTGATCGGACCGCCGGGTTGGACAATGTTCGCTTCCTCGGTAAGCTATTCTACCAGCCACTTACCCACTGACACTTCTAACGATGAATCCCAGACTATCCCGAGTTGGAGCCTAATATGTCTGCTGAACTTCTTAGCCATCAGGCTCAAGCCATGCAACGAGGCGCTGCCCCAGCCGCATTTGCACCAAATCCTGCATTTGGTATTCCCACAGTGCCACCCATGCCTATCCCTCAGCCAGGTCTACCTGCGCTGTCGAATCCTCCCAACATTGCAAACCTCATTGGCTCTCTGGATGGCCCTAGTCTCTCGTCTCTGCTGTCAGCACTCCAGCGACCTCCTCATTCGCAGCCTGTGTCTGCCACTCAATCACCATTTGCCTCTCCCAACCCACCACCTCCAGCAGATCTCGCCAGTCTCCTGACCAACGCGAATCGCCCTCCACCAATTTCTACCACCCCGCAGCAACCCCTCCCTCCATTCAATCTCCAGCCTCCGAACCCGCCTGTCGTCACGGATCCCAACCTACTTTCTCTCCTAGCCAAGGGTTTGGGCGGACAACAGCCGCAAGGCCAGGGACCATCAAGTCCCCAGGTCCAGAACCTGATGCACCATCTGGCAAAATGGAAGCAATGAATTTACGACTCTCTTTTCATCGTCATTCTCATTTGAACTTAAAGTTCAATTTGCGAGCTTCCTTTTCTCTGGATACTGGCGTTCTCGTTCTCGTATTCTTGTCGTTGAATTCTGTTTTCTTTATTCGGTCTCCTTTACCTTTTCTATCTTTTTCTTTTGGCTGAAAGCCAGTCCTGCAACAATAGGCGTTTATTGCTCTTTTACTCATGGGCCCACGGGCAGCAAGATATTAGATATTAGGGCAACGGGTGGTGTCTGCACGGAGTTGATATTTCATTTCGAACATTGGCTTCACATTGCTATACTGTGACCATATGTTTCTTTGCACAAACTGGATATAATATCATCTCTTGCTTCTCTGTACATGCTTTTTTTTTTTTTTTTTTTTTTTGAACAAGTGTACTTCGACAGTTACATCCTCAGTTCCTAATAATTGTATTCAATTCCAAGTATTTTTTAAGCAAGCCGGAGCAACTGAACAGCAAGCCCTTTAGCTCTAGATCTACAAATACATATGCAATGCCATTGGAAGAAGTCATCAAGATACGTGATAAGAGTGGATATGCTACATATTATACATAAGAAATCGTCTGCCGGCCAAACCGTCTTCACCTTCTTACTTGGATCCCCAGCCCTGCGACTTCAACTCCTTAACCTTAGCCGCATCCTCCTTCTGAATTCGCTCAATGGTCTTATCCCGGTTGTGTTCCATCACACGCTTTTCCTTGAAGTATTTGACCTATACACCAAACACAGACGTTAGTAAATAAGATCTTAACCATATAGTGCAATGCAATGAAAGCCAAGAGCTCCAGTCCTCCAAACAAAAAGAAATGATAGAAAGGAAAAGAAAATCTCAGGCAATGGTAATGGCAATTCCACACGTACCCAGCTCTGCGAACAAGCAGCCTCAAACTCCTCAACCTCTTTCGCGCACTTCTGTCGTGCCTTCTTGTCCTCCTTAATTCCATCCAGGATATCATTCTTGTCTAAACACGCAAAGAATAAGTCCCGTCCTTCCCAGCAACGCGCGCGACTCGTTCGGTCTGGGGCAATGCGGCCGCCGTCGGAAGCTGCGTTCTTCGAATCGCCGGAAGACCAGGGTAGCCAGCCCATATTGAAGGATGAAGTATTGAATGTGGAGGGCGGGTATAATAAGTGGATATCAGTTTCGAGTCTGGAAGGTAAAGACAGAGCAAATAGTCGTAAAGACGCAGGTGTGAAGGTGTAAGTCGAGGTAGTGACGGAGCGGGATTCGAAAGCCACCGAGAGCGCCAAGACTGTTGATCGCAGCTTTGATCTCCGGCCCATTTTCAACCTGCACACGTTTCCTATATTCTGCATATAATCACGACCCAGAGAGCCCATACATACCGGCTACTTTAACACACCCATTACCCTTTCTCTTGAAACAGCCACTCTACCGCTCTTCATCGCATGATCCTCCCTGCTTCCTAACGCCTCCCTCCACACCCTGACCTCGGGCACCGCACCGCACCGAGCTCCAGCACACCACACCACACCACCTCGACACACGCCCATACCAGAGGGAAGACCCCTGTAGATATAGTTGATGCCCGCGCGCCGGCGTCCACCAGCGGGGTCGCGCACCGAACTCCCTCCGCTGAAGATTATCCGCAAGATCTTCTTGCTGCAGGTTGCATACTATGCCTGCGCGACGGTTCTCATTTTGTTCACGACGGTCGTGTATGGCGCGCCCTTTTCGCTGGATTTGATCTTTGGATGGGACTCATTGAGAGGGGATACAACTATTGGGTGGATGTTGGGGTTGGTTTGGATGTTGAATTGTTTTGTTAGGTTAGTTGGCCACTTACATACAGCACACACAGAGCATTCAAACAGACCATATAAGAGAAGACAAGTCAAGGTGCTAACTATTTGCAGCGTCATCTTCCTCCTCCTCTTCGTCTCTCGCTCAAAGCTCGTTCCGGACTTCGCATTGACAATCCACTTCCTACACCTCGTCGCCACGACTTTCTACACTCACTCTTTACCCACCAATCTCCTCTGGTGGGGATTGCAATTTGCCAGTGCGGCTATGATGACGTTCTTGGGTATGTGGGCTTGCCAGAGACGCGAGCTCGAGCCTATTTCTTTCGGTGGGCTTGGCGGTGGCAGTAGTAGCCAAGCTGGATCTTCGGGGCCTTCTGCTGGTGATGGTCAGCAAGAGTCGAGCTTTGGCCGGGGCCGTGGCCGTGAGCGCAGCTTGCAGGAATATGAATTGGATGATCTGAAGCATGCTGGTGAGCGTGCGGTATGAAACTAACCCTCTCCTCTCTTCCTCGATTCGTCCTTGGGTTCGTCCCTTGGATGGTTTCAGGGGAGGGCTGGGGTATGAACGACTCTTTCTTTTATTTTCCTTTCTGGCCTTTTTCTGGTCTTTTCGTTACGCCTGGGTCTGTGAGGTCCTAATGATGCTTCCTTTTCCATTTTGTATACCCTTGCGGCGGTTGCATCTGTATAGATGGCGTTCTATTTTAATTGATTCCCTTTTACATTTGTTGAGTGAACTATATGGGTGTGTACTATTATTCTATTATTCTTGTCGGTTGAGCTGATGACGAGGTGTCTGAAAATGAAACTTGTACAATTGCAAATTTCTTATTTTTAGTATGGCTTGAAACAAGCTCGAGCTTTATTATATTTCATGTGCGGTGTATCCACTTTAATAGATTGTGTTCATATGTTTTGATTCAGAAATAGCGAAACCCTTCGAGGTATAATCGGCAGGCAATTTCGAACCATAAAAGCATAAAACATAGTATACAATTTTTTGCCACCATTATCGTATGGCGAGGACAAGTGTCAAGCATAAGCCAAATTGAGAAAGACTATTACCTCCACGGTTATCACTGAAGGAACCTTCCATTGGTTTCCTCCACGAGCAAGTCATACTCAGGCTGGAACTCAGTATAGAAGTTATGCTTTGAGAAGTCAGTATATACACCTTGAAGAAACAATAGCTGATACCACAACTTACCGGGTTCTGAGCAGCCTCAGCAGTAAATTTAGCCGCAGTATCATCAATAATCTTCTTTGGGACGCCATTAGCAGCTGCCGCATCAGCCATAAGCTGTGAGTGACAAGCATGCTCTAGCATAGAGTAGAGAATAGCAGCTTCATCGACGGTTCGACCGACTGTCAAAAGTCTAGACAGGAAATAGAGGTTAGCAAGAAATGAAAGGGAAGCTTTGGAAACCCCAATAGTCATTGGTGATATGATCAACTAACCCATGATTCTGCAGAATACAAGCAATATTATCTGGACCCAATGCCTTGGAAATATTCTTCCCTTCCTCTGAGGAGAGAACAATACCACCATGGTCTTCATAAACGCCAAGTCGACCAAAGAAGTTACAAGCATCTGCATCGATCCCACGTTAGCATAAACCGAACCTTTCAAAGTTGAAGCCAACTAACCTTGAGTAAGCATTTCAATAGGCTTTCCAAAGGAACTCCATGTCTTTCCATGGATACCATGCGTATGCGCCGCCGCAACAACATCAGGCCGAGCCTTGTGAATCTCAGAATGAATCAGAAATCCGGCTTCATTAACTGGAAGCTGGGCACCACCGTCAACGACGAATCCGTCTGCATCTAGGAGTACAAGATCGGAGGCTTTGATGGTGGAAAAGTGTTTTGCGAAGGGGTTCATCCAGAAATGGTCTGCGAGGATTGGGTCTATAGACGGTAAGTACCAAATTCAATATCAATATCACTTGTGCTTGTGTTTTCCACGCAGAAAAGGAATGTGCATATAGAGATACTCTGTACATACCTCGCATCGAAATATGACCCGAAACACCCTCATTATAGCCCAACTTGCCAAAGTAGCGGAATGCAGCAGCCATGTGCTCCTTCATCCACTGGCGCTTTTCTTGGAGGTTTGTGAAGGTGGGGATGCCTTGTAACTTGAGGCCTCCATTGCGGGTTCCCCGGGCTAGGCCTTGGAATGTGGCATCGTTTGCTGCTGAGGGGAGTGGGGGGAGTTGGTCTTCGCTGGTTAGGCGCACTGATTGCTCGGTTTGGGTGGTTGTAGATGTTGACATTGTGAGTGTATTACTGTATTTAGAGTGTTGGCTGTGGTAAGTTGGATATATGAACGTCTGAACCGGGAAAGAACTGCCCTTTAAAGATCCATCGGGATAATGTCCGAAGTCTTATCTGTGGAGAATCGGGGGGACCCCGCCCTGTCATTGGAAGGCGTTGGAAGTAAAGTAGAACGCCGAGTGAAGGTATTGGAAATGGGATATTCATTGGCTGTCGTTCTTTGAGATCATGCGATCGGCGTTCATGCGTTTTTTGGCTTGCGATAAGCTTGAGACATTTGGGCACTAGGTCAGTATATAGGTGCCCCTGAACAAGAATGCTTCCAGTGCTTTGTGAAAATTGCAGAATATATTCCTTGTAACCATCTCAATCATATTTCATTATTCATAGGTCACCTAAACAAGATTAATTGCTCTAAACCTGCATGTCAAAGAGGGACGGGATGTATAGGATGACTAAGACATCAACACGTGATTGGTTGCCATGTGGTCCTTAGCCGATATCCCTCTCCCATCTACGTTCTTGATGTCCCAAGAGACTCGGGCCGATTCAATTCTCGCCCCACTGCCAAATCTGGATTGGCTAGTCTGGAGTGTATCTTGACCTGACCAGCTTCTGGTTTTTTCTTCTATGCAGCAGTCCAGAAATTAGACGCGTCTAGACTAAAATGGCGGAAGGAGACCCCTCGTATATAGACTACGAGGCCTTCCTGGACCCGGCGTTTTCACCGTCTTCATTTGCCAATACACTGGTGAACAGCACAAACAATGCAACAGACACCCCGCTGGATCTATCAACGCCATTATCCCGGGTACTATTTGATCTCCAGGAGATCGACACACACATCCATGCATTGACAACAAAATCAGCCCTCCCATTGCTTGCGCACATGCAAGACAGGACGGCAGCAGCAGATCACATTCTCAAGGAGTCAGGGACGCAAATTGAATCAGTGACCAAAGGATATGAACGCCTCCAAAAAGAGGTGATCCAAAAATGGCAAGCGGCCGACGAAGCTCGCATTGCCGCCGAAAACTCACTGGCGACAGTCAGGCTAGCACGGGCAGTCATGCGCTGTTTGACATTGGGTAGACAGTTGGACAGTCAAGTCGCTGAAATTACAGGCCGAGGCTCAACAGGACCGGCAATCTCAGCAAGCGCGGACGGAGCGGCATCACCGTCCGGGAAAGACGGATTCCGTGCATTGGAACGAGCTGCGTACACGATTCTCAATCTGCGAGAAATGTTCTCAGCTGCGGCGGAAGGCGAAGAGGGCTACGGCCTGGATCGGGTGAAGGTTATTCGCACTCTCCAAGGAGAGTTTGTCATGCCTGCAGAGAACATGGTCAAATCCAGAGCGCAGCAAGCCATAAGCCGATTCTCGTTGTTTTCAGTTTCAGCAAGCGGCAACGGCCAGTCCGTGCCATCTGGCTACAAACAAGCCCGAGATGCGCGAGCACGCCTAGCAACCGCTGCCACTACTTTATATCTCCTTTCACCCATCCCCAAAGGAGCCACCACTGCAACCGACTACAAGCCCGAACTCCTGTTGTCAACATTACAAGGGTACATGCACACGGCAATCATGACATCCGTGAACTCACTCGCCCGAGCCCTCTCCCAACTCCCAACCATGGACCGAACGCTAGCCGACATCTCCTCCAGATGCCAAGACATCGTCGCTCTTGAGACTATCCTCAAAACCCTACGCCCACCACCTCACCCTCTCTTGAATTTGGCCACAGCCGACGAGACCGCCGAACCCCAAACAACACCATCGAACACGCCTAACCTCTTACAGCCTCTCCTACAGGCCCTGGACACTTCATCACTACCTTCCTACTACTGGCGCTCCCTCGCCTCATCCCTCACCTCTCGCGTCCAGGAAATTGTCAACCGTGGTGGTGTCTCTGCACGAACACTACGATCTAACCGTGATCGACTGAGAGTCGAGATTAAGGAGTGCGTACTTCGTGCATCGCGTGTCTCCGCAACTAGCTTGTTAGCCGAGAAGGGTCGATCAGGAACCGAGACTGTCGTTGTGGGCAACTGGGAACGAGAAGCTGCCGTCATGGTGAGCTCTGTTGTTGGTCCACTGGGACGGTAGTCCCGTCAGGGTTGAAAAAGCTTGCCGTGGTTAGCACTGCGTTTGCAATGAGACCTGCAACGAGACAACTGTAGCCTATTTACAATGAGAGCTACAGATTTAATATCAAGTAAAATATCAAATTCATTCTTGACTGTCTCGTTACTTCAACAAGAACAACAAGAAATGAAACACCGATTGAAAGAGATTCCCTCTCGTCTAGGTAGCATTCCCATCAGAACAACTCGGCGCACTCCCAGCAGGCACGGTCTTAACAACCTGAGCCCAGGAATCACAAAAATCAGCCATATGGACATCTTTCTGCGAGAGACCAGGCGGAGAATGAGTCTTCCAGAAGAAGGTGATAGAATTATAATCCTGTATGGCATGTCAGCACTCGGTATTTCAAATATCCAAGCGTAGGTAGACATCTATACCAGAACTACTCTCGGATGGTGGTTCACATCTTTGCATTTCGTTGCTACGCCCGTGAAGAAATCCTGCAAAGATCAGTTATCGGAACTATATTGGTTTTGTGGTTCCATAACGAACACTGATCTTCGTCCAGGTTCGACAGTGGTATGTTTTTTGGATTTCATCGCCGTTTTGGAGTTGCCAGCCTGCCGTATCGACCAGTCTTTGGATTTCTGCTTCTAGGTTGTTATGGTCTTCGCCTCCTGAGACTTTGAGGTTGAGTTGAGAGCCCATATTTGTGCAATTCCAGAGAGACTGGGTATATTGGGGCGATGCAAGTGATTATTGATTATGAAGGGGATGGCCCAGGGTGCTTTGGCTACTTTGGCAGATAAACAAGACGACACGTGATGGTGATGTAATCTGAATATAGCTAGAAAGTTGTTGTTTTTACTGATCTTAGGATGTTCAGTATGAAAACAAATACGGCACTGCAGAGCGAATACCAGACAGTACAGCCATAGACTACAATTCCTTTTCTATCCCCATTTGTATAATTTGTCGTTTACTTGAAAGTTGATGTAACTTGGATGATTAACCCACGATGTTTCTTTCAACAACAAACTTCCAGGTACGCAAAAGGGGACAAAATGGGATCGAAAACAGAGAGGCCAAATCAGGACGGAAAAAACAACAACAAAAGCATGGGCCACCAAGGCCGGTATACTCTCTTTGAGACTGGGTCTCGTTCGTTGCTTAGGGCGGTAGAAACTGTGATGTCATATTCCGGCTCTTTTTCCCGCGTATCACGATATAGTTAAGAGCCTGGTTGTCTGGAATCATTCGGTGAGATAAAACTTGCTAATTTCTTAGGTGTTCCTTGGATACTGGGGTTGAGGTTTTGGACACTGGCAATTTGGGAATCTCAATTGCGCACCAATTCACTAGCGGAACGAAGGGCATATATACCTCGACTCAGATCACTGATACGTAAGCTTGTGGCGAAATTCGCAAGACATTTGATCAAGATAAGGTTGAAAGGTTGTAATTTCAACATAGAAATGTTCGCGAATGGTATTGTGTCATAATTCGTCACCCCGGACACTCCTTCAAAACTTGCATAGGGTTGAACCTCCATCCTATATTTGAGATAAATGTCACTTTGGCGACTGAACATCAATTATTAGCATTGACAGATCGATAATAAACTGCTGGCCTATAGTGCCAAACATGAGAAAGGCAAGTTCTACTCCTTCCGCGTTTCACCGCACCAGCACCGTCGAGGAAAGCCACCAGCTAACATCAATACCACTTATTCAGACAGATCAGAAGTCCTTCGCAGCGGGAAATGAGCTGAGCCAGATGGGTATTTTAAATAAAAACCAAAAACCAACGACAGATGATGTGACCAGCGACTCAAATTACTATCGCAATCTTTTATATGATGTCTTTGAAGCGATACGATCTGCGAGTCAGGACAGTCAGCAGAGACTACTCCAAATGATCCGAAATCAATCTTCTATGCAAACTATCCGCGCATATCTCGACCAAATCTTATCAGATGCGCAAGCATACGGCGGCAATGAAGAAGCACCCAGGAAGTCCAAGAAGGCGAGACACAACACCGGAGTTGAGGCGCCGCAATTTCGACCTCGGATCATGGACATTCGCTATTTATGTGGTAGTGCTCCATACAGAGTCCCTGCAAAACCTTGGACAAGTGTTACCGATGATGATGATTTAGTGTCGCACTTGATCTCCCTATATATGACTTGGGACTATCCGTTCTATGCATTCATTGACCGCGAGACCTTTCTTGTGCATATGAGGAATGGGAACCTGCATTCAGATTTTTGCACTCCGTTCCTGGTCAACGCCATGCTTGCAAATGCTTGCGTAAGTACTGGAGTCTTATCAATGTGATGTTTATGTTTAACATTGTGGGACAGGACTACTCGCAATACACCGAAGCTTACACGATACCGGGAGACGTCAAAACGAAAGGCGCTGATTTTCTGACCGAAGCAGAGGGCTATATGAGACTATATTCATTTGATAGGGGGAGCGGCACCCGTCTGGCCACCTTGCAAGCCACCTTGCTTTTGTATGAGAGGTACGTGATGTTTCAAAGCAAAACTTGAAAGTTGCACTGGGAGCTAACGGCTTTCCTAGGTATTCAAACCTGGGAAATGATGATTTTGGCTATACGATGCTTCACCAAGCAACCGAAATGGCAGAAGAAATGGGAATAATCAACCATGACAAACTGAAACTGAACAAATCGCAAATGTCCGAAGAGATGATCAGATCCCTCGAACGCACTGCCTGGGGGCTTTTCCAAGTTGATACGTACGTCAGAATCGCAAATGTCTTGAGATGCGAAGGCGCAGCTAATACCAAGAGAACAGGATTGTACATACAAACTTCCTCAGACCGAGCCGCGTGAATGAAGTGAGCGTAGATCGAATTGAGGCCGTCAATGGCGACGACGAGACGTGGATGCCTTACCCAATTTCAAGCCACACACGACCATCTTACATGAGCCTCTATTTTGATAGAGCATGCGATCTGTCCTATATTGCTCGAGATATTTCACGGACGTTGCCAACTGAACAGAAAAGAGCAAGTGACGTGAACATGTCCAAGCAGGAAAATTACAAAAGGCTTTGCGAGTGGAGATCATCGCTCCCTGAAGCTTTCGATTTATCAGAGAGCCCAGCACCGCACATCTTACTCCTCGGGTTCGCTATATTCTCATTACTTTGTGGTCACCGCTAACGTAACCGACTCCGAAACAGAATGCGTTACCATGCACTTGTGATCAATCTATGCTGCGACAACTTTGGCTATTACTCGTCCTTTAGCAACCACCAGAAGCGAACACCTTTATTTTTCAGTCCAGAGAGTGGACAGAGTGCCAATCAGATAGCTCTCTCATCCGCGCGGGAGATATCTGCTCTTACACAAGCCATGCAATCGCAATACGGCATCCAATACGGGCACCAGTTTACAATGTATGCTGTCAGTGTTGCTCTATACACCTTGCTCGATCAACCCGCCTTCGACATTCTCGACACAGACTTCTTGCATTTGACAAGGGCCTTTTATATCATTGCGAGACGCTCCCCTGTTGGTAGCAGCCTGTTTCATTTCTTTAAACTGTCCGTCCAGGCTCAACAATCTCACAAGCAAGGTGGACAACCAGGAAAGCTGGAACATTTCCCACAAGAAGTCAAGGAGATTTTCTCAAAGGATTATCGTTCTCAAGCACCCGAGCAGTGGAATCGGACGTCAAAGTCTAGAGGTGATGCATGGTTCTTGGAAAGCAATCTACGCGATTTTCCACCACCGGGGCTGAAGGGAATGATCAGTGAGTATGAGAAGCTTAGCGTGGGCAAAGAAGAGCGACCACATGGTTACCCCAAGGGTGGTGAATTTTAATTTGGCACTTTCTTTGAGTGTTACCTCCGAATGGCGACTCTTTTCGATTCAGCGAACATGCATGTTTTTGGTCTAGCGTAGCGCGATACTCGATCTAGTTTCCGAAATAAACGAGAGCGGAAACTCGCCGCAATTACAGCCCCATCTAGCCCCATCGAGTATTTGGTTTCTTGAAGAATCTGCGGGGAAGATACTATCCGTACTTCCGTACCAACAGGTCCGGGTCTATAGCCAATAGCATTGTCTGGCCAGGTGAGCGAGTCGCACATCTACGCTAATTCGATGCCCCGCATGAAGATCACTCCACTCATATACTTGTACGAGAGAGTCAACTCCTTTGAAGGCCCGCCTACGTTACATACGTGGGAGAGTGGACCTCGGATCATTGGCATGATGGAAGGTCAACAGCCTCGGGTCGTGGATCTTCGAATATTTAAACTAGGACATCTCTCAAGCCATTCAGTATAAATGCAAGATCATCGATCTACCTCCGCCTGAGCCAATCCCCTTCAGAGTTCCCGTCAATTGTTGTTATCATGACTATTCCGGCTTCGCCTAGGGCTCCACCAAAAGAGCTAGACGCTCTGATTGTCGGCGCCGGGTTTTCTGGCTGTTATCTTCTTTACAAAATTCGCGAAGAACTCAAGTTGAACGTCAAGATATTCGAAGCTGGATCCTCTCTGGGTGGCACTTGGCACTGGAACTGCTACCCCGGTGCTCGAGTCGACTGCCCAGTTCCTGGCTACGAGTTATCTATCGAAGATATCTGGAAGAATTGGACCTGGAAAGAGAAATATCCAAGCTGGGAGGAGCTCCAGGAATATTTCGCTCATATCGACCAGGAGCTCTCTCTGAGCCAGGATTGTTTCTTCCAGTCAGAGGTTGTTTCGGCCCAATTTCTCCCAGAACAGCAGAGATGGGTTGTGGCTACCAAGGGCGGTAGTGTCACTTTTGCGAAATATCTCATTCCTGCAATCGGTTTTGCCACAAAGCAATACATCCCAGACTGGAAAGGTCTTGATACCTTCCGTGGGAAGATCTATCACTCTTCTGCCTGGCCAAAAGAAGGTGTCAATGTGAAAGGCAAGAAAGTAGGAGTAATTGGGACTGGCTCTACTGGTGTTCAAATTACCCAGAGCTGGGCGAAGGAGGCAGCAGAAACATATGTCTTCCAAAGGACGCCGAATACTTCTCTTCCTATGCGCCAGGAAAAGCTTGATCCTTCCCAGCAAAAGGACAGACAAGGCCGCTTGGAATTGTTCGCGGATAGCCTCACTACATTTGGAGGCCTCCCCTACGACAACGTTGCAAGAAACACCTTTGACGACTCACCCGAAGAGCGGGAGGCCACCTATGAAAGGCTCTACGAGGAAGGCGGATTGAAACTCTGGATTGCATCATACAAAGATCTCATGACCGACGATGCAGCAAACCGTGAATCGTATCAATTCTGGGCCAAGAAAACCCGAGCAAGAATCAATGATCCGACACTCAAGGACGCTCTTGCTCCGCTGGAACCACTGCATGCGTTTGGTACAAAACGACCTTCTCTCGAACAGGATTATTACGAGCAGTTTAATAAGCCGCACGTTCACCTCGTTGATATCAAGAACCACCCAATCGCCGAACTTCAGCCCAATGGCATCGTGACCACAGACGGCAAGCTTCACGAAGTCGACTTCATTGCCATTGCGACAGGCTTTGATTCGGTCACTGGTGGTATCAAGAAAATGGGTATCAAAGATGCAGATGGGGTGGAGTTGAGTCAGAGATGGAATGAGGGCATCTATACATACCTCGGCTTGATGGTTAGCCGTTGTCCGAATATGTTTCTCCCCTACAGTGCGCATTCTCCATCTGTCTTCTCAAATGGTCCTACGAGCATTGAGGTTCAGGGGTCGTGGATTGTCCAGATTATTAGGAAGATGGAATCCCAGGGCGTTCATACAATCGAACCCAAGAAGCAGGCCGAGCAGGCGTGGCGAGAGGAGATCCTGGCCGTTGCGAACATGACGCTGTTGCCATCGACAAAGTCTTGGTACATGGGTTCGAACATTCCTGGAAAGCACGTTGAGCCGATTTTCTACATTGGTGGTCTTCCGCGATACCAGCAGAAATGTGCGGAAGCTTTGACTAGCTGGGTCGATTTTATCACGGTTTGATTAGGTAGGAGAAAGTACCAGCAATCTCAAGCTTTGCAATTTTGTCTTTGTCATTCCAGCATATTATATCATATGCCGAGCGTAAAGTCGTAATATATTTCAGGAAACGCCTCAAAGAACTTTTGATCCATAGTCCAATTTTGAATGTCACGAAGTGATTCCGTGAACCGACGTGACAAGGAGTACAGCTCTGTGATTGGATCGAAAGCATAAACAGCAGACAATTCTTGCTTCCAAATCAATCGAAAACTCAACGCAAAGTTACTGAAGAATTCGTCGGTTAAGATCTGAGATCCGGTCAGAACTAGGCGTTCCCGGAGGCCGGGCCTGTCAAGTATTAATTAGCATTGGCGGCATTTCACGAATAGTATGAATGGTACCAGGCAAAGTAGTCTGCGGATATATCATGATCAAACATGAGCTGTGACGGTCTGTCGCCCGCACCTGTTAACAGGTTCACATTAGAAGCCGAGGTAGTAGGGACATACCGAGGACGATACCAGGCTGGAATATCCCGAAAGCCAGTAGTTTGCATAAAACACTGCGTCAATGTAAGCTGCGGCTTCTTCCGACACATCATTAGCATTCAACATACCTGTAGTAATGAATGGATTGTTTTCAACATGCTTAGCCGAGTTAAAAGGCCACTTCCGGAAAAGATCGCAGTATCAAGTCTATAGATGATCTCCCAGAGAGGGCACCAGAAAGTTCCTGTTTTTACATCGTCCCACCCAAATAGGATCGCGCGGATCAGGACATCCTGACTTATCGACTCGTTGAGACACACCTGTGATCGTGTGAAGTGATGTACCTGTCCCAGAAGCTGATCGCCGCAGTTCTTGAGAACGTAAGTTTGGTCTTGTTTTAATGGGTAACAAAGCGCAAAGTCACATTGCATGCAGTAGGCATCTTTCACGCTCTGGCTGCATTTGCATTGCCCAGTCAGTCGGGTTGATAAACCTACCATCAAATGAATCGTTGAGAACGTGAAGCATAAGCGAGTGGAGCAGTAGGGTTTACCTGAAGGTTTGTGAAGTTGTGTCTCTAGCGCAGACAACTTCAGCTCAAACTCCTCCAATACTTTCTTGTCCTTCTTTCTGCGTTTTTCTTTGTTGATTCTGTCTTTATTTCGCTTTTGCTGTCGCTGGGATTCAGTCAGGATACGCCCGGAAGACCAAGACTTGGGCATATCACGAGAAGCTGCAGGATTATTGGCTCGGGACATATCTGCGCTGTGAAATAGCCAGATGCAATCCCTTTACAAAAATAGCATCGCCAGGAATCCGGACGTAAGGGATATATAGAGTAGCCGATGTATGGGGAACCCCGCAGCGGAAATACTAAGCGGGGGATCCGCGGCGACGGGGCATAGGGTTTGCCCCTACTGTACACATAAAATGTGAAGAACTTCCCCCGTCATCACTTCTCACTTCATCAAAGTATCCACTATCCAAGTTCAAAGTCAAAATGGGCGTTCTTCCAACCACGACTCGAGACGCACTCAAAAGCCGAATTGACTCGGCCTGCAGCGACCCAGACAAGGGCCTACCGGGCGCTGCTGCAGCCGTTGTTGGAAAGGATGGCAAGCTGTTGTTCTTCCACGCTGGAGGAAAGAGAGGACATGGAAGCCCCGAGCCATTGGCAGCCGACAGTGTCTTTTGGATTGCATCATGCACCAAATTGATTACTGGGATTGCTTGCATGCAGCTTGTGGAACAAGGAAAGCTGTCTTTGGACGATTCCAAGGAGATTGAGCGTATCTGCCCGGAGTTAAAGGAAGTCCAGGTCCTGCAAGAGAATGGGTCCCTAGTTGAGAAAGCTAGGGGCATTACTTTGAGGATGTTGTTGACCCACACAGGTCAGTGATTCCCTTCAGGTATTCCCCGAGCTTGCGTCCTAACCCCAAGAGCTATAGCCGGCTTTGGATATGCCTTCATGAACAGTAAACTACGAGATTCCAGTCGTCCCATTGGCTTCGACGAGTTCTCGGGCTATCTCAGCGACTTCAAGCAGCCTTTGGTGCACCAGCCAGGAGAGGCTTGGGAGTATGGTGTAAGAATGCATACCTGTTGAAATATTGACCTCACAACTACTGACCTCTCATGTCATATAACAGGTAAACATTGATTGGGTAGGCGTTGTCATTGAACGTGTCACCAAGCAGACCCTGAATGAATACTTCCACCAACACATCTTCGAGCCACTGGGCCTGACTCAGATCTCCATGCTCCCCACCTCAGCCATGAAAGATAAACTTGCCTACATGCACCAGCGAGACTCAGCCGGGAAAGTCTCTCCTCGGGATCATCTGCTCCGTCGACCGCTGACCGTGGAAAACAAATCCGATCAGGAATCACTCTTCAACAGCGGGGGAGCTGGATGTTTCTCAACACCCCAAGATTATTGCCGTATGTTTCTCTGCCCGGAATATGTTGGCATCAACTCATTGTTCTCCAGAAATCCTAGCGGTGCTCCTGAATGACGGCACCTCGCCAAGCACCGGATCACAGCTATTGAAACAAGACACCGTGGATGAAATGTTCCGCAACCAAATCGCCAACCTTCCCCCCCTATCTGAGAAGTACATTCCAGATGCAAAGCCTGACCTGACAAACTCCGGCACGGGACTGCACCCAACTGTTTCGGGAGATCGTCAAGGTTGGGGACTGACCTTCCTGCTAAGCGGGGGCTTGACGGGTCGTTCTATCAGCACTGCTCAATGGTCTGGCCTTCCTAACCTTTACTGGTGGTGTGATCGTGAAAATGGTCTCGCGGGTATAGTCTGTGCGCAGATCCTGCCGTTTGGTGATGCTCAGGTTTTCCAGCTTTACCAGGATGTTGAGGCGGGTGTTTATCAAGGTCTTGCATCGGTTTAGCGATGGTCCTGGTATTCCCATCTTAGACCTTATCCACATATCTGAACATAGCAAAGCTATGATCTGTCTTTACTTGGTAGGGTTGGGTTCAAAATAGAGAGTGTTCATAGGCAAGCACTCTAGATATCTCGGTTGATAAGACCATTACTTGTCCGTCTCCTCTTCGGTGATATCCTCAACCGACGCTCTTTGATAATTAGAGCCCATAGACATGGGTGATCCGTTAACTGTCGAGGTTGCGTTACCAAAGTGAATGCCATCCTATGAAGAACATCAATCAGTATCAACACAACAGACAAATACAAGTAAACCCCCTTACAAAAGAACTTACCTGATCTCCAACCCCATCCCCAGGACCACAATCTCCATCCAAAGACACCCCAGCCTCAGAAAGAACACTCTCACCAGCCCCCTCCCAAACGGACAACCTCAACCCCCGTTCCAAAACACTCGGATTCCCCCACCACAACTCCCCCTAGCCCGCACAGCCTCATCAGACAGCCCACCCCGCCACACATCCCCAGCAATCCGACACGCAACCTCTGAATCATCAAGAACAACCAACCCAGCCCTCAAACACGACCAATGCCTCCACCACACAGCCCCATCCCCAGCCGTATCCACCTCAAGCCCCAAATACAATTCCCAAGTGGGCGTGTGCCGAAACTGCGAACAAGAAAGAGGAAACTCATACGACACAATCTTCGACCGGGTGTGTGTCCAGAAAATACGACCGTACAGCGTGACTGTCCGTTCCCAGCCTGGAACCGGAAGGATCTCTTCGTCCGGTTCTTGGATGGGCGGTTTCCAGAAACATCGCTTTTGGGGCCCGTCTACGTAGGTGTCTACGTAGAAGAGGCGGTTCTTGTTGTCTATGCGCCAGTCCCAGCCTTCTGGAAGGGTGGGGAGGTCGTTTAGGGGGTGGAGATCTTGAGGTGGGAGTTTTTCGTACGTTAGTTGAAGGAGGGGTTGGTTTGCTTTGGGGTTGACCTGGTTTGAGTTGAAATTGAAATTGGAATTAGAATTGGGTGGGAAGGCTTGCGGTGTTGGTTCGGGGGTGGAGGTGGTTGTGTTGTCGTGGGTATGGTATTGGTATTGGGGTTGATATGGTGCGTATTGTTGTGGATATTGGAATGATGCTCCGTATGCGTAGCTCGGAGGAGGAGGTGTTTGGAAGTATGGCATTGGCATTGGAGTTGTCTGATATGTGTGGGTGTAGTAGCCTGGTGGAGGGTACCCATTTGGGGGAGTGATGTATGGGTTTGGTGTTGGTTGGAAGGTGTACTTTGGATACCTGGGATCTATGGGCGTGCCAGGAAACTGGCCGGGGGTAGTAGGGTTGGACTTGTCGGGGGAGGCTTGTGGTTTGTAGTTGTGGACAAATGGTCGCTGGTGATCTTTCATCGACGCTCTCGAGCCTGCTGTCGGCGCTGAACTCCAACCTGAAGGTGAAGCAGGTCGAAACGGCTGTCGTGTTCGTCGTTCACGCTGTGTTCGCAACTCTGGTTGCGAGGGAGAATCTTGAGTTGAGTCGCCCATTTCGACAATCTTCCCGTTCACATTGTATCGTTTCGGTTTCGCGGGACATGGCTGCTCAGTATTCTGGTTGACTTTCGGCTTCGCTTGATCTCCATTTGCTCTCGTCCCATCTGATTGCAGCTCTAAATGGACAGAGACTTTGCGTGGCTTCGGTATTCCCCCGGATCGAGGTGACTGTCCGCAGGATGCACTAAACCCGTCAGTTCATTTCACCCTTGGACGAAGCCCGGCGAATACATACTTCACTTGAAAAATCGTAATATCAAGACTTTTGTCATTGAAACTTCGCCTCAATTCATACAAGTGATTTCTCAGATCGTCATGGTGCTGGACAATATTCTCACCCCGAAACCCGCAACTGAGCAGATCTCGCTTGAACTCATGCCACACGTCCTTCCCATCGCTATCTTTGACGGTGTATCTAGCAGCCATCGGCATGCTAGATTTATCCGCCGTATAACGCTGAAGAAGAACATTCTGTATCTCCAACAAAAGTATGGGAATAGCATCACCGTGAGTGGGAGTTGCGTACAGATAGACTGCTTATCCATTAGACTCGAAAACCTAAGGAAACGAGAAACGAAGATCCAGACTTGCTTTTGATTCCTATATAGCAGAGTTAGCATACACCATCAGATCATCCCATCACCTTGCCATCCCATACCTATAACACAATGACTCGTCCCCGCAATATCCCCGACCTTAACCTCAAAACAAGAAGAATTCCTAGACCTCACGGGGTCCGGAACCCCCAGCGGATCCATTTGATGCATATTGACAGAAAATCAAGACGCACCGAAGAACCCCGGGGTCATTTTTCTTCTTTAAAAAGCCAACAAAGGTGCTCTGACAGTTGACACTTGGTTCCCCTCACAGGATGGCCCGGATGCGAACGCCATGGGTGAAACACCCCGGCCGTCAGCCCTGACTTTTGCGAATATCTCCTTGTAGAACCGGAAAGATATGATTGATCCATGTCATTGTTTCCAACAGCCTGACAATATAATATGGAGGTTCATCCTGGTAGATATCTATACCCGAGAATTATGGACCTTCCACACTCAGTGCCATCACCTCATATCGAACCACAGTACAGCACGACAACCCCATACAATACTAGATGAGCCTCCTGCATGGCCAGGTGGACGATACCCAAGCGACGAACACCACGTGGTCCAATCAATACATGGTACGTAGTTCGGCAGTTTTCACGGTTCATTGTCTGATTTAACTTATTGACAATGGCATACTACAGCATACTGCATTCGATTGAGGTAACGGATAGGGTAAGTTACTTGCAGAATTAGACTGTGTTCCTATTTATGGTGCGTACTATCTACTCACTTATCCTGCAGAACATAGGCTAACCTGCCCACTTGGCTTGGTGGTGCCATCCCTGTCTAGTGCCCAATTAGCTATCTTCCTATCTGACCGGGCATGCGTCAAGCCTTGAGCCACTCCTCTTTTTGTGTGCTGTGATTTGGGGGGAGAGGAGTGAGGCGGCGAATTATAGGATTGTTCGTCATGGATGCCTTCCCTGACAATAAAAGGCCTTGTCCCTTTTAATGTAGACCTCGCTGCGAAGGGAGATATGTAACCAGCCCTTCGGTCCTGGCTTCACCGGGAGGTATTTCCGCATCCATTTTGTTCCCTACACACCCTCACAGCAGAGAACTCGTGGTCGAAATCTAGACCGGTGGGAATACACTCGAGAAGATATGAGCTAAGTATATATCGGTGGTGAGAGACGAGGAGAAGGGCTAACAAAAGGTACGATCACAGTATAAATGCATTTCAGTCATATTCAGTTCATAACAGTTATCCAAAGTCCCTATAGTCCGTAAAAAAAAGAATAAGATAAGAAAAACGACGTGATCCACCAAAGAGTAATATAGTAAGACACAAAACGGAAAGGAGGCAGGAGAGAAAGAGGGGCGATGAAGAGGGTGAGAGGAAGAATGATTGGGATAGAGGTCGAGTACGACTCAAAAAGAAAAGTTCAGGAGGAAGGCAAAAGTCCACCAGGAGCAAAATGAGAAAAGCAATCTCAACCAACCACAACCAAGATGAAGATGAAAATGGAAAATGGAATGAACCCAATTGGACACGGTCAATGACTGGGGTTATTCGTCATGTCATGTCATGCATAGCAAGTGACTCCATCCATACAGGTACCAAGTACCATCCCACGCGAACGCCGGGAACATGCAGCTCGAAAGTGAGCTACGTATGTCCTATCCAGAATCCAGTATCCAAAATGCAGATCAGAAACCGGAGGTAGAAAGAAAAACATCCCGAATCATGGACCACGAAAAGATCGCAGTTAAAAAAAAAAAAAAAAGGAATAGACTCCTGAACACAAGGTAAAAGAAAGATAAGGCACCATTTCCGTGTCGTGTATCAGTCGTCTCGTTATGTCGTCACTTCATCAAGGGTTTCGTCTGTCATGTCATATGTCATAACTATGAGGCAGGTTTGTTAGACCCTGAAATATATAAGAAAATAATTGGATGGGCGGGCTCCTATGAGCCCGGTCGGTTCAGAGTTGGATGTAGAAGGCGATAGGCGGAAGAGGGTGGTTGCGGAGATGGAAAACATAGCGAGATGCTGAATGTCAAGGATGCGATGAATGATAGCTTCCAGGATTCGATCGGAAGCGAGAGTGATTCAGATATGTCGACAGGGAGAATGTTTTGTCCAAACAATAAGAATTTACAGGAACAGTTTTGCAGCTCCTTTGTTCTCACTCGTGGCGACGGCAACGAGGGCCTCTAGGCGGCCCATATCCGAGTTGTGGGCGGCGTCAGTGAAGACGTCGTTTCGGGGTTCCCGGTCATGAGATTGATAGCCGTCCGCGTGGGAGGATTGTCGACCACAGATCTATGACGGCATTAGTAACCGGGCCGAGAGCCGTCCGTTCGGAGAGAGGTTCCTACCGGGGGAGGGTGCTCGGAGGGAACAGAGTCTTGAGATTCGATATATCCGCTGCTGTGCACGATCGCGGGATGGTAATCGACTGATGCCGTAGATGGGGTATGGACGCCCTCGCTGCTACTGGAATCCTCTGGAGAGGTGCGCGTTCGGCTGCTAGTTGAGATGCTGGGGCGATGTCCGCGGGGCTCTTCTGGGCTTTTTTCGGCTGTTGGTCCAAATGAAGGTTGATAAGAGGAGGATGGACGGGAAGATACATTTTGGAGTTCTGCAATGGTCTGCTGGCTCCATTGCGAAGCAGAGGCGTTCGAAGGACGCCTATCCCGGATATCCAGTCCAGTCAGGTTGTGATGCAAAGACATATCCCATGACACATGGCCACGTCGATGGCCGGGGCCAGAGATAGGCGGTGGTGGACGATGAGATGGTTGTGCGTAGTTAAAGCCGGCTCCAAAGGCTGGAGGGCGGTGTTGACCATCAATCTGCATGGGACTGGCTTTCCGAGTGGGCGGGGTTAAAGGCCGGGAGACTACCTTGTCAAAACTCTCAATACCGGGCAGCCGGGGAGGTTGCTCGGCCCCATTTGTCCCAAATGATGCCGGAACAGTATCAGGAGTGTGGTAGTGATTCAAACCACTAGTTCCGGGTCGAGGGAATCCTGTATAAGATGATGGGTGCCACGTTCTCCTCCTCATCTCTGCCTCAGCGGCACTCAACGCACCCTCGTCACGAGAAACAGAGTAGTTGGTGCTGGCGGGGCTAGCAAACACACCCGTGCCGTTGGGATAAGGTGCGCCCGGGGCTGCGTGATAAGGCGGAGGGTACGCGTTGCCATGTGCGAGGAAAGGATTGCTGCTAGTTGGGACCGAGAGACGACGGGCGGCCGTTTTACCTTCCCAGAAACCAGCTGCTGACATGGGGGAAGCATATTGAGGGCTTCCCCCACTAGCGGCAAACATATTGGAAGGTGTATATGGAGACGCTGCGGTAGCTGGGCCAATGCCCCGAATCTGACCTGGAGGGGTGCTCGGAGGCTCTCCCATAGATTCCATTGCCAATCGGGATCGAGCCGCGGGGTCGTTGGCCATGATCAGCGGGGGTGGGCGCCGTCGAAGTTCCGGTGGTTGACTGAATGTAGAAGCGGTTGAAGCGATGCTCGAGGTCGATAAATTCCTGCTGTGACCACGACTATGGCCGCCTTGACTTCCTCCTGTGCCTGCCCTGGCCCGGCCTGGGGGTCGCACGCGATCCGTCCGAACCTGGCGCTGGAACCGAGTTCCCGTAGCGGCTAGCGAGTCCCCCGGTATTTCTTCATTGACGTGGACGGTCTGGGCATGTTGTCGGAGGTTATCGAGTCGCGAAAAGCGTCGAGAGCAGTGGCACTGGAAGGGACGTTCTCCGGTGTGCTTGCGAATGTGACGAGCCAGATGTTCGCTGCGGGTGAAGCTCAGGTTGCAGGGGGGAAAGCGTCGCAGAAAAAGCGTTGGCCTTTCTTCTTTTTCGACGGCGGGGCGTTGCTCCCGGGATCGTGATCGTGGTCGGAATCCTCTTGTTCGCCCTCGGAATCGTGCATCTGTTCGTCTGACATGGAAGGGGTTCGGACGTGGGTTGTAGCATCACGGTGTTGTGAATTCGGAGTTTGGTCCGTCGACGAAGAGCCCTCTGGTGTGACCGGCACACCATTTGGTTTCGCACGGGGTGTGGCAGCTCCATCCATTTCTTCAGGGGCAGAGTTGTTCACAGGGAGAAAGGATGCCATGCTGGTAGAGGCGGGAGTGATGTCAGGTCACCCCCAAGTTCGGACCTAACCACCAGTGGTCGCAAAGCCAACCCGACCCGGAATATTCACCCCAGGGCCAGTTGGGATTCTATACGTCTCTATGGCGGTTCGGGAGCACAAGGCTACGGGAAAATCGGACACTCGGAGTCTGGAGGCGAGATTGGTAAACATGGCAATCTCAGCAAGGGCTACTAGAGAAAGGGACGAAAAGCACCAAAAATAAAAGAGATCAGATTGTACGTACGATTCAGATGCTTACCCTGGAGAGGGGGAGAAAGGAGGGGAGGAATGTGGCCAGTTCTGGACGCAAGGGAGAGTCGAAAATGTAAAAGTAGAAGAGTCAGAAATGTAAGAAATCCAAGGAGTGCAAAGGGAGCGTCAGGAAAAGATCCGAAAAGACCAGGAAATGGTGACGATTCTTATCGGAAGCGAGGGGCAAAAGAAGATCCCAGGCACCTCAGACTCTCAGACTTCCGGGACTACCGATGTGTTTCACTGAGTCTGTAGATATCTAAGTCCTTGACGTTAACACCTCGGGACCTTGGGAATCATCTCGCCAAGTCTTGAACAGTTTGGTTCTGGACACGATCGAGACCCTTATGGAGACCTTTTAGGGTTATATCTAACCACCGTCATACATTTTACTTATAACTTACATACCGTGCAGTAGAACTTCTAACTCAAGTTACAGACTGCCCCTCGTATAGTCCTCGATAAGAGACAGATCTCATGTACATTAAGAGGACTCGTCACCTTCGATCCGGCCCCTCCGTCAAAGCCGCATTCAGGCAACCCCCCCCGTACTCTGAAACTTTCACCCCCTGGGACTGATCCCGCGATGTGCCTGCGTCGCTACTAACCTTTCCCGGTCTGCAAACGGCATCTGCTGTGCATCCCATCTCCAGCTCCCGTGGTTCTCGTGCTTCTTTAATGTACTCTAATTCTGGGTCTCTGGTTACTCGACTTTTGCATTACGAGTCCAAGTATAGGAAACCCCCAGATGTGTGACGCCACGCCAGGTGTGGATGATGTGCTTACTGGCTCCAGCCTTGCCTTTTTTTTAATTTATTATGATTTACCCTGGTTCTTGACCTGTTAGCCCCTGGGATAGGCGCCATGCGAGGATGCGGTACCATTGGTAGGGAAGTTAGAGGCGTTAGAACACGGATCCCTGGACTAGCATTATGTAGATTATATGTCCCATTCCCCGCTAATTCGATCGACATTCACATTAACTTCCCCTCCTTGCCCCTCCTATTGTATATCTATATATATCAAGCCTGCCCCGTTAAAACAACAGGGATCGCAAGAGGGGATGTATGGACGGGTACCTGTAGGTACATCTGCACGACGCCACTGGGCTGGCCTGGGGGCGCACGGCCAAGTAGAACCAGGTACCTGCAGGGCTTATCGATAAGTTCCCCTCAGTGCTGACGTCGTCGACTTATGGAGATCTTCTATAAGTCTTTTTTTCGCCCCTGGAGAAAGGCGATCACTTTGCCTTTCAAGCGGTCTGCTTATCCGCGGTCCAATCATAATACATGTTCTACACCTCGGCGTACCTGGCCACGTAAAGTGCCAGGTACACGGAGTATACTATTACTATTACTATTCTAAATCATTTATTACTTGCCTTTCTCATTCATCACTTTTGTGTGGATAAATCTAGGGTAACTTGAAGCGACGCTATAAATATACTCCCCGCATCCCAGCCAGATCCCTCACCAACCCAACCCGATAACTCATATCTCTATACAAATCTACACACCTACACACACAAACCAAGTACCAATACAAATACACAGAGGCTGAACATCACATGCGAAACCCCCCCCTTCCCAAAAAAAAAACGAACAAAGCACCCTGCCTCGTCCCAACACCCCGACCTCATTGGCCCCAACCAACCACCCTACTGACTTACATCTGTCCTCTGCATCTGAAATCCAGGGCAATATGACTCAACCTGCAGTACGCGCAGCTTGGTCCAGCCATCCTGGAAACAACACATCCCCCTCGGACTCAGGCTCTGATCCCAGGGGGTGGGTGCACCATGTGGGGGTCATCTGACCGTCTTATACTCCGTATACACTACAGATTGGTGGTGGATGTAAGTTACTATCGTAGTGGATGTACTTTGATATAGATGTAGATCTACTTTACATGGCTTATCTCGGGGAATTAGCCGAACTTCGGAGCTTTTTGCTTTTTGTTATCTGTGCTATATGGCCGGTTCCGATATACTGGTGAGACTGTTGACTTCCCAGGGTACTTATTGGCTTGGAAGATGTCAGGTACACGCACCTGGCTCGTTGGTTTTTGTTTTTTTTTTTTTTTCCCCCTCCCTTTTCTTGGCTTTGGGCTGGGGCCCGTACCTGCGACTTGGGACTTGGGACTTGGGGAGGGGGGTTTGTTCTCCAAGGGTCTGTGGGCTTTGGTGCGACCGCATGATTTCGATCTCGGCTGGATCATATATATCACATTTTGAGGGGGCTCAAATAGGAAACTAGGGGGAGAATATACTTTGGTATTATCTTTCAGCTTACAGGGATTCTGCGGGGTACCTGAGGTACCTGAGCCTCAGCTCTTTGTGTTTAGACGCCTTGGTTTAGGGTTGTGGACGTGGACTGTTTCATTTAGGTGCTATTATTGGCATACAAAGCCACCAATCGACGTGATTTGTCTGGGATTTTTCTTGCTATCATGTTATCAAGCACTGGCCTTGAGATAGCTGCACCTGCGTTTAGACCTTGGTACTTGCATACAAGGCTTTTCGGCCACTGGTTTATAACTAAGATTTGGAGGCTCAATGAAACTTAGTAGGAAAGATTGGACTAAGGATCTTTCTACATTATATCGATTCCCGAACCAGTCTGTTTTATTCCAGCGGCGCCGTGTTGAGCTGGCGTGTCTACATGCAACAGCCCACTTTACAAACCAACGACGATATCCACCTCTATGCGGACCGCTGAATTGAGCGTATATAAGCCGTGGCTTTACGGATTTATGCATTCAGTGGGGGTGGTGCCTAAGTTCCCCTCTTTACCACAAGTATGGTGAGAACTACTGGGTTCACTAGTGAACTGGTGCATACAGGTTGCTTTTGCGGTGTATAATTTGAGAGAACCCAAAAAGCGCATGGTTTGGTTCTATAAGATTATACACCAGCTTGAAGCCTCGAAAAGTTGAACGCTCATTGTTGATCGACCCGCAACGACACAAAACAGAAAACCAGAATGCTTTTCTCCCAATGACCGCTGCAATATCTCGCTTCTTGCCTGGCATAGGGTCCGTGATTGTCTTCCCCCTCTCCCAGGGAATGAATGCCAACTTCAGTGGAATTAACCAATACTTATGATCGTCCTCAGGGCTCTGCCACTGGTAAATTTACACGGACCCGACAGCTTCAGTACTAGAAATCTTGATCAATACATCGTGTTCAAGGAATTGGACGCAGTACTTCTCCCACCTTTGCCCGTGCGGGTGTCGCGGGCTTATTCCTCGGAGACATAAACGAAAGGGCCTTGAAACAATTAGCCAACGACGTTCGCCGTGAAGTACCCGACTTGCAAGTCCAAACGCACCACGTTGACATCGGAAACGAAGCATCCTACATAGATTGCGTGCAACTTGCGGCGAAAACGCTTGGAACAATTGACTACGGGCTGAACAATGTCGGAATTGGCAGAGTTCTCAAGCCAACAGTAGAACAAGATAGCACCGAACCCACACGATTCTTAACACTGACATTGTTGGCCTTCGGATTTCTCACAGGGAGCAAGTCAGGGAAATTTTGACGCAAGAGAGACTGCAAATCCCGTTCGTATGAGTTTTACGCTATACATATTCTTTAATTGAGTCAATTGTCATTTTGCAGGAGCAGACACGGAAACCGTGGAGTGGTCACCAACACAGCCTCTATTTTTGGACTGGTTGGTGGCCCGGTTGGATCTAGTACTTATACTGCGAGCAAACATGCAATTCTTGGATTGAAAAAGACGGTATGCGCAAATTTTCATTTCAAGATAAAACATGCTCATGATTGGGGATTAAGAAGCTGCCGCTTACAGCAAACATGACTTTCGGATTAATGGGATCTGTCCGGGGTAAACGAATCCTTGCTTCCAGAACTCTGTGAATCTCGAATCTGACTTGACTATCTGCAGTTATGTGTCGACTACAATTCTTGGAAATAATGCTCCAAAGTTGCTATCCTAGATTTAATCCCAGATCAAATCTATGATACCCATGGGAAGGCTTGGTGAAGTTGACGAGATTCGTCTTTTTTACATGTGTTTCAGTTAAGACTGAGTATCAGTAGATTGCCGACTCGGGTGTTTTTCTCCCGTCGCATATGGCAAGCTACGTTACTGGTGCTGCATTGGTAGTTGACAGGTATGTGTTCTCCATGGCAACTATTAAATGGTACTTTAACCTGAATTGATAACGGTTATACTGCTACTTAGTCATAGAATCTGGCATTCTTGGCATTGATGTTGGCATGATTCATAATAAAACAATGGTCGTAAGTTCTTTCACATCCCCTCTTTCAAAGGATAACTGATCCAGTCAAAGCACTCAAAAATAGACAAAAAAAAGATGTGAAAAAAGCAGCTAGCCCAGGGCACAGAGTAACGCATGAAGTGGTACATGAGCTTCGAGGCATTTGTATAGAAATTGCCTAGTACTTCATATCACTGTAAGCAGACCTATGACCTCTGTGTGAATTCCCTCTGATTTAGAACACAGCTCATGGACTGAGGGTTAGGTTATGAAAATGATGATATTCCCAAATGACGTATACTCATTCAACTCTCACCTTCCAGCCTCAGAAAGCATAATCCAAGTAGTTCGGGAGGAAACCTTGGCCCAAGGCCAATATGAGGCGATGACTTGCAGGTGACGTCGACGGGCCAGCACTTCTCCACACGTTGCTACACTCTAGCTGCAACCAGAACACAATTCATTCTATGTGGGTAGATTAACAGAATAAAATTGAACAGAAAATTAAGCAGGCCACATAAGCAGAAGCACAAAAATAATCATAAATAAAAAGTGATCATAAGCAAGAAGAAGTAAGGAGAAGAGGGAAGGTGGAGGGTCTAGGCACGGGAACAGACGTCATAGTCGGCTGACTGGCTTTCCCCGGTTTCGACCTCGAGACAAACCTATAAGTACAGGGATCTCCGTTTTCTTTTATAAACCTGTTACAACAAACATTTCCAATTACTACAATCACAACGATGTCTAAAAGTCGCATGCCCCTTATCCTCTGCGCCGGTGGTGCCGGTGCAGTCGGTTACTACCTGTACAGCGCAGGTGGTGACCCCAAGGTTGCAGGAGACAAGATGAAGAGTATGTGCTCAACTCGACAGCTGTCAACAGTTGCTTCCTGTACCTGAGCTGACTATTCCGCCAGTCGATGCCGAGAAGGCCCGCGAGAAGCTCCCTGGCAACGAGAGCGCTGAGAAGTTCGGCAAGGACATTGGCAAGGACGCCGGAACCAAGGTTGACGAAGCTGTAAGTACAACCTTCCACCTTCGTGCTTGGTGTTGCCCATTCACGCATCAACATCGAGGCTACCCTATCGCCACCCACCAGAGATCATGCCAGACTAACCTCCAACCACAGATTGCCACTGCCCGCGCCAAGGGCGAGAAGATCCCCGACTGGGCCCAAGAGGGCAAGGATAAGCTCGACGGTCTTCGCGACGACGCCAAAGGCAAGTTCAATGCCGGTTTGGATAAGGTCAACAACAGTGTGGACCAGGCGGATCGCACAGTCGAGCAGAAGGCCGCGGAAGCCAAGGGTACTGTCTCCGGCTGGTTTGGAGGCAAGAAATAAGCTATGATTGAGGGTTGATGCGTGTCGCCATGATACTCATTGGCGATTAATGTTATGTTATGCCACGGCGCTGGTCGTTTCGAGAATGGGCTCTCGAGAATATCATGAATAATTGACTTGTTCCTCAGTTTACTTAAAGTTATTGTATGCTGTAAGCTGTAAGCAGGATGCCATGCGCACATTGTGGGTTTCTCAGGGCGCTAGGCGAAACGGAATCAGACTCCATGTCCAATGCCCTGAGAACAGACCCAGTAGTGTAGTTTAAATCGGAGCCCATTGACCAATCTCTGTAGAGCATGGCCAGAGTATGGACAGGTTGACTGGCATTCCAATGCCAGAGGATTACCGTAGTGACGAGAATGCCGACCCCACGGACTAGATTGTATTCCCGCAATTTAATTAAATTGACTCTCGTCTGCTGTCCTACCTTTTTATCTTACAGTTGCATAATATTTTACTCGTTGAAGATTAATATTGGCGTTCGCGTTCTAGTTCCAACTCCACGCGTTACCATTTAACCCGAATAGGCTAGTGTGGTTTCAACGCGCTTCTTTCACGCGTGTCCCTGCATCTCATCTTACTCCATTCCCCCCATTGCTCTTTCCCACTTCTATTTTCAGTTCTAATATTCCGATATTTCTAACTCAGTGTATTCTACTAAAGCTGCTTTGATCGCCCCTTCCATTTTTATCTTATCCCTGGCAGCCGAAAATTTTTCAAGAAGCCGCCATGCGCACCACCCGGGCAAGCGCTGCCCAGCCAGCAATTCAGATCTTCACCAGAGCAACCAAGCCCGGTATCACGCCGTCATTGCCTGGGAAGTCACTGGACGCCAAACCTGCCTCGCTTCCCGTCTCGCCTTCCAAGAAACGCAAGCTCCAGGAACTCGAAAATGTCGACGCCGGCAGCCCAACCCCAGCCGAGGAAGGAACACCCTCGAAAACTTTGCGACTGAATGAATTGTCTGTGTCTTCACCACGCAGTGGCCACTTCACTTCTCCCAAGGCAACCCCCAAGAGGACACCCAGTCGACGTGCCCGCGCCCCTGTCAAGACCGCCCTCTCGACACCATCGACCCCTTCGAAGCAACGGACCCTCGACTTTGAAAATATTACCCCAGTCAAAGAAGAAATCCCCATTGTTCCTCGACCTGCGTTATTCAACGATGTTCTAAACCTTCATTCAGCATTTGTTCAGGCGTTCTCCTTTCATATGGCACACAACGGCGTCAATGCCCCTGCGGACCTCCGAGATTTCCTTAACAGTGTGACCCGCATGTGGAAAAAGCGCAAGGTTCAGATGAAGGATTTGCAGCGTCTGCTATGGATTTGGGAAAAGAGTTCAAACACAGCAACCGTTTCTTACCGACTGGCAAACTACGGACTCGGCAAAATTTGTTTGGAGCGCACTTTCCAGGTGGACGAGCAGCCTGCCGCTTTGCAAGACTCCTTCGAGGAGACACTGGATCTCCTGTGGGAGCAGGCTCAGGATTCTTTGCAGGCTGCTAACGAAGAAGACCGCCCCTCACTGTTCATCGAGACCCTTGGTCTTTCCACTATTCACGAGTCGCTTACTCCTTTCACTTCGTTCCAGAAAGGTCAACAGCGTCTTCAGGATCTCAAGGGTGGTTTGCTCCGCTTGAGGGCTGAGAGACTGAGTGCCGATTCTTCACAGACGACCCCTCTGGAGCGGACTGCTACTGTCAGCCGTCGCCAGGGTTTGTTGGACCGTATCAAGAACAAGGAATTGCGCCAGTCCAAGCTTCCTCCCCCGCCTACCAAGAAGGAACTCGTTCGCCGTGCTGCCGTTGACCGTGTTGAGGAGGTTGCTGGCATTCTGGCTATGCTGCGTCCTGCTGGCTACGTCGGCAATGGTATCAAGGCTATGTTTGCTTCCCAGCGCAAGCCTTATAAGATCGATGCCATGGTCGAGCTTGTCCGCCATTCTATCCGCAGCCCAATTCCCCGCGAGGAAGTTGAGGTGTGTCTTGAGATTCTGGCTGAACCTAGTGTTGCAGGTAACTGGATCAGCATTGTTAATGTCAAGGAGATGAAGTCTGTTGTGTTGAAGTCTTGCAAGGATGTCTCTGCCAAAGATATTGGTGTGAGAGCTATCCAGCTCAAGGCTGACTGGGACAAGTCTGCCACATGTGTGAAGACCTCTGTCATCTAAATTAGTGTTTGAAGAAGCTGGGTCTTTGTCCTCTTATTTTGTTTGATTTTTGTCTATCTCGCATCCGCGGAGCCGGTCTGCTCGCGATCCTGCATCAGCGCTCGATACCCTGTACTTTATCATTCATGTTTTAGCCTCAGCCTGTACTATCTAGAAATTAGGTCTCCAGAAAAAAAAATCATAATAGAATTAATCACCGAATCTCCTTCCACTCATTTCCACAGTATATGTTTGAAAAGGCGATTTGGACTGCCACTTAACACACGACGCGTCACACGTGACCGCGTGGCTAGAGCGCGTCGAGTTGACAGATCCAACCACCCTGATACAAGCACAACTGTCCTTTGCTACACTCTTTTCTAACATCAACCGACAGAATGTCTTCTCGACCAGATCTCAAGGTATATATTGAGCTTGCCCTTTCTAATTAATAAGACCCCACAAACTAATCATTGAACTCTTCAGGTCGACGACGAAGTCGGCTTCATTGGCTTCTACCGCTCCCTTCCAACAGTCGACAACAATGAGACAATTCGAGTGTTTGACCGAGGCGACTGGTACTCATCCCATGGCGCCGATGCAGAATTCATCGCACGCACTGTCTACAAGACAACCTCCGTCATCCGCAACCTAGGCCGTAGCGAATCCAACGGCCTACCCTCCGTCACAATGAGCGTAACAGTATTCCGGAACTTCCTTCGTGAATCACTATTCCGCCTCAATAAGCGAATCGAGATTTGGGCCTCTGGCGGCACAGGCAAGGGCAACTGGAAGCTCGCCAAGCAAGCCAGTCCCGGTAACCTCCAAGACGTCGAAGAAGAGCTCGGCAGCGTGGGCGCACTCTCAATGGACCAGGCACCCATCATCCTCGCCGTGAAGATATCTGCACGCGCAGCCGAGGCACGAAACGTCGGCGTGTGCTTCGCCGATGCGAGCGTGCGCGAACTGGGCGTTAGTGAATTCCTCGATAATGATATCTACTCCAATTTCGAGTCTTTAGTTATCCAGCTCGGTGTGAAGGAGTGTCTTGTGACGATGGATTCGACGCGGAAGGATGTCGAGCTAGCTAAGATCCGTGCTATTGCTGATAGCTGTGGGATTGCGATTTCCGAGCGGCCTGTTGCCGATTTTGGTGTTCGTGATATCGAGCAGGATCTTACTCGATTGTTGCGGGATGAACATTCTGCTGGGACTCTGCCTCAGACTGAGTTGAAGTTGGCTATGGGGTCTGCTTCGGCTTTGATTAAGTACCTTGCTGTTATGACTGATCCTACGAACTTTGGTCAGTATCAGCTTTATCAGCATGATTTGTCCCAGTATATGAAGCTTGATGCCTCGGCGCTGAGGGCTTTGAATCTTATGCCCGGTCCGCGGGATGGTTCGAAGAGTATGAGTTTGTTTGGTCTTTTGAATCATTGCAAGACCCCTGTTGGAAGTCGTTTGCTGGCCCAGTGGCTTAAACAGCCGCTGATGGACTTGGCTGCTATTGAGCAGCGGCAGCAGCTGGTCGAGGCTTTCGTTGTCAACACCGAGTTACGTCAGACTATGCAGGAAGAGCATCTGCGCGCTATTCCTGATCTTTACCGTTTGGCCAAGCGGTTCCAGCGGAAGCAGGCTAACCTGGAGGATGTTGTTCGAGCATACCAGGTTTCCATCCGTATTCCTGGGTTCGTCAGTGCGCTTGGAGACGTAATGGATGAGCAGTACCAGGAGCCCCTCGAGGCTGAATACACATCTAAGCTACGTGGCTATTCAGACAGCTTGGCCATGCTGGAGGAGATGGTGGAAACAACAGTTGATCTTGCTGCCCTGGAGAACCACGAATTCATTATTAAGCCCGAGTTCGACGAGAGCTTGAAGATTATCAGGAAAAAGCTCGACAAGCTACGCTACGATATGGACATGGAACACCGCCGTGTTTCCAAGGACCTGAATCAGGAGATGGAAAAGAAGCTCTTCATGGAGAACCACCGAGTCCATGGATGGTGCTTCCGTCTTACTCGCAATGAGGCAGGCTGTATCCGCAACAAAAAGGAGTACCAGGAGTGCTCAACCCAGAAAAACGGTGTCTATTTCACCAACTCAACTATGCAATCCCTCCGTCGGGAGCATGACCAACTCTCCTCCAACTACAACCGAACTCAGACCGGTCTGGTCAATGAGGTTGTCAACGTTGCCGCTTCCTATTGTCCGGTGTTGGAGCAGCTCGCCGGTGTGCTGGCGCACCTTGATGTCATCGTGAGCTTCGCGCATGCTTCGATGCACGCTCCTTCAGGCTATGTCCGCCCTAAGATGCATCCTCGTGGAACGGGGAACACCGTTCTCAAGGAAGCCCGTCACCCATGTATGGAAATGCAGGATGACATCTCATTCATTACGAATGATGTTTCTTTGATTCGTGATGAATCGTCATTCCTTATCATCACTGGTCCTAACATGGGCGGAAAGTCCACCTACATCCGACAAATTGGTGTGATTGCCCTTATGGCACAGACTGGTTGCTTCGTCCCTTGTACTGAGGCCGAGCTGACTATCTTCGACTGTATTCTTGCCCGTGTCGGTGCAAGTGACTCGCAATTGAAGGGTGTGTCGACATTTATGGCCGAAATGCTTGAGACCTCCAACATTCTGAAGTCTGCCACGTCGGAATCTTTAATCATCATTGACGAACTGGGCCGTGGAACCAGCACATACGATGGCTTCGGTCTTGCGTGGGCTATTTCAGAGCATATTGTCACCGAAATCCGCTGCTTCGGTCTGTTCGCGACTCACTTCCACGAGCTGACGGCCCTAGCAGACCGGTACCAGAAGGCCGTCAAGAACCTGCACGTTGTGGCGTTCATTGGTGATGGCAATGATGCCGAGACCGAGGTCGAGGCCGAGGAGAAAAAAAAAGCGTCAAGTTACTTTGCTCTACCGTGTGGAACCTGGCATATGTGATCAATCCTTCGGTATCCATGTCGCCGAATTAGTACGGTTCCCAGACAAGGTTGTCAACATGGCACGTCAAAAAGCCGAAGAGCTTGAGGATTTCACATCTGCATCAGGCGAAGGTGATGGCAAACAGGTAGCTGCACCCTCCCTTGACAAGTACACCCAAGAAGAGGTGGAAGAGGGCAGTGCGCTGCTCAAGGGCATGCTGCTCAAATGGAAAGCAGCAACCGAAGGCAAAGAGCTGACAGCCGAACAAAAGCGCCAGCTCATGCGTGATCTGGCAGGAGCCGATCAGAAGCTCCAAGCCAACAAAGTGTTCCAAGGTATCAAGGCTTTATAAGAATATGGAAATTATGTGTAGGCTCCATGGTGTCTGGCGTTTTGGGAGGAACAGGCCTGAAAAGGCATGGTCATGTACTCAACTATCATCCAAGAGGATAATCCAAATAACTCTTTTCAATTTATATCACTATGAAATCACCTCTCTTAACTTGTAACTGAACGGTAATCAAATAAAGTATACCACCATGTCGATCTAGGGCCCCGGGCCAGTCACGTGTAACAAACGGTCTAGAAGCCATCAACGCGGGATCCCAATGAAGCAACATACATCTCCAGCCCCAGATTATCGCTCATTTCAATTTCCAATTCCTCACTTTGGGCCTTGATTTACCGCCAAAGCCTCGGCTCTCGATCCTGCTCTACGGCCGTCCCTCTAAACCGACCCATCCATCCCTCATCCAGCTATGCGCGCAACCTAACCGCGGACCGCCTGAACAGCCTCGATTCATGCACCCCTTTTCCGTCCTCACCCTTGGGATATTTGTCGCGGGCTATATCACCGCCAGGTGGGATCTTGTAACCCGCCTGTACGAATTGGCCATTTTCGCTTGGGACCACGGTGTCGTGGTATGTGACTTTCCTGGTCTTTGCTTTGGCACTTAGCCGCCCCTCTCTCTCCACTTGCGACTTTATCAGCTTGGCGTCGTGCATGCTCCACGGGTATACTGGTTCTTGAGCAGGTTGCTAATTGGTGTCCTCGTATAGACGCGCACTGCAAAGGGATTCTTATTTCTCTCCGTTTTCTTCTTCCTCCTCGTCCTGCCGATTAATCACCTGGCGTCGAAGGAGCGTCAATTGGTGAGCTACCTCCGCGCAATCATGTGTCAAATTATGGGTTATTGGTCGGGGATGAATGCTGACGGTTGGGGGACATTAGCATCCGCGCCACGTGAATCTCGGAGTCTCTGCGCGAGAACAGTTGCGCCGTCGAGGTTCGTTCTGAGGCTCGGGTGGAGGATGACAATATGCTCATGAGCGATGGACTGCTGCGGGTATTTTGGCCATATGACCTCCCGCGATCATCATCGCCCGGTGTGATTGTCGGATGGCGGAACTCGGAGCTTGATTTGTTTGTGCTCACGGTGCTGGAGGATGTCGAGGTACGTTAAGTTCCAGCTTGCTCGTTTGAAAGCTAATGTTTCCGATTGGAATAGCCTCGGAATGTCGATAATGCACTTCGTGCGGGGATTCTGTTTCGAAATAGCCCACACCCGATTGTGCGTATCTTTACGCTGTGTGGACGGTCCCAGATGCATGTCCTTGGCTCGACAAATGCTCCTCAGTCCCCTACTTCGTTCAGTTCCTCTCATCTCTATGTGACTACGTACCCGCCATCGAAAGCTCCTCGTATCTTCTGTCCACCGGATGCAGGTCTGTCGGTTCAGGTTATCATGTATCACCGTCCGCACCCAACGCGCATGGAGTACATGTCACTGGATCCTATTTCTCTGGCTTTGGGCGATAAAGCCATAACGGCGGAGATCTGGGGTCCGTCTTCGGATAAGATAGAGTCAGAGGAAGAGGGAGACAAGGCTGGATCAAAGGTACTGGTTGAGAAGCTCAAGCTTCACTCGGTCGTCAAGCACATCCCATCACAGAAGGAGCAGGCCCTCCCGCTCATAATCAACCAAGTCAACTGTGCTTACGAGATGGGACAACTCATGCTCAAAAACAGCCATTTAATTGGGATTCGTGCGAAAAGAAGTATGAGTGTTGGAGAACGTGTGGTGGAATCGGCGACCACACTGTGGGGATTCATTGTTCTCTGTATTGCCCACGTTTTCTGGCAATGGCTCTGGCCTGTTGTCACCAGAGTCTTTGTCATTGGGCTTGTGTGCCATCGCTCTGTTGCAGAAGTAGTCTTGCAAGTTCTCGAGTGGCGTGCTCGTCCTGACGCAGCTGCTCTCAAGGATATCTCGGCGACGGCTCAACAGGTTGATATACGTTTACAGCAGTTTTGCTATTGGCCGATTCAATATGTGAAGCTCCGTCAGAGAAAGGATAATTGGGAGAGCGTGACAACTAGTCATCCTGACTACATTCGGTTCTACAACAGTCTGTGGCTTGTTGCTAATGATGTGATCATCGGCATTGCGCTGGGGTCTTATATCATTGACAACGCTAACTGGGTCGCTTCGCAAATTAACACTGTCCTGACTGGATGGACAGTAGAAGGATTACAACGTACAATTTCATGGCTCATGGACTGGCCGGCTGGTTTGAAGCTGAACAACGAACTTGCAGCTTTCCTTGGTGACCTGTTTCTTTGGGTTATTGAGAATTGGGCTGCTTGTATTTCCAACTTGCAACCTTACCTCCCTGCTGTCATCTACATTATTGGATGTTCAAGCTTTGCAGGCGCCAGCATGCCCATTGCTCTGTTCTCTGATCTTTTGTCGGTTCTGACTGTTCACATTTACTCGTTCTACATTGCCTCCGCACGCATTTTCAACTGGCAACTCACTATCATCATCTCCCTTTTCCATCTCTTCCGTGGCAAGAAACGCAACGTCCTGCGCAACCGAATTGATTCATGCGATTACGACCTTGACCAACTTCTCCTTGGCACCATTCTCTTCACTGTCCTGTTCTTCCTACTTCCTACCGTGGTGGTGTTCTACTTGACCTTCGCTTCGGCCCGGATGTTAATAATCTCAATGAAGGCAGCACTTGATACCTGCCTCGCATTCTTAAATCACTTCCCACTCTTTGCATTGATGCTCCGCGTGAAAGACTCGCAACGTCTACCAGGCGGTATCCGATTCGAGCTACGGGATGAGCCAGACAAGAACTCCACTAATAGAGACTCAACTGCGATGACGTCCTACATCCACCTCGAGGTATGTTTCTCTATCTCCAACCCACAAATCTAAATAATAACACATCCTAGTCTATCCCACTACCGTTACGTGCAATGTTCGATCAGTACTTCCAACTAGGTCACAGACTCCGAAAGCACTACCTCGCTCCTCGAGTGATCTTCTGCCTCGTTACTGGCCGCTTCGTACCGCCTATTCACCGCCGCAACCTGTACAGTATGCAGTACAGCATGTTACCCGCCCGTCGGGCTGGCATGGCAGAGGTATGGGCATTGCTCACCCAGCCCAAGAAAGGTAGCAGTGGGAGCAGTGGCTCTGGCTCTATGGGTGGGGGCATTGGCGGCCTCAACCCGATTGTTAAGGTCCCTGCGAACTTCGGGCAGGGTGATATGAGGCGACGGGGTCATCGCTAATATCATGTTCCACCTCACGGCATCTTATTTTGTACATAATATCTTAACATATTCCTCTACCCGGGGTAGCCTTAATTTCATTACCGCAAAGATATGCTTCAGAGTAGGGAGACCGATGATGAATAGAAATATCGGTATGTGCAAATGTAGAGGTGAGATATGAAGATATATGCATGGAACGAGAATACAAAGAATCAACCATCTAACTCCGTCCCATGATTAATTTGCGGACATGATAGCCGTCGCTGAACAGAATATTACTACCAGACTCTTCCCGGCAATGATCAAACAGGTCAAGACTTCAAGACTTTTTGAGGAACTCTGCATCAGTTTCACTGCTGCCACTCTTGCGAGCATCATCCAACATGGAGTCAATGCCCCTTTCCTTCAGAACTTTCTATAAGTAGTAAAAAACCCCGTTAGATCAGAACCACTCTAAGATGCGAGGATAGATTGAGAGACTCACGTTCAGGCAACCCTTGTAGTTCTTAAATAGTGCTTCGCAGTCATTGGAAGAGGTGTTGCCACGCAGGTATTCTGCTCTGTATTTAGCTTCTGATGTCTGTGTATAAGTTCAAAGGAGCATGAAGCATACTCTCACTATACCACTTCAGGAAACAGGTATCATATTTCCTAGTCGGCACACCTTAGTATATCCTGTTGACATATAAACCTGGGCTCTTCCCCGGAACGTACTCTTTGATATCATTGCATTCGGGCGCGATAGAGGCAGCCATGGTGACGGAATATCAAACACAAAGGCAAACAAAAAGCTTCAATATATCCCGACGATTAAAATATGTCCCTCCTTGTCGATAGCTGAATAGTTGAGAAAGAGAAGAAGGTGATCCGCGGACTTTCATACAAATTTCGCCACTCTGGGAAGGCGGTCAATGCGGGCCTACCATTTCTCCAGTCAATTTCCTGCCGCGACTTTTTTTTCGGAGCGTTCTGACACCCATTCCAATCGTCCTCTTCCGTTTATTCTATTTGCAAAGATCCAGGGAATTGAAGCTCTGCCAGTCATGGACTCCGCAGAATTTCAACCGTTCCAGGACAAGTTGTCGTCCGCCCTGGTTCAAGTGACGCGAACTGTTGGACAGCTCTCTTCCGAAGACTTGAACTTTCACCGCACCTCCAACGCCGAGGTTTCAGATTCGCTCGATGAACAGAGTGAGCGCATCATTGCGCTGACTACCGCCGTGCTCAAAGCTGCGACAACCGGTACCGATATCGCCGCTCCGACCCTTAACGATGAGGATTCTGTCGACGACAACTGGCGCGGCGTGGTAGACGTGATCGACTCACTTTTGGAGAAGGCCGATGCCTGTCTGGATGAGTTCACAGGTGTGATTAAGAAATTGAGTCCGTCGGAGGAGGAGCAGGCGCCTGTGGTGGTAAAGAAAGCACCAAACTTTCCATCGATTTACGACTACGGCCCGTCTAAGATTCCCAAGCCGCAATTGGAATTCGACCACAAACCCGATAACTCCGACCTGGGGCCATTCAAGCCTCTGCTTAAGACCAAGCCGAATGCGATTGTCTCGTTGGAGCAGTCTCTGAAGACGCAGAAGATCGATGGCGCCATCGCTTATCCTCACCCCTACGCCACGGAGATCCGCGCCTCCGAGTATCCCAAGCCGGTCTACGAGGTCTCTCCTCCAGTTGAATACCTACCATTTGAGAGTACGACCGCTACCTTTGTTGATACGTTGGATGGAGTCAAGGAGATGTTGGAGGAGCTGAAGAAGGCCAAGGAAATCGCTATTGACTTGGAACACCACGATGTTCACTCTTACCACGGTCTTGTATCTTTGATGCAGATCAGCACTCGCGAGAAGGACTGGGTTGTGGATACTTTGAAGCCCTGGAGAGAAGAATTGCAGATGCTGAACGAAGTGTTCACAGACCCCAAGATCTTGAAGGTCCTTCACGGTGCTACCATGGATATTATCTGGTTGCAGCGTGATCTGGGTCTTTACATGGTTGGGATGTTTGATACTTTCCATGCTGCATCTGCACTCGGTTTCCCCAAGCGGAGCTTGAAGTTCTTGCTACACAAGTTTGTCAACTTCGAAGCTGATAAGCGGTATCAAACTGCCGATTGGCGAATTCGCCCACTTCCCACCGAGATGTTTGACTATGCACGGTCCGACACACATTATCTTCTTTACATTTACGACTGTCTACGCAACGGCCTAATTGAAAACTCGACTGCCGAAGCGAGCCACATTGATTACGTTAACGAGCGGTCAAAGGACGAAGCCCTGCAACGCTACGAACGCCCCGTTTACGATGCTGTGCATGGACATGGCCCGGGAGGTTGGTATGACCTGCTGTGGCGTAACGCTGGTAATCTCCCCAAGGAGCAATTCGCTGTCTTCAAGGCTGTCCATCAATGGCGTGATGAAGTGGCACGCGCCGAGGACGAGGGATGGCAGTGTGTGTTCCCCAAGCATGTCCTTTTCAAGCTTGCCACAGCCATGCCGCTTGACATGGGCACCCTATTCCGCACTCTGTCACCTGTCACTCCCATCACAAAGGACCGCGCACATGAGCTCCTGGACCGCATCAAAGAGGCCAAGGTCGCCGGTGCTACGGGCCCTGAATGGCGCGATACAACACCCCCGAAACCCAGTGCGAAGATTGCGGAGGCTACTGCCCAGCAACTTCAACCCACTGATTTCCCCGTTGCAAAGCGATTCGAAACATCTCAATTCTGGGGCAAAGTCCTGGAAGCCCAAGAGATTCCTCTTCCTCCTGCATATGCTCTTACTGCCTCGGCAGAGGCTCTTCGCCTGTCTCTTCCGTTGCCAGCTATGCCCAAAACCGTTTCCGAGACTCGGGAATCCCTTGGACAGGCCCCCAAGCCCGCCGAGGCACCCAAGCCCAAACCCACACCCGTCCCCGAGGCCGAAGAAAAGAAATACTTCACCGTCAAGGACCTCGGTGGCCCCCGCAAGCGCAAGGTTACCCCCATCAACGACCCCACGCAAGCCCTTTCTACCACGGCCGACCTCGATGACAGCAACCCCGACTCGACAGAAAAGAAGTCGAAGAAGTCCCGCAAAGAGAAGAAGGAGAAGAAAGCTAAGAAGTCCCAAACCGCCAACGAGGCTGCATTCGACTACAATAACGCCAACGCCGTCCTCAACGCGCCATCTTCATCCACAGCAATGCAGCCGAAGAAGCGCGCTTTCAACCCCTACGCCAAGGCTCTGGAAGCTCCTTCAGGTGCCCGCAAGACCAAGCGCGAGACGCCTGGCAAGTCTCTTACCTTCCGTCAATAGGCGGGACATTGGTCACGATATCAAAAAGCATGATTGGGGTTTGGCTGGTTCCAAGGTTCTGTCTTTGTATCTTCTATTTCTATTATTTTCTAGCATAGCGATACCCATGCGTCAGTTGGAGGCTCTGGGATTCTACTTGTATTGAATATCAGGGTTTTGATGGCAGACGTATTCTGTGCATAGTGTAGATCTGATTAGATTGAGGGTTGCCAAGCGCTCCATAGTGGATTGGTGATTGATAGTTTGAGGATTGGAACCCACATGTAGTTCGTGATGCAGAGCGGCATGATACTGTAGTGGCGTTCCTGGCGCCGATGATATACGCGTACCTGCATATTCGAATTTCCGATGTGTCTAATGCCAGTGGAGACAAGACAAGCAGTTTTGCTTTTTATTTCCTTATCAATGTTTTGATATTATTATCCTGTTGCGAATAATGCTCCATGCTAAACATGGCCCAACCAAGCCAGACTAACCTTGAAGATAGATTGAATATGTGGCAGCTTTAAAGCCGCAGACTACCGATGCAGTGAGACACTGTCTGAGGGAACTCCTTTACCTGTCAATTTTCTTTTTCTTTTTCTTTTTTTTTTTTTTTTTTTTGCTTTATAGGTCCATTAAGTTTCAGCCCCATGCCAACCCCTATATAGTACATATACAGCGCTGCGAGACATAGGAGGTAGAGATAGCGAGTCAGGTACTTTCCTACCAGCGAAGAACACATACTCTTTACGACAAGACTCCCTCTGCATGGACCATCCCCAACTAAAAAGCAAAAACAAGCTAATATAAACCGGAAATAAAAAAGAATTGAAAAACGGACCCCACGCAATCAAAGTTCGCGCAAATGAGCTACACTTCAATAGGATCTTCAATGCACCTTTCCCTAAAAAGGTAGTAATATAGCTGATCACGCGCTATGACCAGGGGCCATTTATATATCCAGTATAGTCGGGGGGATACATGTATATCTTAGTGCAGTACGGAGTATATGTAACACACCTGATTCGAGTTGAATGACGTACCCATGGATCCTTAACAGTAGGGAGGATTCACTCGGAAGTTCGGACGAAGTTTGTGTACTGTCGTTTTATATGCACCCTTCTGTATATCAGGGGTCAGGATCTGCGACGAGCTTGGCGCGTTTCATAACGGAAGGAATGGAGGCTCGTGTAAATGATCTTGTTTGGACTTTGGCTTTGTTATGTAGTCAATGTTAAGTGAAGTCTATGTTACTGTTGCTGTTGCAGTCCTAGGATCTGGATATAATACTCGGGAATAAGGAAGTGATAAGGGGACAAGTCCTAGTCCCACTAGTCTCCACCGTACCCCTGAGCGCATAGGCCGTATGTAGAACAGTTACGATGTAAACACCCCGCTTAGTTTCTTGGTTATTTCCAGTATGTGAGCTGGTGATTCCAAGGTACTATATGGCCGTACTTTGCCTAGTTAGACTACCTAGAATAGCAAAGACCCAAAGTTTGGTTGAACAGGGGGGGGTATCTACTTGGATACTTGGTATTCTTGGAGAGTGAAAGTACATCCGAGACCATCCGTGGTAAGTCCGAAGTACGTGGTGTTGATAGTATAGGATGTCCTGATCAACCTGAAACTCGACTCGAACAGCACATGGCTCATGGAAGTCTGCAGGTACCCTGCAGACATGAGACTGTGTTGCATTGACGTCAAAAGAGTTAAAGACTAGTGGAGTGAGGATCAAGTAAAAGTGGCGAAAAGGCGCATTGGGCCAGGGGTAAGGCCCCTTGCAGTATACAGAAAAAAAGGGCGCTCCACCGATAACCCACCTCTCTCTTTTTTCCCCAGAGAGAGTAATCTCCCCCTCCCCCTCCCTTCAAACTCTTCATCTCCTAATTCTCTCTCTCTCTCTCTCTCTGTCTTCCTTCCTTCCTGGAGTCAGCTCTTCACCCTCTTTTCCCGCGCGCGTTATCATCAGGGGCTATCTCTTCTCGATCGCCCCTACAATTGCCATTCGTCCGACCACTGGCAGTTTGTCTTAGGCACTGCGAGACTCGGTTCTGACGACCAGTCAAATCTCACCATGTCCGTTGCGACGATGCTTCAACCTGCGTCCAGACAATCTCGAGCATCCTCCTCCTCTTCCTCCTCGTTTCAGCCCGTCGCACGACAGAACACAATGTCGTCGCACGATACTCGGTCGATTCGCCAATCCAAGCGGATGTCGGTCACTGCCTTGTACCTGTCCATGTCTGCCAAGGACCGGGACCTGGAGATTTCCGATGACTTGGCACGAGGTACGTTTCAGTCGTCGTCTCCAATGGTCGCACTAACCCTCTGGCAGCACAAAAACACCTGCGGGACTTGAAGTCCAGGATCTCTTCGCAATCCAAGAAGAATTTCGTGCTGGAGAAGGATGTGCGGTATCTCGATTCGCGGATAGCATTGCTGATCCAGAATCGAATGGCCCTGGAAGAAGTAAGAATTTCCACTTACAAGTCCACTAACGCGCTCGTTAACCCTTCCCTTCGTAGCAAAATGAAGTCGCCAGCCACCTCGATGACACCGCAGACCCCCAGGAAGGGTTCTTCCCGAACGATGAGCGAACTCAGAAGTACGGCAACCTTCTCTTTCTCCTGCAATCCGAACCCCGCCATATCGCCCACCTTTGCCGACTGGTCTCCATGGCCGAAATCGACTCCCTCCTCCAGACCGTCATGTTCACCATCTACGGAAACCAGTACGAGAGCCGCGAAGAGCACCTCTTGCTCACCATGTTCCAGTCCGTTCTCACCTACCAGTTTGACAACACCCCCGAGTACTCCTCCCTGCTCCGCCAGAATACTCCCGTTTCTCGCATGATGACCACATACACACGCCGAGGTCCCGGTCAGAGTTACTTGAAGCAGGTTCTGGCGGACCAGATCAATGCTCTGATTGAGTTGCGCGATGTGGATTTGGAGATCAACCCCCTGAAGGTCTATGAGAGCATGATCAAGCAAATTGAAGAGGAAACTGGTTCTCTCCCAGACTACCTGGCCCGGTCTGTGACAGCTGAAGATGCTGCCGACAACGCTCAGGTGCAGGCCATTATTGCTCCTCGCCTCAAGATGTTGACCGACATCGCCAATGGATTCATCTCCACCATTATTGATTCTGTTGACGAGGCCCCGTACGGTATTCGATGGATTTGCAAGCAGATTCGCAGTCTGTCTCGCAGAAAATACCCCGATGCCCAGGACCAGACCATCTGTACTCTTATCGGTGGTTTCTTCTTCCTACGCTTCATCAATCCCGCGATCGTTACTCCCCGGTCATACATGCTAATCGACGCCACGCCTACCGACAAACCCCGTCGAACCCTGACTTTGATCGCCAAGATGATACAGAACCTGGCGAACAAGCCTTCCTACGCCAAGGAACCTTACATGGCCAGCCTCCAGCCCTTCATTCAGCAGAACAAGGAGCGTGTCAACAAGTTCCTGCTTGATCTGTGTGAAGTGCAGGATTTCTACGAGAGTCTCGAGATGGACAACTACGTGGCTCTGTCGAAGCGTGATCTTGAGCTCCAGATCACTCTCAACGAGATGTATGTCATGCACGGTCTCCTGGAGAAGCACAGCGCGGCGCTTGCCCAGGACCAATACTCTCACCTGTCTGTTTTGCTGCAAGAGTTGGGAGCTGCTCCCCCTCAGGTCCCTCGCAAGGAGAACAGGACTATTACAGTGCCCTTGTTCAGCAAGTGGGAAACTGCGCTAGATGATTTGACCGCTGCCCTTGATATCACCCAAGAGGAAGTGTTTTTCATGGAGGCCAAGTCGACTTTCGTCCAGATTCTTCGATCTCTGCCTCAGAATTCTTCAGTCGCGCGTCGACCTCTCCGACTCGATCGCATTGCCGAGGCTGCAGCGACCTTGAAGAACGATGCCGTAATGGTGCGCAAGGGAATCCGCACCATGGAACTGCTCAGCCAGTTGCAAGACATGGGTGTGATCGATCGCTCCGATGAGTTCAGTCTGCTTCGCGATGAAGTGGAGCAGGAGCTCGTGCATCTCGGCTCTCTCAAGGACAAGGTGCTGGAGGAGACGCGCAAACTTGAAGAGGTTTTCGCCACCATCCGCGACCATAATGCCTATCTGGTCGGCCAGCTTGAGACCTACAAATCATACCTGCACAACGTGCGCAGCCAGTCCGAGGGCAAGACTCGTGGCAAGACCACGAAACACCAGGAGCTTGGACCATACAAGTTCACTCATCAGCAATTGGAGAAGGAGGGTGTCATTCGTCGCAGCAATGTGCCCGAGAATCGTCGGGCGAACATCTACTTTATGTTCAAGAGTCCGTTGCCTGGTACATTTGTTATCAGTCTGCACTATAAGGGTGAGTTCATGAATCTTCGACTCCAAAGGCAATGTTACTAACCATCTGTATAGGCCGTGCTCGTGGATTGCTAGAGCTTGACCTGAAGCTCGATGATCTCCTTGAGATGCAGAAGGATAACCTCGAAGACCTCGATCTGGAATACGTTCAATTCAACGTCACCAAGGTGCTAGCGCTCCTCAACAAGCGATTTGCTCGCAAGAAGGGCTGGTAACGGCGCCTGATGTCAGGCTCCTTGGAGCCTGCCTCTATTTATGAATGATGAGCCCGAGCAGAGGTTGGCCCGCTTTCCGCCTGCCAACCCGCGATGTCTAGTGCCGGTGACGATTGACTATCGAGTTGCAATCTTGTGATGATCATGCCAATGCATCTCCCATATACCCTCGACAATGGTGAATCGGACGTCTGCTTCACACGACTCCGACCTGCCCGTCTATGCAATTTGGGCGAAATGCCCAGTGTGAATGTTGTCAGTACACGAACATACCCATGGAGGACGATCAAGGCCCTACCCGCTGGTCCGGGGGTAGCTGATGATCCTGTGCTTTCTATTTATCTTTTCTTTCCATTCTCCTTTGTCTTGCCTCGTCCTTTCAATGTCTATACCCACCGGATAGTTGTCTTTTGCTTTTTTTCTGTTCTGTTTCTGGCTTTGGGGCCCTGAGCCCTATAATCAATCCCATCTCCGGCATGTTGAGTTCTGTTTTGTTTTCATCACCGCTCAGGCTTATGTGATCTGCATGCGCTGTGTATAATAATGCTTGCTGTTGAGATATGTGTTTTGGATTGAATACCCCTATGTTAAGGATGGCGGTTCACCTCTTTCTGTACAGAGCCTAGGCAGGTAACAATTCATTTCGGGGATTGCACTTGATGTTATATGTTGCCATCGTATTCGCAAATCATAAAAGGGAGTTCTGTACACGCGTTTTATGTCAGGCCGGTGTCCACTGTCTTGCAAAGTGGGTTTGCTTGACACCGCCACGTTTGCCCCTCGCCTTTGCCCCCTTTTCCTGCGTCCGGAGGGGTCTGTGGTCGAGTGAGAATTTATTTGTTGATTTGTTGTGAGATATGTTTACATGTTTATGCCGAGTTCAGAGTGTAATCGACGGGAGCCAAAGTAGACCCCGAGGCCGTTTGCGGATCAACTCGAATCAAGAAACAGAACAATGAAAGGACATTCCAAGTCACTCATACAAAGTCCATGTAGCAGCCTAACCTATCAAAAACAATAAGCCCAAGCAATAAGCCCATATTATTACCGGGGTAATAACTAGTAGGGGATAAGGGACGATCCAAGAGACTTTGTACCTCGAAGTGGCCACTTACGCCAGACCCCCCTCCGCCTCCCGCCCTTCCTCTAACCTCCCTCTCTCTTCCCTCTCCAACCACCACATACTTCACAATGGCCACCGAGAACAAGTTGCCCACCGACTCCAAGTACGACCAGTACGACTTCCCCACGACTGCCCCGGAGTCGCAGTCTGGTCACCCAGGCCACACCACCCCGGAACAGGATGCTAAGGTGCACCAGCTCCGCGCTGAGCTGGAAAAGCTCGGCTACACTGAGCGCCTGGACACCTTGACTCTGCTGCGTTTCCTGCGTGCCCGCAAGTTCGATGTCGAGGCCGCCAAGACCATGTACGTTGCTCAATTTTTGCGGGGAGGGTTTTTTTCTTCTGTTGTTACCTGACAGCTTGGAAAACTTTCTGTTCCTGTTTTTGCCTTTGGGCTTTCACTTTCATCGATTTTTGGCAGTTGCTAATCTGGTTTGCATCACAGGTTCACCAACAGTGAGGCATGGCGCAAGGAGTTCGGCACTGATGACCTCGCTCGTACCTTCGAATACCCCGAGAAGGAGAAGGTCTTCGAATACTACCCCCAGTACTACCACAAGACTGATAAGGTGAGTTACATTCCTCTTTCCCTGATTGATACCCGAATCTCGGGGCAAAAGATGGATATTAACGGCGATAACAGGATGGACGTCCCGTGTACATCGAGAAACTGGGCAAGATCGACTTGAACAAGATGTACCAGATCACAACCGGCGACCGCATGCTCAAGAACCTCGTGACCGAGTACGAGAAGCTTACCGACCCCCGTCTCCCCGCCTGCTCCCGCAAGGCCGGCAAGCTCCTCGAGACCTGCTGCACAATCATGGACCTCAAGGGCGTTGGTATCACTAGCGTGCCCTCCGTCTACGGATACGTCAAGCAGGCTTCCGACATCTCCCAGAACCACTACCCCGAGCGTCTTGGCAAGTTGTACCTGATCAACGCCCCTTGGGGTTTCAGCAGCGTGTTCAGCGCCGTCAAGGGTTTCCTTGACCCCGTTACTGTTAGCAAGATCCACGTCCTCGGCAGCGGATATCAGAAGGAGCTCCTTGCTCAGGTCCCCGCTGAGAACTTGCCCGTTGAGTTCGGCGGTACTTGCAAGTGCGAGGGTGGCTGTGAGCTTGCTGACTTCGGTCCCTGGAGGGAGGATGAGTGGGTTCGCACTCCCAAGTGGGCTCAGCCCAAGGAGGAGGCCGCTGCCCCTGCTGAGGCCGCTGCCCCTGCTGAGGCCGCTGCCCCTGCTGAGGCCGCTGCCCCTGCTGAGGCTGCTGTTGCCCCTGCTGAGGAGAAGAAGGAAGAGGCTGCCGCTGTGGCTACCGCCTAAGTCTCTAGAAGGTCTCTATTTTCTCTGCCAGACTGCCTACTATCCTCTCTCTAACCTCCCCGGAAAAGCAAGAATGCGGGGAGATTCCGATCAACCCTATTAAAGAATTAAATTCTCCGGGGGTCCGAATACAACCCCATCCGACCTCTGCATACCTCCCAGGCAGACCGGAAGTCTTCTTTCTGATAGCTTCAACACATCCCCATCGACCCATCCACAGCTACGGCCGTGGACTCTTTACCCCACATTCGCTTTTTTGCAATATGTTTGTTTTTTTTGTTCAGATTTAGATATCATGGAAAGAGCTTGCTTTTGTTTTCTGCTTTGTTTTTTTGCCTGTTCAGGATTGGCAGCGTGCCCTGCTGCGCTGGCTTCAGTATAGATGGAACAGGACGTGGTGAAATCTAAAAGTGAGTTGGTGTGACGGTGATTTGCTGGTGTCTTTTGTTTTGTGGAGTATACATCGATGAGCACATATTAAATCGTGGCTTCAATCTATGATGTTGATATCTTATGCCTAATCGCTCAATCCTAGGGCTGGTCTACTGTCCATTGAGGACCATGTAACTACGCAATAGACCCGCGGTCTGGGTTTGCTAGCTGCAGCCATAATCATAAGCATAAAAAATGAGCTGCTGGCCCACCTGAGCCAAGTGACAATACTGTAGAAAAGACATGGTATCATGATCCCCGAGTAAACCCCAGGTCCCCAAACGCCCCATCACAAAAGAACCTAGAAAGAAAAGATATAAATGCCAGTAGGAAAATCTCCGGCTTTCAAGGCCCTCACATATTTTCCACAACTTCAGCAGCCCGTCCGGCCCTCTCAGCCTTCCCAACGGTCGTAGCTAAAGCATGCCCCTCAGCACCATCACCAGCTTGAACACCCTCACCCTCACCCTCACCCTGCAACCGCAGTATCGTTCGCAGGGCATCTTCATAGACCCCCGCAATATCTCCACTCGCCCAACGCTCCTGCTCCTCAGCCGTTCCAAGCGCAGTCTCCAACTTCCACGCGCGGTCCGCACCCTCCTTCGGCGCAGAATCAACATCCATACCATCTTCTGGAACGGACGTCATTCCAGCACTATTACTAGAAACATATTCTTCCTCAACCTCCCCCTGAATCAACGCCTTAAGTTGTGCCGCATACTCTTTCGCCGCGCGTCTCGGCGCGTCCCGCCTCTGCTGCGCGATGCCTGTCGTGAGCGATTCTAGTTGCGCGTAGAGGGCTGTCACGCGCGATGCTAGTTCTGTGTCGTATGCTTCGTACTCGATTGTTTCCATTGGTGTTGTGAGCGCTGCTGGGAAGGGGAATTGTTCGGATGTGGAATCTAGGCCGTTTATGCTTATTGAGGAGGAGGCTGTTTCGAAGGTTTTGTTGATATACTGTATATTTGTCTTAGTTTTTTTGCCTAGAGAGTGGAGGTGCTTTTTAGAATAGAGAGGAGGGAGAACTCACATCGTCGACTAATTCCCTGACGCGTTCGCGCATCGGATCGGGTGTTTCATTGTCGATTGCGGAAGGGGGGAGATTCAGGTCTAGTTTGCGACGCGCGAGGGCGATTGTGTTGGCGTATAGGTAGGTGAAGTCTGCTGGAGACTGGAGCTCGACTTTGCGGTGGTGGGCTGCCATGTTTTGGGGGTTTGTTGATGGATTGTTATTTTTTTTTTGGAGTGCCCTGAGAGGGCTTGGCGGTATCCCCGCAAACGATGTCATCGCTGTTGCATTGGGCTTTGTCTTCTTTCACTTCACTTTCCTTGACTTTCGTTACTCTTTTTGTTTCTTTTGTCTATACCCTATTCCTCTTTGTTGTCCTATTGTTTATTTCCCCTCAGACAACTGCTTGAGGTAATGCGCTTGACCTTCGTGCGCTGCCCGAGGCTATAGTCGATCAAGAAGTGCTTGGTCGAGATCGAGATCGAGGCCACCTTCATATTCTATTCCCTACCTAAACTACCTCTACCATGACCATGGAGAACTCGTCTTCTATTTCGCTGGTCGATAATACCGTTCCCGCGCAACAACAGCCTGGCGAGGGGCCCTCACGACAGGCATCAGCCCTCGATCGGCAAACAAGCCTAACGAAACATTTAAGTCGCGCATCAGTCCAGAGCCAGCTCGCAAAACGAAAATACGCAAAATGGCAACCCGATAGACTGGGAATTGCGCCCGATACCAGTGCCAGCGAACCACTCAGTCGAGAATCCTCCCAAGCTCGAGGAGGATCAATCTCCGCAAGTTCCGTTGGAGAAGGCAGCGGGGGCAGAGATGTTGAGACAGTCGACTTTGCACCATCCCGTGTATCAAGCCATACTGGAAATGGGAATGGAAATACGACTGAGAACATCGACACTGGAACCCAAACGAACAAAAGGGGCTCAGAATTAGATATCCTCTACGAAAACCAGCGAGGGTGGTTCGTATTCGGAGTCCCACGATACTCAAATAGCTCGCTGTTGAATTTCGATCCTAGTCCTTGGATCACACAGGATAAGAGAGCCAGTGCTGTTAATATCACCAACGCCCAGGTTCCCGACCCGAGTTGGGAGTGGGCATGGAAAACGTGGTATGTCGATATGTCTGGCGATGTCGATGAGCAGGGCTGGCAGTACTCTTTCTCATTCGGCTCCTCCTCGTGGCATGGGACGCAGCCGTGGTTCCATTCTTTTGTTCGGAGGAGGCGGTGGGTAAGGCTGCGGATCAAGGTTCTGGAGAGGCGGCATCGTGGTCGATCGGACTTTGAAAAGTCGCATATGCTTACTGAGGACTATTTTACTATTCACTCGTCCAAGGTTCGGAGCCGGGAACAGAGCGTTGCGGGCTTGTCCCGGGTTGAATCTGGGTTCTTGAACCGTGCCAATATGACGGTTGATGAGGAACCGCAGATTGAGGAGATTGGGGATATTCCTAGTCTGATGCAGGCTTTGAAACTTGCTTCTATCGATCGGGAGAGGATTGATGCTCTCAAGAAGTTTGTGGAGAATGGCGGGGATGAGCTTTACTATTTGGCTGATAGAGTGAGTTGAATCTGCTGTTCACCAATCTGGGCCGTGTGGCTAATTTTGGATATTAGATGCCCGACATCATGCCCACATTCTTGTTCCAGACATCCCGCTGGCAATTCGTAACATACCTTTCTGGTGTTGTTCGCGACTTATCCAGAACCCTTCCAGATACCGACAAAGACGCCGATGCGATTCAACGCAAAAAAGATAATCTTACCCGGACAGCGGAAGCTTGCAAACGCCACATAACTGGACCAGATGTCTTCAAAGACACCCACGGAGAATCAGAAACGGAATTGCTGAACTTGACTCCCGTGGCCAAGCAGGATACATTAATGGCCAAGCGTCCGGTCCTGGAGGAGCGGTCGCACTCGATGAGGCGGATTTTCAGGGGCATCCCCAAAGCTGCTGAAATTGACCGTGAAGGTCATATCTATTAATGTATAAGATAACTCTCAATAGCTTGAATAGATCATGTAAATATGCAATCCTCGGCATGCTATAGATGTGGTTCAGTCACCGCCTGCCGCTTCGGCGCCAACAATTTTCGGGGCAAAAAGGTCCTCCGTCGCAAACACCTCACCAGCAACGCGCCCATCTCCTTTCTCATTCATGACTTCCGACCTGTTGGAGCATCGACCTCTATGCTCTCTCGTGGCCGTCCATGTCTAAGGAGGCGAGTGTCCACCTTTTTGGACACCGTCACGACTGGGCCCGATGAACCTCTTCTCTTCCTCTACCCCCGCTGGGCTGCACCTACCTTACGGCATCGACGACCAATCTCTTCTTTGAATTCAATAGAAGCTCCGAAAAGACCGTGTCGGAGTTCTAATACCCCCTTTCGTCCAGCGGCTCGCCCTTCTCCTTCGCTTCCCCGATACTCGCGTCATTGGATTTCCTCTGATGCCACTACCAGCTCCATCCATGATTCGAGTCATGAGCCGCCCGCAGTAGTGACGGAATATAGCTCTTCGTCCAGCAAGGGCAATGAGATTGATCCCAATAGCTCTAATGACAGCGTCGGGGAGACCTCCGACCCGAAACAGTCCGGTTCCTCGGGTCGGACCAAGACTGGCGCTTCGAAACACCTATCCCCTCAAAGATTGGCAAGGATGAAGATGATACAGAAGAGTCGCCAACACAATCGATCTCCGGACGATCCACCGCCGAGCCTCACAAAGAACAAAGTGCTTGCACGAAACTTGTCCGCTCAAGACAGCCAGAAGCTACGCTATCGTGAATTTCAGAGGGAAAAGTACCGGAAGAGTGGAAAGCATTACGTGGATAAAGCCTGGTTGGACACAAAAGATGTGTTGGAGAAAGTGCAGCAAGATACTCGAAAGAAAGTCAAGCGTCGGACAAAGCACAAGGAAATACTTGTTGCAGAGGACACCTTAGGTATATTTTGCGGCGCGACTCAATGGACACTGCAGGAGAATGTTTGGTATCTTTCAGTCCACAATGGATGCCGAGTACATTGCCTCTCCGTGGAAGAAAACAAGGGTCTCTACCGCCGAGTGATTCTGTCTGGAACAGAGCATGTTTTGGAGCTTGTACAGGCGCGCATTGCCCGTGCGCAGACCCTCCAAACGAGTGGTGACCCTCTCGTTGATATCCAAAAACCACTGGCCCCCATGTGTATCTCGCAGAGTGCCATGGAGCGTTCAAAGGTTCCTATGCCGTTAATCCGGGGAATCTGGTGTTTTGAAAAGCGACCAGTGAATCATCGGCGCCTTGACGAGATTTTGATGTCTCATTCGGGCCTGACTTCGGTGAAAGAGTTTGTCGAGCAGGTTGAGGAGCTTACACTTTCAGGTGTGCCAAAATCAACTGCAAAGGACAGTGCTGTATACGCCACAGCAGAGACCTCCATCCCGCCCAAACAGGTTGCTCAACGCCTTGTTGCTATATTCAAATCGGAACTGAACTACAAGCACATATCCACCGCGGCTTTGAATCACGCGTTGGTTTATCTATGTGACCATGAGCTTCCTGGAGTTGCTCGAGACCTGTGTTCACATGCAGAGCATGTGGCCACAATTGACACATTTAATATTTTGTTGAAATACGCTGCGCGGTCTCAAGATGTGGCCATGTTTCGTGGATTTGCACGGACAATGCCTCGAGCCCATGTTTGCCCGAATCCAGACACTTGGCTTGCCTTGCTCAGTGCTCTTGTGACTCCCACTGAAAAGGCCGACCTCATTCAGCATATGGTTCATCGTGGTTACATGTCCAGCACTGCGACTATTCGGAGTGCATTACAACATACGATCCAGGATTCACTCGTGACTCACCTGGACAGCGGGAAAGGCATTGAGTCCTTCATTGATCTTATGGTTCATACACACGGGGCCAATTGGTTCAGTAACGCCACGCTCGGCCAGCTTGTTGAGACAGTGATTCGGTTGGAAGACTGGGATTCTCTGAGCCGGCTTATACAACTTTGCATTGAAAACAACGTGCCTATGCCCGAAAACATACTCGTCAAAATCCTGCATGCGCGCCGTCGTGACACCTTTGGCGCTGTACAATATTACTTCCGATTTCTTGAGTTGCCAGGGTTCCGACTTTCGTCGCAAGCTTTCGAGGCTTTGTTCTTGTCTGCTTACAAGAACCGCCACTTCAACCTTTGTCGCGTTCTCTGGCGGTATGCATGCCTGTGGAGGCGCGTGACATACAAGATGCACCAATGTGTTTTGACATCCCTGTGTCGCACTGTGCCTTTCCACAAAGGACCTGAGACCGTCGAGCTCTGGAGCACGGACGCCGGCAAGGTCATTGTCGGTCTCGATCTACACCATGAAAGTTATCCAGTGAAGGAATCTCTCCTCCGCGACATCCCTCCCGAATTCCACCAGAACCCTCTTGCCTACCTTACTAAATGGAAACCCGTGGGCAAAGAACGAGGCCTACATCTCCGCCTTGCCAAGGACCTCGTTCGCCGAGATATAGAACTTGGTGCCCATTACTATTACCCCAAGAATCCTCTGCCACTCATGTTGGATGCAGCAATCATCCTAGATAAGGAGTGGCGTGATATCCCGCGGCCACTGGCATGGTCGATGCAAAATGCCATTGGAATCCCCCTCGGTCTCAGATCAGAAAGAGACGAAAAGTAACGCCTCTGCCCCCCCCCCCCCCCCCCCCCATCTCCCTTGCATGTGTGCATCATCCAATATTCATTCCTCTTTGTTCGGCGCTAGCGTGTTGCCTGCATATACCATCTGGTGTACTTGTTTCGACTTTGGTCTGTCCACCTTCATGTCCCAAATCTTGTATTCTACACATCTTCTGTACATTATTTAGAAAACATAGAACCACGGGTCTGTGATATAGACAGCTGTCTCTTCTCCAATTTTTATCCAATCCACATCATGATCTAATACATTATGTCCCTGTCCATATACTATAAATCCCATCAAAATCTAAGCAGCGCATCGAGATCATCCATAAACACACGCGCGTCTGTATCGTGTCCACTCACTCTCACATCTCCCATCGAAGGAAGATCCCCATGCATAATTTCAGTCCTGCAAGCTGCCAATACAGACCCGGACTCTGGCCTCCCGGACGAAGCTGGAGATTGAGACACAGAGTCAGAAGCCGGTATACTAATTCCCTTGATGCACACTCCATCTGAAAAAGTATCGTCGAGGATACCACGAGAGTGTTCCCCAGACCCAAGCTCAAATGAAACATGTTCTTTCCTCTCAATGCCACGTTCATTTCCTTTATCCTCTTTCACTCTTGCGCCCGTTACATTAGAATCATGCACCTCGTCCCCCTCTCCCTCCTCCTCCTCCTCCTCCTCCTCCTCCTCTGCACAATCCTCCTCACTTTCTGGCGAAGGGGGAGCCAATAATCGGCGCATCTCCGAGAACATCGAGAACGCCGCACTCCAGCGTGGAATTTCATGGTCGATTCCTTTAGGGAAGGGCAATATATTCCCACTGTATTCGTCGTCGGAGACATTGTTATTGTTATCATTATCGTGATCGTTATTTGAGGCGAGTTTGTTGGGGTGGGAATTGGAGATTCGGTGGCGAGTAGGTCTAACGTGCCGAGGTCCAATGTTAGTCCCCACGTTCAAGCAGATAGAGAACATGAAATGAATGGAGTGATACCTCTCAATTGGATCTCGCGATATACAAACCTGACCCTCCTTCCGACAGTGCGTACACTGGTACGAAGGTGGACTAATATCACATCGTTTCTTGCGCGCGTGGCAGGCAGCACAGGCTGATTTCCCTGGTCGACGGCCTTGTCGTTTGCTTGCTTTTATTATGCCTGGGTCTTGTAGTCGGTGGAGGGCTGTGAAATCCATTGTGATCGGGGAGTTGAGAAAGGAGGAAACTGTGGTTGGAATGTACATGTGATAAAAGGGAACAAGCGAAATCCGAAACCCGGGGCAAAGGAAGATCAGACTAAGCAGTTTAATCGTCAGCGTTCCAACTACAGTTAACGATACCCTGCAGAACATGTCAGCTGAGACATGCGGAGAGTAACATTGGACCCATCCGGATGTCCGGCGAAATTACTTGAAATAGGGGGCGAGTTTGGTATTGAAATTGAATATCTTGGCTTGGTGGGGATTTAATGGGTTGATGGGGGTGGTCGTATACTTCGTACAAAGTAAAAAATTTGAAATCCAAGTCAAACGTGAAACTGATAATGAACATCAAGATTGAAATCAAATGGGTATCGCTCATGCCACATCGTATGCAGGAAAATATCTTCCCACGACTCCGCTGTAATGAGCGAGTCATGTAAAGAAAGTTGAAAGATGACGTGAAGCATAGGAATGGAAGTTCCATATGCCACACGCCAATGTGCTATATAAATAATAATCTTTGGGGGTACTAGCTTATGCGCTAAATGCCCGCTGACATTCACGGTTCTGGCACATCTGGTTCTCGCAGGTCTCTCTCAGACCATTTATCAAGGATTTTAGAGACATCCTTGAACGTGACCGGTTTGGTCAGGAATAGGTCCATGCCTGAACTCAGAGCTTCAAATTCATCGTTTGAGCCGCTGAGTCCTGTCAATGCAATGATGACTGACGGATTGGAGTTGTCGCGGTGTTTTTCGAGAGCTCTGATGGATCGTGTGGCGTCGAAGCCGTCCATAACGGGCATTGAGATATCTGTTTTGCTGGTTAGTATATAAGTTTGACAATATTGAAGGAAATTTGTGTATAACGTACCCATGAAGATAATATCATAGCCCGGTTGCATTCGTTCCACTGCATCCACCGCTAGCTGTCCATTCTCGGCCGAGTCGACGGTGTTTATATTTTGCTTTTTGAGGAAAGTGAGCATTAGATTTAAATTTATTTTGTTGTCTTCAACCACCAGGATACGAGGTTTTCGAGGTTCTGCTGCAGGTTCGATATCCTCCGGGTTTTCGGTGTTTTCGGGTATAGAGGAAGGTTGGGGTATTGGAGGGATATGCTCTGTGGTTGAAGTTCGTGTATCATCGACTTGAGAAATTGGTTGCGCTGCAGAACCTTCTTCTGGGGGTGTTGGTGGGAAGTTTCCATCTTTCTTGGGTACGGCTACCAACTCGGCAGCTGGTAATGCACAAGCCTGATCGAAACATTTGTGAATGAATCGTGAAAGCTTGTGTGGACCATACGGACGATTGACAATAGTCATGGCGTTTGTTGACGACCATTCAGGTTGGCCAGTATTGTTGCTGACGAACTTGCGACTCAGTACAAGAATGGCTTGCTTTGACTCTATATCCCAGGTTATGTCTTCTTTCAGTGGGAGTTCACTGGCCAAAATGACATCAATGGGCGCTTTGGATGAAGACGAGACCAATTTGAGACCGTACCAGTCAGTCAAGTAACGAGAGAATGCTCCCCACTGAGGATGAGTAGAAGCATTCTCAGGCTCCACACCCATGATGGCAATGGTTCGACCAGCGTGCGCGTTTCTCAAGAGGCGCACTTCGGTTGATGGAGATTCGGTATCCACTTCTGGCAGAGGTGTTGGTAGGGGACTGGAGATGCCATCCCGATTGGGTTCTCGGCGTGCCAGTGGGAGTGTCACCTTGACGGTTGTTCCTTCATTTTGGCGACTGTCGATGGTAATATTTCCGCCCAGAGATTTGAGAAGACTGCGAACAATCGAGAGACCCAGCCCGGTTCCAACAGCCAGACTGTTTTCCTGGGCAAATGGAATGAAGAGCCTGCCACGTAGGAACTCCGCTGACATTCCTCTGCCAGTGTCAGTGACTGTCAGGGTAATCATATCTTCTTTGGCGCCTTGTTCTTGAGACCAATTCTCGGAGGCTTCCTTCGCCTCTAAATGAAGCGAAACTCGGCCTGAATCGGTATATTTGACTGCATTGCTAAAGACATTCATAATGATGCGACGGAGAGCACCCGGGGGTGTGTAATAGACCCAATCATTGTGAGCAATGTGCATATCTACATCCACGTGCAGCTGAGGGATATCGAGGTTCTTTGGGGTGTTCGGGTTGAATAGAGGCGTGCCAGCTGATGCAGAAGAGGATGCTGGTCGTTGACCATATGAATGACCTAAACAAACACCCTCAACTACTTCCTCGGCGAGAAGGGAGAGATCGGTAGGCATGTAGGCATCTAATTGTGAAGCAGAGCGTTGCATACTCTTCAGGTCCACAGTAGACGCCCTGTTTCTTTTCAGGTGGTGAAGATCCTTTTCCAAAGATACGAGCTTGGTATAATCCAAAACCTGGTTCATCGTATCAAGCAGAGTTCGACCACATGCGTTGATAGTTCCCAGAAGAGAGCCTTGGAAGTCATCGAGCTTCGTGCCTTGTAGCAATTCCGCGGCTGCGAGAATTCCATGGAGAGGACTTCGTAATTCATGCGACACACTTCCAAGGAAGTCTGCCTTCTGTCGGTCCGACATTTGAGACTGGATCCGGTTGCATTCAGCCATGATTGAAGATCCAAATCCAAGTAACGAGCTCAATTCCACCTGTGGATCGAAAACGACATTCTCAACATTGTTCCAGCAGAAGCAGCCACCAAACCATTGAGAGTTGATAGCGTCCCACAAAGGAACGAACATCACTTGAGTGGCTCCTGGGAAATACTGATTGAGCATCTTATTCTCAATCGTTTTCCACTTCTTCGCACGTTTCGCCTTTGTAGTCCGAGTTCGTTCGCGGGCACGGCTTTCGCGAGAGGTATCGGCGGATTCGTCACTATCAGAGCTAGAGAAGAGGCCATCCCGGTGGAATGACCAAAGCTTCCCCTGTCCATAACGACAGAGCAAACCGTGAAGAAAACCATCGTCTATCCCAGACACTGGGAATTGAGCAATAGAACCTGTTTCTGGTCCTAGAGGGGAGTCGCCAGCAGAGATCCCCAGAACAGTGGCGGATTTGTTGTTTTCCAGTGAGCCTGAAACTTCACTTCTGGTGTCGAAATCAATCATCATGTCATTTCCACCTTCGACAAAGACCACACCACCTTCGCCTTCCAGTTCCAGACTTTCTCGAATCAGATTTGCTGCTCGCTGGAAAGTCCAGGCGTTTCCTTGGAATTCGTCATCTTCGTTTGGCACATTCATATTACCGGATCTCAAATCAGAGAAACGCGAAGCTACACTAGAGCCTCTAGATTGATCTGCATTGATGTCTGACAAAGGACTGATGGAACGAGCATCGCTGCCCTGAGAAAGAGATCTTCCGGGAGAAACTTGGTTATTAGAAGCGGGCAAATGGCTTCTTGATCTTGATTTCGAAATTGCACGGGAGGTTCGTTGCGGGCTGGAGTTATGCGAAATTGGATCTTCGGACGAATCTGCGAATTTCGACCTGCCTTCGACGAAGCAGCTCAGACCTCGAGATAGTCGGCTTGCACGCCGACCTTCTGAGGCTTGTCGGCTCACCCTAAGGAAGTCCATGGTGAGCATTGCCATGGTGCTCATGGTTTCTTTTTCGGACTGGCTGAACTCGAAATGAGGTTTCGTATCGAGGACAAAGAAACAGCCAACATTGATATTGCTTTCTGTGGTGAGAGGCGTGCCTGCGTAGAATCGGAAGTTTGGCTTCCTTTGAACGAAGGGAAGATTTTGATAGCGTTCATCTTCCCTCATATCGTTGGAAACCACAAAGTTATCGCCTTCTTCTCGTTTAGATTGAGGAAGGGCAATGGTATCCTATTGGTATCAAACAGTACTATAGTCAGTTTGATTGAACGGAGTCCATAGGAGAAACGATACCTACCTGACATGGTGTCCACGAACTGACATCGAGCGTGGTACTGCCGGTATAGACCCCATCGCCGAGGAGATCATATTTGTTGTTGTCTTTAGTATCTTGAGCAGCTTGTGCGATAATGAACTGGGAATTGCGATCTGACACACTATTTGTAGCGACAAATTGGTGAGCATGCTGGAGCTACTAGGGACCCTATTTTTTTTTTTTTTGGCTTACCTTATAAACACGCGATCCACGTTAAGCCGCAACGCAGCTAATTGCGCAAATAAATGTAGTGTCTCGTTTGAGTTACCCAGGACCAAAGAGTTGGGCATTGGGGCTAAAGGTGGCGCCCATGATGCCTGTGAACCAGATCTTGAGCTGGATAGAGATTGGGAGATAGATGCCGGGCGACTTGAGGTAGCAGAACCCTGCCGAGCTGGCGGGTCCAGCAGAAGCGGCTCATCACTGGCAAACGACTGATTCTCATCTATTGGAGCCAATCGCTCTGGTCGAAAATAACGATATACCTCGCGGGCCCGACGACCAGCGTTGTGATCGTCGTCTTTGGGCAAGGGCTCCATGGTGTTGGTCTAGTGTCTTGCGAGGAAAGAAAATGAGGGCATTCAAATGTCGTGGAAGTCCATGTATTAGACCTTATCAGAAGAGATAAAGTGGGGGAGTAATTAGGGCAAGTATGTGATAGTGTAGGAAAGCATTAGTATAAAAGAAAGGTTCAGAAAATTCGAGGGCAGAAATTCCACTTCACGGAGTATGGAACGGCCGATGCCCTAGCCTAAATAACATCATAAACCTTGGGCTTGGCAGATTGAACAGCCACAGCATGACAAAGTATCAAATGTGGCAGTGGCGACAAAGTATTCCGCAAATAAGCTGAATCGTGTAGCGGCCTGGGGTTATGATGAAACCAGGGCACGTAAGATCGGGCCGTGCATAGGTACCTACCATGCCTTGGGAATGTCACAGAACAGCTTGGTGGAGATTGAAGCTGTATACTTCACGTCGTTGGTCCGTGTTGCCCGAATATTCAGGCCATTCGGGCTGTCGGACCGTCATCCCGCCAATCAGAGGCCAACTCTGTCGATCTTTAAAGAACAACCAGTAAGGATTCCCTCAGGAAACATGACCCTGACCCAACCATTGCGGCTTTATTCCCCCGTCCGTTGGTTAGCCGTGTATGGTCCGGTCGATCGATAAATCTCTAGAAAATGTCAGATCTGAGCGCGTGGAGTTCCGCTAGTAAACGTGTCCGTAAATCTTCACTATGAAGATTCTGGTAGAGCAGCCCATGCATCGATGAATATGATAGCACCCCTGGCGTTTTCTGTCTACTGTGCCTTTGCCGTCATACTACATAACGACCCAAAGTGTCGGGAATCATGGCGTTCGTTGAGTGGGAAGTGGAAAAGTCCACTGCGGTAGACAATACTGCTCGAAGATTCTAGAACGATCGGGTAGACCCTAGTCATTATCTGCACTGGGCGTACATAGTACAGTGCCGACTGAGCCAAGAACAATTGAGCATATTTTTTATACAGAAATAGGCTATGTTTCTTGCATTGCCCGGCTCCAACCGAAGTATGACTGAGGCTTATCTCGCACCACTACCGTATAAACCAGCCACAGAGAGAGGCAAAACTTGCACATGGCCCTTCCACAGATGAGATTAGTACAACATCACTACGTGGCGTACTCTGTTTAAACTACGGTTCAATATGCGAGAGTTCCGTTGATCAGAATCACCAGGACGCCAGATCCAATGAGGTAGGTATATCTATTTTGGTCATTTCCCATAATTATCATGACATGTCATGTCAAAAGACGCTTGAAAGAGCAGGAATGCAGCTGTACACAGCCCACGATATCAAACCAGCGAGCCCATGTTGGAATAAGGATGCCCCATGCACGCGTCCGGTATACCGGGGACCGGTGGCGGGGGCCCGTAGGGATCAACAAAGGCCGTTCGAATCGCACCTACGCCTTCCTTCAGATAAAGTACGAGGCGATATGCCGAGTTGCCGTTTAGGTAGTATCGGTGCAGCTGCTTGCTGCGCAGGAAGCCCAGTCGCTCGTATAGCTTCATGGCGGCGGTGTTGGTGATTTCAGTTTCGAGGACAATCTATTCGCGAGAGCTTGGTTAGCTCCCGATCATCAACGCCCAGCTAGTGCCCACCTCCGGTGTTGTACGTACCTCGTCTGCATCCCGCTCAATCATCGCATCGATGGCCATGCGTACCAGCTTGGTGGCAATTCCCCGACCCCGGTACTCCTCGCGCACGGCCAGCATGGCGATATACCCTCTCATCGGACCGTCACGATGTGGTTCCAGCTTTGATACCACGACCCCGACCATCTCGTTCTTATCGTCCATCGCGAGGAAGCACAGGTCGCCCCATTGGTAGAGGAAGTAGCGGTAGACGTAAATGCTGTACGGTTCGGAGAGATCCTTGGAGATCAACTGACGCATAGCGGGGACCAGTTCATTTTCGCGAGAGTTATCGTACCGCACGTAGCGGAGCTCGGAGGGCGCATTCATCACGGAGGTGGTGAGAAATGGAGGTGGTCGGAGGTTGGGACACAAAGTTACGCAACTGCCATGTGATGCCGATCCGTCCGTTAACGTGCACTTTCATGTGCTTGACTTTTTCGTTCCTTCTCTTCTGTTGATTTTTAAATTTCTCTCTTCAGGTCCCAGACAATTGCTCTGGGCCTTTATTCCCTCTTCACTCTCCTCCCTCGCGGTTGGTCGCTATGCTCCGCCGCCGCACGGGCAAGGACAAGGTCCCGCCCAACTCCATCAGCTCCGGCTCCAAGTCTGAGGAGGCTCGGCTTCGCGAGGAATTTGGTGATGCAAAGGTTAAGCAGCTTGTTCTCAAGCCCCGGAGCAAACGTCGCAATGGGTTCATCTTCGTACTGGGCGGACTGTTCGGCATCTTTATCGCCCTGTTCTTTGCGAACCAGTCGGAGGTTATTAGTCTGGACTCGCTCATGGACCTGAACCTTGAATCTTTAATGGACGCCATTCCTCAAGGCATTGTAAGCGACGTGAAGCAATTCTCGGTACGTGACCCCGAGAGAGTAGCTAGCTCTCTTATCTCTACACCCTACCTTCATGTGACTGATGACCTCGGGGCTATAGCAGCATGAACGCGATACTGTCAGCTATGACTCCTTCTCTGTGGGTCTACACCTTCAATCCCAAGGCGTTCAAGCCAAGCATCCCGTTGTCATGATACCCGGCGTGATCTCGACTGGTTTAGAGAGCTGGGGCACGGGCGAGAACTCGCGCCAATACTTCCGTCGACGATTATGGGGCAGCTGGAGCATGATGAGAGCGCTGGTCATGGATAAAGCAGAGTGGAAGAACCACGTCATGCTTGACCGGGACACTGGCCTTGACCCGCCTGGCATCAAGCTGCGTGCGGCGCAGGGATTCGATGCGACGGATTTCTTTATCACTGGATACTGGATTTGGAACAAGATTTTGGAGAACCTGGCCACTATTGGTTATGATCCTACAAATGCCTTTACGGCTGCCTACGACTGGCGGCTGTCATATCTGAACCTTGAAGTTCGCGATAAGTATTTTACTCGGCTCAAGTCTTATATTGAGACAGCGGTGCAAGTGCAAGATGAGAAAATCACACTGGCGTCGCACAGCATGGGGTCGCAGGTGGTGCTGTACTTCTTCAAGTGGGTGGAGAGCGAGGAACACGGCAAGGGCGGCAAAGACTGGGTCAACAAGCACATTGACTCGTGGGTCAATATTAGCGGCTGCATGCTGGGCGCCGTCAAGGGTTTGACAGCCGTGCTATCCGGCGAGATGCGGGATACCGCACAGCTCAACGCCTTCGCGGTGTACGGATTAGAGAAGTTCCTATCCAAGGAGGAGCGCGCAGAGATCTTCCGCGCCATGCCGGGAATCTCCAGCATGCTCCCCAAGGGCGGCGAAGCCGTCTGGGGAAATGCTACCTGGGCGCCGGACGACCAGCCTGGCCAGCCTTTGTCTTTTGGCAACCTGCTCAACTTCCACGAGACCAACTCGTCCTGGACGAGACGGAATCTCACCACCACAGAGAGCCTGCAGTACCTCTTGGACCAAAGTGAGGATTGGTATCGCAATCAGGTACTGGGCAGCTACTCGCACGGTGTAGCCCACACAAAGCGCGAAGTGGAAGCCAACGAGAAAGATCCTCGCACATGGCTAAATCCTCTCGAGTCACGTCTACCATATGCCCCCGATATGAAGATCTATTGTTTCTACGGCGTGGGGAAACCCACAGAGCGCAGCTACTTCTACCAAGAAGAGACTGACCCTCTTGTTAACCTCAACGTCAGCATGGACACCACCATCACCAACAGCGAGGGTGTCGATCGCGGTGTGCTTATGGGCGAGGGTGATGGAACCGTCAACCTGCTAAGCACGGGTTATATGTGCGCCAAGGGCTGGCGCATGAAGCGGTACAACCCAGCTGGTACCAAGATCAAGGTCTTTGAGATGCCACACGAGCCAGATCGTTTCTCGCCTCGTGGTGGACCTAACACCGGTATGTTCTTCTCATCATGTTCCAGTCTCGGACACAGAATAAACAATTAACTTGACAAAGGTGACCACGTCGATATCCTCGGCCGCGCATCTCTAAACGACCTCCTCCTCCGCGTTGCCGGTGGCAAAGGCGACCAAATCGAAGAGACCTTCGTCTCGAATATCCGCGAATATGCAGATCGTGTACAGATCTTTGACGACTAATATCTCTCCCCTTTTAAACGATTATGGAAATTTCATGTCCGGCCAATGTTGATTTATTGTTTTCCTTTCTTCCCCCTTCTGGCTCACTTTGATACACACAACTGTTTTGAGACACCCCCGAGAATATTCTGCAATAGACGGGTGTCTTGTTTATGGCACTTTTGTATACTCCCTTCCCCCACGATTGGCTTACAACGAGAAAAGCCGGTGTATGAGCAGTATCTCTTCTCAATACTAGAGGTAGAGATGTCGGATATCCAAGCTAGCAAGAGTAGCAGCCATCCAGATCAAAAAGAGCCTCTAGGCTCTAGTTCATACCTTTACCACTTCTACAAAGATAGTGTTCATTGCTTGTGATATGCTTTCTTCTGTAACAGGCCAGCTTGATGGTGACCTGCTCATTCAGTTATATTGAATGTTAACTTGTATAGTATAAACAACCCTACAGAAACTAAAGCCCTTCTGATAATAGTATTGTACAACGTGAACTGCACTGTATAAAAACATACCCATCCGAACCCATGCATAAGGAGATAAAAAAGGGGAAGGTGGGGGGGGGGCCAAGGCACGGGGCATCGGATTCCAAGGACTTCCCATCTTCCGGGGTCCGGTATGCATTCTCACTACATATAATAGTGCCGACTTGGCCCTGTAAGGGTTGGGGCAGATGTAAGGATCAGTATCACATCACAGGGCGGCGTACAGAGAATACTCTGTGTTGTCAGCTAGTGTCATTGTAGCATGCTTTCTTCTCCCGCGCTGATCGACGATGCTCAACACGCGGACAGGCGGGGTTTGTGAATCATTTGTTTATCACGTTCAGTTCTTGGACTTTCTGTCTGGTTTGCTGTAGGATCATGCAGGATGAACCGTGGTATGATGTTATGTATGATGTTATCCGGAATGCAGGGCGTTCGGGTTCCACACTTGTTGGGATGTAAACCTGATTGATACATGGATAGGGGATGGGATCGTGTTCGTATAGTTCACCATTCAATAACTCTGTTGCTGTCCGCCAATCAAACGTGTTTGCCCGAGGAAACTGAGTTAGCTATTACCGAGTGAAGAAACATGTGACTGGAGATGTATTAAACATGTATCGATTATTACAAGAAAAGATGTGGAAGATGTGAATAATGTACAATAATTCATTAGCTCGTACGCTAGGGATTAAAGATAATGCTAAGAATATCCAACATCTCATCGTCCAAGGTGACGATAAGAAGCATGCACACGACCACTCTCAGCTTTCCATTCGAACAAAGTCCAGTCGAAGTGAAGCGGAAGGGTGTCGCAGAAGTGCACGCATTAGGAAGTCGGATCAGCTTCATCCGTGATAGCCGAAGCGAAGAGAATCGGCAAGCCTCGAGGGTCAAGAAGGGAAAGGCCTCCGTCAAAAAACCGTTTCCGTTCCAGCCCAGCTGCCATGGCCACCATCGGCCCCCCATCTCCCCCTCATACCTCCTCTGATCTTTCCCGTCAAACTCTCACGAGTCCACAAGAAGATCCAGCACAATAACAACGCCGATTAACCACCTGCCAGTGGCGAAGACAAAAAAACGAAGGGCAGACCGAGGGCACGATCACGATCGCTTTGCAAACCCCTCCTCTCTTCTTTGTGCCGATGCAAATGTCGTAAAACAGCCAATGTCCAATCCATCTAAACGCACAGCGAGTGCAGTGCAAGCAAAAGGCGCCGAAACCTTTATCTCTCCAAAAACAGGTCCAAAGTTCCCAGGCGCCAAATATGAGCGATCGACACGAATGATAATAATAGTTTTTGTGCAATCTGGACGAGCCTGAAGCGAAGAAGAGAAAGGCGGCTCGTCCAGTTCATAAAGTCATAACGAAAGACATGGGTCAGAAGCGAAATGGGATCGCCTACAGGCATCCCGGTGTGTACAAGCGAAGGTTGTCGACGGTGGTGGTGCGGGAATTGGGGATCGCAGGCAGGTGAACAAGGCCCGATCCCTTCCACTACCGGTATTAATATTATAGACGGAGTTGCCATCCCGAACGTGGGATGGCGAGGCATGTACAGCCAGAAGGTAAGAATTACCTTCGGCTCATAGCGGAAGACCGCGCGAACCGGAGGTTTCGAACAGATTAAAAACCTTACGGTGTCGAAATGGCTCGATGCAGAAAATGTTCCCAAAAATTGTCGTCAAACAAAACGCCGATTCAATAAAAGTGATAGATGCATTCGATGGACAGTGGTATGTGCAAGCAAGCTGAATAGCTTATCGTGCTGCCTCGATGTCGTGATTCGAGGTCAGGGTCTCGCTTTCCCATGTGTAGTGGTCGTCGACGGGGCTCAAAGAGCCGGAAGAGACTGAGGAAGAAGATCCAACAGTCCACTCATCGCTGTCCAAGTTAAAGTCGCCGTCCAGGCTGGCGAGGTCGTAACCGAATTCACGGGAGTTGTCGCCGATCTCGACATAGTCGTAGTCCCAGCGGAACATCTTGTCGGATTGGACCCGGGGCATGAACCGGGTCTTGGTGAAGTAGAAGGCGACCGTGGCCAGCAGACCTCCGCAGACGAGATCGACTGCATAGTGGTGAGATAGGTACATGGTAGCCCACCACATCCACAAGGTGTAAGTAACCCAGAGGGGCTTCAAGCGGGGGAAAACGTGGCTCATGAACAGAGCAGCCAAAGTCGAGTCCGCGGCGTGAAGCGAAGGGAATGCACCAAACACAACAGGAGACTGCTTGAAGCCTGAAGTGTACAGATCAATGCCGAGAAGCTTGTCAATGCGAGCAAGTCCAGCGGGGTTGCCCTGCATGGAGTAGTCGGCGGGCGCAAGGCCGTAGAGGTTCTCATACCACGGTGGTGAACAGGGGAAAACCAGCTGGATGGTCACAGCTAGCATGCTGATGTAGCCAAGAGTCCGGGCGTACAGAGGGGTAGTTCCGGGAGGACCGAAGAAGAAGAGGAGCAAGGAGACGACAAAGGGAGCTCCATAATGGCAGAGTCCATAGGGAATCCATGCCAGAACATCCAGCACCACGTTCTGGTGAGCAGATAAAATGTTGCTGATGTTGGCGCCATACAGAATGTTCTCCATGGCGGGAAGAACCCGAACCCAGATGGCAGGACGCCAATCGCTTGGGACGAACCTAAAAAGCGCTGTTAGCGACAATTCCGTTCATCCACCTGCTACATCATGTTCACGTTCCCGCCACATTTGAACACGCCACCAACACCATGACGCAGCGCATACGCTGAAACACACATCAGGGTAAAACTTACTGGCAACCATAGAAGAAAATCAACCACCCAGCGATGGGAAGAAAGGGCAAGAAGAATTGCCGGGTGATGGGCATGAGCAAAGAGCACAGCAGGCAGGTAGCGATGGCCGTCTTTCCGAGCGGGCCAGGAGATTGTATTATTGTCAAAGAGAAGATGCCCACAATTAAAAGCAGCAGGTACTGGAAATCATACATCGTCCACCGATGCGCCTGTAATGATCTCAGGGTGTCGACAGGGGAGAAGGAGGTCTGCAGTGTTGATATGGACGAAGTAGGCGAGAGACGACTCCGTAGCTTGGAACGGAGCTTGCGGCGCATGCGATGCGGCACCAAGAGCTGGAATGACCGCCATGGTACTTGGATCTGAAGCTTTCCGAACTGATTCTGGGTGCGATCTTTCCATGAAGGAAAGGAGGCGCTCATCGTGGCAACGCTCCTCCAAAAGGATCCGGATCACTCGAATTGGTAGATAGGGATGTTGGACGTTCGAGGAATGCCGGACAGACGGAAAGGCAGTCGACAGGGAAAGGGGGGTTGATCAAGGTTGGCCGGACGAAAGCTCATTCAGGTGCCGATAAGAAGGCGTCGGGGCCGAGGGACGAGGAATTCAGGAGGTCACGTTGGCAAGGGCTCCGGGATGCAAGGTAACAGCAAGGGCGGAAACCCAGGATGAAGAGAACTCGAGAAGACCACAGCCCTGGGAATTAAGAATTAAAGAGGATGAGAGAAGAGAAGGGGAGAAGAAGAAGACCGGGATAGAGAGGGTGACTCGTATTGGTATTACCATCCAATTTTTGGGTAATGAATTTTCAGCTTATGTCAGCGGGAGTCAATGGCGTCACTAGCTGTTTTTGTACTGTAGTATACATACAGTGCTAGGTAATTTGCGGCAATGTTACCTATCTACATAAGCAATTACTAACTGCCCAGGTGTATACAGACTACCCAGGTAGGTAATGCTCTAGGGACAGTGGTGAAGACCGGAGCCCTCGGCAGTATTCAATACAGGACATCCGGCCAGGCTCAAAATTTGATGTTGGGCGGATGCGGCGGAACACACGGAGCCTGATCGGACAATGCATGAAAAATCACAAGTCTCAGCATATCTCGGAGTTTTGCCAAGTTCAAGACCGACCATCCGACATTGCCGATAAAGTAGTCAATATTAAGTAGGCGTAAAGTGACTTGTTAACTGACATGTAAGCTTACATCTACTAGGACATCCCAATACTCTAGACAACGCTAATCCTAACTATTGAACTATTGAACTATTGCCAATATGCATCAACTCAAACCACAGTAAAAGTAACTAAAGATGCAAATTTTCCATAGATCCGCCGATTGGCCCCTGCACAATTGTCCCACCGTTCAATCCCGAACACCAATCACGTGCTCCAGATCTCCAGGCCCAATTTCGCTTAATCCACTATTGGTAACTCGTTCGTATTTGAAAACCGGCGTGTCGGCCTTCACTTCGGCCGTCGTCCTAGTGATCTTTCTTTCTTACTTTTTACTACATGCACACGGATATCAGGAAGTGGAAGTCCGCATCAATTCTGACATCGTGATCCACACCCGGAGATTCGGCTCATATGATTCTGGCACCAGGTACCGAGCCCCATAACTTACATGCCTGTTATGTTGCTGTTATATTAAATCAACGTCTATGACGACGCTTGCTCTGTGCATTGTTGTTTGCCAGTGTATTGAATTACTGTAAAAATAACCTGTTTTACAAATACGAATACGCATACACGGCGCGTAGAGATGAGGATGTGCATCTTTGTCTCAGGGGATATAACCGGCCTCCCTAATTACTGACCACAAATTACAATTATATGGCTGAGCACAGCGTCTGCCTAATCTACCCGTGTCCCTGAATCTAAAATATTCAACCTGTGATTGAATGTCCTTGGTACAGCGCCGTTTCAGAATCCAGCAGCGCGCGACCGTGACCAATCACAATTTCCCAGCTTCCCGTTCTCAACGCCAACGGTTGAGATTGGAGGTGGAGGCACATGGGGTTTTTGGTCAGCTGTAAGCTGTACAGTATGGAGGCTGATGCTTACGGCCCCCATTTACTGACAGCCTGGCAGTAGGAGAGTGCCAGCACAGTCTCGTATTCGTGTCCAAGCCAGGAGTAGACTCCCTCTTAACTTGATGGCTGCCTGGGGAGTGGATTCGGGTTTGGCTTGCCTCATTCACCTTACTATACAGTACAATGAAATTAGATTGGAGGTGGTGATGTAAGGCTGGAGAATGCCTTGGAGCTGTTTGTTGCTGCGCCACATGCACGGTGCATCATATGAGGTCAATGATTTCAGATCGGGGGCTTCCAAGGCTGAGAGAACGGAGAGAACGCGGCTTATTGCCTGATCGGGATTCGGGTGCATATCCGTGAGCTTTGGGAATGTAGGGCGGTCTTCGATTGTACGCCTTGCATTGACAATGTTGTAATAGCATGACTGTGAACTGTGATTCTGCTCTATTACTTGTGTATTTTGGTGAAGTGTCAGCTTGACCGTTAGAACCCCCGTGCATGTTGTGAGTGTCCAACCAGGTGACTTACATCTACTGTGCTCTCACCGCCATGATAGCGACACTCTGAATGCTTCACTCTTGGCCACTGCATACTTTCATCTATATTTACCAGTGGCTGAGTAGGATACGTAGGATACCAACACTGCATAGATCCCTTGGCGGTGCACAGCCAGGCTTAGCATACAACAACGCATTCTAAAAATCTTTGTAGCCTACTGTAGTTATTTTCATCTTCGATCATCAGTTCCAATCTTCAACATTCACATACCAAATCTAGCAATAAAATACGATCGGCATTTACTGTTTATGCATCGTCGATCCAACATCACGTTACATGTGCATAGCCATCCCAATGCGGTCGATGTCGGTGGGGAATGATGATGACACCGAAGTCCGGTATCTCGGGGTTTGGCATGACTCGTTCATCGGAAGCTGTGGACTCCGACTCCGGATTACTTCCAGGGATGTTAACCTGTTACCCTTGGCGCTTGACTAGGTACTCTGGTACTGCAGAATGGGGCGCGATAAGGTTTGGTATCAAGGCTGAAAATAGATCCGGGGTAGACACTTTGATGACGACATTGTTGGCTTCTATGGGTTCTATGGGGCGTCTAGAGCTTTTCTAGATTCTGTCAGGGCTACCGGTTTTGGTAACTACATACATGAGATCAGGATATTGTTTGGCTTGCTAGGCACGCCTTTGTAGCTACCTACTCCTACGGAATGGACAATTTGTCTTTGCATGATTTTAGATTGTGAGTCATGTTATTCATTAGGTACTACTATTTGGTGACTTAAAGAGTCCAAATCCATAGTAAACCCTGCTCTGTGTTTCTCCCCGTCTCTCCCTTGGGTAATCCATGTGAACTATATTCACATAACACCGGGATTTCGATTTCAAAACATCCGATACCTTGATGGTCATTGTCCGGAATGCTTTTGCCATGGACCTATGTTCCACGGATAAAAAAACAAGAAAGCCAACGCCAGCCGATATATCGTGGTAGATATCGAAAATCTCAAAATGCCGCTCAACGCCAACACCATAAACCAGGAAACAGAACGCCGAAAGGAAATTGTAAAACAAGTGTGAAGAGAATTAGTCGTGCTTTTCACTGTGGTGATCAGCGAGCATCTGGAATCCTTTCACCAATCCCATTGCCGAGCCAGCTGCGATACCGCCTACCAGCACCATTTGCAATCCTCCGATCAAACCCTTTCGCACATTCCGACGACCACGCCAGCCACTAACGAAGCACGTCTTGCCATACCCAAAGATGAACAGGGCCACCACCATAGTAGCAATGGACCAGCGTAGGGCGATAAAGGCATCTTGGGGACCGACGAAGAAGTATGGGAGGAGAGGCACGAATCCACCAATGAAGTACCCGAGGGCAATTGTCAATGCGCAGATGACAGCTCGAGAACCAGAGGGCTCGGGCATGGTGTGGTGGAAGTTCATGAGGAAAGATGGGAGCATGGGGGAAGCAGAGAGGTGGTTCTTGAGTTGAGCGACCAGTTCAGGAGGGAGCTCATAGGGCTCAAAGATATCACTGATGGTATCAGATACAGAGGCGGCATCGGTCATGGTTTGTGTTGTTGTTTCCTTCAGTGTAGCCTTGTATGACTCCCTATCTGTGTATCAGTACTCAGGTTCCAATACAACGACTGGGAATTTGCAGCGATCCCATTGGAAAAATAAAAAAAGCAGGCAATACTCACTCTTCACTCTTGGCACCCAGGTATCCACCTAAGCCCATCGAGATAGCTCCTGCAATGAGCTCTGCCAGTCCACCGAATACCACCACTTTGGTATCACCCAGAGCAGACAAACCAGCCGTAAGGGCAAAGGGCACAGTCATTCCGTCGGACAAACCGATAATAGCATCCGAGACTGTGCGACCGTCGATGGACCAGCCCGGTTTGGCATTTTGGCTGTTGCTTCCAGCCTCGACATCCGATCGAAGGGGAAGGCTCATGTCCTTCTCCTCCGAAGAGGGACTGCGATCGGCAAGAGGGGAGTAGCTCGACATCAGGCCTTTCAACGAGCTGACAGACATAGTTGTAGAAAGTGGGAAGTTGAGAACGTGAGAATCCTTGCAGCACCCCTTGACAGGGAAGGAATGAGAAAGGGAGCAAGGAGGGAACTCTTATTAAGAGAAACCATCGCACAAAGTCACCGACTCATACTTGCGCATGTTGCATCTGCGGAGAAACTGATCAGCTCCTCTGCTGATCACAGCCTATCGAGTGACCCAGGAAGACAACGTGCTTGGCGTGGCTCTCTCCAGCCCTTTGTGGCCAGGCACGTGCAACGCTGATTGGAGGCAAACTGGTTGGGCGGGGCGAGGGGGGGTGGGCTCCCGCTGCTTAACTTGGAATTGCTGCCAATCACAATACTTCATTTCTAATCGAAGTCACTTGGAGACTCCACTGGAGTCACGTGCCAATCGGCAGTTGAACTACGGAGGTTTAGCGATATGAAATCATTCTCTTTCCGTCTTCTATGCATATCCTCTGACTGCTAGCACGTGCTCCTTCTAATATGTTCTTATCACCGGTCTTTTTTCCGACGTGGATCTTTCTGATTTCATGTCGGAGTGGAACTTGCATCCGATTTGTTTTGGGCTAATGTAATGAAAAAAGACACCGGCTTATTCCGCCAGAGACAGTTTTTCTCTGTGAACTTCTCTGCAATGAGTTTTGCTAAATACTTCTCTGATATCGCTATGTTTTTGACCTGCATTCTAAACTGCGGTTGATCTAGAAAGAAACTATTGACTGCTGGGCTACTACTTTGATTGAGGTAATCAGAGCAGCTTTCTATAGTGAAATACTGGTGGAAGCCAGTGGGCCCTAAGGAAAACAGAAGCATGTGCAGCAACACTGGGTTAGAAGTCCCCCTTGCGTAAGTCACCAGATGATCTTAAGATTAAGGATGCAATATAACACCAGCCTGGCAATCCACATGTTTGACATCATCATCACAAATTCCTGATCTCTATTTCATGATACCCTAGCCCACACTGAACGGTTCTATGCACAGCTATTTATACAACCAGAGGTCAAGGAAAGTGCCGAACGTCCTGGCTTCGACATGGCAATGTCAGTTGAGGCGCTCCCGGGTGAAAGACAGCTCTGGATGATGTTCTTGCATAGTGGGGTGTACGGGACGCAATGTCTAGTCTAGACACTTCACATCTGTGGTCGGGATCTACAGTGTGATTAGGTGACTGCATGTACATGGTGGAGCTATGGAAGGCTCTTCCCTGGACTGTCTGCGCGATAAGCTTTCAGGTCCCACCAACTTTGATCACGAATTTAGAGTTAAGGTCACACAAAAAGAGTGACGTTGACATCAAGAGCGATTTGTGGTAAGATGTAAAAGCAACTTCATAGATCAGGACCTGCCATAATTCATGACGCATTGACTGAGATCAAAAAAAGGGAAAATAAATATGAACGGAAAGTGTGAAAATCGAAAATCGAATGTCAAGCCCGAAAACACAAGACACTTTTCGCTAGCTGTCAAATGGTGGCAAAGTCGTCCTTGTATGAAACAGCGGCAGCCATCTCCGTACACTAGTAGACTGATCTTTGTCTAGGACAAGCATATGCAATGGAAACTCGTAGATCGAAAGGCGAAGAAGAGAAAATAATATGTGCAGTAAATCGCCGCGATAGATGATGGGTCTGGAAGATCTATTCCCAGCCAAGTTAGCTCACAAGACCATGAGAACAATGACCAGGTCACACGTACCACTTGCGCTTCTCGGCGCCGTTCTTCTGGTCTGTAGAAGAAGAACCAGTCATATCCCAAAGTCGACTCTTGTATGCGGGGAAGGAGGTGTGGTTCCACATGTTGACCAGGACACTGTACAGTAGATCAAGCGTTAGCCGTTGGGAAGCAAGGAGAGAAAATCAAATACAATAGAGATCTCACGCACCCTTGGGTCCGATCTTTGTAGGCTTCATCCTTGATCTCCTTTACTTGCACCTTCATGCCGTCTTTGGTGAAAGCGATGTTCTTGCGCTCCATCTTCTCGCGCGTGTTCTTGCCTACATCCTGCACGATGCTGTAGACGACAAAGCCGACCGCGGCGAGGACGCCGACGAAGACGAGGAGGAGGATGAGGGGGATGAGATTGCGGGCGCCCATGGTGGGGTGAGTTGTATAGCGAGTGTATCGAGCTGAGGTTTGTCGCGTTTCTTTTAAGGAAAAGAAGTCGAAGATCTGGAGGGTCCTGTGGGGAGGGTGGAAATTGAGGAAGGCAACGGCGGAAAAACACACTATATACTGCCAAGAATAGGTCGTGTGCGCAACTAGTTTCTCTGGGCACTGCTGCCTGGAGTGGATATGTTCCTTGTAAGGCGAGAATGTTCAAAATTTAACGGGGGAAAATAATAAATGCCTGAAACTCAGGGGGTTCATTCCATTCCCGGGATGTTTGATTCGGGGGGAACGTGGCTGAGCCCCGCTGAAGTGGCTGGGTATGCTGAGTCAGGAGGTTAATTTTAGCCTTGAGGCTGGTCAGGAATGTATTTGATATTGTAAGGAGTATATCTGATTGCTTTCATTTATGCAGATACACAAGATACACACACCAAAAGAACATCCCATCATACGTACCTTTAGGCATGGACTGCATTAAAGTGTGGATCTTATATCATTTGCGTCATTATGATAGAATCCCAAACTCAAGGCCAGGCGGTGAATCCTTCATCTGGGGAAGCTCTCTTGATCTCTCACGATACTAGATTACTCCTTGTAGCTCAATTCAATACCTTGATTATCAATCTGACACTATGTGTGACGTCCCCTTCTTCCCGATCTTCCCGATCTGTTTCCAGTGCGGCACCGATCAAAATCCGTGTCACTGCAAGGTCGTTGGTCCAACACTTGGTGAGTCCTTACCTTCTACATTTGTCGAAACATTAAGCATTGAAGTTTGTCTGACTGTGCTTTAGGATTCTGCTCAACTATTGTGGCGGCGGTTAGTATAAGTCACATCTCATAGTCCTTGGGAGAGAGCTTATAGACTCTGGTCTTATCTTCGTTGCGTCATTGCTTATCCATATCTTTCTCCAGGTATTCTGCTGGCCTCTTTCAATCTTCTGCGGCTGTGGCTGCACTAAGGTCGGAAAAGAGTATGTGTTGTTCTATCTTCCCAGTGACCTTCCAAGCTGATCAAAACTAGCATGTTGGGCTATCCTGTCAAACTGAACGGTCAGGTTAGCAATGCTATACCATTCTAATATTGAAAATAGTAGACTGGAAGCATACGTGAGACAGTACAATCTTGCCTTTCTGTTTATTCTATGATTTCAGGAGTTTGGGCTCCGGCGTGGATATATATGCATCTGTCTTAACCTACACTTCCCTACTTGTAACATAAAAATGGTTCAAGCTGTTACACTATAGTTTCTACGCATTCTTCTCTTTACCAGGTTGACCATGTCAGGACCCTCATTGTTGGATTGATAACAGGCAGTGCGGGTACACCACTTGAGATCTTTCAATACTTACCTGGGTGGAATCTACCTGAAGATATTTTACACCCAAATCTGATAGCTGATTCAAGGCTCTTGGTCCAGCTTGGGATTTATTAGTTTCTAGCTTCGGTTAGCTTTGTGGTGGCTCCAAATGCGCCTATCAAGTAGGGAGCCGAGGTGCTTCTATACTTCCCAAATGGGCAGTGGTAATGCGCTGAGTCGCGTTAACATCGTCTCTCGTCGTCAGTTGGTCACAATACTTTTAGAGCTCACGTTCCTCGACACAACCACAATTTCGATTCATCTTCTCTCCCATCTCTTCATCTCTTGTGCCAACATCTCTCTTCTGTTGTTGCTCAACCAAGCCTTCCATCCTGAATCTCATGATCAACCGTCAAGATGGACAGACTCTCTCAATACCAATCTAAAGGCCATGACGATGATACTGTCAAAGTTCTCCGCGCTCTGCTCCAGCACCTCCCAGAGGATGCCAAAAAGAACCTAGTGTGCACCATCGGCAATCCATCCATCACAGACGACCAGCTAAACAAACTGCCAACCTCCCTCGCAGCCGGTCTCCTGTACGCTCTCAAAAACTTACGCTCATGGGTCCTCTTAGAAGAGAAGGGAGACACAAAAAACAGCCGCCTCGGCCGCGACGACGACAAATGCCTGTTTACTGGAAGACAAGACTCCCACGACATCGACGAAAATGAATCCCAGCACTGCTCACTCGAACTAGCCCGCATCTGGACCGTTCCTTCTTCCGGCTGGGTAATGGGAGTAGACCGCGAGTCAACAATATGCACCTACTCCCTGGTCCACGGCAAGCTCTGGTACAGCCTTGACTACTGCTTTCCCTCTCTAGGATCCCACATCGACAACTGCACCATCACCGACCTGACGAATTCCCTCACTTTCGACACTAAGTTGAGCAACCTCTTCAACTCTTTCGGCCTCGGTCTTGAGGCTACTGAGGCCCGGAACACCTACTTCATCCGCCTCTACATACCTTCGTATGAGGTGTTGGCCTTGAAGCCATACTTGCGTGGGGGTATTATTACTTTCAATGACTTCGGCCCATGCACTCCTAGTGCTGCTCTTATCGCGATACATGCCGCTATTCGTCGCATCTTGTCAGTGACCGGGAAGGGGGACAAGTTTGAGATGCTTCGTTGCCGGATGGAGGTCTTTTTGGCTCAACTGGAGGAGCAGGACTGAGGCCGGGCATATGGTCAATACTTAGTTTTGAATTCGCGCTGTTTCGTTGGAGCCGAGTGTGCTGTAATGAAAATGTGGGATCAGATATTCAATGTAAATATTCTTTATTGGGGGATGTTTATGACTCGTACCCCATGATTGAATCTTTGAGACGTCCTTCGCTCTTGTCAACGAATTCAGCTTGTTTTCGTTTTCTGCGTATAAAAGCAGCAGTCAGCGAGATCCAAGACCTCGGGAGCTAGTCCATTATGTTTAGATCCTCGCTCGGCCAAGTATAGTTGTATAACAAAACTGCCCGTATCGCTTAGGAAAAAATATCCCATGAGAAGCGCAGATAATTATAATATTCCTGTGGCGCCCAGTCTCTTGAAAGCGAAAGTAAAAATTAGTATAATTTAGCTGGCTCTATATACTCATGCCGGATCTAATTAGTCTATAGTTTCCCCATCCTGTTCTTCTGCTGCATTAACAAACCAACCGCGGCTGCATATTCATCCGCAACACATATAAATGGTAGAAAGTCCACGCGCTCATATATAACAAAAAGCCTTACGAAGAATTAGGCTGAGCGGGGTCGGGCAAGTATCCAGCAGAGTACTCGTCGGCCTCATCATAGTCCTCAGTGTCCAATCTCTTCAAGAAACCCTGGTCAATTAAATCAAGCACCTTCATCGGAACCATAAGCTGCGCTCCAAATCCGGGCTGCTCAAACCAAGGTGCGATGGGGCCCACCAATGCCACAAATTCCTTGGTCACCTCGTACACATGGTAGTTGTAAGGGAAGCTGCTGTTCTCCGGTGCAAACAAGTTGGATGGGGGCAGTGATCGTTCAATATACGGCGCACCAAGAGGAGCCATGAAGTTTCCGTACTCAGATCCGAATCGATCGAGCTTCTGGCCCACGGGAAGGGTTATGTTGCCTTGAATAGGAAGATCCTCCGTGTTGACAGTAAAGCCACTCTCTCCTGGATAGATCCAGTATGCTTTGGGGTCGGATGCATTTACTGTCCATTTCTCCAAGAACTCGTAAGGGCAGAGATCGCCAAGTCGGGAATAGGTCTGTAGTTCATTGGCGAGAGGGAAGTACTTTGGGAAGTCTTTTGGGCCAAGTCGAGGGTCACCGCAGACAGCAGTGGAGTTTTGGTAGGTGACTCCCTTGCAAGGATCGGGATAGCATCTGTCGGGAAATTCACGCTCCTGCTAAGTATTAGGCTTGAGGCTCATCTGCGATGTTGGAAAGAGAACTAGAGCAGCGTACCCGATTTTGTTGGGGGTTATTCGGTTTAATGAATGAAGATGCATCGGCTAGAGTGGCAGCAAGAATAACACTGATGGTTGAAAGACGCATTTTGAAAAGGAAGATATATAATGATTGTATTTGGGTGATGAAGGACGACACTTGCAAGAGGGGATTGGTCTCCAATTTATTCTCGAGGCTCTTGGGTATATGTTCGGCCATTAAAAGCCATTGCTAGTAGCGAATCTTGGCCATACACCTAGACTGAGCCCTGCGCATACCTTTTGATCGGATTAATTGTTTTCAGAATGCTCTCCTGACTATCGAACCCACTCATTTCCCTTTTGAGGAGAGATTTTCGATGCTATGGGGGTGTATTATGCAGAACTAATTAACAAAAGGCAGATGTACCCACTACGAAGCCACTTGAGCTGAACTCGTGTCAGCCAGCACACGGAATGCATGCAGGTGCATACAGCTTCATTTTTGGGGCAACGAAGAGAATAACCTATGAGTTTCCTTGCAAAGAGAAGAATCTTGTAAATTTCCATTGATTTCCTACTGGAATAAAAGAGTATATTCACGTGTAACCGCTCAAATTCTTCTTGAACAAGCGGGGTCTTGAGAATGTTGTTCTTCGCTGTGGACACCCGGAGATGGTTTCCTCAGCCCTTATGCCCCTATTCCTGAACCAATCGCATCAATAATTTTCTCACTGATCTTGGCGATTTGGTCCCTGACCAGATTTGAATACGAGCCAGAATCCAAAATGACACGCAGCAACTCATAATTGGCGACACCCTTGCATTGCATATGCAGGTGCAGGTAGTGTGCATAGAGGACTCTAGGAAACTGTTCAGGCAATGAGACCTGACTCTCAGCCCTTACTCAACCTCCTCGCTCAGTTGTATGGGATCATTCTCCAGCCCAAACTCTAGCCCAAATAAGCACCTCGGAGAGAGCGAGTGATCATCAATGCAAGTAACCCTGGAGCAAAGAATGTTACACTTATAAACCGGAATATGCTGGATTCTGCGCTTCACTAGTATACATACGCCATCCTGGAATAGGATAGCTCATAAACTAAAGCCAAGTTCGTTACATTGACCGCTGCAATCGTAGACAATTGCTTGAATATCCCCCTCCGTGTTTGCTTACAGTACTATCCCAAATCGAGCCAAAGCTGGAAGCTGAACTACAAATTAATACACGGCCAATAAGCGCCAAGCACATCCAATATTCCTTCGACTTGACTTTCAGGTAGATCAAAATACGACATTTTCCCGCCATTCTTTGTCGGAATTACGCTCTATATCTGAAAACACATCGGCATCCCCGATACAAGTCATAGGAGAGCTTTTTTGTTATAATTCTAGAAACCGAATAAACGTGCTTAATGCGCTGTGTAAAAGTCAAGTTCAGAGCCGCCAAACCCCAAGTCTCACGTTTCTCCCAAAGAAGCCTGAGCCCTATGAAAGGCCCTTCCAGTTCAAAACAACAATAGACATCCTCGGTCGACCCCGAGCCTTACTCTCAGGAGCCCAATCCTCCAAAGTAGACACTTCCTCAAAGTTATTCTTAATCATCACTTTCGCACTACCTGCATTCCCAACAAGATAGCTAGCTTTCAGAATATGCATATTCATGCGAGGAACAGCCCAATCCCGAATGATAGTCCGGACAGCAAGAGTCATAATCCCCTGACCATGAAGTTTGGGGGAAAGATAGTCTATGAAAATTGTTAGCCATGTCACTTGAAAGATAGTCGGTGGTTGGGTTGATTCCATACTTCCCAATCCCCAAACAATACCCTTGTCTCCAGCAGGTATCTCATTATTCCTCGCCTGCGCCTCTTCCCTTTCCGAACTTCCATACGCCAATTCATAGAATGAATACCGAGCGATACTAATAGAGCCGATGTAAACATCTTTAAGCGCTGCGCCAGTCTTGAGGTCATATTCGGTGACTTCACGGATGCATCTAAAAGCGCAGACATCGAAGAATTCTTTAGGGGCCACTTGATCACCGGCATCCTTGCATTTTGTTTGATTTCTTGATCGCTCGTATTCTTGTTGCAGTCTAGATAGAACTGATTCGCTCTCTTTGCACTGCAGTTTGATCCAGTCTTCGCCGTCTTTGGGTAGGAATGGGTAGGGTGGACCTTCTAGCCATGGATAGACGAGTGGATCGTTGAGTATCTTCGTCATTTCTTTTGATGTTTCTTCGATGTCGTGTAGACGGTCCATTGTGATGATTATGTGGGAACAAGGTGCTGGGAGGCGGAGATAGGGCTCTTTCGTGAGGGGGTTGAAGAAGACAGGCATTTTGGCGAGCTGGTACCAGAATGTAGAGAAGATTCAGAAGTGCGAAACTGGTGTTTATGTACGTCTACTCTAATGAAGTGCCGTGTATGGCCGAGTCTCGTTGCTATCTTACTCTGAGTCATGGCCGAGGCTGCCCAGGTACTAACCAATTGAGGCAAAGTGCGATATTACCCTACAAATTATTCCGTCTTATCTCGAGACATATCCTCATGGCTCATAGTCCAAATTTTGACCCCGATGGTTCACCTTAAACGCGCCCGTATAAGAAAAGCTTCCGGGGCCGAACCCAGGTAAAGTAACTCGGAACAGCAGCCAAGGCGTGGCTAGACGCAGCATCGCTCTCACGCTCCCTCAGGGCTTTCATCTCTAGCTCATAGATCTTCCAGGACCGCAATACCCACAGACTCACCGACCCCAGAATGAACATGCATGCCACATACACCTGGGTACTCAAGTACCCGGACGTAGCAACCAGACTAAGAGCGATAGGCTCCGCAACGGTAGTAGGAACAACCAGAGCAAGACAAATCAGAGCAAAAGTCGACGGCAAGCGATTCAGGCCAACAACCTCAGCCATGACGGGCGTAATAGTACCCCAGAACGTGCCACAGACAGTGCCAACCAAAACCGCAAAGACGAGCAACAGAGCATAAGAATGCGCCGGAATCCAGACAGCAAAGCAAAGCAACCCACAGAGAGCAGTCATCATCATCGAGATAGTAATTCGACCAAATGTATCACTGGCATGGCCAACAATCGGTCTGCCAATAACAAGACCCAAGTTCATAATAGCGCCCGCGACAGAGCCCTGCTGCGGATTGAGTCCAATGGAAGAGGCATAGTTAGGCAACGAGTACCAAAGGGCAATATATCCAAACTCAGTAGCAATGCCCCAAAGAATCAAGAGGAAGACCTCGAAGTGGCTAAGCTCGCGGTAATTGACGGTTCGCTGCGGTATAGCGGGGCGAGCTTCTTTCCGTTCTTTCATTAGAAGTGAGGAGACGATATTAGCGCCCAGGGCGCAGAATGCCAGGATTCGATAGGTTGTTTCTACGCCTAGTGTTTCGATGGCCCGTCCGGCTCCTAGGTTGTAGATGAGACCGCCTACGCCGGAGCCAGAGGCGGCTATGCCGATTGCGAGGCTTCGCTTTGTTGAGAACCAGGGCGGTAGGACTGCCATGCTGGTTAAATAGAGGAAGCCCATACCAATGCCGAAGCAGACGCCCTGTGTCAGGAAGAGGTGCCAGATCTTGGTGGAATATGATGCACCGAAGAGGGCGGCGAAGACTAGTGCTGTGCCGAGGAGCTGTGTAAAGGTTGTTCCGATGGTTTTGTAGGTCTTTGTCACTAATGGTCCAATTACCAGGCAAGTTGAAATCGATAGACCGCCGATGAATGCATAGTCCAGATGAGTTGCGCCGGGAAATGTGGATTGAAGGAGATAGTGGTTTAGTATCACGCCCCAGGCACCGTTCACGCCCCAAGTGTGTACTGTTATCATGAATGCGCAAAATGTGCATACCCAGCCATATCCGCCATTTGGTGGTATGTCGTCGAGCGCATCAGTACTGTTGATACGCGATGGGACGATGTTCTCGGTATCTGGGGGCGCGGAGTGCTGTGCATCCTGGTGTGTAACTCGTCGTTGCAGCTCGATACCGTCCATCACGATGTTTCAAAAGTGTCTCAGTAATGAATGCTCAAACATCTGTTCAAGTGTGAAAAGGATGGAGATATCAAGTTCAAGAGGGGTTTCCCGCAGGGTTCCTCCGCGGAAACAATAACCTCTTCGGGCAGGTGGGAACAATGCCAACTCATACTTAGGGCCAAGTATGCAGTACTACAGAGAGCATTATAGCTGAGGTAATTGGAACACTTCATGACACTTTGTTATACATTTGGATGCTATCCTGAGTCATTACACTTGGGTATATGAAGGTTAATGTACTGGGACTCGACTAGTCAATTGCTCCAGACGACCTGCCAAGGTCCGATGTTTGCGCATGACTTCCTCCCATTCGTAGGCCACGTCCTCTTCTGTATCGTCATCCCCGCTAAGCTCTGTTAGAATCATACCAAAGTCACCTCCAAGACGACCGAGACTTGCAGCACAGTACAAGAGCTGGGTGAGAAGACTTTCTCTCGAGCTTCGGTCTCGGACATTGGGAAGATATGTGCGCATCGTATCTGTGAGCAACTGCACAAGATGCATTGGGAATGTTGCAAGAGCGGGAGGTAGGCGCTGCAAAGGATCATCCGAATGGGCGGGCTTCGACTTGGCTTTAGCGTCAGCACCCCTTAATCCTGAGCTGGCAAGCTCGGAATCGGATTGCTCAGAGCCGAATATATTCTTGTATAATGAGACAATGGCGAAGCTCTGCTCTCGGAAGATCTCAATGTATCGTTTCAAATAGCGATCCGTTTGTTGGCCACCAGACCACGTAGTCGTGTCTGATTTGTCCTTTGCGGCCCGGCGTTGAGTTTCTTGATCGGCGAGTTCGCGAAGGGGGTCTAGAGCTTCGAGAGTCGACACCAAATGCGCCAATCTGCAGACCAAAAAAATGGCCCCCAGAGCACCTTCTCCTGTTCCCGCAGCTCCGTCACTTTGAAGCATCTCCAAATCCGGGGCTACTCGCCGCAGCCAGCCCACAGTTCGCATGCCAGCTGCTAGCCGTAGGTTCTGAGCGCGAAGCCCCGTGATCAGATTACTTGTCATGTCCTTCATGGCATCCTCTGCTTGAGATGCTACATCTTGAATCAATGGTGATTCGGGGTATAGTGTTTGTAGTCGCTTGATATGTGCATGTAGGTCGAGCGCCGAGGAGTAAGTTGTGGAGGAGGCACCGGTACCGGAGTTGACTGAAGCGGCGGACACAGCTGTAGACAGCAAACTTGGTAGCTCTAAGATGTCGGAGAGTCGATCAACGTTACGAGACAGCTGCATGGCCTTTTTCCGTCGTTCCAGAGCTGCATTGTCTGTGATCTTGCTGTACTTGGTGGAGAACCCAACGGCCTGCTCGTCGAGTTTAGGGATGGCATCGCGGAGCTGTTGCGCCTCGCGGGTCAATTGTGGAACGGATGTGGAGAGGCTGGATAGATTGTCGGCGGAAGTGACAAAGGCCCGGTGCGAACGGTTGGATAAAGCTTGGAGGGACAGAAGGGTCGAATGGGAGGATTGCGCAAGCGATGGGGGTTCGGTATATTGGAGGGCTTCGAGCGATAGAGTCGAGAGTCGATTGAGGTATTGGTCAGTAGTGCCGTCAGCCGATAAAGTCGGACTCAAGTGAGGAGCCAGCAGCTCCAGCAAATCGGCCATGGTTGATGCTATTTGGAAGTTGTGTAAAAGAGGCGCGCTGAATGGACGGTGCTTGGTCCGTGCGGGTCTGTACCTTCTGGACTCAACTTTTTTCCTTTTCGATTTGTTCTTCTGTTTCAACCTCTTGTTTCTCTTATTCTTGTTTTCTTGTCAGACCAGGATTCAGGTCCTGCGTTCTTTTCGTTGCTCTAGAGTGGTCATATCTCTAGCCCCTCCCCCGCATCCCCATTACGTGCCCCATACCCTTCACCATGGGGAAGCCCCGGGTAAGTCTAGATGTTCGATGGATGTGGTGGCTTGTACTGACTTGACCTGGTAGATGATCATTTTGGTGCGCCATGCACAATCAGAAGGCAACAAGAACCGAGATATCCACCAGACTATTCCAGACCATCGGGTAAAGCTCACGACTGAAGGCCATCGACAAGCACAAGAGGCAGGCCAGCGACTCCGACACCTTCTTCATCCTGATGATACCCTTCACTTTTTCACTTCTCCTTATCGTCGGACGAGAGAGACCACCGAAGGGATTCTTGAATCCCTAACATCCGACACACCCTCTCCGTCACCGTTCCCCAGACATACAATCAAAGTCTACGAAGAACCTCGACTGCGGGAACAAGATTTTGGTAATTTCCAACCATGTTCTACAGAGATGGAGCGTATGTGGATGGAGCGAGCAGACTATGGCCATTTCTTCTATCGGATACCTAACGGCGAGTCTGCGGCAGATGCCTACGACCGAGTGAGTGGGTTCAACGAATCACTCTGGCGCCTATTTGGTGAAGACGACTTTGCCAATGTGTGCGTCCTCGTCACCCACGGTCTCATGGCACGAGTCTTCCTCATGAAATGGTACCACTGGAGTGTGGAGTACTTTGAGGACCTTCGCAACATCAATCACTGCGAGTTCGTAGTATTGACCCACAACCCGGAGAACGGCAAATATACTCTACAGAACAAGCTGCGAACGTGGTCGGATTTGAAGAAAGGCCGAGAACGTGAAAATGCAGCTAAAGGGCAGATTCATGTACCCACCTCTCTGCCAGCCCATGTCCCGATCCGACGGAAATGGGGCGGTTGTCCGGACGGCTGTACTCATGGTATATATGCAGACGGGAAACAACTATTGCGAGCCAATCTGTTGAACTCTGTGCGTCACGGGACTGATCACTCTCACTCCAAGCACCATGATGAACATGGCCATAGTTTTGGCTCCAAGCTACATAAATCAGTGTCTATCGACGAGGTGGTCTCATCTTCAGAGGACAGTACCATTCAAAATGAAATCACTCGAAAACCTAGCACTAGGCATACCTCCAATCCAGGACCAGGAAGTGACGACGGGACTGGAGACAACACGAAGCATTACGACTCAGGCTCAGAGGCCCGGTCAGCCCAGCCATTGCACCCAAAGCATCACAATCAGCATGGACTCAACCGAAATAGCGAGGATCACATGTACCATCCGCCAGCACCCTCATCTTCATCCTCTGCACACCTGAAGTATGCCCTCCTCCACCTAGGCGGCCGTGACGGCGGTGGCTCAATGAGCGGAGCAAATAGCTTAGCACCATCCGACGACGAAGGCGAGGATCACGACCATCGCCGCCATTCTGCATCAAGTTCCTCCAACACCAGCAACCTGTCACACGCAAACCAACAACACTTCCAATTCCCATCCCAAACACAAGGACCAGTTCCCTCCCAGGAACTCGAAGATGACGGCGACGACGAGATGAGCGGAAGCACAAAACCACGAAAACCTCGACCACACCACCCTCCCCCCATCACCACCACCATCACCACCATCATCTGTCCACAAGCACCCAACCCGAGCACCGCATGGCCAACATCCTAGGCGACGGAGACGAATCCTCCAATCCCTCCGAAACACAAACACCACAACCAGATAGCTCTACAGCAAACCATCCTGACACCCTAGAAATGTCTCTGGAAGAGCAACAAAAACAAGACCAAAGCATCAGAGGGAGCGTCTACTAATACTGTCACCACCACTGCAATGATGCATTCCAGGTGTTTTCCATTCTATTTATGTTTCTCACACTTCCATGCTTCCGCACATCTGCTTCTGGCTCAAGCCTGTCCTCGCTCTTCTCATTTTCATCTATCTATTTGCTACCCTACCTACCTATCCTATCTAGCCTTACGACCCTTACGATTGCTTCGATGAATCTTGACTACCCACAACTGCATCTACATCGACATGTTCTTTGATTTCTGTCATTGTCAGGGCTTAGATCCCTTTTTTGATGTTAGGCACATTTCAAAATTATTTGATTTCTCGTTTCATTTGGTAAATCTATCTGTGTACGTGTAATAACTTGATCCAATTTGAAGGGAGAGTGTGGTTGGCGTACTTGCATGTTTATTACATTCAAAAGAAGAATGATACAATACCAAATCATCTATGGCGGAACTTGCCACAAAGTACATTGGGTAAGAAGGAAATACGAAGAACCCAAAAAAACCAAGTGGAAAGACGAAGAGAACTCTACGAGGACGAGGGATAGAAGCGAATACTATACAGCGGTCAAGCAAAGACCAAGAATCGTGTTCACGTATGAAAATCATCTTCAGTAGAATTGCGCACCAAGAACCGAAGCCAGGAGAACAGAGGACCACAAATAGCATAAGCAGCATTATTTCTTCGAAAGAACAACCGAGAATGCACATGTAGACCGAGTTCACCGACACAATGCCGCGAAAGTGACAGAGGGGTGGAAGACAAGAGAAGGAAGATGACTTCGTTATCGAGATCATGTAGGCTACATACATGTCAATCACTTGGATTGAATGACTTGAGGTAGTGGGCATTTCTGGATATGATGGATGTGCGCATGGGATCGACCGGCTTGATGTCTCTGCTTGTCGTGGGACATAAAGGGTTGATCGGGACCAGGTTGGCACTCCATTGATTTGGGATGGGGTTGACTGTCAGAATTCAAGGGAGTGAAAATTGATAACTTCCAAAGAATTGATCAAAGAAAAAAAAAAAAAAAAAAAAGGAATCTCAGGCTCAAGCAGATTCCAGCTTAAAAGGGTTCGAAAATTCACTGAATTGTTGTTGATCGTGTGGATCGAGAAAAAAGAGTCCATAGAAGAAAGGTAGAAACAAATCGGTGGATCGAAAGGAACGAGAACTGAGGTGAGAAGATCAAATATCAAAAGAAAGAGGGGGAAAAAAAAAAAGTAGAAAGACGGGAGAAAATGATTAACGCCGGGCACTGCGTGGAGCGTGACGAATGGGAATAATGTACCGATATGAAGAGGAAACGCGAAGAAGTAAAACACTCTATGGGTAATCACCGCGAGACACAATGCCGAGCAAGAAACAGGAAGGGCCGAAAATATAAACCGAAGTCGTGGGTAATAAACAAAGTATCAGATTTTGGGGATTCGTGATCGTCGTGACTGCGGCTCCGGCAATCCTTTGGATGTAAAAGTCAGGAACTAACCACGATGAGATTTTGAAAGTACCACCTGATCCAAAGGATCATTGTGCAGGAAACGAAGTGGCCTGAGGCATCGTGGAGTTGCCGGAGCATGCCATTGTCCGCCGTAGGAGCGTGTTTTTCCTCTTTTTTTGCGTTTTTTGAGATTTTTCGCTTGGCCAACGAGAACCAGCAGACGCAGAACAAAAGTACTTTTTGGGTGACGCGGCATGCCGATTGTCCAGTAGCATATAAGGCTAGCGAGACAAAAGTCAAAAGGCGCAAGGTTGGAAACAAGAAATGAAGAAAACGGTATCAGCGAAATAAATCCACGCGAGTCGCCCAGAGAAACATAGAATTCTAAAGTTGCAGTGAGAAAAAGGCCCAGAGAGACAGCCGCACTGGGGAGTCTCTAGCCGTTGATGTCGTCTGTTCCATCTGTTGTAAGCAAATAGTCGAACACCGTCACTTAGGCGGCGATGATTGGCTGCATTGTGGGGAATGCACTGGTGCTCATGTAGTGTTCCAGATGCTTGGCACAGTAAGTGCAACCGCACGACGAGCCGTGGCCAGTCCACACACTCTGTGCAAAGGGCAAACCGTAAGCTGGGGTGTGGTGGTAGGAGGGAGGCTGGGATCGGGGGGCTTGGTGAGACATGTACTGTGGGGGTGCATTCCAGCCGCGCGAGTAGGGCGGGGGAGGAAGCGGGTTCGAGTAGCCCCAAGAGCCGACCGAGTAGTAGTCGGGGGTGTTGGGTCCACTGGAGAGGGCGGAAGGAGGCGAGTATTCAGATGCGGTCGGGTTCAACCAAGAACTCTCCACGTGAGAACCGCGCTGGTACTGCGGCGGGATGGGGCCCTCGGGCGACATGAGAGGCTTCGTGACGCCCTGGCTGCGAAGCACGTTGGTCTCAAGAGGAGCCAGAGTCTGGCGAGTTTCCTGAGCACGGGCTGTAGCCTTGGCACTCCAAGTATCCCAGTGAGCGCGCCAGGAGGCGAACCCGTCCTGCTTGTCGTAGATGCGGTCGTGGATCTTCCAGTCGAACGCGAACAGCCATTCCAGCTCCATGCGGTTCAACTCGGCAACGGGGATGTTGCTGACCTCCGCCCAGGACTTGTTCTGGAAGGTGTTGTCATCGAGGAACTTGCTGCCCAAGAGGAGAGAGACGGTCAACATGCGGTACACTTGGCTGTTTCCTCCCTTGGTAGCGGCGCGTTGCGCCGAGAGCACACGCATCCGGCTGGCCAGATAGAATAGACCGAGCAAGATGGTGGAGCTGGGCAGACGAGTCGAGGACAAGATCTGATAGACGTATTTCCGAAACTGGGGGGTAACCGAAGATCCTGGGTAGATGCTTCGCCTTATGTCAATATCTGCAATGTTGATCTGTTTGGCGAACAATTCATACATTCCCTGGGCCATTTCCGCCACGAAGTCGGACATGCGATCCATCTCGTAATCCAGGTGAGCGGCAACACCTCCGGTAGCTTTCTCCTCCTTGCGCGGCTGTTCGGGCCGTTGCATCGGGGCGGCTTCCTGTCGGCGGTACTGGGGCGGGATAGACGATTCCATGGGCGGGAGTTGGACGTTGCTCCTGATCGGGGGCAGGGTTGCGGCCAACGGGTTGAACATGGCTTGCTGATTCAACGCATGGAGATCACGAGCCGGGTACATCGGGTGGGCGGACTGAGGGTGATGGTTCATCGAGGTCGGCTTGGCGTAGCAGAGAGACTGCGAGTACTGCTCGATGAATTCATTGCCGCTCTGGTGGTAGCGAGGAGGGAATCCTGTGTGACCAACAGGGTAGAACGAAGGGTCATCCATACGACCACCGTTGACATGGGGAGGAGTAGGCAGGCCGTGGCCTGGAACGAAGAAGGACGGCATCTTAAAGGGTAGGGGGGAGAGATACCAGTTCAGGACGGAGAGCTAGACGATTTCTAAGCAGTCAGGCGTTAGCATACCAGGCCACTGGGGACAACCAAGTGACAAGAATTCTTAAAAAAAAAAGTCGACGAACCGTCAAAACTCCACCAGATCCTGATCCTGGGGGTAGCGAGAACGCTGCTCAGCGAGCGGGTCGCTCTGTTGTTGTCCTGGGGAGCAGTCTCTAGTTGAATGACATGGAGGTGCGATCCAGAGATGTCAAGAAAAGAGTGAAGGAATGTGGTGAATTGAGCAGAAGAAACCTCAGTTGCAGAGTCAAGCGATCCGATAGAGAGAAATCTTTGGAGCGCAATTCAGTAAATTCAAAGTGCTTCAGGAGTAACCAGATCGAGGTTCGAGATGGTAGGGTAACTCAGTCACACTGAGAACGCGAGAGAAGAAACGAGAAAAATAAATTTTCCCGCAGAAGCAAACCTCAGGATGAGGTGAACAACGACACTTAGTGAAAAGCTCGTTGACACGGGAGAGAGGGTTGATGCAGAAAGAGGTGAAGAGGATGGAGGAAGGAAAAGTGTACAGGGGCGATGTGTGGGAAAAGGCCGTTGGTAACGATACCAGTAATGGTAATACAGGGAGGCCTGGACGGAGGAGTTGCAGCCTAGTGGGGGCGTGTATAGGGGTGTATGCACCCTGAAATCTAATTTTGCACCTTAGGGTCCGGTGTGTGTTTCGCAATGATGATCCATTCTTTATTAAAGAAATAGAAATAGGAATAACTATAAAGTGAGTATATTAGATCTGCTCCTACTTTCAGTGACTTAAAGACTCCCACTGTAATTCCCTACATGTAACTAAAATCCAACCCAAAAAAAAAAAAGAATTAAGTCGGTGATGCAACGCCCGTGTCACTGGGTCACTGGACTAAAAAAAGGTCACTCCACTTGACTAAGCAGTTCTTTGGATTTCTTTGTCTCCAAGGCTCCATGGACTCTTTAACTATTGTACATTCCACCGTTGCTCGGCCTACACATATCTACCTATCTAGACATCTGCTTCTACTCCAATCTCATACATAACAAATATACATTACCCGTACAACCAAGCAAGGGCAAGGCCATCTGACACCCACACAATTATCTAAGCACTAACCCTCCAGCCCCCATCATTGGCCCTATCATGTCTGACTGGCCACCGGAGATGTACCTACATATATGACTCACCCAGAGACACTTCAGGATCCAATGCTGATCCCTGCAGTGTAGACATAGCGTCATGTCGCATGGCACTGGCGCATGGCTCCGGCACTGCCAGTTACACTGTGACCTAGAACTCGGCAGTGATATACTATTACTATATGGGATTGAGGCTGCGCTGGTGACAGCCTCATATTGTGGTATACAACAGATGGTTCTCTGATTTTGTACATATACATACATGCATCTAATAAAAGACGTATACAGACACAGTACTCCATACGAAGGATTATATATTCGCCCCTCCCCCTCCCGAAACCCGTGCAGGTTTCATGCACGTTCCGGAATCCGGATATAACATTCGGAGAACTCCAGTTTATAGGCTTAGAGGGGCGATGGATCATTGTCACAGAATAAATGGCTTAGCTTTTGTCTAGGCACTGCCCGTGCGTAAGGACCTACAATACATTGACATGTACGGAGTACATGTAAGTTAACTAGCCACCATGCCTAAATAGAATAAAACATAAAAAACGCCTCTCAGACCTCGTGCCTTGCCATGAGGCTTCCTTTCCGTTCGCTCATTTCGTCACTGTGGTTCCCTGGCCTTGACCTTGGCCCTGGGCTTTGCTTTGGCCTCTGTGACCTATCCGAGAAGAACCAGGCGCTTATATGTACGTTCATGTAGATGAGAAACTTATATCACATTTCCTTACGATACAACGTTATTAGAGCGAAAATTATGAAGAGAACAAGACAATAAACTCTCCCGGTGAATACAAGAGTCAAAACCAATGCTGGTTCTACGAAACAACCCACTGCTCCGTACTCCGTCCGAACTTACATGTAAAAGAGTGGAGGGCGGCAAAAAGGAATCGAAAAGAAAAAAGCTGCCCAACCATACGGCAACCGGCTACATCCGGCAGTCCCCAAAAGGAAAAAACGAAGGAAAAACAAAAAAGGTCAGTCTCCATTCAGTTTCTAGGCTCTGTAAATGGGGGTCCCGAACTGTATTTCTGCGTGTAACCCCGTGAACCGTGACTGACTTAGGGATTTTCGGATGCTGGGCGCTGCAGGCCCCATGCTTACATTGTGTCTTTTGTTGGTGTTGGCACGGGGCGGGGGAGGCGAGTTCCATTCGATTGCTTTGTGATGTACATGTAGACATGTGTAGATAATGTTGCGGTTAGCGAATCAGACGTGCTGTTTTAGATTTTCCATGCTTTTGCTTTTATATGTATATGTATGCATGGGGTATCCGTTCAGCCGGATGATACAGTAGAAAATGTCGCAGGTGATCCCGAGGTAGTCCATATGTGGAGCGTGGATTTCTTTTCGTCTACTTGCAGTTGGAGGGAGAATATGACCGTTCCCGTAAATTTGATTGGCATTTCTATCATGCTGAGCTTTTACGTCAGGCGGATATGACGCCTGGATAAAAAAGAACAAAAATCGGAGGGATTCCATTTCCATTCCATATCACATGGATTGGTGGATATCCTGTCCCCCCCCCCCCCCCCGGATGGTGGTCTCTATTAGAGCGGACCAACTTGCCAAAATGAAAAAGAAGAACAAAAAGAAAATCGATGAATGTATCGAGGGGATAAAACAAAAATTGGAGGCGTATGCAAGCCTGTCAGGAAGAACAGAGGGATATCATTAAGATTCAGGGAATCCAGACATGTCGCAAAAAAGAAGAAGAAGAAAGGGATGATAAAAGGATAAAAACCATAAAACAAAACCATAAGACTCGTATATTCGATAAGTCGTCAGGGAGAGACCATTCCCTCCACCTCATTGTCGGTCGATGGGTATCCATTGGAGGTTCAAATGGATTGACCGCATCGATCAGCCATATAGCATACCGCTTTGCAAGTCCAAGCTTGGCCTGGCCTATAGACCCTGTACAAGGTGCCAGCTTGAATGAGAACATGGCTGAATGCCATTATTCATCCTTCAAACTTCCGACCAGGTTGCGTAGCACATCCATGATGACAGCTTCGTCCTTGGGCTCGCCGCCGGGGAATGAGCTTTCTGTAGCATTATCCAACACTCGCGCGCGGGCACTTCGAAGAACTTCCCGGATGTAGTTCTTGTCCTCATAATCTTCCATCAGAACAGCCTCAAAATCATCGATTGCCTTGTTTGCTCGATCAGTGAACGAGGATGACTCTGGCGGACCAACCGGCGCACGATTCTGCTGCGGTTGATGGTGGTGGTGTTGCTGTTGTTGATGGTGATGGGGCTGAGGATGAGCCGGGAGTCCCGATGGCGGGTGGTGTTGGTGTTGATGCTGCGACTGGTGGTGCTGCATCGGCGGTTGCTGTTGAGGTTGATGTGACATCGGCTGTGACGGGGGCCGAACCGGTTGCTGGTGCTGCTGTTGGTATGGCTGCCCATTGGATGGAGGGTAGGTCTGGGGCTGCGTGTTGATGTGCGGCGGTTGGGAGGGCTTTTGGGGTGGGTAGGGGGAATGGTGCTGAGGAGGTCCCTGGGGAGGCCGTGGAGTTTGTGTCTGCTGCTGACCTGCCTGCGAGGCTGGATTGGACGCGTAGGGAGAGGTGTAGGTGGATGGGACGGTCTGCGCGAAGGCAGCCGGGAGGTTGCTGCGGATAGTGCTGGGGATGGGGAAGGACGCAGCAGCATTGATAGGTGCTGGGGCAGGGGCAGGCGGAGGTGCGGGTGCGGGTGCGGGCGCGGGCGCGGGTGCAGGTGCTGGGGGAGGAGCAGGAGCAGACACAGGAGGAACTGGGACAGGGGCAGGCGTAGAAACAGGAGGAGGGGCGGAGATGGGAGCAGAAGGGGGAGCCGGCGTCGGTGCTGGCGTGGACACTGGGGGTGGAGCGGGAGTTGAAACCGGTACCGGAGCAGCAGGAGCAGGCGGAGGAGCGGGTGCCGTTGAGGGAGGTGCATAAGGACTTTGTCGCGGTCCTGGCACTGAGGCCGGGAAAGGCGCAGGCGGAATCGATGGGAACTGGAAGTGTTGAGGCGGATTTGGCACAGGTGGTGGTGGAGCATAGGAGTGGGCAATCTGTGGCATATATTGTTGAGGAGCAGGCGTTGGCGGATGCGAGGTCTGTGGTTGCGGCGGAGGCGACGGGCGTCGCTTCTTTTCTTTCTCAACCGACGCGCCAGGTATCAATTGCCATGACCAACCCTTGCCATCTCGTTCTGCGTGCATGAACAGATGGCCGTTGCCATTGAGATTGTGCCGCACACTCGATGTCCAACCCTCGGTCTCACACTTGAAGCGGAAGTAAGGATACTTCAATTTCAAAGCCCTATAAATCTGCTTCAGTGTCATTGGCGTGCCAGCTTCCGTCAGAGCATCAAAGATGAGCACAGCGTAGTTGTAAGGAGGCTTTGCCAAATCCTCTTGCGTGTAAGCAGATTCGGGAGGATAGTTGGGAGACGGCGACCGTGATGGCTTGCGCTTCTTGACTGGTGGGGGCTTGACATATTCCTCTTGACGCTGTTCCGGGATCTGACCCCCTTCCGTCGAAGGAAGAGGAGAATCCATAAATGTTCCATCGGGCTTCTTTCTCTTGGTATACTTCCGCTTCTCGGCTGGTTTCGGTGTCGGCGACTCAGGAACAACGGACTCTTTCGCGACTGTTTTCCCAGCCTTGGGCACCTTGGGAAGAGGCGGCGTGACACCACCGTTGGCTTCACGCTTAGCGGCCATCTTCTGCTCACGGGCAAGCTCGGCTCGCTCACGCTTCGACATGATGCCGTCCTTGGGAGGTCGACCAGGGCCGCGCCGGCGGGTTGGCTGCGATCCATTATCTGCCTCGATAGAATCCAATGCCTTCGAGGAATCGGTATCCTTCAGCTTGAGACTGAGCTTAGGTACCTTGGAAGGTTCCCTGCTCTCCCCACTCTCGCTTCCGAGCCTCTCTGATCCATCAACATCGTTGTCGACCTCGATCGAAACATGAGGGTCTTCGTCCTCTCCCTCTGCATCTTCTTCATCGTCTGGCAGCTGCTGTTCTTCCATTCTATCGGCGCCTGTTTCGCCAATGGGAACGTCTGGTAATAAGAAGCGGATGCGCACGCCTCCGATCTGTATATAATCACCACTGTGTAACGGACGAACTTGCCCTGGTGATAGCCAATCGGCTCCAATGAAAGCCCCGTTGCGACCCATTACTTCCATCTCGAACAAATTGCGGTCAAAGTTATATGAAATGCGAACATGTCTGCGGGAAATACCTCGATGACCCGCGGCACTGCCGTCAACCGTCGTCGGGGGGTGGATTGGGATGGTGGGACAGGAATCAGGAGACGGAAGCAAAGCAAGTGTATCAACAGGCTTGGCATCTCCATTCCCATCTTGTAGGGACTGCATCGCTAAAGCGTTGTAGTCTGTAGTTGACTGTAATTGAGCCGGGTTTGCGTGCACTGGCACAACGGCCTCGTCCATAGAGGACTTTGAGGATCGTCGACTCGGGTTCATTCCACCTGGAAGATGCGGAGGAACATCTGGGTCAAAGCCCATGATACCTCCGCGATCGCTGACAACGCTGCCCATCATGGCAGCGCTTTCCTCCCGCTTCATACGGTTTGGGGTGTGTGATGTGTTGCCTCCACTCGAGCTCTTTGCTCGAGAGCTTCGCACGGCCTGCCGGAACTGGAACTCTCGATGGTGAGCGGCGCGTGCGGCTCGCACGTCTCGCCCGAGGATGAACGAGTAGGTATTGCAATAGAAATGCCCATCGTCAAACTCCAACTTGGCAAATGCTTGGATCTTAGGCTCCGATCCAGCTATTGATGTGGCTCCATCTTGATATCCCAGGGCTGACAGATCGGCGCCTTGCGAAAGGAAAGCGGCGGTGAGTAGCTCGTTCTGGTGGAGAGCCTCGAACGCATTTTTCGGGCCAGCGTTGAAGTCCAGGGGCGGAAGAAGGGAGGGCTGTTCCGTGTCTAGTTTTGTGTTAAGAGGATCGGTAAGGGTACCCATTGCATCGGACGAGGAAATCCCTGCGTGGGCAAAATCCTGATGGGAAGGATTTGTTCCCATTAGCTCATCACCCAGGGCCTTTCCGTTCAGCAAATCCTGAATCTCGCGCGACATTGACGGATCCTGTTGCAAGCTCGGATCGATGGAGGTAGCGTGGGTATTTAAATCGAAAGGCTGAGCATGATGGTCCTCCATTTTGAAATCCATGGACATATCGTGGTCCTCCTCTCCAAATTGCTGGGCGGTTGTTTGGTTCGGCGCAGATTGATTGCCAAGGAGTTGAGCTAAAAGGGCGCTTGCAGCGTTTTGCGTGTGGGCGTCTTGTTGGTGCTGCGACGCAGAAATCTCGTGGCTGTCCGAACATTCGGTCTTAATTCCGACATCTGAGGTTGGAAGGCCCTTTGGCGTGGACGGGGCAGAATTATTCTGCATGTCGCGAATTGCGGAGTCGTTTCGGGGATTGGAAGGGGGCGTGGAGTTATGGGAGCCGCCATAGTCGTACATGGGCGAATCTGTACCTGGATCAGGCGGTCGATGGCCCACAGCTGGCGCAGTCATGGTCTGCGACGACATGACAGGCTGGTGGAAAAGAAGGGAAGAAGGGAACAAAAGCTGAAGTTCTCACTTTGGGCCGGGCGGTGAAGACGGCCGAGTTGGTTACTGCAGCTAACCGTAGTGCAGGTGCCATCACCGAGTGTAGGCCATGAATTCTTTGGTTTCTCGAAAATTGTAGCCCGTAACTTCTGCGTCTGCAAAGGTGATCGAGGGGCAAGTGTTGGGGAACAGGAGAAGAAAGGCGACGATCCTCTCCGGGACAAATTTTCTTTCCCGCCCCGCCCAGTCCCCGATCCACTGGTTCACCGATTTTGCAGAGCTTAGATCTATACAGGGGATGTTTCTAGGGTAGTTTTGTAGATATACTATGCACTGTGCTTTAGTTCTCCTCCATGTCACTCCTTCAAACGGATATTCCCCTTGCCCTGGCAGTCCAGTGGAGTCGACCCCTCTTCTGATATCCGGTGGCTTGCCTCCACTGGAGGCTGGATAGATGAGGGGGAAACACGAGAACATGAATTGATCATATAACCTATACAATTACCAAACCCCAATGAAAGAAAGAATCAAGAAAATATACATGCAATGTGAGAAGCAAAGAACAACAACTTATACTTCATACATCGACTACTCTAGACTCTCTTATCGCGATAAACACCTTAAAAAAAAGCCACCTCCTCACCGTCCACTCCCAACTCGAACAACAACCACCAAATACAACCACAACCAACAAAATGCCCCCCAAATCCAAAAAGCAAGACGCCAAACCACAACCAACCCAAAACCAACCCAACTGCCCAAACTGGCCACCCCTACGCCCCCTTCTCCCACCCGCCGATCTAAGCCTAGAACCCCTCCTCCGCGACCAAATCTACCTCATCCGCAACTTCCTTCCAAGCACCCTCTGCAAAACTTACGCCTCATTCCTAGCCTCACTACCCCTAACCACAACACCCGGTAAACCAAAGAAAGACGAGGCATTGCGCGTGAATGATCGGTTCCAGATTGATGATGCGCGGTTTGCGGAGATGCTGTGGAGTCAGACTTCTCTGAAGGAACTCGTCACAGAGAGATCTGAAGAGCTAGATTATGATGAGGATGTGGACGGGCATGGATCACCCGCAGAAATCGCCGAACGAGCGCAGAGACTTTGGGGCGGGGAACCCTTGGGGTTGAATGCCAATATTCGCATTTATCGATATACGAAGGGTCAATTCTTTGGTCAGCATTGTAAGTCTCCAATCCAATCCAACCTCCAATTCCAGAACATACAAATACAACCTCAACCCGGTCCTTAACCCAACCAACAACTAACAACCCAACCCAACCCAACCAGACGACGACTCAAACAACATAACCTTCCCCCCATATCCCTCAACAGCCCTCTCACGAGCAACGCCCGCACGAACAACCTGGACCCTCCTCATCTACCTGACGACCAGCACAGGCGGCGAAACAGTCTTCTACCCGGAAGCGACGCGCGCGAATCGGAACCCTGAGCCGATTGTTGTTGCGCCGGAGGTTGGGATGGCGCTTTTGCATCGGCATGGGGATGCTTGTATGCTTCATGAGGGGATGGAAGTTACGGGTGGGGAGAAGTGGGTTTTGAGGAGTGATCTGGTTGTTCCGAGGTGATTTTGTCTTGTACTTGCATCTTGGATTATGGTTGGGATTGGGATCGGTGTTGGTTGTGGGCTGGATACACCATACTATGTTGCATTTTCGGCGTTATTATCATTGACTTGCAACTGCATGATGGAATCAATACTTGTTTTCTCATTCTGGCTACGAGTTGGACCACAATCAGGAGTAGTAGCAAGTGATAACATGACAGGGACGACAGGTCGTCACCTGTTACTAGGTAGGAGGGTAGGAACAGACAGAATTTAGATACAGTTAGGTTCGTAAAGAGTGTAGAGATCAAGCATGGAGAAAATAAGAGACAAGAATTGGAGAAGAGAAGAAAGACCATGAGTTATTGCGGTAGCAGTAGGCAAGACTCAAAGATGTGAATTGACACTCATATGAGAATAGTCGCGGAGTCTAATTCCCCCGATTTCAACTTTCAAGAAACCATCCCATGCCTGGGATTCAATTTCATATCATATAACATTCATTTGGAAACAGGAGACTTGGCAGCGTCCAGTTCATACTCGGCCCGTCTCATAATCTCCTCCACCGGTCCGAGAAGCCTCTTAAATCCATCGCGACCCAATCGCGCAACCTTGACCTCCGTCTTGGTGGTGATGCTTGCCGCACGGGGCTTGTCGTCCAGGAGGGCAAGTTCACCGAAGTAGTCACCACGGCTGTAGTTCTTCACTGGTCCAGAGACTCCATTCTTGGTGGCTTCGGCCTCACCGGACTCCAGCAGGTAGAATGCGTCGCCGGGATCGCCTTCGTGGATGATGACTGAGTTTGCTGGGTACTTGATTGTGTCCAGGGCATCGGCAATCTTGGAGCGCTCGTAGGACTTGAGAGAAGAGAGGAGTGGGACCTCCTCCAGGAAAGCCTCGTACATGCGACGGCGCTGGAATGCCGAGTCCATGAGAATCCGGCGGAAGGTAATACGGTCCAGAGCCCACAACGTACTCTTTGGGTCTGTGGAGATGACTGTCGCTGCACGAGGGGCGTTGTACATCAAGGCAAGCTCACCGAAGGAGCCTCCAGGTCCAGTCGACGCGACCTTGTTACCCAAACCGTCGGGACCAGGCTGCACTGCACCGGAGGGGTGGATGTAAATATCAAAGTTACCCTTCTCCACAATGTAGAAGTAATCTCCAGCGTCGCCTTGGGAGATGACCTTGATATCCTTGGCTGGAATAGGCTTCTCAACAAGTGCATCCAGGACTGTCGTGAATTGATCGTCATCAAGGTGGGAGAAGAGGAAGTTACTGCTAACAGCGGCTTTAAGCCGGGAGATCTGCTCCTCCGTCTTGGGGTGGCGGGGAGGCGTCCAGCTGTCCGAGCCCGCTTCGGTGGGATTTAGAGATTCGGCCGACACAGAGGTCCGGCGACCCAGCGCGTAGTTGTTGGGGAATCCTTGCTGTGCGGTTCGTCCCGGGAGAGGTGCCAGCTCGCCTTCTTGCTCGCCGTCGTCGCCATCGCCCTGGAAGGGGCTCCTGCTGAATAGGGGTCCTCCAAATTGTGTCACTCCCTCGGCGAATGCGCTGCCTCCGAACAAAGCGGCACCTACAGATGTAGTACCTGTGTTTGCCTGTCGGAAACTCATGTCGGTGGGTGACGTCACCTCGAACTCTTCATCCTCGCCGATTTTGGGAATTGGGGACTTCTCGCGGGAGTTGGTGTTCACTGATGGGGCTGCCCCAGTGTTTTGTGCCATGTTGGTAGGGCCGGAGGGGCCGTTGCTCCGGCCACTCTGGAGCTGGAGCTTGGGGAGAAAGGAATGGATGTGTGGAGGTGGGGAGATAGAGTCTATGGATCTCTCAGAATTAGAGGGATGAGGAGAGAGGGCGTTGATCATAAGAGAGTAGAGTAGTTAAAAGAAGGGAGGGGGGGGGGAGGGGAATAATAGTGGGGGAGAGAAAGAGAGGTGTGTCTCGGGAGAGAATAAAGGCAAACAAGCTGGAAATTGAGTCCGAAGAGAAGTCAAGACGAGGGAGAAGTCGAAGAGGGGTATTGGTCTGAGCTTTTCGTCGATCCCTTTTACTTTACTTTGACTGAAGTCGACGTCACTTAAACCAATGAAACCTCCATGTATGACTCTGGATAGCTTCCAAATGTCTTCTAGAAAGCCGGAATTGATGATCATTGCACCTTTGCCACCCACATCCGTGACGAATAGGAGTTGGGAGTCACTTATCCGCACCCTGCCGTTTTCAGAGTCACAGTGGGGAACCTGCAGCGTTCTTTGGAACATAAGATTTCAAAAGACATTATAGACGTTATCTGCATGTAATGGGTGACTCCGATGTGAGGTGGCAAGTCCCTGGTTGTGACTGGTGCAATTGGGTGGCAGATGCCCCTTGGGCTTGAAGGTCTCTGCCACTACAAATAGTCACAGAGACTATTAACCCCTAGGCCTCAATGCCTGTAGGAAGTAACTTAGATAGTGAAAGATTCACCGTTCCTTGGAGGTCTGTGTCACCCCCCACTGGTCTAGTCTGAGGAAGATCATTCCTCCCTCTTCCAAGCTTCTTCCCAACCTCTGAATTTTTACCTTCTTTGCTATCTGAACTGGACATGGGAAAATTCACATTCAAGTGGTAAGTCTGATATATCTTTAGAGGACAGGAGAAGACTCTCTTGAGTAATCTCGTCTCTCGAATCTGTGGCACATTAGGTCGCTGACCGGTTACTTGCCTAAGGCCCAACAATGCGAGCGAGGTGTTCGTGACAGGCACTTTCGACGATTGGGGTAAGACGGTGAAACTGGACAGGGTAGGCGACATCTTCGTCAAAGAAGTATCTCTGGCGCCTGAAAAAACCCATTACAAGGTGAGAGCTCCTGAAGCGGTGAGAACCTGGAAGTCCTTCTAGGCACCCTCTCCGCTGACGTCACACTGTTTCCCAAACTACTTAAGGTCGCTTATGACTCGTACGCCATTTCCTTGATTTGATTGCTTTGCTGATTTGATCAAGTTCGTCGTCGACGGTACTTGGACCACAGATAGTAGTGCGCGCGAGGAAGACGACGGCCACAGCAACATCAACAACGTCCTTTTACCCGAAGAGATCATTGACTCCACGGACGCCCCAATGTCTGGTGTCACCCCAAATTCCACTACCGCGGCTCTCGCTGCCAACGTGCCCAAGGAAGCAAATGGCAACCTGCCTGGCACTTTCCCTGATACTCCAAACCAGGAGAGCGAGCAGACCCTGGGGGTGGATCCCATCCCCGCATCAGGCGGCTATGGCAACCCCATCAAGCTGGCACCTGGTGAAAAGGTCCCTGACTCGAGTGAACTCCACAACAACACTGTGGACTCTACGGTGAAGCTGGATCAGGAGTCATACGAGAAGGGGCAGACCCTTCCTGTTGGCGGAAACCCCAACTCTCCTGGAGACAACGACAGCGCTTTCGCATTCGCCATTCCACCCATCACGAACAACATGATTCCCGAATCTAGCCTTCCCATCGGAGGCCCTGCGCAACAGGCAGCTGCTAATGACAAGGAGCCCGTCTACATTGGCGGTCCGGCCCAGCAGGCAGCAGCGGCTGACCCCGGGTACACCATTCAATCTGCCGCTCCCACCTCTACTACTGCTGCATTGGCTGCCGAGGTGCCTCTGGAGCCCAAGGGCAAGCAGACTAACGGCAACAAGCCTGTTGAGGAAGTCCCCGAGGTGGTGAAGGACTCTCTCGCCGAGGCCCACCAGGACCCCGAGGCTGCTGCCAACCAGGCTGCGGTCGACGAGAAGAAGAGATTCGAGCAGGAACTTCAGAAGAAGGTCGATGTCGAGGAGTCTGGAGGTGCCCCGGCACCCACCGTGACTGCGGCCACCCAGCCCATCGCCCCTCACCTGACTCTTGCGAGTGGTTTTGACTCCTCGGATGTGTCGCCGACTTCTACGCCTCCCCCTGGTCGCAATGCTGCTGCCGCTCCCACCTCGGCTCCCACCTCGGCTCCCAAGACTGAGTCCACAGGCCCGACTGTGACCACTGGTGTTGACTCTGCCCCTACTGACGAGACTACCACCGCCAAGCCTGCCGGTCCTACTGTGACCACTGGACCTGAGACTACCAAGGCTCCCGAGACTTCCACCCCCAAGCCCGAGTCCAAGCCCGAGTCCAAGCCCGAGTCCAAGCCTGAGTCCAAGGCCGCAGAATCCAAGCCTGCAGAGTCCAAGCAGTCTCCCAGTACTGAGGGTGCTTCTACTAACGGCGACAAGAAGAAGAAGCGTCTGAGTGGCTTCATCCATAAGCTCAAGGAGAAGTTCAAATAAATGAGACATGTCCATTTGGTCTGGTTGGGGCTCTTAGATGGCTGCAAAAGCTAACTCGCCTTGTTTTGACTCTTTGTTTGATACCTCCTCCTGTTTTTATCGCATTGTATTTCCACGCCTTTTGTTAATGTCTCGGCTGGTAATCATCTAATGGAATCTGTTTGGCTCGGCAGTATTGACCAATTTTACATCCCGAAGTCGGAGCCTGCGTAAAATGTAGTACAGAATCGGAGCATAGCAAAGAACATATACAAATATTCCATATCTAGGTCAAGTGTATTTTCAACTTTCCAACTACTGTCTCGTGCCTCACGGATTAGTGCTTAACGGGTTTCTGGGTAGAGTGGGGGGAGAACTGGGTCATTTCCTATTTCCGCCTTCTCCACCCTCAACCTTTCCCCAACTATGACCCTCTTCCTCTTCTTCCTCCCTTGCATCCTGCCGAACCCTTGAAATCTTGGGTTCACTAGCCACTGGTCTCTTTCTTAGCCATGGCTACCCCCACCCTCTCCGCCATGATCGATCCCACCAAGCAAGCCGAGTACCCAATTGTGCTGGGTGAGAGACTGGCCCAGAGATCAGACACAAGCAGTCTGGTCAACATTAATTACAACTACAAGTCAAAGTCCGCCACCCCACAACACCGCTCAACCATCACCCCCTCCCAATCGCAAGATCTATACGACCTCTCCGTCACCGATAAGGCCCCGAACGCCGATCACGCACTGGCCTGGTCATACAAGGGTAGCGAGGACCCGTCGAGCGAACAGAACCTGGTCCTGGTCTTCGATCCAGAGCGTAAAGTCTTTGTACTCGAGCCGGTTTCCACATCGTTCAATTTCAACCTTCGGTCGGCGCCAGGAAAGACGGAAAAACAGGTCCGCGAACAGTACGAACAACTCCAGATCAAGTACGAGGACGAGCCTACGAATTCGGGCGAGGACCGGCATGCAGGAGACACCAGCGACGACGAGGGTCCCGCCGATCCAGACAACCCATATGACTGGCGACACTACCTCCCCAAGAACCGCGGGCCGGACAATAAATACTGTTTACCTTCGCATAACACCACTCCGGAACCTTCTATTGCAAGCCGATCGAACACACCGGTGATAGCAGCCACCAAGCCCGTTGCTGCGAAACCCTTTCCTCGACCGAAGCCACAAGCAAATCCTCTGCGACAGAAGAAGCCAGCCGTGACACCGGCGGCCGTCAAACCTCCCGCCGCTAAACCTTCTCCAAAGCCAGCCGAGCCCGCCTCCCAGCCCGCTAGCCAACCTACTAGCCAAGCCGCTAGCCAGCCAGAAATACTTGAGATTGAAGATTCTCGCTCGTCGGTCTCAGATGCAGAGACAGGATCTCAACAAGCCGGCCAATCACCAAGCTCAAACATCATCATTGACGGCGATCTCATTATCGACATGGGCTCTCCACCCCCATCCCGCTCCTTCAAAGTCAACCCCGCATACTTCTCCTCAAACAATACACCAGCAAACGACGAAAACGGAGAAGAAGAAATGGGCGAGTTCAGACTCCCCTCCCCAGTTGGCACAACCGCCCACCCAACCTCATCAGCACCAGCAGGCCAAACCCAAGAAGACGAGGTCGAAGATGACGACGCCCTGGCTGCAGAGATGGAAGCCGCTTTCGAGGAAAGTGCCCGGGAAGAGGAGGCTCGCAGCCACCAGTACAGTCAGCCCACTACTTCCCGGCAGTATGTTCCTAGTGATGATGAGAGTGAGGTTAGTGAGGAGGAATAGTGCAGTGTAGTGTACTGTACTGTGATCTTGTCCATTGTACAGGAGGTTTTTTGTCTATTGCATCTATCAGCGTGGCGCTAGGTCGGGCTTCGATTCCCGAATAGGAGATACCAATTGCGTAGGGACGTTTTTGTCTTGATTACTTGTTGAATGATATCTCATAGCGATATTTGATTTGTCTTGTTGCTTTTCTGTTGAGTTTGGAAATATTCTTTCAATTATCTGAAGTGATTATTGCATTTTTCTCATCTGAGAAGATATAGAGAAAGTAGTCTATGGAGCTAGAGACTTCGAATCTTTCTACTTCTCAGGATGATTTCCGGCTCACCCACTGCTGCCTGCTTTCTTCTTCCTTCATCATCTACCTATTCAAACCGTCTTCCTCTTCCTCTTCCTCTTCCTCTTCCTCTTCCTCTTCCTCTTCCTCTTCCTCTTCATTAAAGGCCAACCAAGTCTGCGGCGATAAGGTCGAATACGCAAACTCATGTGAGAAAAGCAGATTACATATCGCGGCAAAGGAAAATCGACCTTCTTCGGCTGCAATTCGAGACTCCGGCAAAGGATTACAGACCAATGATCTGCAACGAAAGCCCCTATGGTCCATGCCTGACTGCGGCAGGCGAGTATTACAGGAGGGTGACTTCTTGTGCTATCCTCGACAAGAATGCGGAATATTACAAGAGTGCCTGCGCGGAGGCCATTGGAACATCTCAGACTGGGCAGCATCTTTTAATTTATGAGAAAGCAATGAAGGACTGTCAATAAGCATGGAATACAGTCTCACATCGGCGTAACATGGCGAGATTGGAGATCCTGTACATGTATATCCTGTGCTTTGTTTGATGTGTATCGTCAACCTTACGAAGATCTTGTGTGAAAGGTTGTCTTCTTCATAATTAGGAATAGCAAATCTGATCTGATGACGGGTATTATCAATATGGTAATTAGCGAGCTACAAGCGTTGCTCAGTTCACATGTATAATGGTCCCCATCCCTCCAATCCTCAAGCCAATCAATCCCTTAATCTTCAACTTACCCTTTAAGCTCATGGAGCCTGGGACCCTCGGCCGGTAATTCAGTCGCCCCAGAAGTTGACGACATAACCTCCAGCTCAGTAGGAACCCCATGACTAGGGGTCTTTGCCGTCGACCCATATCCACTGGAAACCTGCTGGTGACTATTTGAGGACTTCCTCCGTCGCAGCCAGAAAATTGCGCCGATAGCGAGGGCAATGGCAATCACGCCGACGGAGACACCAACACCGATGCCGGCCTTTGCGCCAGTCGAGAGACCTGAGCTACTTCCTCCAGAGCTAGATGCTGCACTTGTCGTTGCACTTGCTGAGTTTGTTGTTGCCGGATTTGTCTCACTTGTCGCTGTGGGTGTGACATCTACCGACGTAGATATTGTGTCGGACGACTGCCACGCAATACCGACAGGCATTGCATGATATATAGGAGTGGTCCAGGTGTATGCCGTCGTAGTAGCAGGTGTGACGCCAACGACAGTGAATGTAATAGTAGTAGCGACATCGGTTGTTCTGATACAGGGCTCGGGTGTGTACCAAGCCAGTGGGCTTTCAGTTGCAATGGTGAACCCACTAGAAGATATCGCAAGTCAATTTTCCAAGCTAGTTTCTAGAAATCAACTTCGAGGTTCCATACCTGGGACAACATGTCGCGCGTGTCTCGATACTAGCAACACCATATGAAGCCAACGTCGTAGCTGCGATGGAATATCCACTCGGACACACCAGCCCCGGCGAGAACGTCGTTGCCGAACTCGCCCAACCAGAGGGATAGCATTCTGTTTCTGTCGCGCGTACAATGTTATACACCCCCCGGCAGGTTGTCCCCAGACAATCAGAGGAAATCCAGGAAAAGTTGTCGCAGGAGGCTGGCGGGGTGAAGACCGTTGTCAGTGGGATATTAGATGCGGGGGTTGTTCCGGAGGCGATTGTGATTGTTGTTGTCATGCTGGGCTAGCTATGCAGTTCCACTCCTGCGAAGATCACCCGCAACTTCGTTGCGAGGCTTGAAGAAAATTTCGAGCAGTCAGGCCGTCGGGGGTTGGGAAATGTCCAGCATTGTCGTCAGCTGAGGTTGTCGAAAACCTGGGGGCCAAATCTGCAGTGCTTTTCCTATTCCAACTTAGTGGGCATGCAGGTTGTTTAGTGTTACCGCAATTGAGAAAAGATCAGCCCAGGAGTTCAGCTGGAGATTGTACATCTACACAGTCCGGTTAGATGTTGATGTTAGTGATGTTCCTATCTGTGCTCGGCCCTCGTATAGCAAGTGCATTGTCTTGGCTTTTCCAGTCTATCTCACAAACTGAGATCGAATGGAGAAGTAGAACGTCGGGACCCCTGAATCCTGTGCATTCGGACAGTAGACACTGACCCACTATTCCCCACCTATTAGCGACCATGTCGATATTGTGAATGTTGACGGGAAATCAGTGCTTCTGCTCCGTCCCGTCCCTGTCAAATGAGGCTCGAATATGAAGACAATTAATCTGATTCGTTGGGTGATTGCCAGCTAGGTGACTGAAGTAGACGATTGTCAATGTATTGGACATACATGTACTTAGAGAAAGGAATGTGAGACTATGTGAAGATGCAAGGGAACGAGGATTATGGCGAAAGAATGGGGGGGGGGAGGATGGCGACACAAACACGTCGAGTTGAGCCTCCAGCAAATGAGCTGTCAACGCATTGGCCGTGGAGGCTCTAGCGGTGTCCCACCAATAATCACAGCCCACAGATCCTTGCACGATGTGTGCAAGAACTTGTATTCGGAGATACAGTAACGGCCGCAGCCATGGCGGATGCCAAGACTTGACAAGGGGGCCAAATACCGTACCTGTACGATTTGCGTACGGACATGGAGATAGTGAGATATTCGTATGGGTATCAGTTTCAATATTCTATTCGCATCAAGTTCGATCGGCAATTCTTGAGTCTCATGTGGAGATTTATACACCCAAATCACTCAGGTGAGACACTTCCAAAGCTAAAACTCGGGGGCTTGCTTAGCCGTTGGAGCTGCGAGTAGCAGCTACAGTATACACCTTGTTTTTGAAGTTGGTAGGAAAGCTACTAATGAGTTCAATTGATTTCACCGAAAACAGCGTCTCTCCTGTTCAGGAACCCCAATAGTGTCTCGAACAATCCCCATACATGAACGGATGGTAAATGTTTCACGTGTCGATATAGATCGGCCTCGATCTGTATTTGGAAGATAGCAGATCTCGGAAATCTACACTCCAGGAAGGGTTCAAACTGTCTAATCACGCCTCGATGTGACTGACCGCCATTCTATCAACAAACTCCCAACCATCGTTGCACAAGCTAACCCAACCACCAAATACCATGTCTGTATGATGCTTTTGTCAATTGCTCCAAGAACATCTCTAGACTGGACCGACGGCACGCTCGCCACAATCTGCGTCAGACCTATGTTCTCGATGCTTGTTCCACTCAGACCTGGCACGAGACCATTTAGGTTGACCGAGAGTTGATTGACGAATAGGACCTGTGCAATGGCAATCGTCACAGTTGGCCCAAAGGATTGTGCAAACAGTATGATGGATGTGCCAAGCGGGACATCTTCCGTGGGTAAAATGGTCTGTACAGCATTCTGCGGCCCCGAGAAGCCGATCCCATAGGCGAGACCAGAGAAGCCGGTGTATATAATTAATTGCGCAAAGGTAGTGTCTATTTTGAAGGTTGTAATAAGACCCGCAGCAATGGGCATGATAACTGAGGCAAAGAGCATGAATGGCGCATAGTAGCCGAAGATACTCGTTCCAACCCCGTGAACCACGGCGCCAATAGTACTAGCGATGATAATAGGCAGCATCATGTAGCCGCTCTTAGTCGGTGTATATCCCCGGACAACTTGATAGTACGTGGGTAGGTAGTATTCGAGCACATTTCCAGTACTGTTACCACACATGATAAAGATGAATCCGGCAATGACACTGCGGCGTTTCATAATTCGTAAGGGAAGGGCTGCTGCATCTCCTCGTCGTTTTTGAGTGTGGATAAATGCTGTTGAAAGAACGCCAAAGGCAACCAAAGGACCCATCACAAGGCCACTGTCCCAGGAATGCTTGGTACCGGCCCATGAAAATGCAAGGAAGAGGGCAGTCAGTGCTGGGATGAGGAGCAGGTTGCTAACCAGGTCGAGCTGTAAGATCTTCTCCTTGAATGTCATGCGGGCAATGTCGTTAGGTTTTGGCGTCTCAGGTAAACAGTAAAATGTTAATAGGAGGGTAACAGCACCAATAGGCGCATTGATGTAGAAGCACCATCGCCATCCAAGTGACTGCGCAATAACTCCACCAAGTAAAGGTGCTGATAGTGTGGCAGAACCTTCGACGGCGTTTATTATACCGACAACCATAGGTCGTTTACGCAGAGGTGTGGATTGCACAAGGATGACGAAGCACCCTGAAAAAAGACCAGCAGAGCCTAGCCCAGCTATCGCCCTCCCAAAGATTAGCATCATCGACGTATTGGCCGCTCCACAGAGCAGCGAGCCGACTATAGAGACAGCATTGGCGAACAAGAAGACGCGCTTCATAGAGAAAAGCTTGTATGCCTTGCCGAACATGAATTGGAAAGCGCACTGGCAGAGCCTGAACGCGGAGGAATACCATCCGACATCTGCGACTGTGTGGAAGTGGTCTGTTATACTAGGCACGGCTGTGGCAACAATGTTCATGTCTATGCTGCTTAACACAAGGGCGCCAGCCAGGGTGAGCATCAGGAGCGAATATTTCGCGCCAGTCGGGTACTCGGTTTCCTCAGACAGGCGGACGGGATTGGGTTCCTCATTGATAGTGGTCTCATGCATGATTTGGGTCGAACAAGTTGTTGAACTGCCTAATCTGTTGCCATCTGCGTCGCTTGTAGGCTGGGTCATCGCATGTCCCGAGCTGTATATGACTTCTGTCATTTTTGAGTAATGGTGGTGCTGGGAGAGGTAGTCTCGAGTACGAGATATCAATAGATAAGCCAGAAGGGCAAATAAGTCATATTGAAGTTCTCAATACTTCGGGAGTTTTGCCTATGTTCAATAAGCGTCAGGTTTGGGCATCATGTGATAGCTTACATATCGGTATTTGAAAGTAACATCGAGGGGATAAATGCTCGTAGCAGTACTTTATAAGCTGTACTGTAGATACATTTTGAACAGAGCTACAATCCCGGTTCTAGTCAAATTAAAATGGCTTCCTTTTACTTCAATATCATGTCTGTGATTGCTAGTCTCATTCGCCTTTAACATGGCGCCTAAGTCACGGTAGACTGTGTTATCAAGGTGAACACATTGGCTAATTGGATTTTTATTGAAATCTCTAGCAATCTCTCAGCCAGAATATTTTTTATAGTAAAACATTGTTTGAATGCGCAACTGTCTACCACCGAAAACAATACTAATCTTTCCACTATCAATGATCAATTATCAACGTACTCTCCTTTCAGATGTATATCACAGAATTATGTCTAATCATACATCTATTTATCATTACTCGGCGGATCTAAGGATAGAGTGCGTGAAATGTACTAGAGGCATTAGATGGACGTTATACCAAGGGAACCACATTACTAACTAGATTTGGCTAACATAGTAGAGCACTTTCCTAGAAAGATCTATTGCAGGCTAAACACTAGATGTTCTGTCCATTCTCATCGTAGAATATTCATTGTTCAATGTTTGTACAATGTTGCCGTCGGACGATATAGTATGGCCGGAAGAACCAATGTTCCGCCCGGAAGCTTCCCAGGATGTTCATGACGAGGGCCTTCCCTCAACTGCCTTTATATCCCAGGCCAGCTAAGCGTCTATCTTCTCTATAGCTTCAAAATCTCCTCTATACACCTCCGTTTACAAACACAGGTTGCCTTACTTTGTCTCCGCAATCAGACAAAGGCTCCGCCATGCTCCATTGAGCCCTATAGCTGCGGCTGGAAACTTTTATTGTCCCCCGAGCGCGCAGGCGCGCCTCTCTCTTTGCCGTTTTGACTGTCGCATACCATATTGGATGTCGCATGCCGTTTTGCCAGTCATATTTATAAAAGAAATCACCGAGCCTTCACTCGTCGCCTCTTCGTGCCTCCCTGTATCGTCGGTCAACCTCTTCGGCTTTCTTCAACACTGATCCCAATGGAGTCTACCGTCTCTCCAGCACCGACGAAGCGACGGATCCCTGGGTTGCCGAATCCAGTGGTGGAAGCCGAGCAGCAGAAATGGTTATTCACTGACGAAGAGCTTGAGCGCACGCCGTCGCGAATCGACAAGATCAACCGCGAAAAGGAGGACTACATTCGGCACCGGGCAATCGATTTCATCTGGCAGGTCAGCATGATGCTGAAGATGCCACCACAGACTTCCATGACCGCCACTGTGTATATGCACCGTTTCCTCATGCGTTATTCTTTGATGGGCCAATATCCTGAGGCGGGGTCAGACTTGATACATCCGAAAGTGATTGCTGCAGTGGCCCTGTTCGTCGCATTTAAGGTGGACGAGACAATGCGACGCATGAAGGACTTCGTTATAGCATGCTGCCGTGTCGCCATGAAAAACCCAAATCTCGTCGTCGACGAACAGTCCAAGGACTACTGGAGATGGCGTGACCTGATCTTGCAGAACGAGAGCGTTATGCTGGAATATCTCTGCTTTGACTTGCAACTCGAGTCGCCATACCGCGCCCTTTGGGAATTTTCCCTCTTCTTCGGCGTCCAGGAGAACCGCGCTCTCCGCAGTGCCTCCTACGCCTTCCTAAACGACTCCACCTACACAGTCCTTTGTCTACAATTCTCCCCGCGCGTCCTGGCCGCCGCAGCCCTCTACGCCGCCGCTCGTCATTGCCGTGTCGCATTCCCAGACTCCGAAGGCTGTCCTTGGTGGGATCAAATCGACGTCCGTCTCGACGACCTCATCCGCGCCTGCACGCTGATCGTCAAGATCTACGAGCGTGTCCAGCAAAATTTAAGCAAAGGCTACCCAGAATTTGCCATATCAGAAACAACGCCCAATGACCCAACCCGCATTTTCGACCGCGACCCAACGAAATCGGAGACCGAGCATGCAGACCCTACACACTCTCTCACCGTAACAGCCCCGGACTCGGCTCAAAATGGCCGCAAGCGCTCTCGTGAACCAGAATCCCAACCTCCCTCCTCGCATGCCATGGAACCTACCCAAAACAACTCTTCTACACTCAATGGGCACAGGGAACGATCTCCAAAACGTCAGCGAACGGTTACCCCATCTCTAGAGGCTAACCAGGCCACGCCATCCCAGCCGCAAAAATCCACTACTCGTTCGCGCATTCCTGCCGCGGCATTATCGCAATCGCAATCACACTCTCTCCCTACCGCACCCCCACACCAAACCTCGGGACAAGCAGATCTGCCCCAGAAACCAACCACAGAAGGCAACCACACCGAAGATGGCGAGATCTCTGACGAAAAAGACAGAACCACCCCTCTACCTGCCACGGCAGACCCCATCGCCAACCCCAATACCGAAAAAGAGAAGGATGGGTTTGACGATGCCGGAAGCGAAGAAGGCGAAATTTAAGTATTTACTCCGTTTTCATGCCTGAGAGCACTATGGGAGAGCTACGCGATCCATTCGAGGTGGTGACTCGGTTTTTTTTATCGCTTAATGAACCTCTACTCTCAAGGATTTATGTAAACAAGACGACTATTCATGAAACTTCAATGTCAAGAATTTAAACTTTACAGTTGATTCAATGTCAAATTCAAGATCCAGTTGCGTGTAATCTGGATCCTGGGCTATGTATGCTATTCCCGACAAAAACAAGAAATAAAATAAAAAGCAATGCGAAGGCGCAACTCCTATTGAATATGCGAAGTGCCATACCCTGATAAACAGAGTATAAGCACTAAAGCTGAGAAAAATGGTCCATGCAAGGTAGGGTAATTGATGCAAATGCAGTGCAGGAAGAATAATTTGGCCACAACAGTGGCCACCAGACGCCGTGGCATGAATAAAGTCTTTCTCTCTGTGATTCGCCATGTCTTTCTCGATCTAATTTCTCAGTAACCAGCTGTCATAACGCCCAGTCCGTGGTCTAGCAAGCTGCTCGAGGCAACGTAGCTGAATCCTCCAAAGGGGTTGCTCTCTGCGTTCATCCCATCCGCATCGGGACCCTTGCCGGCAGGGAAATCTTGACCGTTAGCATAATACTCGTCAAAGCCGGGACCTGCCATGGATGGGCTGAGTGGAAGCTGGGTGAAATCGACGGAGAAGTTCTCTGCCAGGGCTGGGTCGGTAACAACGGGACAGATAGGGGGGTTCAGTTCGCGGCGCTCAAGAGCATCCCAGTCGATCTTGCGGAAGAAGCGGTGCTTCTTGATGGTCTGGAGATCCTTTGCCATGTGGTAACCCAGGCGCTTGGAGGGTTCCTTACGCAAAAGACGGGTGAGAAGGTCTTTGGCGTCGGGTCCGAGGTAGTATGGCAGAGCGAGCTTCTGCTTGACAATCTTCTCTTGGAGTTTCGCATGGTTGTTTGCGCGGAACGGCGGCGAGCCGGTGAGTAGGTCGAAGCCCAGGGCACCGAGGGACCACCAATCGCAAGCTTTGCCATAGGGCTTTCCTTGGATAACTTCCGGGGCCATGTATTCGATTGTGCCGAGAAGAGAGTTGCAGCGGTCGTCATCGTTGAGGGCGATCTTGCTAAGTCCGAAGTCTGTGAGGAGCAGGTGGCCCTGTTGGTCGAGAAGGCAGTTTTCGGGCTTCAAATCGCGGTAAAGAACGCCGACATTTTGGTGAAGGTGCTCAAATGCGAGGACCACTTCAGCCATGTAGAAAGCAGCCGCGTCTTCTTCAAACATACGTTCCATAGCGAGATGGTGGAAGAGTTCACCACCCTGCGCATATTCTAGGATAAGGTAAAGCTTTTCGTGGTCCTGGAAGGCATAGAATAGCTTGACCACGAATGGGTGGCGGTTGACACTTTCCAGGATTGTACGCTCAGTCTTAGTCTGCTCGACCAGTTTCTTGTGCACAGTAATCGAAGCCTTGCGGAATTGCTTCTGGGCATACAGCTTACCGGTGACGACATGGCGCACCAACAGAACCGTCCCAAACGAACCCTTTCCGAGGCAGAGAATAGGCTCAAAGTCATCTGCAGTCATTTTCCGGCACAGCTGGCTGCGCAGATCCGCGCTTACACCAGCGGCATCGGCTCCGCGTTCCTCTGGTGTCTCGGGTTGTACAGCATCAGAGCTAACAAAGTCCTGGTCCAGAGGCACTTCATAGCTGGTCAATATCTCGGTCTGATCGCTGTCTGAGAAAGCGCTGACAACACTTGGTGTCTGGGAAGCAAGTCCGCTCGTGGCACCGGTATTGTCCGCCAAACTCAAGGTATTAAGCTGAAGCTTCAAAGCGCTAACTCCGTGGCCTGTGGACGGCTGCGCCAAAGGGCTACCCCCGCCAAGAGAAGTTGGAGGGCGGGATGGAGCACGGGAGCTCGCGGCGGAGAAATCCGATTCTTCATCGCCGGATGGCAGAGGAGTAAAACCGCGAACGGTGGAGCAAGCAGGTCCGGGTCCAACCTGGTTCTTCTTCTTCTTGCTCTTTTGGCGCTGCGTCTTCATGTGCGCATTCAGACCGGGTTTCGCAAAGTCGCCAAATCCATTGTTCATCCGAGGAGACATGTTGCCCATGTGCGCATCGGGGCGACGGTGATTGGTCGGTATGTCCATGGAAGACTGCGCAAGATCAGCCTGTGGGCTGAACACGTCCGCGACCGACAGGTCGTCGCTGATGGTTGAAGAAGGCATTGTGCCTTTGTATCACTGTTCGAAAGTTTCGCGATGGAGGAAATTCCCGGGTGTAGATGGAAGAGCCGGTGATAACCGAGGCTGCGCAATTGACCTTGCGCGGTTGTATGAAAAGGTAGGAAGGTATGGGAAATACCTATCCAAGCAGTTGCTGTTCACATAGATTGTCAGCCTCGTTCTTGAACTGTGAAGAATGTATGGAGGGGTAATTGAGGCTTTTCTCCCCCACCAATAATAGCAAAGATAAATCAAATAAAAAATCTTGATCGGAATTTTTGAGAGCGAAGAATGCAGATCGAATGGGCTTACTTCAACTTGTAAAGCTGCTGAACATCAGAGCACGGTTTTCCTTCAGTGCTCGAACTAGCCGATAAGACCAGTTCTCTCGAGCAGGTTTACCGTCCGCCCTTCTTCAGGACGGACCTGGGACCCCTAGCCAAATCACCTCACGGGTGGAGGTGTCGAAAGCCACGGTGGGAACGGAAATGCAAGGTGCAGCGGATCGAGAGTGAGATGTAGAAGTAGAAGCCAGGTTCAGAAGGGATAGATGGAACGTCGCCAAGGAGGCAGTAAGCGAAGTCAAGGGTGTTTCAGATGGGCACATAGAGAATAGTGATAAAGAAGAAGAGGCTTTCAAGTTCCCTCGGAAAACTGAGGAGGTTCAACAACGCGTGCAGAAAATCATCAGGTTTGAGGCGCAAATCCGGGGGCTGAAGCCACTAGACCCAATGCAGCTTTCACGTGCCAGATGATGACCTAAGTTGTGATTGGTCACAGCCCTATCAGATTGTATAGATTTGATTATTTTGTTCTATTCATGGAATATCTGAATAGTATTGTCCATAATAATCACTCTGTGGCCAGCTCGACCCAACAGTGGTTTGGAATAGCCATATTTGTCAACATATCTACTTCCGCGGCACGTCGTGAGTATCAAAGAACACCCTTGACCGAGTGATCTCAACACCAGATCTCCCGACAAAAGCAAGAGCACTAGGCTTCTCAACCTTAACGGTAACAAACTCATTGCCGAAGTCCACGGTAACAATGCGAGCAATGAACGTAGCCAAAGACTCCACAGTCTGAAAGTCAGTCTCCTCAACTTGCTATATCCGAAACAAGTCAGCGTACATCGCAAATCCATATATCAAGGGGGGGAAAAGCGAATCACAGACCTCAGCAACAGCCCTGACAGCCTCCTGATAACTAGCCACAACCTTTGACCCCCAACTCCGCAACCCCTCACCCTTGAAAACCAACCCAACAACAACAGCTTGCTTCTCAACCCTCTCATGAGGATTAACTCCAAGAACAGCATGACACCGAATCCCCTCAATGCGGAACTCCTCCTCCAAAACAACCGGACACTTCACCCCATCCTTATCCCCCCAAACAGTAACAGCCCGATATCCCAAACCCCCCTCAGCCCTCAAAATAGCCTTACCAAACTCCAAATTCACCTCACACTCCCCAAATTCCCCAGACACACTCTCGCCACCCCCGTTCCCACCAACCCTCTCAGCTGTCTCCTCCAACATTCCCAATCCAGCATTCGCCACAATCGCACCCGTGACACGCGGGTCAAGACCAGTCGCATAGGACCTATCATCCAGATCCGCAGTCCGCGTCCCGGAGACATTAACCATAGATTTATGCGGGTGATCCGTCGATATAGAGAGAGCAGCCATGCTGCGCACATCGCTGTCTAACCGGCGGAAAAGTTTGCCGTAGTCGAGCGTTAAGCTCACATTGTCGGTTTCGGCGGCGGTGATTATGGACGAGTAGGTGAGTTTTAGGGTTGCGGTGCAGGGTTGCGATTTTCCGGTTCGATGCCAGGCTTCGGGGGCAACTGGGAGGGGGAGGTTTATGTCGCGGAGGCGGACCGTGTCGAGGGTTTCGGGTCGGGGGCGGAGGGTTATTTGTTGGGTGGACATTTTGGTGGTGGCTTTGTATTTGGTGTTAGATTAGGTGTTAGATTGGAGATGTTGGTAGCTCCAAGTCAGGTGAGGAGGGGAGTTTTTTTCAGCGGGGAAATGTGGTTCGGGGGTGGGACGCTTCTGGACGGCTGTGCCCGCGTTAGTCAATGGTTGTTTTGTCTCGAGGTGCTTTTTCTAGTTGGATATCATATTCACTAGAAATATATTTGTGAGTGATCAAGAACCGGATTGGATTCTAATATCTAGCGGAAATGGGTGCCGCATTCCACAAGATATATATATCTGTTGTGCCATGCGAATGACAGGTCATACTTCCAGAGCACCATGTCCATCTATGATTGAGACTGCTACACGCAAAACAGACAGAGGAGATTAAATTGCCAATAGCTACTCCAAACAAGTGTAAAAGAGTACAATGTGAATAGGAATAAAATTGAAAAAAAACCATGAGGCAAAGACCCCATATGTCCCACGGCAACCTCAACTATCTGCAACGAAGGAAAACACTCGCGCTGTCCAGTAGAAAGAATAGAAATCAAAAGTAAGAAATAAAAATCCGGCCGTGAGAACACGCTGAACGACACCTCGGGGCGAGGTGGTAAAAAAAGATCATGACACCATGAAATCAGTATGATACGTTGCGGGTATTTGGCGAAGGGAAGTCAAAGTTACTGAAAGAGAAAAGCAGGGCAAGGAATCATGCTGGTAGAGATGCTGAGATGCTGAAATGAAATGCTGGAACATTCAATCAAGGCCAGCACGACGACTATCACTACCACTACCAGTAGCGGGGGCGGTCGTAAGGGACATAGTCGCTTCTGGGCGGGGAGCGAGGACGACCATAGGCCCGCGCAGCTAGGTAGGGATCATCATAGTGGCGCGGGGTGTGGAGGAGGGTAGGGGTCTTCGTAGGGGCGACGGGGTGGGGGGTAGTCTTCCATCCGCGGGCGAGGGGGAGTCCGGCGGGCATAGCCATCCCGTTCATAGTAGTCCCGGCGCATGGGGATCGGGGACCGCTCACGGTAGTGATCCCGAGGACTGTAGCCACGAGGAGGAGGAATCCGACGGTCGTACTCATCCATGGGAGTTGGGTATGGGCGACGAGGGGAACGGGACCGGTAAGGGTCGCGAACGGGACGTTCCTCAAAGGCTTGGATCTGGGAAATGGTGAGAGGCGAGTTCTCCGGGTCCGAGCCAGGTTGGGCGCTTACATCGGCGACGCAGGTGACGCGCGATCCTTTGAACTCATGCTGGTCCAGTTTCTCCACGGCGGTTTTGAGGTCGTTGGCGGTTTCGAATTCCACAAACCTTGTAATTGTGTCAATGGAGTTGGAATGGGGGCATTTGCTGGAATATGGTTACCCACCCTCGGCCCTGTTCGCGGCCTGTCTCAGAGTATACCACATCCAGTCCGGACTGGCGGGCAAAGTCTTTCAAGTCCTAGATAACGTATGGTGAGTCCAGGTCCAGGTAAAAAAGTATCCAGGTCCACGTGGGTGAAAGGAAAACAAGAAGTCCATGGCCAGTCCGGGAGGTATATCCAAGTGGCCATACTAAGTAGGAGTCCAGAAATCCCGGAAAGGTCTGAAGTCTTGATGAGTAGGCAAGGGGAATGTGTCAGATCTCTTGGCAGACTGAAAAGCCATAGAGGCACCTTTAGATCACCAAGAGACGAGCGCTAGTATATTAGTGCCGAGGATTGAGTGATTGTCTCAGTGGCCATGATAACGACAGACTTGGATGTGGGCTGAATGTGGAATAGGCTCAAGGAATCTACACCAGGAGCTCCGGGAAGGAATGGACATGGGCTGCTAACCTGCCAACTTGTTTCTGGAAGACCGGAGATCTGCATCCGGAATACCGTACGACGTGGACGCGGGAGATTGTTGCGCTCTGGGGGTCCGGGGAAAGCTTCCTTGCGTCGGGGCCCGCGGGCAAACTGAACGGTGAGACGCTCGCCTTTGAATTCACTCCCATCTGTGTTGTTGATAAGCAAAATGTCAAGCTGGCAAGTAGGTCATTGGATCATACGGAACGCTACAGGCAAGAAACAGTCAGCCAGCCAGCAGAGATAAGTGGGTATTGTTTGTTCTTACCAGGCACAATATCCCGAGCATCCAGTGCATCCTCATATTCGATAAAGCCAAAGCCATTCATTAGCTTGATCTCGGTAATCTTACCCGAGCCATGGCTGCTGAAGTGTTCCTCGATGTCTCCTTTGGTGACTGCGAAAAAGGTGACATGATGGTTAGCGCGACTCAAAACAAATCCGAAGGCGGCCGAGGCGATAGCTGTTCCGTGGTAGCTCCAGCTCCTAGCGGGCCCGAAGGAGGAGCCCAGTCAGAGACACAAGGGAGGTCCGAGGCAGAGGGGGGACTCTAGACGTCAGATGCCAGGAAGGGGACAGCTGGCGATCATGCACGGAGGTGCGTTCTCGAGGCAAAGGACAATCAGGTGTGGGTGCCAGCATACCATTGCGGGGAAGGTTCCCAAGATAAAGGCGGGTGGACGATACCTCAGTCATGGCTGATCTGAAGGACTGGTTTGTTGATTAAAAGAAAGAGATGGCCAAAGGGAAGTCTCCGGATTATGAAAAAGCCCAGAACGTAGGCGCCTTGGGGAACGGATGCGAGTGACTGCAGCGCGTAACCGCCCAACAAACAACCTTGGAGGAGGGCTGTGAGAGGCCAGAGCGATAATACCACTTCAGATCGAGACCCGATAATAGCGAGGATCAGATGAGAAGGGAGAGGGAGAGAAGTGAGAGGGGGGAAGAGAAAAGGGAAACCGTGCTCTGGCGGTGGACTACGAAACTCTGGCCGCCTCACTTTTTTCACTGATCCACGTGGTCCCACCGTGTACTTTATTAAATTAGATCTTGAGGAACGAACAGATGTATAGAATATAGATGTATAGATGTTAGATTTACAATTAGAGGTATGTGAATCCCTGGACCTCCACCAGCATTCCACGGTTCTGCCCGGGGCGGGGAATCATTTTTTGGTACGGTACTTTGGCTCTTTGGCTCTGTTATACAAACTCCAACCTCAAACTCCTGTTTTATCTTGAAACTAGCTCTTACGTCAACATATACTTGGGACCCTCTCCTCCTTGAGGTGTCTGCCAGTTGATGTCTTGTGTAGGAACCTTGATGTCACAGGTCTTGCAGTGAATGCAGCTAGGAATGGTCAGCATCTAGATCAATCCTATGTCGGGTATATTGACTTACTTCTGTGAGTTAATCTGGAACCGGACACCGTGCTCCTTGCTGGGGTCCTCAACATATTCGTATACACCTGCAGGACAGAAGCGGTTCTCAAGGCCCTTGTACTTGGGCCACGCCAGATCCTTGTGCTTATCCCAGTCTTCCACTTGCAAGTGAACTGGCTGGTCTTCTTCGTGGTTGGTACCTGTCCGGCTGACGCTGGTCAAAATATCGAAGCTGATTTCTCCATCGGGCTTGGGATATTCAATCTTCTCATATTCAGATGCAGGCTTGGTAGCTGCCGCGTCGGTACCGTGGTGACTGAGAGTCCACGGCACCTTGCCCTTCAAAATGTATGCTTCCAATCCGGAGTAGAGCAGTCCACCAAAGAAACCAAGTGGGCTGTTGAACGAGGGACGAATGTTGCGCACTTCGGACAATTCTTTCCAGATGGACGAGTCGCGCAGGGACTTCTCATAGTCGAACAAGAACACGGTTCCCTGGTTCTCGCTCTGCAGCGCGCCAAAGGTGGCCTCGGCTGCCAGCATACCAGACTTCATAGCGGTGTGAGTACCCTTAATCTTGGGAACGTTCAAGAAACCGGCTGTATCACCGATCAAGGCACCACCAGGGAATGCACATTTGGGGATAGACTGGAAGCCACCCTCGTTCAAGGCGCGGGCACCATACGAAATGCACTTGCCGCCCTCGAGAACTTCCTTGAACATGGGGTGGTGCTTCATCTTCTGGAACTCCCCATACGGTGAAAGCCACGGGTTAGGGTAGTCCAGTCCAACAACCAGACCAATACTGACCATGTTGTCGCCAAAGTGGTACATCCAAGCTCCACCATAGGTATCCTTGGGAAGAGGATAACCCATCGAGTGGGTGATCTCACCCGACTTGAACTTGTCAGGTTGAATCTCCCAAATTTCCTTGATTCCAAGTCCATATGTCTGGGGCTGGCTGTCGCGACGGAGATCGTACTTCTTCATGACCTGCTTGGTCAGACTGCCGTGGCAGCCCTCAGCAAGCAGCGTGACACGGGCGTGAAACTCCATTCCGCGCTCGAATGTATCCTTAGGCTTGCCATCCCGACTCAATCCCAGGTCGTTGGTCGCAACACCCTTCACCGCGCCGTCGGAGCTGTAGACGATCTCACTAGCAGCGAAACCGGGGTAAACCTCAACGCCAACCTCTTCCGCGCGCTCCCCCATCCACTTGGTCAGCTCGTTCAAACTGACAATGTAGTTTCCTTCGTTGTGCATCTGCGGCGGCGTAGGCAGAGGGTATGATCCGGTTTTAGTCAAGAAGCGCATCTTGTCGCCCTTGGCGGGGGTTGCACCCTCGAATCGCGAAGGGTTATCCTCGGACAGCCAGTCAGGGAGCAGCTCATTGAGGGCGGTTGGCTGCAAGACGTTTCCAGAGACGATGTGGGCGCCCAATTCACCAGCCTTCTCTAGTAGGATAACTCGAAACTCTTCGTTGCCTGCTTCGTTGGCAAGCTGCTTCAATCGGATGGCGGCGGCGAGACCGGCAGGGCCTAGAGTGTATTACGCTTAGCTGGTGCATATGGAGAGCCAATGTTAGTACATACCACCACCGACAATGCATACATCCACCTCATCGGACTCGCGCTCGATAGTGCGAGGGTCAAATTCGCCCTCGTCTGTGAATCGTCTTGATAGCGATTGTGAGAAGGCTCGTGTCTGGGGTGGGGTGAGGAATGCCGTTCGGCGAGGGATCCGTCCGGCTGTGAAGGGACTAGTTGAATGGCGGGCTGGGGTGGCAATGGCGGAGACCGAAAAGCTAGCTCGTGAGAATCGGGAGGAGGATCGTAGTTCGCGCCTCAGCAGAGGCAGGACGGTACTTTTGGTGGCCATGGTGTAAGTTTCTTCGAAGCCGTAAGCTGTGACCAGTACTAGCGACCGAGAAGCATGAGCGAGGTTAAATGCGGAGGGACAAGATATTAAGATATCGATGATCAACCTTGAGTACCCGAGCTAGAGTCGAGGATCTCAAAACGCCGAAAAACCGCCTATCCTCGGCATTATTGCTGAGCCAATGGGGAACTCGGCGATTCAAATCTTGGCCTGAGGTGTCGATGACCTAAAATGTCTTTCTTAAACCGGAAACCGGATCATGTTTGGGTAATATAGATATAGATGTAGATGAGGTTTAGAGATAAAGATTTCCTCAATTTGCATGTTGACTCCTGTCACATTAGCCATCAACCCTTGAGGTTGATATTTACATATATGACATAGTGGACTTGTCACATGCATCACATGTTCAATACCATAGGTTACCCCATACTTGACATCTACTGTATAACTCAACTCCTGTCAAGTTCATCTTGCATATAATATATGCATATGCCAGAGAACAAGCTTAAATTAGTTGAATGCTACTCCAGGGGTCTAAGAGCCAGCGCAAAGTATGCCCGGAGCACTTGGTATTGTATTATTACGGTGGGAGTGGTGGAATGTAACGATAGTTTCGGGTATGGTATTCAGCATACCGGAAACTCGAAAATGTTCTAACATCAATACCTAGATGTGACCTGAGACGAACAAATATTTCAGAAGCCAGAGAAGTATTCCAAAGCAGCTAGAAAAATGACCGATCATTAACAGATGGCATACCATGAGATTCATCAGGCCTTGGCGGGCGGATCAGCGCGGACGCCACCGCCCCAGGCAGAATCGAACCGGCCACCTGTCCTGATAGGGATTCCATTAACGTGTTGGAAGTTGGGGGAAATTATTGGATAGAGTGAAAGAGAGAAATCAAGAGAAGTGTATGAGCAGATGGTCAGAGCCATAAAAATATAGCACCACCACACCTATATCAGCCTGTCATGTACCCAGAGTGTGAGGTCAGAGAAGGACCGAAAAACGAGAATTTTTGTTCAGTTGCCCCCCGTTAAAGCGGCAAGAGGAAAGCGCGTCCAGGGAGTGACCGAGGGTAGTCAATGACGATGATTGGCCTGGCGTGGAGACAGATGGGGACTATCAGCTACAGGAGGACCGCGGACTGGAAGAACAGCGCCTGTAACCATGGGGGTGCGGAGGATAAAGCAAGGGTGTTTCAGCCATTCAGGGGCCCGGGTGGCCAAGTAGCGGAGTGTGTTGGACGAATGAGAGACATCTCTGTAGTTGGGCAACTATGATTGGTCTACAGGAGACAGCCCCAGAGCCGCTAGCGGATGATTGAGCCAAGGTTGAAGGGAGACTGGTCGCGCTGCTTTTACCGGGGCCCAGCCTCCCCTGTGAGTCAGCACTATATAAAGGCCCAACCTCCCCCCCGTCACTCCCATTCCTGTCTCGGTCTTGGCATCCGGAGCTGTTCTGGAACTACCTCAAAAGCAGCATTTTTATATCTGCTCCTTTACTAATCAGATTCTCCTCACTCTGGTTATTCTCTCATACCCTTTCTTTTTTTTAGGGAAAAAAGTTTTTGTCCACACGGCTTGAACAATAGGAGCTGAACCTTAGGGATCACTTCACTCTCTCTCTCTTTTCCAGATCGCGCAGATAGACTCAAATTCAATACCAAAAAGCAGCGCAACAAGAACAAAACAGAAAAAAAAGTTGCTGTTCATACCGTCCTTTCTGTCCTTTGTCATAATCTCGCCGCGTCTTGAGAAAACACTTCAGTGTGCGTTTCTCCTGATTTCGACTGCACCAGTGCAACGGTTTCGCTGCCCTTACTCGTGTCTGACTTTCCATTTTTGGAAAGCACCGAATTGAGTGCGAAGACCTTAAGGGGGATACATTGAGTTGTCCATCTCCCAGGTAAGACTTTCTGCCCCACGTGACTTTCTTTCACCACAACCTCTCTTCCCTTTCACATCTCTCTTCATTGGTGATTTTCGCTCACCTCTGGCTCTCCAGTTGTTACGTCATCCAACTTTCCCTTTCACCCTCATCACACGTGATTTCGTGGCTTCGAGCTTCCATCATGGATTCGCTCACCACCCACCCGTCGAATGCCCAACAGGCTCGTGCCTTCACCTCTACCGCCTCGCTTTCCTTCCCTGGTGGTGCGGGTGACTTGACACCACCTGGTTCGGACAAGGTCGAGATGGCTCAGATGAACGGCCAGAATGGAGGAAATGCCGTCCAAGGCACCGGGGTGACTCCCGCCTCTCCTGCGACCCCGGCCGCCACTCCTGGCGCGACTACCGGAAGCAGTGGCATTGTGCCTACCCTGCAGTGAGTATATTCTTGCTTCTTTCTGGGAGACCAGAATGGCTGAACTAGGCTCTACCAAAAGGAACATCGTTGCCACCGTCAACCTTGACTGCCGCTTGGATCTCAAGACCATCGCGTTGCACGCTCGCAACGCCGAGTACAATCCTAAGGTATATTTCTCTCTTCCACACCTTCCCGGTGATTCCATCAGGGTACAGTGTGGCTGAACTGGGTTTCTTTTCTATTAGCGTTTCGCTGCCGTGATCATGCGTATCCGTGATCCCAAAACCACCGCTTTGATCTTCGCTTCCGGCAAGATGGTCGTCACTGGTGCCAAGTCGGAGGACGACTCGAAGCTCGCCTCCCGCAAGTACGCCCGTATCATTCAGAAGCTTGGTTTCAACGCCAAGTTCACGGATTTCAAGATCCAGAACATTGTCGGCTCTTGCGACATCAAGTTCCCCATTCGTCTGGAGGGCCTGGCATCTCGTCACCACAACTTCTCGTCTTACGAACCTGAGTTGTTCCCTGGTCTTATCTACCGCATGATGAAGCCTAAGATTGTTCTTTTGATCTTCGTCAGTGGCAAGATCGTCCTCACTGGTGCCAAGGTCCGTGAGGAGATCTACCAGGCTTTCGAGTTGATCTACCCTGTGCTTTCTGGTATGTTGCCTTGTGGTTTCACTGCCACTTCATTGCTAACTCCCTCTAGATTTCCGCAAGGTCTGAAAAAGCTTCGGAGATCACATCCTCTTCAACTTTCAACCCTGTATTAACACTGCCCTTTTTTCCTCGTTGAGGATTGCAGTGATTCTTTTATCCTGCACCTCGGTTTTCTTTTGCTTTACGAATTTTTCATGCAAGCATAGTTGGGCGTTCTAGCGATTCGGATGATCCCCGGTTTGTTCCACCATTTCGTGCTTTTACACAATTAGATTGCTGCACGCCGCAGTGAGGCGGTTTGTGCGCCGGTCGATGACTGCTGCCTCTAATTTTTATCGTTCCTGGTTTCATCTGTGGTGGACTATCTCCCCATGGGCCAAAAAAAAAAAATATGGTGAGCCCTTAGATTCTGTCTTTGCTTTGCCTGCCCAAGGCTGGATATTGATGGAACGGCACTGCCGTTACTACCTTTGAGTAGCAAAAATGAAAAGACTCTCAAAAATTTCTTTCTAGTGACTGTATCAATGTAGTCTAAGCCCAGTGTACATGTCTCATCTATACATCTAAACAAATTTGGTATGTCACGCATGCTATATACATCCAAGACGACCCGACAACCCATATATACCATCTATAGCGCGCTGCTTCTCGAAGCCTTCTGCGCCTTCGCCAGTTCATCCTTGAGATTGGCCCGTCTCTCTCCAGACCGACTACCATCACCATCAAAGTCCTCACCCTCAGCCGTTGCAGCAGCAGACCACGTCCACATCTCGCTAAGCTCAGCATCAAGAGTTCCCTCAAGCGCATCCACAACCTTGTCACCAATAACAGGGAAGAACTTGAACGCATGTCCACTGCCACCAGTAGCAAGGAACAGGCCCTCATGATCAGGATGGTAGGAAACGATAAAGTCGCCCTTGGGCCTATGCGTTCACAGTATATCAGCACCAAGATCACCAATTCACACAAAGAAAAGAAATAACTCACGTATCAGTATACCAACAAACCCGCGTATCAACAAACTCCCTCTCAGCAAACCGAGGCAAAAGCTGCCTCAACGCAACCCGGAAAGCATCCTGCCCCTCAAGCGGAACAGGAACACCCTTCTCAGGCAAAGAAACATCCATCCGCTCCCCAGGACCCTGAGCACCAGGCACAGGAACCGAAACGGGATTGCGGTATCCAAACGCATGGCGCGCAATCTTAAGCAGATTGCCCCGAGGCGGGATAATAAAGATACCAGTAGCGAAGTTCAAAATGGTAGGCAAATTCTCCAACTCGCGCTGCTCCTCATCAGAGATAGACATATAAGCAATCGCCTGGCCAGTAGCAACAGCCCGGCCACGTAGATCAACCAACTTGGATGTCCACGCTCCAGTAGCAAGAATGACAAGGTCACCAGAGAGGCTTGATCCATCCGTGAAGGCAACGCCAGTAGCCTTCAACTTCTTGCCATCAACCTGCTCATAAAGAACCCTCTCCACATCCCCAGTCCGAAACTCAACCTTCCCTGTCTGATCAACCAATTCCTTCGCATACGCAACACTAGCACCAGCATCAGACCACCCAGACCCCCAATTCACATACCCGCCCGCAACATCAAGCTCCTCCCCGTACGCAGGAACAACCCTCAAAACATCCTTCTGCGACGGCAAGAACTCAACATTATCACCTTCGATCACGCGCACGTTGGCGTAGCTCTTGCGCGCGTATTCCTTTGCGCTGGCGCTGTCCGCTGGGTACACTAGCAGCAGACCGTTTTGTGTGTACCGCCCTTCAGCGCCCCAGGCTGTGCTGCGCCATTTCTTTATGGCCTTATCGGCTAGCTTGGAATAGGCTGCGTTTGCGTAGTCGGCGCGCACGATGCGGGATGTGTCTACTGACGACCCGTGCGGGTTTGGGATTGTTGGGGAGGATTCGATTAGGGTTATTTTGGAATTCGGGTGGCGTTTTGTTAGGGAGAGGGCTGTTGAGACTATTTTTCTTTGTTAGTTTGGTCAATTGCGTCGGAGCATTGGGGGATTTGGTGGTGTCATTGTGTTCGGGTGCGGGTGCTGTGTATGGGGTTGGAAGTTGGGACATGTGTGGCATGTGTGGTATGTGGTCTGCAGGTTGGGGATGTATGAAGCATGCTGTCTATACTCACGTCCGAAGACTCCGCCTCCTACAATCAGGATGTTCGACGGCAATGCCATTGTGGGCAGAGGAAGATTTGTGGGAAAGTTGGAGATGCTGGGGGATTCCCCAGTTGATAGCCGATAACGGACTGACTTGTCTCGGTCCCGACTCCCGACTTTTCGTCCTCCGAGTCAACATTGTCCCCTAATAGGCTTTGATCAGTCGCCAGCGGTCTACAGGTTATCAGCTCGTGCAGTGAGACTCATATTCCAAGCATTACTTTGATCCCTTGCTGGGTGACAAGTCTCCCGCGGGAGGGAAACGAAAAATATCGGCGCGCTAGACCGCATACATCGCTCTTATCAGGAGAAAACCCTAGTCGTATGGGCCCATCGCAATGAATGCACACCAATTGCGACGAGTACCTCTGGTCAAGTGGCCTGTTTCACCTTCACCCTGCAGACGCGCATCGAGCAAAGTACCTCGCGATCAAATGTACGCACACGTGCCCATGCCGTCGAAATCCGTACTAATGTATCCCCTAGTCCAATCTTAAGGAGAAACCATCCTCTTGGCAACACACAAAATGCCTCACTGGAGTCCAAAAGGACCGTAAAGCCTAAAAGGCGTGAATTCCCCCCAAAGGCACAGTCACAGTCCTCCAAAGATGACACCAATCCAGAGACGAAGGAGAAAAAGAGCAAACATGGAATCCCTCCAACAGCTCTGGCCTTTATGGGTATTACAGCCCTTGCAATTAGCACCTACAGCAGCTACCTATACGTCTCATACAAGCGCGAAGTGAGTAAAAGCCAAGCGTTGGTCGTATCAAACGACGTCTCAGACAGATACAACAAAACAGCCAGCACATTCGACGCAGACGTCGAGATCTCAGAGAAATTCATGCAGCTGGGCAGCAAGCGCAAAGACTTAATCCGACATGCTCGCGGCAACGTTTTAGAAGTGAGTTGCGGTACAGGCCGTAATCTACCATACTACCTCCTCGGCGAGCGAAGGGGCATCAACGAATTCCACCACCACGTCGAAGTAAACGGTTGTCGGTCCATTACATTCACAGATCTAAGTCCTCAAATGGTCGCAATCACGAAACAAAAGTTCGAATCCATGTATCCGGATTACGATCGTGTATCTTTCCAATCCGTTGACGCGGGCTCTGTCTCGCCCCCGCCTGCTGGAAAGGGTGATCCACCGCGCTACTTTGATACCATTGTTCAGACCATGGGTCTTTGCTCGATGCCAGATCCTGTTGCGACGCTGCGTCATCTTGGGTCCATTACTGAGCCCGGGAATGGTCAGATCTTGCTTCTGGAGCATGGTCGTTCGAGGTGGGATTGGGTTAATGGGATTCTGGATAACCTTGCGCCCGCTCATGCGGATCGTCATGGGTGTTGGTGGAATCGCGATATTGGAGCTATTGTTAGGGAGAGTGGATTGGTTATTATTGAGGAGAAGCGTTGGCATTTTGGGACAACTTATCGTTATGTTTTGAGGCCCAAGGGGAGTTCTGAGTGATGGGCGCTTCAGAGGATAGATGCGGCTAGAAGGAGGCCTATTGTATTCATATTGTATGATAATAGACATGAGGTTATATAGATTCTACGAATGCAAACAGTACCATAGAAATATTGATAGAAAACATGTTTCGGGGTAACATTGCTATATACGTTTTCTTTCCATATGGGAGAACAACCTTCTAATCTACGCCTTATTGAGTAAATCGATTCCAGAATCTCAGCACCAATAACAAAAAGTCCATCCCTCCTATGACGCCAGATCTTGACAATCTTCATCCCGGATGCCTCGAGATGAGCTGATAAGGTGCCAATCTGCGAAGTATTTTATGCCCGATGCTGCTAGGATTACTTCTTTATTTTGTCCATGCGATATCGCTGGCTCTTTTCACGAAAGCTTCCTGTCTACACGTTGCTTTTTCATGATGCGAGGCGTCCAATATAGTATCATGGGTGTTCTTGTCAAATACGTATCTCTGACCATGTCACTCGCACAGTTGTCATATGAATCATACAAAGTCGTACAAGGCAAAGTCAAATGAGATACAATAAAAGTAGTAATCACTAGTGCACTAATTGTTCCCAACTCACTTTGAAAACTGAGACCTGGAATATGTAGTTTTGGGCCTGATATCTCCATGCTTTCAGGATGACCGTCCAAGCTTATAAGCTAACCCAACTAATAGCGGTATCTGAAGCCTGGAGTCTTCCAATCCGTAATGTCTTCGTAATCATCGGACACAACTTGAACTCTCGTCACTAGCTCTGCAACATTATTCGAATCCTGATCCCCATCCAAAACCTTCCCACCAACAGCACCCGCATTCCCAGCACTCCCCTCAAATCCTTCCAGACGCGTCCGACGAGCATTAGTCCATTGCAAGTAGAACCGCAGAGACAAAGCAAGACCGACAGCAAGAGCATAACAAATCATGACAGCGCGGAAAGCAGTATTATAACTCGGCGCTTCTTCACTAAGAAAGAACTGCGGACCAGAGATATTACCGGCACAATATGCCAGAAACAGCATAGCAGTAACAGTCATTTTCTTCGTGACACCACGATAATTAGCCTGCACAAGCGACATGGCCAGCGGCATGGCAGCAGGACCCGTCGACAAGAGGAAATATCCAAACAACTGCGCGCCCAGAACGATATGAGCACGCAAGTAGATAATCGCACTACCCACAACACAGGGAATAACAACAGCAACAACAAGGACACAATTGAGCTGACGGAACCGGCCAGCCAGCCAACCCGTCCCCGTAATGGTGGCGATAGTAATAATCGAGTAAGGGATGTTAATCAGCGTAGACTGCAGACTCGTAAACCCAAGTGATTTGATCACCAGATTAGAGAAGTTCTGCGTTCCCCCATTGGGGATTTGCGTTACCAGTGCCAAGCCGAAGACTAGCCATGTCTTCGGGTCCATGAGACATTCCACGAATTGGTCCCATTGCCAGTCTGTTCTCTCTGTTGCGCCTGTGCCTGCGATTACGGCTCTGTTGCTTGCGCATTGGCGTTCTTCTTCGGTGAGGAATCTGGCTTTGGATATTGAGTCTGGAAGGAAGGCCCATAGTGCGAAGCCCCAGATGAAGGTTAGTACGCCTAAGACGATGAACATCCATCGCCAGGGTCCAACGCTGTTGTTGACGTGTCCGAGACCATAGGCGAGGAGGCTGGAGAGGATTCCGCCGACGCTCTAGGTGGCAATGTTAGTGGTGGGTTTTAAGGTTTGATAGGGCTGAGAGGAGGTGGGCTTACGTTGCCAGCGAACCATAGTCCCGTTCGGGTCGGAATCTCATCGCGTGTATACCATGTCGAGGTGATGAACATGAATGCTGGGGTAATGGTTGCTTCGGCGACTCCTAGTAGGAAGCGGACGGTGATTAAGCCGCCGAAGTTGGTGCATGCCGCTGTGAGGGCTACCACTGCGCCCCAGCATAGGGTGTTGGCTGTCATGTATTTCGCTGCTGGTAGACGAGCTATTAGGATAGTTGTGGGATATACCCATCCTAGGTAGCCGAAGTAGAATACTGATGAGACCCAGCTGTACTGCTGGCCCACTAGTCCCTGGGGTGAATGTCAATTTGGTTTTGTGTTGTTGGGCAATTGATCTTACTGTGTCATCACGCATCCCAAATACAGCTGCGCTGGACAATATGACTTTGTCCATAAAATTGAGCATGTAGGTTGTGAACAAGAGCGGGATTAACCTTCTGTCGATCTTGCGTAGTACGCTTTTCGCCACGGCGTTTGTGGCTTGCTCGCGATCCGGAGCTGTGCTTGGCTCTGTCATGTTGCCAGTTCTTATGCGTCTGATAGGCAAAGAAAACACTATGCCTTTGTCAAATGCTGTCTCTTTTGTACACCGTGCTACTTTGCATTCTTATCTTTTCCCCGCACCACTATTCTTTCCATTGGCCACCTCTGTATGTTATCGTCAATATATCATCTTTGCGCGGTAGGCCATTGGACAGAATTGGAACTAAGATGCCAGCCAAGTCCCCTAGTAAAGCTAACACCAGCACAATCCCAAACAGGCAACATTTGGAGACACTTGCCGTAGATAAACCTTGAATGTCTTTGGAGAAGCACACCTCCTTTAGTCAGGTCAGATCTCCGACCTCGGCAGCCTACATAATACTATCCAATGCGACATCTCGTATGTCTAAACAACCCCCTACTCCACCCCCATCCCAACCAAACAACCCATTTCACTACCAAAATGAACAACCTCCAAATAAGCCCCTTCATAAAGACCCTCCCCAAAGTCGAACTCCACATCCACATAGAAGGAACCCTAACACCAACCCTCCGCTGGACCCTAGCAGCCCGCAACAAAATTCCCCTCCCCTACAAAACCCTCTCAGACCTGCAAGCCTCCTACGCAGTAACTCTAAACCACCGACCCGAGCTAAACGGTCGCCAACCGGGCATCCCAACCTTCCTAGAAGCCTACTTCGCAGGCTGCGAAGTCCTCCGCACAGAAGCCGACTTCTACGATCTAGCAATGGCCTACCTATCCCGCTGCGCAGAAATGAATGTCCGCTATACAGAGCCGTTCTTCGATATCCAGGCGCATACAAGGCGGGGTGTGTCTGCCAACGCTGTTTTGGATGGTTATTTACGTGCGCAACGGGATGCTGTTACTATGTACGGGGTGCGATCACAGTGGATATTGTGTTTCCTGCGTGATGAGTCTGTTGAGGAGGGTCTTGCTGCGTACCGGGAGGCGAGGCCTTGGGCTGGGGGGTCTGTTGAAGGCGGGAAGGGGTTATTCCATGCTGTGGGATTAGCAAGTAATGCGTATGAGCGGCCACCGATGCTTTTTGAGGTGGGATTCCAGCTTGCACGGAATGATGCGTTGCATGTAACGATGCATTGTGATTTTGGGCAGAAGGATACGCTTGAGCATGTGCGTCAGGCTGTTTTTGAGGTTTGTGGGGGGTTGGGGGCTGAGCGCATTGATCATGGGTTGGATGCTTGGAGGGAGGAGGGATTGTGGAGGGGGTTGGTTGAAAGGGGGATTGGGTTGACTCTTTGCCCCCATGCTTATCATCGGAGGACTGAGACCGAGGTTTTGTTTCCTATGATTAGGGGGTTGCTTGAGGCTGGGGTTAAGCTCTGTGTTAACAGTGATGATCCAACGCTGATGCATGATGTTTGGATTGATGGGAATTTGCAAAAGGTTTATAGTTATTGTGGATTTGGGAAAAGGGAGATGGTGCAGCTTGTTCGGAATGCTGTTGATATGTCTTGGGCTGGGGATGATGTTAAGAAGGCCCTTTATTTGGAGTTAGACGGTGTTGATGTTTTGGAATGACCTTTGGTCACGACTCGATCTAGAGCCTGTATGTTGTGATATCTAGCATTCCATCTTGATACGTTTGTGTTTGGAATTGCAGAACGACGCCACATTCATTCGATTCTGGCTCAGTGCATCTAATGTATGTGACGCACTAGTGATATATCCGTGGCCCAATGAAATTCTTTCTCGATTATGGTTGTGGAGGGCTAGGATTCAATCTTGTTTTCAGGATGAAGTCGGGCTATCACAGGTAATTATATCACGGAATGTACTTTCGAGTATTGCCGATGGGGCCTGAGCCAGCTTGTCATGCTAGACCCCGCAATCAATATATATCATGTTGTTAGCAGATCTATCGGAAGCAGCTATGATATTAATGACCCGCAAGCACATCATAGTGAACCAAGCTTAAGGATCGCTGCCATCAAAACTTGGCAAGACTCCGCTTCCCCTCACTTCCACCGATATTTTCTAGAATCCCAAACGAGAGTGACGGGCCATGGAGCAAAACTCTACCCTATCGGACCATGTTTACCCACACAGCAAGGTTTAAGTTCGAGTAGCCTTGCGCTATCGTGATGCTAAGATCGGCTCAAAACGAGGGCGTTTGGTCTAATGCCCAATCCACATCAATGATCTTCATGCAAGTGGTAGGACCTTACAGGGGTTTATTCCGTGTCTCAAATGCAGTTAGTAATCTATCGTTTGGCTCAAGCCCGGGTAAGTTCCAAGTATGACCATGCAAGGTTTGGATATTGATTTGTTAGGATCGAGGCTCATGCGCAGTCTGATTGGTAGATCTGGATTCGGGTGTGTTGGGTTGCCCGTTGTTGAGATAACTTATCTGTATTTGGGGGCGAAGGACTGGATTTTGGATATAGCAATGATTCGCTAGCCTCCCCGTACTCTTAAAGCATGGAGTCCTTTGTTACAATGTCGCAAAAAATGTACCCAGTTATGTTGAAAGGATGGACACGTTGTGTTGCGTTTGTGGAGATGCGGAGAATTCCCGCGCGTCTGCATACTGTAGGTACAGTACAAGGACTCAATGCATAACTACAGATGTGGCAAATGAGCGGATGCAGCCATCAGATAATCTTAATCCTTTCAGCCATAGATGCAACAATGGGCTGGCGATTCCCATGGTTGAGGCTCCCGCTGCTCCGGGGTCAGAGTGGTAGATGTCATGAAAACGGAGATCAACGTGGAGGATTCGGGACAGGGATATCAAAGAATGTCACCTAGGCATCGCAATGCTCGTATCCGATCCCTGGATGCCAAGCTCCTGCATGTAGAATTAAGTAGCCTAAAGACTCATCATCATATCATATGGCAAAAGGCAAGAACAAGGTTCCGGGAGATATGTCATAACCACGTCGAAGTACGGGAACAGAAGTACTTAACTGCATAGGAAGGATCATAATTAATGGCATCATCACTTTCGGGGCAGATATATCCAAACCTATGAAAGCCATTTAATAGGGGACAAAGTGTACGTAACGAATAGAGAGGGGCAAGAGTTGTCTCAGCTCTTGACATCGGTGGCGATACTTCTGTTCCTTTTCTCCCCGAGACGCTAATGTGGGCATCCCTTACTAGCGCATACGCCTAATTACGCTGGCTCTGATTGATCGCTGGGCCGTGCTCCACTCTTTTTTTTTTCTTTTGTAAACGGCGACGCTAGGAGTTGTTTGGGTCTCGGTGTTCCCGGCATCTTGCTTTGCTAGACTCTATACACCACAGAGTGAAATTTGGATATTTTGTTAACTGACTTGTACACATTTAGTAGTTGCGCTGAGTGGTGGTGCTTTAGATCTATCAAGCGGTCAGGGTATGCAAACGGTCACCTAGCAACCACTTGACAGATCGTATGCACAATCTACTGTACTCATATGCATCCCAGCACCTAGCCCCGTCTAATGTGCCGGCACCCACAGAATCTACCAATCAGGGGATCGGCGAGTCTTATTATTATCCAGATCGTGAGCTTTGATTAGCCGAGTTCGATGCATAGGAAAACGGATGGAGACACCGCTGAAGTCGGAGCACCAAATATGGACCAGACCGGGTTATAGAGCACATGGCCTGATCCACACCTACCTGTTGCCCGGTATGCACTAAGACCGAGGATGGAATGGAAGAACTATGGATTTTCATGCTAAGGCCAGCTACGGACTAGTGGAATGGGTGGTCCACTCTGGTGTTTTCTTTTAGTTTGAAGATCTCACAAACTTTGATGTAGCGGTGAGAAGTACAGGGTAGAAGAGTAGAGTGAACAGTCGATATGAAAGAAGTAAACAATATAGATAGAGTATAGAGTAAGTAGCATGGACGACCTATCGACCGTTCCTTCCAAAAAAAGAGCCTTTGGCCCCACTCACCCCACTGTAAATTACCGTGACAATACCTGACACTTTATTTTTCTTTCCACTTTTTTTTTCCCAATTTTCCATTCCTCAAGAGTCGACATTCGCCTTCACAGCTTCCTGTCGCATGGTGATCTCCCTCTGTACTGCTCTCCCCCCCTTTCTCCCTATAGTGTTACTTCTTATTTTTTGTTTATTATATCCCTGTTTTTTTTTTTTTATTATAACTCTTATTCTCTACACTCTTGTGTCTTACTCTCCTTCCTTTGATACCTTGGTTCTCTCCTTTTGCCATCACTCCCTCACAATGCCATACAACACACGTCGCAAGTCACTATCCCTTCCATCCCTAGGCATCCAGCTGCCAAATTCCTCTCGTCGCTCTCCCTCTATCTCAAAATCCCACGATGAGCCTTTGTCAAAAAAGGCCAAGAGATCCCACGGTTCCTCATTATCGCCTGAGCCATCCGACAAGTTCTTGATCGCGCGCGCCGGGAGACATGGAGCATTTGAGCACACACCACCCCCTTCGCCTTTGGATGGAACCGTGGCACCCAAGATCGACACAGAAGGAATCAGTGATGATATCGTCGTGGCCGTAATTGATCAGTTGGAGAAGACGGGGAATCGCCCTCATCTCGTAAAGGAACTCGCCGCAGTCCTGGTTGCGCTCAACGCAAATGTCGCCAAGTATGTACCCTATTCACCTGTGGAATTATTGACACTTTTTTAACATTTCTCTATTTAGTTCTGCCAATCCCGCCGCTCTCCTGTCGTCGCGTTTGGCTGCCTATATGAAGCGTCCTTGGACCGCTCTCGCGCCTTGCCCTATCGCCAAGGAGCTTATCTTAATTCACCCTCGCAAAGTGTATTACTACCTTACTACGTTCCCTCACCAGCCTATTCCCGAGACTGATGATCTGGTTTCTGCCGTAGATGGCAAGCAAATTACACCCAGTGTTTCAAGTCTCGAGGATGAGGAAGACGCCATGGTGCGGCAACGTAGTCCCAGTCCAGAAGTGGACTTGTCATCTCCCGACTTTGGAGAGGATGTGGATCTAAACAGCCCCGCTAGCCATGCCGGCTCTTCCGATCACTTCCCAGATGCCAGCAACCTCACGCGTCTCATGCACTCGAATCGCGCGGCCTCACCGCCCCTGGAGGGCGACGAGAAGGAATTCACTCAGACCGCCAGTGCCGTGCGTGAGCGTGCCTCTGAAGAGAAAGCCAGCGAGTCGAGCCGTAGCCAGTCCATTCTCTCCGAGAGCTTGAGCGCCACGGGAGACCGCGAGCGGAGTATTGAATCCCCGGTGAACGGTGGTTCCATGTCTCCCTCCCTCCACGGCGATGGTATGTCCGAAGAAGAGTATAGTGACTACTTCTCGCATATGCCCGCCGACCAAATGGCCCAGGATTTGGATGAAGCTGCCGCCACTGCTCTGTTCGGCACTTCGCCCTCCCCATCCCTCACATCGGTTGCATCGTCGGTCTCGTCTGGCACGAGTACGATGGATGATGCCTGTGTTGATGGAAAGGACTTGGCTGCTCTTCAGATTGCTTTACCCGAGGATCCCGAGGCTGCGCCTGTTTCTACTCTCAAGCGCTCGCTTGACATGTTGAACAGTGGTCTCCCCGACGTCGATCTAAAGATGTCTGATTTGACCGAGTCGCACGAGAGACTTACTCTGACCCCTCGGCCTATTTCCTCCAAGTCATCGGAGCCTGTCTTCGACTCTTGGAGAGAACTTCAAAATCCCGAAATGGTGGAAGTTGATGAGCTCGATGAGATGTTTGGCGAAATCTAAACCCTCGTGCATCAAATATACTCCTCCTCGCCTCATCTCTCTTTCATCTCCACTCTTGGCTGGACTGAGACCTGCCATATTAGCCCCTACCTTTCTTCACTCCGCTTGTACATGTCTCCTTGGCGCGTGTGCCCTCTACCTTTTTCGCTAATTCCTATTCCACTGTACATATACATCTTGTTTTTGTTTTTTTTTTGTTTCTTGTTTTTTCGCCCTGGATGGGTAGAATGGGAGTCTTGGGAAACTTGAAAGGGACTGGCTTCACCAAAAGTGTCAAAATCGCAACATCTTACATACCTCAGTCCAAATTTATGCTTAACTTCTCCAATCTCCAAATTCTGGTTCCAACGTGACTCAGCTACACTAGACCTAATACAGTAAGAAGCGGGGAGATCATTCTGGTCCCTCTTCCCGCCAGTCAGAGTCCATTGACTTCATTCGCCTTTGCAATCTTTTTATCCCCGTTGAATCACGAATTAACAGCAACTTGCTATCCTAATGGATCTCTCCATCAAGACTTAGCACCAATACCCCTTTCCGGCTTCGCATAGGCAAATACAAGCTTATCATTGGCCGCAACTTCAAACAGTAGCGCATATCACCGCATCGGTATCGCAATCTTGATAACATTCGTTAACCTCGCCATCCAATCCACTCTCATTAGCCTACAAAGGTGCCACAGCCATGACAATTAAAGAAGCACCCGAGCCACAATCCTGCGATGGAATCCCCACGCAAAGCGACGTTTCCGCCCAACAAGCCGAAGCAAAGAACACCCTCGCCACCTCCATCCCTCCTTCCCTCTCAGACACGGCATCGACGATAGTTGCCCAAAGGTCACATACAACACCTGTATTACAGCCCGCCAAGCTCTCTACGCAGACGAAAGTTGCGATTCCGCGCCAGCGGGCTGGGATTGCCCCGCGATATAATCGCCGGGTTCCGAGGGCTTGTGAATCGTGCCGACAGCGCAAGACGAAATGCAGTGGCGATACTCCTGTCTGTCGGCAATGTCGGGAGTTAAGAGCTACTTGTAATTATCCGCAGGGCTGGAGGGAAAGGACAAAAAAGTAGGTTCATCCATTTCACTACTTGATTATTCTATTTTGCGTTGATATGGCGGGATGCTGACGGTTGATGGTAACAGACAAGTGGAAAAACTTTCGGAGAAGGCGCAAGAGTATGAGACTATGCTGAAGGAACTGGGGATGATTGTTGAGACCCGTGCTGCGGACCGGATCAGGAACTTGCTGGACAAGGTTAGTGCCTTCCTGCCTGCGCTGAAATGATTGTTGCTAAAATCTCGACACCAGCATGGTCAGGAGGGAGAGAGCATCCTCTCATAATTCGCAGTCGCAATCAGCAACACCTCAAGATGATGTGGTCCCAGAAAATGATGAACCCTCTTCGCCTTCGTCGATTGGATCCCTTGAAGCCATTGATCGAGTAGAAGAGGATCATAACCGTTCGGAACAAACCAGGGCAACTGGTTATATGGGAAAGAATTCCGAAATTACCTGGATGCAACGCCTACAGAGAGAAGCGGACCAACGCGCCCAAGGTCTACCGGGAAGCCTGGAGCCTGGCGTGGATCGAAAAGCTGACGACCAATTATCCCTCCATGCGGTTAACTATCACCTCGACGATATGGATATATCCGTACCCGGACCAGTGCAATTATACGCGATGCCCTCCCGTGAGATTGCTGATCATCTGTTCGATTGCTATCTGACCACAGTGCACCCATTCTACCCCATTATCAACAGACCACTCTTCCAGGCGCAATACAAGACATTTTTCGAAAGTGCTGCTCGGCCCGGTGACAAGTGGCTTGCTATTCTGAATATGATCTTTGCCATTGGAGCTAAACACTCTCAACTTATCGATGCACCCTGGCGTGCAGGAGAAGACCCGAAGGATCATTTGATGTATCTCACCCGAGCTAGGATCCTAAGTATGAATGGGGATGTTCTGTTCAGCCACCCTGATCTCCAGCAGGTGCAAGTGGAGGGCTTGATTGCCTTTTATCTTCTTGCGTCTGATCAAATCAATCGGTGAGTTCATCTACCTTACATCTTCTTGCAAACACTAACATTTGCATAGTGCATGGAGAATTTCAGCTTTGGCAGTTCGGTCAGCTATCACGCTTGGAATTAACATGAAGAGCAGTAGCCCAACTACACCAGACCTTTCAAAAGAAGCTCGCTACCGGGTCTGGTGGTGTTTATACACATTCGAACACATGCTAGGTATAATGACCGGCCGGTCCACGTGTATTCAAGATGGAGTGTGCACCTCGCCTTTCCCTGTTCCATTCGAGGAGGATCAATTGCACGAGCCGGCGGCTGCGGAAGTACTTACCAACACAACTTTACGAGACGAACGTATCAACAATGTCGTGGCAAGTGTTTGGGTCAGGCAGATGCCGCTCAACCCAGCGAATGGCAAAGAGGCCTTTCACCACTCAGCGGCACGAGATACGACGTGGCTTAAGAATCAGCCTCTCAGCTACGGACTCTGCTATCTCTACTACTGCGATTTGGCAGTCGTCGTGCAAGAAATCGTCAACAAAGTCTATTCAGTAGACTGCGTAATGGTTCCATGGGCACATATCGAGAACCGCATTGGAGAACTCAGATGCAGAACCGAAATGTGGCATGCCAGCCTTCCATCCGGGCTTGATTTCACACAAAAGGGAGAAGATAGTGCCGATGTGCTTCGATGCAAGCTCACATTGGCGCTTCATTACTACAGTGGACGGATTACCCTCGGCCGTCCCTGTCTCTGTCGACGTGATGCAAGCCAGAAAGACAAAGCAGGCAAATCTACCTTTAGCCACGAGATGGCCGTGATAACCCTCGAATCTGCATGCCACATGCTCGACCTTATCCCCGACGAACCAGATGCCATTCAACTATACCAGATCTGCCCATGGTGGTACATCCTCCACTACCTTATGCAAGCAGCAACAGTCCTTCTCCTCGAGTTATCATTCGGCGTTGTCCACATGCCAAACGAAGAACAAAATTTCATCGCGCTCTCCAAAAAAGCCACCCGCTGGCTCTTCGCAATGTCAAAACACAGCATCGCCTCAGGACGCGCCTGGCAACTCTGCGATCTAAGTCTTCGGAAACTAGCTCAGGGCATGAAATACGACGTCAGCGACATGCCTTCATACCCATACCCCTCAGAAGACATCAAAACCGCCGGCATCGGTCCCCAGGTCACCGGCCTCTCCGGCCCCAATTCTGTCCAGGATTATTGGGGTCCCCAGCTGGAACACTTCCCCAATTCTGTCCCGCAGGAAACTCCTGGCCAGGATCACTACTACCCTAACATGTCCTCTGCAGACTTGTTGTCTTCGTTGGCGGCTGAGACTCAGGATTCATATTTCCCTTATGATCCTATCAGCGGCGAATTCATGCGATCTTTCTTCCCGCATGCTAGCGAGAATGGATGGGAGCAGATTTGATTTCTGTTAACATGAATATCTATTGGATATGATATCAAAAGAAACCCACGAACACGAACACGAACATAGCCGTGCATGATTTTGCATATTTTTTTCTTCTTCGTTATCTCCCATTTCCTTTTCTCGCCTTATCTCTATTTCCTGCCACCTTCATACTCAGCAACTTTCTTATTAATCCTTTTTGAAAATCTACACCAGCAATATACCTTATCCCTCCCCGTTGCTCTTTATTCTGCTTCATTTTGGCATCCGTTTTTTCTTCTTCTTATTTTCGCCTCGTCTCTCACGCATTTACCCCCAAAACACATAACACACCATATCTTCTGCATATTCACTTGATGATTTGGATAAAATGGAAGGCCTAGGGTTGGCATTTCAGGGACAAGAATATTGAAACTGGGTTGGGGACTTGGGGGCTTTTGGAAACCTTTTATGTTAGGGCATCAAGAGCAGGACTCGATGGCTCCATTGGTTCGAATTGTTAGGTTGCGGTCAGGATTAGGTTTCAACTGGATATGCCTGGTGTTTTCTTTTTTGAATGATCTGTTTTCATTTATTAATGTTTATAATTGAAGCAGACTGGCATTCTTGAAATCATTGAAACATATCTGATCTCATAATTCCAATCCTTCATTTCATCTGCATCTTATGCACGCATAACCTTGAAAAACTGGGATGTTTTTATGATAAATTCCTTCTCTATGTCCCCTAAGACGAAAAGAAATACGAAGAAAAAGATTATATACATTTGAAGATTATTAAACTTCAGATAAAAATACAATGTAGCCATGACCCGTGGATCAAGAAATCAAATCAAATCTCGAGTACTAAGTACGAGACTTTTGAGCCTCTCTCGACTCTGGCACATCATTCGCCAAATGCAAAGGCCAGGAAGACTGCATCCAAGGATCCTCAAAGTTCTTCTTGACTCTCCTTCGGACATTCTTGCCCGTGGCCGTAGCCATAAGACGGCGTTTCTGCATGCGGCGCAGGTGGCCAGGTATCTCGATGTCGAGCTGGTCTTCTGGGAGACCGTAGAGAAGGAAGGATCTTAGACAGTGATCGAGGACGGATTCGAGTTCTGAGGATGGGGGTTTGGCGTGGGGGTTTTGGTTTTCGGGTTGGATTTGGCTTGGTTTGGAGGGTTGAGGGGTTGGCTTGTAGGTTATTGAGCGGTCGAAGATTTGGGTTATGTCGTCTTGTATTTGGTCGTCGTGTTGGACGGATGTGGGTGGGGGGAGGTTTTCTTGGGTTGATTGTTGGCCTTGGTGGGAATGTGATTTCGCGGCGTATTCTCTGACGGCTGCTCGTGCGAGGATCCGGACGGTCGTCATGTCTGCTACTGTGGCGTGGGTTTTGATCTGTTGTTGCCATGCTGGGTCGAAGTTTGGATCGCCGTGTCTGTGGTCTCGCTCGTGGCTGTAGAGGAGTCGAGAGACTCCACCTGGACGTTGAAGGCGTCTTCTCGGCGAGACCCAGTCGACACACCATTTATCCCAGAACTTTTTTCCGAAGACGGCGCCGTGTCTGTCCACGATGGCGGCGAAGAGAACGTGGAAGGACGAGGGAGGGATCATCTCAATTTTCATGGCGGAAATGATACCTGGGTGTGTTTTCACACCCTTCAGGATGCGCGGCATGATTCCCGGGATGGTAGACAGGACACGGTGCATGCGATATAGCACTCGGTCCTGATAGCTCACTGACTGGAGAGATCTGCCTTGGCGTTCACGTTTGTTGGTCTTAAACTCGCCGCGGAAAATTTGAAGGAAGAGGTCGGTAGCGCGATCCAATTGTTTTGTGTCGGCCGGTGTGAAGGTGCCATCACGTTTCTTTTGCTCGATAACTCCATCGAGTCGAATCATTTCGGCTGACAGGGCAATTATATTGCTATAGGCCCAGGATTTCAAATGATAGTCGGTCATAAATGTAAGCATTAGTACCACACGGTCCCAATTATGACGTGCGATATGGAAGTTTATTAGGGCTTTGACGGTGTTGACAGAGAGTGGTGTTTTGAGAGCTTGTATAACATCAGTAGCAAGTTCAGCATTATTCGAGGCAGCTGCAAATCGGAGAAGCGATGGTGCCACAGCTTGGTCCTGATATAAATCTCGTGGAATAGGAGGACCGTCCATGTCGGTGGCCTGGATCATTTGATTGCCGAATTCATAGGCGCCAGTTGTCGTAACGAGATCAAGTATATTGGCCAGGGTGACCTTTGATACCTGCGGAACGGACGTTTCATAAAGCTTTTGAGGAACATTGCCGGCAGAATCAAAGAATGGGTATTCGTTTTCGTTGTTGAATTGGCCAAGCTCTTCAAAGAATGCTTCGATGTGGCGTGTCTTGCTTGCATCGATGATGTTTTGAAGCCAAGCATATTCATGAAATAGGCGTCCACTTTGTCGGTCTCGGGCATAACAGTTGAGATTGAATTCGATCAGGCCAACCATGGCAGCCGTTTCATCATAGAACTGTAACGGTGTTTTCACTTCTGCCCGTTGTGCTTCGTCTGACGCACCACCTGTCCACGGGGGAACCACATTGTTATTGGATCGTAAGAGTTCTTCAAAAGCAACAGGGTCAGTCCACGGATAGAAACACCCTGCCTCCATAACCCGTACAATGTGCCAATTGCCTATCATACTGGTTGGCTTGAGTTCATCAAGCGCGCCGGGAGGGTTGATGAGTGAGGTTAGAGGAGCCGATAGTTTGTCGAGCTCCTTGGGAAGATATCCATTCTCTCCCAGCCCTTGGTAAGCCCTATTCGCCAAGCCATTCCGCAGCGAAACAAGCACCTCAGTGCTGATGGTTCGCTTTCCAAGCCCGTGAAATGGTGGCTTTTGTCGACCCTTGAACGTTTGAGGGGCGCTATCCTGACCAGGCCGGCGCCAGGACTGTTCGACGCTGAGATTTGTCTGTTGGACTGCATTGAGATCCTTTAGTAGGGGTACCCAGCTCTCGGCCTTCCATGCTTGGTCACCCGACTTCTTGATCATTCGATTCACAAGAAGAGCTCCCTCTTTGGAATGTCCATGCTCCACACAGCACCAAAGAATGAGCTCTAGCCAAATCTCAGGTCCTAACTCTCGAATGCTCATCTTAAAAGGTAGAAACGGCGATTTCTCACCCGTATCTGCTGCCGCCGCAGCCACCTGGGCTTCATGTTCATGCCATGCTGCGTCGGTAAGAACACTCATGATAGAACTCGATAAGTAGTGCAAGCCCGGTGGGCGGAACGCAACCTGGCTAGCATCTGGTGTTGGGTATTTATATACTCTGTCAGAGATCAAGCCTGCGTGGTGAAGCCGTGCAAGAATCCGGAAAACACAGGACATTGCAAGCTTGGACTCCTCGGGCGTGCTGTCTGCAGCCGCCAAAACCAAAGAGCCGAGGTTGGAAAGTACTTCAGCTAAGATCTTCTCTCCAAAGAATCTGGCCTTTGGTTCCACTGTCATTTCATCGAGCGAAAGCTTATCCGCTGGGAGAGGCTTTATCCGACACCATTTGAACCGGGACCGCTCGCGTGTTCCTTGTGAGAGTTTGCTGAGAGTGGCGTTTTCGTCAACGGGGATTTCCAAGGTGCTTGGGTCATCTCGATCGACTCGATCCCAATCGCGCATTCCGGGGAGCGGTTTGCCCCAGTCGAAGAACGGTGCAGGGTGTCGAGGGGTCATATGAGGAGCCACCAGTTCGTACGTATCGATCAAGCGGTTCAAGATGGCGTGCACGGTAGACCACTGTTTCATATTGGACCCAAGGTGTACGAGAAGCTCATATTGGTAATGAGCCCTTGCATCCCATAGACATCCCATCAACGCGTGTGCTTGCTCAATGTAGGGTTCATGGTCACTGATAGGTGGAAGCTTCCCGGACTGACCAGCAGGCTTGGGAACTTGTGTCGAAACATATTGCTCAAGCAATGGAATCCAATTGTTGATGTCTTTCTTCGCCCCATTCTTCAGAGCAGGGTGCGCAATATCGTCATAACTTCGCATGAATTCGATTTCCTCGGAGTAATTGATCTCTCTGTCTTGCTTGCTCCGTTCCTGAATGTGTTTGTCCCATGTCGGTCGAGAAAAAGGAGCGATGGACCGACGGGGAATGTACGGAAGGCGTAGGATAGCTGGCCGACGACCGAATGGCAGGATACGGCCGGGGTGCAAGCACCTGCTCATGATACCGCAACGAGCCTCGAAGGCGCCGGTATGGGTTTCACGATCTCGATGCGTACGGATTTGTTGTGATACATGTCGGTTCGGTCATAGGTGGGACATGTCGTAGTCTTCATAAAGACATGCCAATAGTAATAAAATAAAAGAACCCGTGCAGCCAGGGTGCGATTGAGACTAAAAAAAGAGCAAATCGTGTTGTCGCGCTCAAGAATTTCCGCGATCTGAAATGGCTGAGTCAGCTCCGGGGTGTCGACCAATCAGAGATTCCAGATTTCGGAGAAGAACTATGAGAACAAATATCACTTGCAAGTCTGCTTTCTTCAATGTCAAGCATCATATTCTATGATAAGAGGTGTAACAATGTATGGAGATGACATATTATGGGTTTCATTTACATTTACAATTTGCTATAATTACAGGTCTTCAAAGACAAAAGATTCGGGGGTAACAACTTTCTTTTCTCTATGACTGATCCGGCAGCTATAGAAAAACATAGAACTGATCTATCCCACATGCTAGAGCGAAGAAATAGCAAAGTGCAGAATCTACAGCCACATAGGCCGCATCTGGCGAGCGTGGAGGCGCTGGAAGTTATCCTGCTCACCAGACCCCTCGCCCTGGCCAGCCGCAGCCGAAGGAGCCGGGGCACCAGATGGGAGGGCACTGGGAGAACCCTCACCGCCGAAGCTGCCGCTGGGCTGGGGCTGGTCACCATGGGAGCCACTGGGAGAGCCGGTGGTATGAGCACCCTCGGGGAAACCGGAAGGCATGCCGCTGGGAACACCGCTGGGGACACCGCTGGGGACGCCGCCGTGGTGTCCTCCCTGGACCTGGTGGTGGTCAGAGGGGAAGCCAGAGGGGAAACCGCCCTGGCCGCCGAAGCCACCCTGGCCACCGAATCCGCCAGATGGGAAGCTGCTAGGAACAGTTCCCGAGGGGATGGTGCCGGAGGGGACAGGGCCAGAGGGCATGGCACTAGAAGGCATAGCGCCGGAGGGTGCGGCCTGCTCAGTGCGACTGGCGGAGTCGGTCCGGTCGACGTTCTGACAGATAAGTTAGCAAAGAGCGAGAGACAAGCGTGCACCACGTGTACACTTACGGGAAGCTTCCAGGCCACAGCGGAAGGGGCCATGAAGAGGGTGGCAACGCCGAAGACGGTGGTGAACTTCATATTGAATGTTGGACAGTTGAACACAAAAGTGAAAGCGTAAAAGAATGGATGCTTAATAGCAATGTGAAGAAAGATCTGAAGCTGGTGAAAAGAAGGGAGGTGCACAGCACTGCTGGTCAAAAAAAAGTCTCATGAAGGTGATTGTAGCTCTTTATATATCCCTAGGTCAGTCTGATGGGCCAAGCCATGGAAGGCTGGCGAAACAATGAGTGTTCCGGGTTCATCATCGGGAGCGAGGAGAGGCCCTCTGCAGGTGGCAAGTCTCCTGCACGACTCATCCCGTTCCGAAAAAAGGTCAAACCAGGAACAATCTGGGAGAAACAGCCCTATCGCCCACGGTAGCTGGGCTGGAATTCCCGAGCATGGCTCCAAGCGCCGTGTTTCAATCACTTTTAAGAGTATGAAACAGACAAATGACAGCTCTCCACTGAGTTTACACGTCACTCCTGTCGATCGATCCACCCCTGCATCAGGTTGACGAAGATGGCGGTGTACAGACTGGGGATTGGTTGAAGCACAATTAGAGGCGCAATAGAAAACACGCTATGGCTAAGCGTCGGCCCATAGAACCTAAATCCAGCCCCGGAGAACCCATTTCCTCCATAACTAGTCGGTGCATTGCGCGTCCTTTTCGCCAAGACATGAATTGTTCGGGGTATTTGTACATATCAAATTAAAAACATCGTTAATCGTCACGGACTTCATAGCTCCTCCTCGGCCTCTTCGCCCCCAAGCTCCTGTTCCACTTCATCCACAACAAAGCTTTCGTAGTCTTCTAGACCCTTTTGAACATGAACCTTGAAGCGAATCACATCGTTGAGCATAGTCTCCACGTTGGTGTGTAATTCTTCCCGAAGAGAATTGGCCCGAAGCGTCAGTTGTTCGTACTCGATGTTGGTGTTCATTTCACGCTGCTCCATCAATTGGACACTATCACTGAGTGTAGCGCGCATTTTGGCAAGTTCCTTCTCCATCTTCTCAATTTGGGCATCAGAGGCCAGCTTCTGAGTAGTGGTGATTTCCTTGGTGCGTTCAAATTCCTCCTCAGCCGCCCGGCGCCGGTGTTCCAGGGCCTCGACCTCGCTTCGCTTCTCATCCATTGCCTCCTTGATATTATCAAGTAGATTGCGTCGGTCAAGATCATCGTCGATCCCTTGCTTGCGTCTTTCATTAATTTCCTTCCGGAGAGACTGTAGAGTGTTTCGCACGGCACCCCGGAGGTCCAAGCTGAGCAGATGTGCCGGGTGGTAGCCTGTGAAAGGCTCCGCCAGTAGACGATCCCCCTCGGGAGAAATGCGGCTGGGCGGACCACCGATCTGACTCGTGGAGAAATTGCTCTCATTAATGTTCAAGCTGAGCTCATAATCTTGACCCTTGGCGTTCTCGGCACCCGAAGGAATCAGGCTTGTCTGGTAGCCAAGCGTGTTGTAGGCCTTGACGATCTGTTCCAGGTCTTCCAGTTTTTGGCTGGCCTCGGCTTCTTTTTCCATGACACGCGCATGTGTTTCTTCCAAACGAGCCATGGTATCTTCCAAGCTCTTTTGGAGACGTTCTCGCTCCGAGTTCATGCGGTCGATATCCTGAATGGTGATTCCCTGGCGGTCGACACTGGCCTGAAGTTCGGCGCGTTCCGCTTCAGATGTCTGGAGCTCGACGTCGGTTTTCTGGATCTCCGCGTCGAGGAATTTGATACGGGTTTCGTACTTTTCAATCTTTCCTCTGACATTCTGGTTGTAATCCTCAAACTTCCGCTTGTCGTCTTCTAGAATGCGGAAGTGCTGTTCCAATTTGGCCATATCAGGGGAGCTCTTCTCCACTTCTTTGATCTGGTCCCGTAGAGCCCGATTCTCCGCCTCCAAAGCCTCCAGCTCCTGCACATAGCGCTCATTTCCATGAGCAAACTCTTGAGACATGGCTTCGACATGCGGAACCAATCGTTTCTCTGCAGTGTCATCATCTTCGTCTTCACCACCCTGCAGCCAATCGTGGTAGGCGTGTGTTAAGAAACGGAAGATGATACGATCACCCGTGACATCAACACCCGCATCGGCACAAGCATCATCATACTCGCCAGACGAATAGCGATCCATCATCTGTGCCAATTGCATCAACCAGTGTAGCATTCCAAGGAAGGTTGACCAGTTCTGGCCACCAACGGCTGCAATTTGCGATTTCGTGATGCCCTTCTCGTAGGGGTAGCGCAATTGCTTCAGAATCGGTGGTACCTCGGCATCCATGGCCTTTTGAAACCGGTAACCGGGATCAATGCGGTGATACAACCACTGGAAGATGTAGTTGAAATCTTTCTGGGTTGGTGAGCGAAGAGTGTTTTGTCCCAAAGAATGTTTCATCTCCAACTCGAATCCATGTAGTGTCAAGTATTCCAACAGCTCTTGGCCAATTCGCGCCTGGAAAGATCGGTCTCTGAGCGGACGCGGGTCTCTGGGAACACCGGCCACGGTAGGGACTTGAGTGAAGAATGATTGATGACCCATTGGACCTCCTCCTGTCGAAGGTCGCGAGAAGACACTGCTTCGGCGCTGGGGGTTCTGGGGTGTGCTTGTGGAAATAGCTCCCGGCGCGTAGCTTTGTCGACCGGCGCTGGCTCCAGCAAACATGTTACTCGATCCTGGCGCATAGCTTTGTCGGCCGCTGGCTCCCGCGAACATGTTACTCGACACGGATCGACGAACGGACGAAAGACCAGCATCAGCGCCATAAACTCCACCCATTGACGTGCGCGTAAAATTGGGTTGTTGTGGTCGGCCAGCAGAGCCCATAAGAGAGGCTCGGTGGTTCGAAGAGGTGTACGGGGGGTTTCCGAATCCGATGGAGCTTCCACGCTTCATCGCCGATGCGGGCTGGGGGATAGCGGACATATTTTGCACACTCCCGAGGGTCTTCGTCGGATACATAGTTAGCTTAAGTCTATGCGCCGATTGGGAGGGGACCGTACCTCTCGAGGGGGGCGCTTGATACTGAACAGACCAGTGTCTTGCGACATGTTGAAAAACAAGCCGTTAAGGCGGTAATATGCACGTGAGTTTTGAGATAATAAGCAGAACTATGACATAAACAAGTATTCACAGTCCAAGGAAGTCGCGACACCAAATGTGAAGGAGGAGGGGTTTTGATATGATGATTGGCAGGCACGAGGGATTTGGGTAGAGATATGTAAACAATGCGTGCCACTTTCGCTTTAGGGAGGCGGTGTAAATGGCACTGGAACAACAATTTCCCCGATAATCACGAGACGCCCGGTCTGGGGAAGCTTGGCGTGGCGCGAGTTCCGAGGTCCAAACGGCGACTGCCGATGTGAGCGTCTCTCCCCTAACTCCTCTTCTTTCACTTCACTGATAGTCGACATCTTTCATCATGGCTCCTCGTGAGGAGCTGATTGCCTCAGCTGTAAGTCCCCGACTATGCTATCTCTTATTGTCCGCTTTCGGGGATGCTGCTAACCTTCCGCTAGATTACCTGTATGAACCACTCGTGCACACCTTGATGTGTTAATTGCTAACCCCATACAGTCCTACAGGACCCCTCGGTCGCATCTTCGCCAATTGAGAAGCGAGTTTCATTCCTCCAATCCAAGAACTTAACCCAAGAGGAGGTCGATATCGCCTTATCGCGAGTGGGCGAGGACCCATCTGCCGCGGCCGCAGCCACAGCTGCTTCGTCCCCGGCGCCCAACTATTCTTCACAACAGGTTGCTTACCGGCAACCACCACCTCCTCCTCAGGGATATGGATACCCCCCATATAACCAATGGCAACCGCCTCCTGAGTAAGTTCAGTGATCCATTGTCGCATGACACTTTGACACTAATCACATGAATAGGCCACCCAAGAGAGACTGGCGCGATTGGTTTATTATGGCAACAGTGATGGGCGGAGTTGGCTACGGATTGTATTTTGTCACCAAGGTTCGATACTCTCCTCGTTGTACATGGTGGAATGGCACTGACCGAAATGCAGCGTTATATCTCACCTTTAATCGCCCCGCCGACTCCCCCCAGTTGGAGCAAGATATGGAGAACATCGATGAACAATTTTCGCGCGCATTTACTCTGATTGAACAACTCTCAACTGATACTGCTGCCTTGAAGTCCGCCGAAGAAGCCCGAACTGAGCGTCTCGATAGCGCTCTCAAGGATGTGGAGACTCTTGTCGCTGATCTCAAGAACTCATCCCGCCGGAGAGATGATGAAACTCGTCGCATCAGCGATGAAGTCAAGTCATTGAAGGATGCTATTCCTAAGGCCCTCGAGGGTGCTCGGGAAGGTAATGAGAACCGATTGAAGGACCTCGGAACCGAGCTCAAGAGCTTGAAGGTCTTGCTAGGTAACCGCCTTGGTAGTAGCGGAGCTACTCCTGTTGCTGGCCGTACTGTTGGATCTACTCCTATCCCCACTGCTCCTCGTCAGACTTCGGAGGAAACTCCCGCCAGCTCCACCACCCCCGCTCCCTCCAATGGTCTCGCTGCCTCTGTTACCCCAGCCGAACAAGAGCCCACCCAGGCCACTGCCGCAGCCACCCCAGCTGCTTCCAGCCCAAACACCAACAACCCCCTCGCCAAGCTCGGTCGGTCAGCCTCCATCCCAGCTTGGCAAATGGCCGCAGCCAACCGGTCCAAGGCCAACTCGGAATCGAGTCAGCCTTCTACTCCGGCTGAGGCGGCTGCTAGCCCCAGCCAGGAGCAGGCTGCTCCTCCCAGTTAAAGCTGACATGATTGTGTTGGATAGAAATGTATACCTCTTCACTTGGCTGTATTTACCACAATAAGAACTTTTGCGTAAATGGACATTTATTAGACAAGCCAAACAGATCATTTTACAAGATTGATGAATTGTGCGAAGGAACGCCACACTATACGACCTTTGTACTCCGCTTGAGCTTGGTATCGGACCGATAAGCAGACCCGCCTTTATCACCGAACAAATTCCTCCAACGTCACATCAACCAAACCACCAAGCAATGCCCTCACCAACCCGCTCGTCGCATCGAGCACAGTCTCCCTCGGCGCCAAGCTCAAGCCGTCACCACCGCAGCCGACACAGCCATTCGCACCGCCACCGACCGCGAGACAGCTCGCGCTCACGCTCTCCGCACCGATCTGATCGACACCGATCAGATCGCCATCGCCGACATGGCCAAGAAAAAGACAAAGACCGCGAACATCGCGAGCGACGACACAGAGATACCCCAGCGCAACCCGTGGTCCTCCCCCTCCAAGCGCGCGAGCTGTCCCGACGCGACTTAGAAGCATACGAACCCATGTTCGGCATGTATCTGGATATCCAGAAAGGAAAATTCATCGAGGATATGGATGAAGAAGAAGTCAAGGGGCGGTGGAAGAGCTTTGTACAAAAATGGTAGGTCTTAAGAGTTGCGATCCCATGTTGCGCTTTCGCTGACGTTATAGGAACCGTGGAGAACTCGCTGAAGGATGGTACGATCCTGCTACACTCAATCGAGCGCGTGAGAGTGTAGCGGAGAGGCCGCCAGCTGGACCGCTAGGGCAGCGTGATTCACCTGATTATGCACAGGGTGAGCGAGAGGGCGGTGATATGCCGCGGGATCAACCAGAAGACGATGACGACGATGATGACTACGGACCTGCTCTTCCACGCGCTGGTTCTGGAAGAGGCGGTGCGCATTTGGGTCCTACGATTCCCAATATGCAGGATCTTGAGCTCAAACGAGGTAGGTGCTTTACTCCAGCTGAGTGTGAACAACAGACTAATTGTCTCCTAGAATCTGCCATTGAAGATGCGCAAGCTGCCCGCGGCGAATCTCGAGAACAATATCAGGCCGAGATGCGTGCGCATAAAGCTGCAACGCGCCATCTTGAAGATGAGATTGCGCCGCGGGCTGAGGCTGGGACTCGGGAGCGGCAGCTGGAGAAGCGCCGGGAACTTGCTGCTGGTAATCGCGCCTTTGCGAGTCAGCGAGGTAACTCGCCAGAGGCTGCTCCCGAAGAAGAACTCATGGGCGGAGACAATGATTTATCTGCCTTGAAGCGCGAGAAGGAAAACAACCAGCGCAAGAAGAACGAGCGCGAGATCCGGAGGGAGGAGATCCTTCGTGCGCGTCAAGCGGAGCGCGAGGAGCGGGTAGAGGCGTATCGACAGAAGGAGTCGGAGACTATGAGTTTCTTGCAGGCTCTTGCAAAGCAGCGATATGGTTAAATTAGAGAGAATGGTGATACACGGATACTATCCAACTCAAATACCCAACATATCTTGTAAACTTTCCCCAGTACGCTTCCCTAACTTCTTGGGGCTATAATTGACACTCTTCCCATCGAGTCAAGCATATGGACTATACTTACTGCATCCAAATACCTCAAATCGGCATATCCGATAACCGCTGAACGGAACCAACCCATCCGGCTCCGCTCCTCGGAGCAATCCCGCCCTACGGAGTACTGTACATGCATGTATTTAGATCATCCCCAATATCAAACCAACACCACCCCTCCACAGAATGTTCAAAAGACCCCTATCCAACCTACCACACTTAAATCCCCTACCCAAACAATTACGGGGTACTATCCGTCCCCTCAACACAGAAACAAAGAAACAAAATTCCCTCCCAGCAGCCTACTACCGCGGCGGCACCTCACGCGCAGTATTCTTCAAGCAATCAGACCTCCCCCCTTCAAAAACAGACTGGGCCCCAATATTCCGCAATGTCCTCGGCAGTCCAGACCCGTACGGTCGCCAACTCGACGGACTAGGCGGCGGAATATCAAGTTTATCAAAGGTGTGCGTAGTAGGCGCGCCGACGCATGCCGATGCAGATGTCGATTATACATTTGTTTCTCTCGGGATTCAGAATTCCGATGTTGATTATTCGAGTAATTGTGGGAATATGATTAGTGCTGTTGGGCCGTTTGCCGTTGATTCGCGGTTGTTTCCGGTGAGTGCGCGTGAGGCTGCCGAGGTGCGCATTCATAATACGAATACTGGAAAGATCATCCGGTCAACGTTTCCTGTTGTTGGAGGTGAGGCTGCTGCCAGTGGTGACTTTGCTATTGATGGTGTGGCTGGGACGGCTGCGCGTGTACAATTGGATTTTGTTCATCCTGCTGGCTCTGTTACGGGGACTTTGTTGCCTACGAGTAATGTGACGGATGAATTTGATGGGGTTACGGCTACGTGTATCGATGTTGGGAATCCGTGTGTTTTTGTTCGGGCGTCTGATCTTGGTGTGGAGGGGGATTTGACGCCGGAGGATATTGCTGCTCACGCAGATTTGTTGCCGCGCTTGGATTCTATTCGACGACAGGCGGGGGTTAAGATGGGCATTGCGGATTGGGTTGAGAGTGTGCCGGGGAGTGTGCCGAAGATTTGTATGGTTGCTAAGCCTTCTGTCACTGATGTGTGTGGTGGAGAGTTGAAGCAGACGTGTGATGATGTTGATCTTCTTGCGAGGGCTCTTTCTGTTGGGCAGCCGCATAAGGCTGTTCCGATTACTGTTGCTTTGGCTCTTGCTGCCGCTGCTCGTGTTTCTGGGAGTACCGTTGCTGGGGTTGTTGATGGGCCGCCTGTCGATGGGGCTGGTATCACGATTGGACATGCCAGTGGGAACCTTCTGGTTGGTGCCAATTTTGATGCTGACGGGGCGTTGACTTCTGCTACGGTCTTTCGGACGGCTCGTCGTCTGTTTGAGGGGAGAATATATTGGAAGAATGATTCTTGAGCAAAGGTTTCGAATTGCCAAATGAGGGTCGCATTTGTACAATAAGAGTAGAGAATGTGATTACAAGTATGCAGCACGATTGAAGAACCAAATCAAACCTCGCTTTTTGTACAGAAAGTGGTATGTCATCTAGAAACCCCCAATCTAAGCCTTCCTGCCCAAATCAAGATCAGCAACTAATTTCAAATCACCACTACCACCCTCTTCAATCCCAAAGAAAGGCTTAACAGCAACATCAACCATCTCCTCAAACAACCGCCCAACAACAACCTCCTTAAGATCCTCCCCAGTCTGCGCGAAATCAGGGAAAGCATTAAGCTCCAACAACCAAGCAGACCCATCACTATCAACGAGGAAATCAACACCAAACAGCTCAAATGCATTAGGCAGAGTCTGGAAATGAATCATCATACCCCGAGCCGCAGCCTCAAACACCTCTCCAGTCACAGCACAAATCTGATCAAAGATCTTCTCTTTCCAGTTAGCAGAGAGACCGGGGACGTGGTGATCCAGATCCCAGAAGCGGCGCACACTGCCTTCGTTTGAGCTGCCGCCTTCTTGGAAACAGGTGTTTGTCAGATGGCGCGCTAAGTCGGCGACGTCGTCTTCTTCTTCGTGCGGGGCACAGTATGCCTTTGCGGCGAAGAGGGCGAGCATCTCCTGGAAGACATATACTTTGAGAGAACCGCAGGCGAGGACGTAGGTGCGGATGTGGAACTTGCGGTTTGAGGATGAAGGGAGGAGCAGGGGGGGGTCGATGTAGGGTTGAACGAGGAAATGGCGGAGCTGCGAAGTGACGACGCCTGTGTCGTGAGCACCGCTGGCGCCCTCGTCCTCGTTCTCATCATCTACATCCTTCTCGGATCCGGATTCGTCGTCTGAAGGGTCTTCCCATTCTTCGAAGATCTCGCGGAGTTGATCTTCGCTGTTGAAGATGCGAATTCCTTGGCCGCGATCACTCATGCCGGGCTTGAGGATCCACCATTCTTTTTCAGAGTCGGGTCGTTCTTCATTCTTGGCTAGGCTGTCGTTCAGCTCGTATGCTTCGAGGAGGGCATCGTCGAGGAATTCGGCATAATCCAATTCGAAGTCGAAGGCGGGCTTGAAGTGCTTCTTGAGCACGCTGTCTGGGTGCTTCGAGATCCAGTTTGCTACCGTGTTCGATAAGTAATGCTTCCGGATCAAAGCCTTGCGGATGATGTACGCATTGGCCAGAGATGTCGAGGGTCTGGAGATAATATGTTCGAATTCGAGGCGTTCATACTCGCGGTACTGGAAAAGCGGCGCAGATCTCTCTGGGAGGTCATCTAGAGATGAGACTCGCTTGCACGCATCTCCCAGACGACGGGTAATCGCGCGTTCGATCATTTCTTGCACGTAGGAGTCATCACAGTCGATGATGGAGTATAGCGAAGGCTGTTTATCCGATCTACAGATGTCCATCTATCAGAAAAGGCCATGTACTCGAAAAAAAAAATGCAGTCAAATCAATGGGGCAGGGGATATCTATCGGCTAGACCAGATATTGAAAGTGTATGCAACATGTATATCGGATAGAACCCTCCATACCATGCCACTATCGCGCGCTAAATCTCTACTCACAGTTTGATCTCCCCAGTGATTCCGAGGGCATGCATGAAATTGGCCTTGAGAGGTGTGACACTGCAACAGTTAGTCGAAGATTCATGGTATGCTTGGGTTCAACATACCTGGTCATCTGCTCCTTGACAGCCCAGCCGTCGTTGCCGGGCTCGCTTTCTTCAACGCTACGGTATACATCCTGGAAGCTTGGAGCCCACGTAAAGTGCTTGTGCTCAAGTGATGGCCCAGTAGAAGATTTGTCGCTGATACTGACACTCTGATCAGGCGTCTTGCCTGTCACCTCGCCTTCATCGCGCAACTGCTGCTCCTGCAGGTCGGGGTCATCGGCAGACGTAGGCTCAGCAGCGTGGAAACAACTTCCAGAAGACCATCTGTTGTCCAGCATACTGGTGTAAAGAACCTTGTTGTCACTCACACCGGGCTCAAGAGGGACATTGACGCTGTAGAGGTCCACGCCGTTCGCCCAGTTGGCGCATAAATACTCAATCAACTTGACCGAATGGCGCGATGCCTCTGCGATAATTATAGGGTCATGATTGCGAGAGCTGAAAGCATAAGATAGCGCAATTGAGCGCTTTCCACAGCAGGCGCCCTCCATCGCTGCACCAATAGTTCCACTAGACAAGGCGAACAGCGCGGTGGTGTTGCGTCCATAGTTGGGACCAGAGACAATGACATCGATGGGACCGCGTTTTTGGAAGTAGTGATAGAGACCGATCTGGACACAGCTTGCTGGGGTCGAGTCGATCAGAACCCATTCGTCACCGTCATTTGGTTCTCCGTTACTACCCCGGGGCAGGTGATGCGTTGTGCCATCTTCTTGGTGGAGGGTACCCGGACGAAAATAAGTAGGCTTGACGGATGCGCCGACAATATGCGCTTTACCGATCCATGATCGCTGCTGGTGTGGAAGAACGACCGAGACCGTGTGGCCGGCGGATTGGAGCGAATGAACCAGCGAGTGCACGTAGGGCGAGGACTGGTTTGACGGAGGGCCGTCGTCGTTGGTGACCTGACCGTGTTATGATGAGCCCAAATAGTATCTGCAGATACTCTGTACTTACTAGGATATGCATTGAGTGCGTGGTTGAGTGAAGAATGGTGGGGGAAGAAAGTTCACCCCGCTTTGACTCGGCGGATTTTCGCAACGTCACTTTCATACTTCACTAACACTGCCAATTCCCTTTTTAAGTGTTAGTTTGAATTTATTTGATATTATTTGATACTTAGGTCTGAAGACTAATATGCTAAGCGCTATTCTTGTTTTAAGCATAGATTCTTTTCTTGACGATGGAAAATTCCTTGCCCTAAGGATGAGGTTTTATACACTTCGCACCAGGGCGCCATCTCGCAATAGTTGAACGCAATGACTTGAATAAAATCAGCATAAATACAAGAGCGAAGATATCATTCGATTTTGCTTAATCTGCTTGCTGTGTCAAATGACTCCGCCGTCTCTGTAATCCACGAGCTTCTGCACTTTCAAGCCCAGATCCCATGCCAGCTTCATCCTCAGCAGGAAGACTATGAACCAAGCTACTTTCCGGCGCTTCCTCTTTCTTAACTCTAAAAGTCTCACCCGAGGAACTATCACCATCAGACTCATCCTTAGCAAGACCCTGCGGTTCATCACTAATCTCAGTCTTGGGTATAGTAGCAGGCTGCAAAACCCAAGTCAAAGCCAGCCACGTTAGGCTAGCAGAGCCAACCGAGACAAACCAGAATAATGAGGCGAAGACCACGAAAGAAGTAATCTTCCACCGGTACATGAGCCATCTGTAAAAGTGTCAGTCATACCATGCCATACCATGCCAACCAAAACAGAAAGAAAGAAACATACCTTAACCCAGTCAACCGAGCCCGAAACTCAACCTTAGCAAAATAAACCTGCATCTTCAAATCACTCTGAATCTCAAGCCTCAAACTCTGCGGCAAATTGCCCATCCCCCTGTCAAACTCCAGTTCCTCCATAATACTAACCTCCAAAACCTCCGCCTCACGCTTCCACCCAACAACATAAAACGGTAACCTTGCTGTCCGCTGCGCAACATCCACAAGCGGCGAAGCATACGTCAGCAGCGCCGGTCTGCGCGCATGTGCAATAGGCGCGATGGTCGAGGAAATGGGCAAGACTGCGGATGCGGGACGGGAGGCGTAGAGGGTTAAATCTAGCATGAAGTTTCCTGTCTCGAGGTTTGAGGGTGTGCGGGGGAGTTCGAGAATTACTGTTACGTCGTAGGGTTGTTGGGCAATGAATTCAGATTCGAAGGTTGCTGTTCCCCAGGGATTTCCGTTGCTTTTGATACCATTGTTGTTAGTGGTGTGATCTATATGATGGTGCATGTGTATCTGGTTGTGCCCGGGGTGGTGGGGTGCTTCCATACCCGAATTGGAGGTGGACTTCACGCTCGAGACCGATTGTAGGAATGAAATTGAAGTAAAAGATTCCGTAGGCGATTGTTGAGATTCCGACTAGGAGAGTTGTTGCGCCCATGAATAGTAATGCGTTTATATAGAGGCGTAGAGCGGACTTCGATACCAGTGCGCGTAATGGCGCGAGGAGCGCGTCCTGGGGGTTGTTAGTTTGGATTCGGCTCTGTGAGGAAGAAGAGATAAGTGATTGGTTTACCATTATGACGGCTCTTGTTGAAGATGGACTATCATATTCCGACTCGTCGTCTGTGTAATCTGAGTCTGGCATTGTGGGGGAAGCTGGGGTGAGGTTGGAGGAAGTAGGTGGTTTGCGGTCTGTCATCGCTGCCGAGGTCGCGACGTCACACCTTAGCTCTTACGAACTAAGTACGAAAGTCGATCCTTTTCAACGGTTGATTGGATACTTGTTTATTCAGTCCAAATCTACTCAGCTTCAAGACAGAGCTGAACAAAAAATTACATATACACACAAAAATCAAAGTAAAAATTAGCATTGCCCCATCGATGCAGGTAGATGAAAAAGAAAGAGAACCGTCAAACTCCAGCTTTTACAATCTTATCATTACAGGTCGCGGGCAGCATGAGACGCGAAATAAATCATGTAACCTCAAGTCATGCGAAAATCGTAAAATGGAAAGAAAGAAACAAAAGTAAATATGCATGCCATCCCCACGGCAAATCCCAGCCGTAACATGAAACATAATTCAAATCAAGACGAGACGTCGGAAGCAAATCGCAAGAGAACCCCATGAAAAGTACATGCGACGACAGACTCCTGTACCACCCGATTTACCAAGGAAAAGGACTGGAGGAGAGATAGGAGAGGAGGGGGAGAGAAGCTGAGCCTAAGCGATCGGTCGGGGGCTTTGCTGTTGGATGTGTTGGAGAAGAGCGTCGAACAGACGTCCAATCTCGGGGGCAATTAGCTCCGTGGTCTGATGAAAAGCTTGTGGAGAACTTACCTCGGGAGCCGCCTGGATGAAGGGAAGGCGGAAGAAAGAGTAGCTCCGGTTCTGGAGGAGCTCCTGCAGTGTGATGATCAGACCCCAGGGGTGTGGGCGGTGGACAATCAGTCGCTCTAACAGCACACGGATGATTTGCTGGCGGATATCCGAGTCATCTTGCTCGGAGTAGTCGACGCCAAACAGACGGAGGATGGTGAAGCTGAAGAAGTAGGTGTGGCTGTTGGGGTAACGTAGCTGGTTGGCCATCGCACTGAGCAAGTAGTAGCGAGACTCGGGGCGCAGAACCTGAGCAAGTTTCTCGAGTAGAGCGGCGTGGGTCGAGTTCTCAAAGGCGCTGCGAGTGTTGCTCTTGGAGGCATGATCCACGGCAGCTTGCTGGCCAATGTAAAGCACCAGGGCGTTCAAAAGAACGACATCCACATCGATGGGAACAAAGAAGAGACCAGTTTCTTTAACCTCGGGGTCGACAATGGCGTCGCAGAGCTGTTGAATGGCAGCCTCGGTAATGCTCTCGTTACGAAGCACACCGTCAACAACGTCCTTGATGTTGGCGGTCTGCAAAGGGGCAATGATATCACCAGCAATCTTGGGGATCTCCCGCATCTCCTCAATGCGCTCAACCTTCAAGCCTTCGCGGAAAGGATCAGGAAGTTTCTGGAAAGAAGATGGGTAGGCGCTGAGAACAAGGTTGCGAAGCTGAGCGCAGTGAGCCGGTATCACATTACAAAACTGGAAGTGGTTCTCAGCAACAAACTCAGGGAAATCGTGATGCAGGATCAACAAGATGCGAAGAACGCCCTTGTAGAGGTCCTTGGCAACGTATGAGATGTTGGCAGCCTTAAGTTGCTCGCCCATGTAGGACAGCAATGCCTGCATAATTTCGCAGTAAGGAGCCCATCCAGCACGATCGGGCATGTTGAGCATGTCCGACATGAAGACGCGGTGAGAAACTAGGCACAGCCAGCCGTAGACGAACCCAGGCACGTATTTAGGCTGGAATGACAGGAACTTGTTGGCCAGAGCAAAGATCATGCCTTGGTGCTGCTCGTTGTGCTGTAGTCCGTTCATGGAATACTCGCAGAGAATACTGGAGAAGAGACGGAAGAAGACACGTTGGTTGAATGCTTCGCCTCTCATGACCTGGTGGTTGTTGAGAACTAGGACCAAGAGCGACATAATAGAGCTGAAGTAGGAGGCTTTGTTTGCCTTCACAGCGCCGGCGTTTTCGCCCTGGAATCTCACGAGGAGGATAACCAGCTTGGCGAGGGCATCGATGTAAAGGAAAGCTTCATCGAGGCTGCCGTTGGGGTTCTGAATTTCGTGCTCAAACATGGCGACAGAAATGTCGATGCTGAGGCGGAAAAATAAGGCAGAATCTTCCTGCGAGTTCATCACCTGGCGATTGTGAAGATCCTGGAGGAAAGAGTGGAAGGTGCGGTCGGTGGCGCCGGAAGCCTTGTAGATTCCGATCCACTCGCTGAAGATGTACTCCATCTGGTCTCGCTTGGATCTGGCTTGGTCGGTGAGGAGGGGGTTGACAACCTCAGGGATGCCAGACTCTCGCAACTTGCGCACAATCTCAACACCAGGAGCGACGTTGGCGTCTTCCGAAAGCCACTGGCTCATGGCTTCCAAACTGCCTGAGAAGTCCGATCGGAGAGCCGAGGGCTCATCGTTGAAGAGGACACGGCTCATCAGGTTATCGAGCAGCTCCAAAGCGTTGACGTTCTTTTGGATAATGAGTCGGGTAAGGTTCATGTCCACACGACGGATATCAAGCAAGCCTGCGTCAATGAGAGCAACGGTGACTGGCACGTTGAACATGTGCTCATCATCAACATCAGAAAGAAGCGCCCATGTGTAGCGGGCAATGAGCGTAGACATGTCGCACAACTTGGCAAGCAGGTGGACAAGAACTTCAATTTCCAGAGATCCGTGCGACTGGGAATACAAGGTCGTACAAATCTTCAAAGAGGTCAAACGGGCCAGCTCTTCCCCGTTGGGCGACGCAAGGATGCTGCGCAGCGCCTGGTTGTATTCCTGGAGAACGGAACTCTCACGTCCAAGATCTTTCACGTGTTCTTCAGGAGCAGTGCGAGCAGATTGCTGAAGATCAGAAACAAGGTTCTCAACACGCTCACGAGGGCTCTGGGCATCCAGGAACCCGTTGGTCTGAGGCGGGGGCATGTGCGAAACAGTAGGCTGTGGCTGAGGGGTCCTGTGGGGGACGGCGGGCTGCTCGGCCGGGGTAGAAAGATTGGGAATGGCGGCGTAGTGGTCACCGAGCACATCAGGAACTTGACGGCCGGCCGATGCATCGGCTGGCGGCGCCGGGCCTCGTGATTGGCGAGCGAACTCTTCGTAGATAGCCAGTTGCTCCTTATTGAGACCACCAGGAGCTTGTCTATATGGCTCGGGAATGAACAGTCCCCAGCGGTTCATTGAGGGGTCGACAAACGGCTCACCAGCGCGGTGGGCCTGGTGTCGGCGACGAGCCTCCAATTGAGGCTCAATAACCTTCTCAATCTCGGGAAGAGACTTCTCCTCTGCAGCCTTCTCAACAATGCCGCAAGCAGCATCAAGGTTGTCGTTCACGCACATCAAGATCAGGCCTTCAGGCATGGGCTGCTCGGAGTATTCCTGTTGGATCATGCGGATATAGTTGGTCATGCTAACCTTGAGAGGCTCTTTGCAAGTAACCAGTGCAAGGCTACCAGCAAGCTGTCTGACCATGATGCCTGCAGCATGGCGCACACGCTCCTCATCGGGCTCCATGGCAAAGTCCTTAGAGACAAGCTGGACAGTGGAGATTGAGGCAATGGTGACCGAGCGCTCAACAACAGGGGTGATGATCTCCGCAATAGCACGTTCAACTGCGGTATGCACGATCTGCTTGAGAATGGTGGGGTCGACCATGCTACTGGCCGAGGAGGGCAAGACAAGGATCTTGTCAAGGTTCGGCAGGGTTGACATAATGGCCGCGGGAGACAGCCTTTCGTTGCGAATGCCCTGGTTAATAGCATTGAGGGACAGATCTTCGAATGGCTCGACAAGTCCCTCTGGAGGATTGGCGGTTGGCAAAGGGTCTTCAACGTGCGCAGCACGATCACGAATGACAACTGAAGGTTCAATGGTCTTGTGATCAAGGTTGAGATCCTTGCAGAGAACTTCAATCTCAAACTTGAGGTTCAGTTTCAACTCAGCGAAGTGGTAAAGCTCCAGCAAGAGTCCAAGGATATCCATCAACCAAGGGTTGGGGGGATTGAACACCATGGACTTGGTAGCTTGGACAAGAACCTTGCAAGTGAACGGAATTGTGACCATAAGACGCTGGGTGTCGTAGCCTTCAAGGAGCAGGCCCTTGAAGTAGATGTTCTTGTGCTTAATGGGCTTGTCCTTGGCGATAGTCAGCGAGCCAAGCCATGCACCCAGGTTCTTGAGGTGACCACGGTCAGTGGACGAGTTCAAGGTGCCCTCGGAGTTGATCAGCTTGGCGACGCTGACATAGGTCTCCCGCAGTACTTCGGCCCAGAGAATCTTGTCACCGATGCGGCCAAGGAGGTCAAGGTAAAGCTGTTGGAAGTTGGGTTGTAACTTGGCACGCTCCTCTACCAAGTACGCAGCGAACCACTGGTGGTGCTGATCACGCAATACTTCTTGCAGATCCTGGAGCTTCTCGTCAATGTTCTGCTCTGATACATTGTTCAAAACGAACAAAATCTTGTCCTGGATATCCTCATCCGGGTTTTGGTAGAGCTCGGATCGGAGAGGAGGATCAAGTTGGATGGAACGGAACTTGCGCACAGAACCATCGGCACTTGGGGAGTCGTCAACGTTGCCATTGGTCAAAGGCGCAGCAGCGAGACCCTCAAAGGCATTAGGGCTGGTCTCACTGATCCCGTTTCCTTGCTCCCGTAGCACTTCCTCCGCCTTTTGATAGATGGGGGTGCCCTGTAGGGATGGGATCTGGAAGAGTAGGTGGCAGAAGCCAGCCCATTCAGGAAGACGGTTGATCAGCTGTTCGATGGCCTCGACACCAAACTTATACATCGGGTCGTGAGGCTCATGCTCTCGAACAGCTTCCAAGATCATACCGAGACCGACCTTCAGCGTGATGCCATCAACGAGACGGAAGTTGATGATACCACCGAACATAACGGCAGTCTTGGTCAGGGCCTCGAGGGGGTACTCGTGGTAGCAGTGGTATTCATCGATTAGACCGTGGACCATGCAGGCAAAGAGGTCTTGTTCGATAGGATCACGGGAAGACTTGTACTTGCGCATCAATTCAAGCATCTCTCGAAGTGACAGTTCCTCGTGGTACATTTTGCCAAACAGCTCTTGCATTTGCTTGTCGATCGACTCGGGCAACGTGTTTCCATTCTCGCCGTTGATGTCGATAATGTCGTCGAAGCCTTCACCATAGTTGATCAGACGGGGGTAAGTCTGAATGCAAATGCGTTGAACAGGTGTGAGATTCTCGCGGTCTCCAACGTATTCTTCCAACACCGACAAAAGGGTGTACACGGTCTTGACAGCCAGGCTGACCATTTGGTGGGCAGACTGCTCCTTGCGTTGCACGTGCAGTTCGTCCTCGGCCTTAATTCTCAGGAACTTGGACAGCAGGCCACCCATGTCAATGGGACCTTTGTCGGCGGCATTCCGAACCCATTGCTCGAGATCAAACGTACTCTTTCGGTGAGAGTAGCAGGCAAGATCGAGAGCAAGGCCATTGGTGAATCCAAGGAGGTATTCGAGCCATCCATATGCGGCAGCGTGTTCATAGATCACTGCTGTCGATGTTGGGTCCTGGGTGAAAGTGGTGAAAAGCTGCTCCGAGACCCACTGTCGGTCCTGTCGCCAGGCACCGTGCAGAGCAAGTTGGTATCCGTCTTCTTGCTTCGAGATGAACACAATGAATGTCCGCAACACAAAGCTCTGCTGCACGCTAGACCACGGTTGGGGAAGAGCGAGGGCAGAACAAAGGAAAACGGGCAGGTCAAACTGGACAACAGCCTTGATTAGCAGCTGACTTTCGGCTGCAGCCCACGAGGCTTGTGAGAACAACGCGAGGTCGAATATAGCCTTCATAGCATCCATGGATCGAAGAGGGGACTTTGTCGCGCGTTCGCCTTGTAGTTTGACAATATCCGGGGCGTCCTCGAAGAAGTCGGTCGGGAAGGTTGCACGTAGATTGGCGATTTGGGATGGATCGATGCGAGAGGCGACAAAGGCTGTCAAAAAGGACATCTGCGTGTCACGATGTTCCCAGTCTCCGCCCCACAGTTTCTGGATATCCAAAGACGAGTCATCGGTTGATATAGCTGAGAGTACACTGTACAGTTTAGAGAATTGCTTGGGGTCTACACGAAGACCCTCCCGGTCAAAGCTGCGGAACACAAGAGGCCAATTGATCTGCTTGTCGGCATATGCAGATAAGAACGTCTCCAGTGAGAATTGTTCCCAATATTGCGATAAGATCATGAAGAGGAGAGCGCTAGCCAGGTGCTCCTCACCCCAACTCTTTGGGTCTGCGTTAATTACTTCGCTTATCGATTCGGTGTTCGTCGTTGCTCGAGGTCCCTTAGAGTGTAGCTGTCGCACAAGGACATACTGAGGATTGACGAAATTGAACATTTGGAGGGCGGAGGAAACTTCAAAGGGCATATCCATGCCTAATTTCTGATATCGCAGATTTGCTGCGTAAACTAGCTTCGCCTTGACATCGTCGGTGAAATTGCGGGGAGGGTATAGGATGAATCGTTCGATCGTCATGCCGAGGAAACTGTTATGGTAGTCCTTTGTGACTTCGGATGGGCTGGCCAAGCTTTGGAGGAAAGGAGTGACGGAGTTTGAGATGATGGCATCGGCTAGAATGAATTGTTAAGTTCGTGTCGAATGCAATTAAGGAACAAACACACCTTTCGCGCGGAGATCCGACTTGCTAGTGAGCTTGAATGCTAAGGCAAGTGCAACTTTCATGACGGGGTCAAGTCGGAAGTGATCGAGGAAAGTAGAAAGGTCGAAGTCACGGAAGATGTCCCCTTCTGAAGTATCGACTGTCTCGGCGATTTTCTGGGCTTGCTCCATGTCCGCGGACACTTTCTGCATCTCCTGGACGAGGAGGGGGTAGTTGCCCGCATTTTCGACGGACTTATTGACACCCGGGAAAATTTGGGGCGCATTGCCCGTTAAGAGGCGGCGAAAGTATTTAGAAAAGACCTCCATTCCGTTGGATGTCACAAGCTGTGGGAAAATTCTCGTTAGAATCGGATTGGCGCAAAAGAAGGGGCGCGTCATATCCTACCTTGTGTATCTGTGCGGCTTTTGTCTCCCACTTCTCTTTGCCTTCTTTCTCTGTGATTGAATCTAACAAGAGGAACACTTGCGCGATGGAGATTTTGGTGAGCGATGATTGGCTCGAGTGGGCGGCTGCAGAGGCTGCAGATCCCGGCTTGTCTGAAGCAAAGCCTGTAGGGGAATTCACGGTTGTTCCGGAGGATAGAGGCGAGAAGACGCCTCTGGACGATCCAGGCCCACCACCACCTCCCCCAGTACCTCCTCCACCCGGGGCGGAGCCTGTAGCAGAGGCCAAATGGGACCCTATGGAAGGGGTGTGAGCGCGGAACTTAGGAGACGAGAGGGTCGTGGCGTGTTGCTGCGAGCCAGATTGCAATGAGGTGAACGGCGAAGATGTGGGTTTAGGACTTCCACCGGAGAGACCCCTGGCAGAGCTCAAGACGGCAGAGAAGGAGGATGGTGTAGAAGCCCCCGGGCCTGCGTCCAAGCCTCGGGATGTCGAGGGGGGAGCGGCGGAGGATAGATTGGTCGCGAGTGGAGTCAACCCACGACGTGCGCCGGACTGCGACACGGACCGACCCCAGGCACCAATATCAGTCCTGGTCGACGAAGATTTATCGGTGCCAGAAGCAATCGACGATTGGGCGGAAGGGTGAGGGGGAGGGAAGGTCATCTAGGAGACGCGATCATTTGATCTGGGGGTCCAAGGACAGATTTTTAAGTCACAGTCGCAGTAAACGGATGAAATCGATGACGCAGATCAATAAAATGTAGGTGAGATCGTGCGAGATCGTAGGTGGGAGGGTGTGGAGAGAAGAAAATGTGATTGTGGGAGAGGAATGGATGAGGGTCGATGAGATGGAGAGGTTGCAGGAGGAATGGGGTGCAAGGTGCGAGGTGTCGGATGTGGGGAGCCTCAGGTGTCAAGCGGGAGCTCTCAGTCGGACATCAAGCCTGTATGCTCTTCGACTTGTAGCAGTACCGACTCAAGCTCACATGAGATCGAGTATTCATACCTGCATAGTGTATATTGTCTCTGATCATCTCAAACCCACGTATTTTACAGTCTAAAAGTCGCGCGCGCTGTATATCTACATCTTGAGATCATGTGATGTATGCTATATCACGTGCTGGTGATGCTAGTTCCCTGTTGGGTGAATTTTGTGCCGCTTTAAGCTGGAGCTATCCCCGCGATGTCTCGTTTACAGTGATAGGTCTCTCCATAGTAATTGCCAGTTTGGTTGACATGTCGGTCAAAGCCTTGTGAGGATATGGTATTTATCGTGCTCCTGGGAGAACCGAAATATCTTGAGAGATAAACTTCAGTTCAGACCATGCTGGTAGTGTCTGCATCTGTGTATGAAGAACAAGAAAACTCAATATAATTAGACGAAGGCGTTACTTCATCTGAGTATAGCCTGCTGCTATCTCGACTCAGGGTGATGGTTTAATCACTTTGCCTAATGGCATTGTTCACGCCTTCGCACAAGCAAACCCCCCAGCACTATTTACACCCAGGGTGAATCGAAAGAACCCATCTACATTGCACTACAACCGAAGCAGAACTTGACAGAACAGATGCCTATCAAATACTAAGATAGGACAAAGACTTCAATGCAGATTCCTCAGACAAGAATAAATGAAAACAATATATCTGACCCGGCATTCGCAGTACCTGAGCCATTCCAATCCAATAAACGCCGAATTCCAACCCGGAACACAGAAAAGACAGACCGAATATAACCCACAGATGGGAATAAAAAAAGAAAACACATACGCACGCACAGTAATGATAATCATGTCATACCGCAATGGCAATCAGGAAGAAAAGAAGAACGCATAGTCACGGATAATGCGAGGAATATAACCACAAGGCCAGTGCCTTGCAGAAAGCAGGATCAAGGTAAAATCACACAGCCAAGAAGGAAGACAATCATGTGCACATGAGTTGAGGCCAGTGCCTTGGCCAATCCAACACCAACGCCTGGTTCTGCACCAGCAGGAACCCAAAGAGATATAAGAAAACATTGCAGAAATGTAGATCAATCAGTCAGTCAGAGATATACAGTAGCAAGGGCTAACGTATGATGCCTGAGCCGTGTATGTCTGGACAGTGCCACCATTGTAACTAGTGTAGGTGGTCGTCGGGGTAGGCTCATTCTCCTTGATGTTGACAACCATTCCGGAGAGAAGAGCCAGGCCGCCATCACTGCGAATCTGCATCTGTTGACAATATGGATTTTCACGCATTGGGTCGTCTCGGCGCTCCTCCATTTTGATCCTTCGGGGGTAGTCTGAGAGATCAGAACCGCGTTTCGACTCCTGATGCGCGCCTGCCGTGCTTCCAGCCATTTTGCTATCGGCTGACGCAGATGTGGTGCTCGATGCTGATTCTGCAATCGATTGATTGACATACATGAAGAACTCCATCCTCGTGTTGTTCCACCAGCAGAACCAAGGTTTGTCTCCGACTTGAGCAGTCTGCTTGAGGTTCTTGTAGGCCTCTGCCTGTGCCCATCCATCATCGACCCACGTTCGCTTGGTAAGGGAGCTGACAGAGAATGTATCCTCTGGGACAATTACCAACTTGTCGAACGAAGAAAGGAAAAACAGAGCCGGGCCCAAGCCAATATCAGTGGTATCAACAGCCATGCTCAACGCTTGTGTGGGGGAAGAAGACCAATAGGGGGCCTGAGGGCCATAGGTGAAAGTCGTAGTCGGGGCGCCGTAGTCAAACACAATAGAGTGGTGGCCTTTAGTTTGACCGACGAAGACCTCAAATTCACTCGGTGATTGCAGACATTTCCAAGCTTTGCCGTAATTATTCTCATCCACACACATTCCTGAGCCGTTCTTGAAGCTCGAGGGGACCATAAAGTGACCAGTAGGGACACTCTTGATATTGGTCGGAGTAGAAATCATGGATGCATCCATCTGAGGGGTGGCAGTGACTGTAATGATGGGTGGACCATGGGACTTTTGGGCTTCTTCATCGGCCTTGCTGGCTTCTGCTGCCTTCTTAGTTCCCAATACTCCACCAATCACACCTCCAATACAACCTCCAATCAGCAGCACCGTCGCGATGAGGATCAATGTCCATACAGGAAGACCACAGCATGCGGTCTGTTTTCCTTTGCGTTTCAGCTTTTCCTCAAATGCCATGATGCCGGTAGTTCCCGCGGCTCTTTCTCCTCCGTTGCGATCGTTGTTACCATCGCCAGATTGTTCTGGCACCAAGGCCCTTGATGACGTTTCTGAAACTGGTGGCTCTCTCGTCGCTTCATTACTAAGAATCGTTTCGTTGTTGAGACGATGTTCTTCCGGTGAAGTGTTAAGGTCGGCCATCGTCTCAGTCCCTGGAGGTTTGGGGACGACACCCGTCGGGTACCGTGAGTAGGGCGGCAGTGGCTCGGTATGGCCGTCAGGTCCAATTATATCACCTACATCATCATCCTGTCGACCAGCGGGCGGCTGATATGGTGGGTTGTGACCTGGAAACCCAACCGGAATGAGCGAGTCATCAATTCCTTCCTCGACCACATTCTGTGAGTACATCGCGTATGGATGTTGAGGACCGGTAGACTGTTCAATCGGCCGTTCGACAGGGCGTATTGTCGAGGTGCTGCCGACACTTGGCGACCGGCTGACACCGACCTGAGGATACATGCCATATGGATGACTAGGTCCGGTGGCTCCGGTGTAGGGGCTGAGAGCGCGGGGAATCGAGAAGCGAGAAGAAACACTTTGATTTCGTTGGATCATAGAGGGTGTCGTGTTTGTAGAAGCGGTAGAGTTGCGGTTGTTGGCGAATCCCCACCCCTTTTGCGGGAGACTGGACCGATGAGGTTCATCAAAGGACAGCCGGGCGTCATCACCGAAAGGGTTCTCATTCTCGGTCGTAGCGGTACTGACAGTCTTTGGCGGTTGGTTGTTTTCGCGCAGAGTGGCCGATGAGGCGATGGAAGAGGGACTGTGAGGGCGTTCAATTCGATCGGCGTCAATCGGTTCTAACGAGTATTCGTCGGCGAAGACATTAGGATTGGAGACCCTGGAGTTGCGACCGAAGGAGTGGCGAGGCATCGAATCGCTCTGGGATAGCCGGGGGGTCTGAGAGGATCGTGAAGCAGAGCGGGAATGCTCTGATGATATATGACCAGACATTTCCTTTCGATCTGGCAGCCCTGTCGGGCCACCTCGTTATTCGATCAATCCGTTCGATAGACCCAGTCGAGAAGGGCACGGGCGAAGTAGAGTGGCGAGAGCAAGTAGACGCGGTTCTTCTCAAATTTCGAAAGAGAAGCAAAGAGTTGATGAGATAGGGATGGGAAATGGAGATGTGGTGAGATGGGGAGGAGAAGGGGAAGTTGAGAGGACCAAGTTTGAAAGTAGTGTGACAAGCCTATTATTGGCAGAGGGGCCGAGAGTTCAACCACGCAAAAACTCGGACCATTCGATATTTCTTGGCTGGTAATAATTATTCCTGTTTACAAGTATGGAATACTGTCGTCTTTTCTTCTCTAATTTTCTCGTCTTCCTCAAGGGGTCCTTTTGGGCCTGGGATCGACTGACTCCAGCGCTACTGTGACTAGGGCGCCAACTAGCGACTAAGCCCTCCCGTGGATACTTCGCCACCAGGAATTCTATTTTTTGCCTGTTCCTATCTAGAATGTGATGTCCGCAAGGCTCTGCAAGAGTCTGCATTCAAACGTTCAAGACCCTCAAGGGACTCCAGACTGGGGCAGAATTGTACCCTGAGCCAATAGGCTGGAATTCTCACGGGTATCTCGGTTCCGGACTAATGGTTTACCGGAAAATGCAACGACGGAGTCCGAACAAAGTACAGACCAATATTGCATTGGAGCTTTTCAAAAGAGATCGAAGAATCTGCTGCACGGAAATGCCTTCTTCCAAGGTTGATCGTTGTCTCTTGGCTCTCGGCTCGCTTCGAAAGCAGACATCCAATCCATGGAAAACGTCTTTTCTCCTGCCCAGAACGGCTAGGATATTCACTCGCTGAACCCATCGCTGGACCCAGTTCCTCTGGACGTCGAATCCAACCGTGACCAGACATCGTTTCAGCCCCTTGACCCCGGTGACGCGGGGTTAGATCAATGCGTGCGTAACGGGACCCATTCAGGGCACACCGGGCTCCATATTGCTCCATTTGATACTGAGAATGCGGTCTCGATTTCCGTCGACATCATAACCCTTGGAAGGATCCATCTTATTCTAGACTCTTGTCTCTTACCCACCTTGGTCAATTGGTTTATCGTTCACAAATACTGACTTGTCATAAATGCTGACTCCGAACAGCAAGTCAGGTTTGACTGCACTTTTAGCACATAATGTTTTTTGCACAAAATAATCATGACCACCGAAGGATCGTCCATGTGTTCTTTCTACGGAGTACTAATCATAGCAATGGCTGATAAGCAACGGGTGTGTCCTTCGTCTTATAAACTGGCAGGAAAAACGTCCGTGTCAGAATTTTCAAACATCCAAACATGCCACAACAGAGAACGCGGCTGTTTCAAATTGAGTATCGGAAATTCGATCAAAGTCCAGTCTGTTTTGGAAAAAAATTGCAAACCTATCGAGTACGAAAAAAGTGAGATATCCCTCAAGAAACCCGTATCACAGGACTGTACTTTGTATTTCTATTATAGTTGACATGTTTCAAATTCTCGCAATCTCACCTCTCCATATGGAATGCATTTTTCGTTCAAGCTGGTCCACCAGTGGCCCAAATTTGTGGAGAAATAGCGATGATCCGCGGTAGATCCGACTTTATCGTGTGACATCGAGACCCCCTTAACCTAGCCAGTCTATGTCCTTTGCTCAGTTTCACCGCGGATTGCTATGGCACCGCGGCCTCGGCTCGTGGTTCAGCACACTGCTGGATCTGGATTTATGACGAGACATTACAGCCAGTTGAATTTTCCAACCTCAGGAAATCTAATCTTATACTGGACAAGTCCTTCCTGGCTCACTATTACAATTCGGACTCGGCTGATCGGTATATAGAGGGCCGTTCGATATCCGAGAGCGCTACGACTAGCGAGCTGACATCGTCGCTTGCCATATTGGACACGGATATGAACCTCCCAGTTAAATCAATTGAGGCCAAACTTTCATGAAACGTTGGTTTTGAGACAAAGCTAGTTAAGAACTTCGTTTGAAGGAGACTAATCAAAAGGACAAACACAACAACAAGTCCACTAAATCTATACGCACCTTAACAAGGACAGAGAGGGATTCAAGCCACTGCAACTTCAATAATATCAAACAGAATCAATAGATAAAAAATCGGCATGTAAAATAGGCATATCGGGTCCCATGGCCCCTCTTCTACCCCGGCTTCTCCGCAATCCGTGCAGCGTATTCGTATTTCAGCCAATAAGCAAGACGGAACAACGCCTCTTCAGCACAGAATCCGGGACCGAATAGCAACTGATTTGGAAAGAAATTTCTGGCTCGCTATATGTTCCCCCGTGGCCGAAAACCGCGTGGCTCGATTTGCAGAGTTGTGGGGAGTCGGGGCTGTTTATAAGAGACCGGGGATGGAGATGGGACAAGTTTCATTGCTGTTCATCCATTGAGTGTCTCTCTATATTTAAAGATACGAATATGGGTATCTGCAAGGGCAAGATCACGGTTGAGGACAATGCCATTACATCGGCTGTTCATCTGACCTTGCGGCAGTCTTTGCTTCCAAATGCATTGGGTATGTTTGGGTTAGGGCTTGTGATGGCTATGTTCTCACACTTTTTTTAGTTATGATTCTTTTCTTCTTGTGGGGCTTTGCGTATGGACTGTTGGATGTTTTGAACTCGCATTTCCAGACTACCCTTAATATCACTGCTAGCAAGTCTAGCGGCTTGCAGGCTTCATACTTCGGCGCTTACTTTATCTGTCCGTTGACCATTTCTGGCTGGATTGCTCGCAAGTATGGATTTAGAGTCACATTCATGACAGGTAAGACAGGACACATTGCTTGGGGTATCCCCTCGACTGACAGATGAACTAGGCCTGGCTGTGCTCGCTGTCGGATGTCTCCTCTTTTGGCCCAGCGGCGTGAAAAAGTCATTTGGAGGATTTTGTGGCAGCATGTTTGTACGTTATACATAATTTCCTTCGTTTTACTTCTCTGACTTGATAAATAGGTCGTCGGTGCCGGTCTGTCGACGCTAGAGACAGCAGCCGATCCCTTCCTCTCGATCTGCGGACCCCCAAAATACAGCGAGATCCGTCTGAACCTGGGACAAGCCGTTCAGGGTGTGGGAACCTTCGTCGCACCACTTCTCGCCTCTCGAGTCTTCTTTGCCAATACCGTGGACGATAACGCCGGACTGAAGAACGTCCAATGGACATACCTTGGAGTGGCATGCTTTGTCGCTCTGTTGATCATCCTCTTTTGGCTCGCACCTTTCCCTGAGATCACAGATGCTGACCAGGAAGCGTTGGAGGGACAAATATTTGATCATGGTGAGGACACTGGCCCATTCAAGAGGCAGTACAACCTCTTCTTCGGTGTTTGGAGTCAGTTCTGTTATGTTGGTGCTCAGGTAGCTGTTGCTGGCTACTTCATCAACTTCTGTAAAGAAGCTGGCAAATCATCTGCAGAATCAGGTAAGTTTCCAGGAATCTATTGATTGGGTAGCGATCTAAACATACTGTCTCAGCCGACTTGCTTGCCATTGCACAGGGTCTCTATGCTTTCAACCGTTTCATCGCCACTGGCTTGATGATGATGAAGGCTTTCAAGCCACGATATATGCTGACAGTATACTTGGCGCTGTGTGTCGTCTTTTCCATTGCTGCGATGACCACTAAGGGTTACTCATCAGTGGCAATGATTATTCTTGTGCTATGCTTTGAGTCTGTGGGTATTAACATGCATAGAAGGGAGAATCAATTCCATAGCTAACACATTCTTTCCTCTACAGTGCTGCTTTGCGACAATCTTCTCACTTGCCCTTCGTGGCCTTGGACGTCACACTAAGCGCGGTGGTTCTCTGCTCGTCGCTGCAATTTCCGGCGGCATGGTCTTCCCACCCATGATGGGAGCTATTGTGGTCAGTCCTCACATCATATTTCCGGTTTCTCTTTTGCTTGTGCAGTGTTGATAATGAGATATTCAACAGACAAACAAAAACGCTCACATTGCCATGGCGATTCCTATGATGGGTTATATCCTCGCAATGGTCTTTCCGATTTATGTCAACCTCTACAAAAGGGATGTGATGGATAGCCATCGGAATACTGAGCTCAACGTGACGATTCAGGTTGGTAAGGATGTCGAGCTCGAGGAAGGAGGTCAGCAGAAACCTACTGCTGCAACTATTGAGACGGTTGAAGATGAGACGAGGCCAAACGCTTGATGAAAAGGGGGCACTTCGGCCAATCTTGGGTAATATTAAGTTAAAAAACACATATTCATTCTAATTAATGAGCTTTCCTATTCAAATGCCCCTTTGAAGAGCGAGGATGTCAGATAACTTCACTTGTCCCTTCTCGCCCCAGCCTTGTACTCCACTTTGAACATCAGGCCGCACACGGATGTACCAAGACCATGCACGTCTGTCCAGTTCCGCTTGCTCCAGCTTTGGAACCCACGATTGACAGACCGTATCAATGGCAGATAACAGACGACCAAGACATTCTTCTTTCTCGTCTTCAATAGTTGTAACTGACTTTCTTTTTGGTGTAGTTTTCCCTTCTTCGACTGGCTTTGAAAATGCTCGATAAAGATATGATCGAGCAGATTCAGGCCTGAAAATGGGTAGTGTGTTATCGGCAGTTTTATGCTGACCCGTGCTGTGATTGGACTCTTTGCCTCTGAGTGATTCCAGATCCACACCCCATAGTGGAGGCATTCGGCTTTGTTCGTCCTGTAAGCTCTCACTTTGGCCTTCTTTCTTGGCCTCGTTTGATGGGTTTCCTTCGTTTGGATCATAGTCCCATCGTTTTAACACCCTGATGTCTCGACCAAGAACTTTGACAACGGGATGACCCTCTCCCCACCCTTCTTGCTCAGCGGAGTTGCCTTCTTCGATTCCCAGACTCGCGGCTTTTGTGCGACTGTTGGCTGAAGCGACGGCCTGTGCCAGACTAAGTCGGCTGGATAGTGGCTGTCCCGGCATCGTATACTTCAAAACGCACACCGCGAAGGCAAGTACAAGAGGTGCGCGGTTCGTAATGATCACAGTACCGTTCAGCTCATCTCCATTGACAGAAGCCCCGGGCAAACCGAGTGAAGATCCAATTTCGAATGGAGTTGCATCTTTTTTCAATGGTTTGGAGGTCTTGTTGCGTTTCTGAGATGATGATTTGCTATCATCTGAAGCTCCTCGCTTCTTAGAGATTCGTTTAGCGCTGTTGAGAACCTGTTTCGCAGTTTTCTTATCCTTGAAAATGTCTTCCAGTACCTCCAAGTTTGCTTTGCCAATCTGTTCTGTACTAAGATCGAGTTAGAAGCGGAATATATGTTTGAGCGGGCACCTCACGTTAGCAGATTAGCCTTCTGCAGTTCCAGTGTTTTGCCCATTGCCATAGCTAGAGGAACTTTGGCATCTTGCGCCAAGAACCTGAGAAGAGTTTGGATCTGTGCTGAAGCCATGATGTAGTGGAATGCAAGATGGCAGAAGTTCCCCGGAGCTGTTTAGATAACTTCGTCATTGGCAGAATACTGCCGGCGGTAACCGCGGTGTCCCCTCACCGGGCGCCCGACCGCCCGAATCGCGCCTCAAGATATGTTTGGCGATTAGCTTTCGCAGCGACCTCTTTCAGATTATCTTTAGCATTCCCCTGCGACTTGGATACCACCGCTTTAGCTGCAGTTGCAGCTTTCTTGCAACATGTCCGACGATCCGAAGGGGAAGAGTTTCCCCGACGTCTCTGCCAAACTCTCGGCACTTCCCAAGAAATCGCTGTTCGAGCGCCAAAAGGCTGAGGCGGAAGCTAAGCGTGCCCGTGAAAAAGCCGAGACAGCTGCAGTCTATGAAGACTTTGTCAAGTCATTTGAAGATGATGCTCCGACTGGCCCCAAGTCCTCCGATGGACGACTAAACACATTTGGAAGTAGGGGTGGTGGGCTGAGCGGACCTTCGAAGCGACATTTCACAGCATCTGCGTCACGAAACAGTGGTCCAGGAACTTTAGGACCTACCCCACCTTCCATTTCTCGCAAACGTACCCACGAAGGCTTTGCGCCCTCCCATCGCGACCAACCCAAATTCGATACGGCGCATGGTGGCCCCTCTGGACCGGCATCTGCCTTTCGTGATTCCGAAGCCGACAGAGCGGCTGAAGAGACGGAGAGGGCAGCTTCGAAACCGACATTACACCTCGCATCACTTCCTCCTGGGACATCACCGTCAGTCATCAAGGCATTGATCCCCTCCACTCTCAGTGTGGACAACGTGAAGATCCTCCGCCCACCTAGTCAATCTCCAACCGAAAGACGATCTTCATCCGCAATTGTTACCCTCACAAGCGATGCAGCCGCCTCGGATATCGACACCACCGTGAGCAGCCTCCAGAACAAATACCTTGGCTGGGGATACTACCTAACTCTGTCCCGACATCTCTCCTCTGCTGCAATTGGTGCAAACGTGCCATTGCCTGTTGGCATTTCCTCAACTGCTTCTCTTCCATTCGGTGCGAAAACCATCCAGCCAACACTGGGGGGAACCTTGAACCGAGCTCCACCACCAGGGTCACACCGCGGGGGATTCGCGCCTCCCAGTTCATATGGACCTCCCGCTGGAAGAAACGGACCTTCCACCCAGGTGGAAGTGAAGGCACCATCAGATATCAAACAGCTGAGACTCATACATAAGACCCTGGAAAATCTACTGAACCACGGCCCAGAGTTTGAGGCACTTTTGATGAGTCGACCTGAGGTCCAGCGAGAAGAAAAGTGGGCCTGGCTGTGGGATGCAAGGACGGTTGGTGGTGTTTACTACCGCTGGAAATTATGGCAGGTTGTCACGAACCCTCGTGCCCGGAAGGCCCAAACACGTAAACAGACAACTCTGTTTGAGGGTGGACCGAATTGGGCACCCCCAAAGGGCGATCTAAAATATGAATACACCACCCGGCTGGATGAGTTCATCTCAGATGAGGACTACAACTCTTCCGACGAAGAACATTCGGATGGAGAAGATGAGAGGCGCACCCACAGCGGAGCACCTCCTGATGGGGCAAATACGCACAGCGATGGTCTCGGGTACATGAATCCTATGCGGAAAGCCAAGCTCACACACCTTCTCGCACGACTCCCGACTAGTCATGCAAGGCTACGACGAGGTGATGTTGCCCGAGTCACAGCATTTGCCATCGAACATGCCGGAGCAGGTGCGGATGAGGTTGTCGACATGATTGTTTTGAATGTTCTCCACCCTCTCGCCTACACAGGAGCCAACCCTGACCGCGAATCGGAAAAGAGGTCTGCGAGATCCGAAAGTGCCGACATGGAGAATCGCCCCACAGCGCAGGAGAAATTGGATGTATCCGCTTCAAAGCTAGTTGGGCTGTACATCATCTCTGATATTCTCTCATCATCAGCTACCAGTGGTGTGCGCCATGCATGGCGATACCGACAGCTATTCGAATCGGCCCTCCGCTCACACAAGGTCTTCGAGCACCTAGGTCGTCTCGATAAGGACCTCAACTGGGGTCGTCTTAAAGCAGAGAAGTGGAAGCGCAGTGTTGGCACTCTTCTCCACCTATGGGAAGGGTGGTGTGTATTTGCCCAATCAAGCCAAGAGCACTTTGTCCAGATATTTGAAAAGCCACCGCTTACCGAGAGCGAACTACAAAAGGAGAAAGCAAAGGCCGAGGCGGAGCGAGCTGCCGCTGCCGTTGCCAAGAGCAAGAGCCGGTGGAAGACCGTTGATGACGAAGAATCAGCTGGCAAATTCGATCCTACACGACCTGCACCCGAAGAGAGCCAGTCTACTGTTGGCCCCGCAGAGGACGAATTGATGAGTGATGTTGATGGTGTACCAATGGAAGACAGTGACCTGGAAGATTTTGATGCCGACCAGGTGAACAAGGGCCTTCCACGGAACCCTGACGGCACTCAAGACCAACCACCCCCGCCACAACCACAAGCATCTCAACCTCCTAAGCAGCCCGAGCAACCGGCCGGGAAGCAGGAACCAGAGGGAAGACAACGAAAGCCACGACCCAAAGCTGAAGACATGTTTGCTTCGGATTCAGAGTGAACGTGGGCGTGATTGTAATTGTACGTGTATGGACAAAGATAATGACTTGCTATGAATCAACAAATATCTCTTGAGCTTGTATACAGTAACTACATTTGCGACATAAGCGATCAATCACTACAACGAGCATCCCAAACAGAGTTGAGCAGTGAACTAGGCAAACCCAGCCATCGACCTGATCTGCGTTAGGCTACTTGCCCTTTTTGACGATACATGTAAATGGAGACTGCAGAGTATCATAGTGACACACCTACTAAATTCTCTTGAATTCTCTTGTGGAGAATTTACTCGGTTTAGTCTTCCCCGCACTCTCATCGGTGAACGTTACGTCCAATTCGCAGGTTGTGCGCTCGGAATATTTCCTTAAGTCGTGAATACTGACTTCATCTCAAGAACCTAACTTATCGAGTGACATAGCTTTCCATATAAAAGGAAGCTTGCCCCACGAGCTCAGGTCGTTGACGACAGCGACAAACCGCCTCCATATCTCGGTCATCATAGATAATCCTCACTCCACGCACCATGTCCAATCCGAACATGATCACGGTCACCCTCCCTCAGCTGGCGAAAATGATCGATCACTCCCTTCTCCACCCAACTATGACCGATGAAGACATCCGCGCCGGTCTCAAGATTGCCAAAGACTACAACGTCGCTACGGCATGTGTGAAACCTTACCTGGTCCCACTGGCCAAACAGGAGCTCGATGGCACAGACGTTAAGGTATGCCCGGTGATCGGGTTCCCTCATGGAAACAGTACCACAGAAATCAAAGTGTTAGAAGCTACTGCAGCGGCCCAGGCTGGTGGGCAAGAAATCGACATGGTAGTGAACATTGGCAAGGTCCTTGGCGAGGACTGGGAATACGTGACTCGAGAAATTGATCAGATCAACACGGCAGTTGTGAAGCATGGGGCCATTCTGAAAGTTATCTTTGAAAATGATTACCTGCAGCCTCAACACATTGTACGGCTGTGTGCCATATGTACCAATCTGAAGGTTGCATTTGTCAAGACTTCGTCTGGGTATGGGTTTGTCAAGCAGGCTGATGGATCCTACAACTATAAGGGTGCGACTATCCCCCATCTCAAGCTGATGCGACAACATTCTGGTCCGGAGGTTCAGATCAAAGCTGCCGGTGGTGTGAGGACCCTGGATGATTTGCTCCATGTGATGAGTCTTGGTGTGACAAGGATTGGAGCTACTGCTACTATTGCTATTCTTGAAGATGCGAAAAGACGGGGGGTTGGCATGGATCCTGTTCAAGTTGAGTTCAAGTCGATGAAGGAGGAAGGGCAGCCTGGCGGTTACTAGCTGGATGAATACTTTCTTCTTAAGCCCTTACGTACACTTTCGCCCCATTCTTTTGAGTATATACTGCTGTACTTGACATGGCTAGAGAGAATTCTTAACTACCGGCATGGACAGAAGTGCTCATTTATGGCCTTGTCATAGTATCACATTGCTATAATATCATGTACATTATACATCAGGTTAGAAGCTAATCTCCTAGCGGATAGCAATGCAGAATCTGTCCATCTATTGTATAGTGTCGCGGTTAGTTGCATGGGTCTCAGATATCGTGTGGTGATGTGGCACATACAGTAGAAAGAAGCATCTCTGCTAGCCAAGAAAACAAAGCTGGTCGCAACTTCACTTGCTTGACCCGGACGGCCGAGAGCTTTACTCTCCCCCAAATTCTTCATTCCCTCGGCATCCCGAGTGTCAGCTTGGATTGGAGTATAGATCACGCCAGGGCTGTTGAAGGTTAGTATGTCGGGCTTCCAAGAACAGCAATTGTACTTACGCGACCGCGTTAACTCGGATACCCTTTGGAATGAGCTGCTGTGCGAGAGACCTTGTGAACCCGACAATCGCTCCCTTGGTGGCAGCATAGTCCACCATGCCTGCTGTACCGCGGAAAGCAACCACTGAGGTGTTGTTGATAATCCTGGATAATGGTTAGTATCAAGACGCAATCGAACGCTTACTCCAAAGTATTGACTTACGAGTCGCCTCTAGACATATGCGGAAGGGCGTATTTTGTGATCGCGATCATTTGAAGAATGTTCGATTGGAACACATCTTCGACCTTCTCGAGATCGATTTCTGCTAGATCTTTGCATGAATACTGTTTCGAAGCATTGTTGACGAGTACATTGAGAGCACCGTGCCTATAGAGCTCATAGTTAACATCTGCTGGCAGAATATATGACGAAAGACGAGACTTACTTTTTGATGTGCTCTTCAACCGCTTGACGACAGAAGTCATACTTTCTCAAGTCTCCAGGAAGGAGCAAACAGGTTCTGCCTTCGGCTTCGACCATTTTCTTTGTTTCTTCTGCATCGTCTTGCTCTACTGGTAGATATACAATGGTGAGATCTGCGCCTTCTCTGGCCATCAAAACCGAGACTGAGCGACCAATGCCCGAGCTTTTGGGTGTTAGCGTACGTAGGGGAATCATGCAGGGGCAGAACATACTCGCCACCGGTGATCAGGACCTTTTTGTCCTTGAGCTTATCTGCGCCGGCATATTCAACAAATCCTTGGCTTCCTTCAAGTCTGGTGACCTCACTAGAAGGCGCCATTTTCTTTTCCAGTCTAGTAAGGAAGAGTTAGCTCACATTTCTCGATAGAGTGGCAATCTTGTCTAACCCGGGCTTTTCCTGGCTCTGAGCCGCCTTGGGCGGTTGGAAGGTGTCAGTTTCTCCTTTCTGCGACATTTTGACAATATTGCAGATTATTTTTGTAGGAGTGTTTTGTCTTGAAAATCAGTTCAATTGAAAAAGAAAAAGAAATACGAGCACCCGATGAGCTTGTATTCTCGTTATAAAGTGTACATAGTTGGAATGCGACCGTGGGTTTCGGCGTCATTCATGCGTCAATTCGCGTGGAACATGCTATTTCGTTGATATCATATCCAAGAATCTTGTTTTAAGACAAAATACCGGCACGACAATGATTAAAACAACCTCTTGTTTCTCTTGTTGCACTAGAAAACGTTGATCTTTCTACTAGACCATGTGGGCTTTAATTATTACTAAACCTGAAGCTATCCCGAAGACACCGATCCCTCTTCCCTCCAAATGTAGTAAAAGTAATTCATAGATGACCCTCGAATTCTTCACACCATTCTTCAAACTCTATGTCTAGCAGCAACTACCGTTATAGACTTGCCTGTTCGCCATCACATCGCTGTACATTGCAATACTTAATGATAGATCTTAGCGCGCTATAGGAGTATCACGTCATTTGTTCCTAGCGATGTCCGCCGCATGCACATGCTGCTTCTGCACGGCGCTTTCCATCAGGCTAAACTCAAGTATTTTCGTAGAAATGTATAAGGCCTGAATCTTCAAGCAGGCACAGTGCACGTCATCGATATTGTTATTTTCGTTGCATGGAGTTCTATCACCCAAAAGGGTTCGGTGGGTATGTATAGAGACGAGTAATCCTCTCTCCACAACTTCCATACCAGGTCGCAGCCAACGACCTGGAACCGGCGACATAAGAACATTGACTATTGATGTGAGCTTGGACAAAACTGAGGAATACGTGGCTTGGGCAATCGTATACAGTAGATCAACTGCGATAGTCATTTAAGTATAACGTTCGCGCTTTTCTCAACGTTTGATTTTATCTCCATATGCCGTCCAAATTATACCATCGGGCTGATCTCAGTATATTAATAAGATCTGATCCCCATAAAGCACAAAACTCTCCTGCAACCTGTAGAGATCACTATGTGGGCTAGAAGTAATGATTAATGCTGGTTTCTAGAGTGATGTGACAAGGGCTGCATTAGTGTCAGAGATCTGACCCGGGACAATATGATTGCGGATGCCCGCACGAAATTGCGACAAAAGTTGCAATGGAATTGCCCCTCCATGGCGAATCGTACTGTGGCATTATTGACGCCAACAGCGCCTGAAATTGTCCGGAAACCCCTGTCGAACCCTTGACGGCCCCCAACTTTTCTCCGACTCACTAAGCGCACCCACATGAAAGTATTTTTTCTAAATCGATCCATTGAAGCAAATTAGTGCTCTGTTTTATTTCTACATCGGGCCAAAAAGAGCCATTGGCATATTTGCTTGCTTGGGCGTATCGACATGTCAGAGACCAACACTTATCCAAGCGCTGGGCACGGCATGGAGACTAAGAGTCGGCGAATAGAGTGCCAGATCTCGGCGCTATTTCTGCATGTCCAAGTTGTCAGGGATGCTGTTAGCAGCATCGCCATGGCTCAGCCTCATTGCTGCTTCCCCTCTGGCTGACTGAGCCCTTAGCTGTCCAGAGCTGGTGATGTTAGTCTGCTCAACTATGTATCACCGCAGTTAAGGTTTTGTATATAGATGTATTGATACTTATTGAAGATGCTCATATATCTCTTCACAATCCTCCTCGCTCTTCCACCGGCTCGCGCAGGCGTAGGCGGCTGGGACGACTTTTCGAACAATCTCGCAACCGATCTCGCACCGTTTCTGTCTCTGTTTGGTGAACAAATAACGAAACAGTATATGAGTGAGAGCACTACCTTAATGGATTATTTCATTTTCGCCATGGCACCAATGGGCATCCTCACAGCAGTCGTTTCCGCAATTCGAGTGTGTGGAACCGCATCGCTTCGTGCCTTCATCGGCAGAGCTCAAGAAGGAGCGGGCAACGCAGAAGCTGAGCTGTGCTCTTCCACAAGCCGGGACGTGTGTGAGCTATACAATAATGGAGGCATCGCGCGCGTCTTTGGCCGTCCCAAGATTCTCGAGGTTGTTCATGACCCAAATCATGATTTCAGCAACAAAAGCGACGATACTGCGGGGATATACACCTTCCAGGAATTTGTTCAGGGCAAAGGCAGGTCCATTTGGCAGAAGGAAAAGTCAAGGAAAGAGAATATGAAGCAGAAAGACCCGGAGTCAGAGATGAAACAAGAACAAGATACTCCTCACACGGTCTTTTCTCCGAACCTCTCCCTAAATATCGGGATTAAGAAGCAACCCGATGCTGTTTTCAAGGCCATTGCTGTTGGAGGTCTGATTCTGCAATCTGCTGTTTTGGTTTTCGCTGGTGTTGTCACATACTACCTGAGATGGGAGAAGAATGGTAGTCGCCCAGAAGCCTATGCGTGTCCACTGCTGATCATCGGGACTGTTCTTGTCTGCGGTGGAATGTTTTATTGCGCTTTTCTTGTGGGCCAGAGCACAGATGAAGACGTCTGGCTTCGACGAAAGGACAAGGCAGACAACTCATCTATGTATTGGATACAGCCGGGCAATCAAATTATTGGTGATCAAACATTCGATGCCTTCTCGCATACGGACTGTGACGATCGTCTAGAAAAGTACACGACTTCAAGGAGGAAGACAGGGCCTAGAGAATGGAAATTAGAAGTCTGGACAGCCACCGGAGTCACTCTCACTGGCTTTGTCCTCCAGTTTACTGGGCTCCGGGGCATACACTCGGCAGTTGCTGTAGCTCAGCTGGGAGTTGTTATGGTGATGAGCACGGCGCGAGCTGCCCTTCGCATGGAGCGGTTCAAGGCCGATGCGAACTTCTTTGCCAAGTTTCCAGATGAAGTTCTCGGTCATGAACTAGACTGGCTCGCCTTGCGTATTGGTCGAAACATCATAAAAAACGATTTAAAAGATGACACCAAGAAAGAAATCGGGAAAGACGACTTGCCACTTCGGTCGTCATCTCCTAGTCTTTCCTGCTCCTCCAAAACATCGGACCGGTCACCGTCCATTCCTCAACCTCGTTACCTCTGGAGATTTAAAGGTACAACTAAAGCCACTAATGCGGTCAGAATTAGCCGCAGGGACCCAACTTCCAACATGCCACATAGTGCCGCCGCTATACTATTGGCATATCGCACCCGCCTTGCATCGCTCACGGTCTCATCCATTGCCCCTGCCAGGAATTTCAAGACTGAAATGGTTGAGGTCCGAACAGAAAGTCAACAGCTGGCGACCTTGATTGAGGCTACCGTGAACACCATGTTTTCCAAGGCCGAGATCAAGAAAGAGTGGAAGGAAGCTGATGCTGTATCCATGTTTTGGGGCATTGACTGTACCATCTCCGAACAGCCCAAAGACACCACGATATCATCGAAGGACCACAGGCTGTACCTAGAATTCAATCGTCTGGATACCGGGAAACCCTGGGTCCTCAAGAGCCGCATGAAGCTCGAAGGGCTCTTGGGACTATGGACTTGGTCACTGAAGTCAGATCCAGCTATAGAGACCGAAGACCCAGACACTGGTCTCAGAAACTCCAGAGCTGACCAAATCCAGACACGACGGGTTCTTTCAACTGAACAAGTTGTGAACGCAGATTTGCCAATATGGCTCGGTGACGACCTGAACACTATGACGGAATACAATCTGCCTGTTTCATCCGATCTCAGTGACTTGAGTGCCCTATGGAAGAAACGGGGAGATGACGTCGAACAGACAAAGAACCCACTGCCAGTCACGCCTAATGAGACGCTCCTTCGGTTCTTTGGCCAAAAAGCTGCACAATTGTCGCAGAATCAGGTCTCCAAGACGTCTAGCCTCTTCTCTACTCCAATTAACGGCTCTCTCGTGTCAGCATGTGCCCAGGAGGTATTTTCATCATTTCTCGAGAGCATTCTCGACATTGTGGATGACATTGGACCCGTTAATCTTCAAGAAACCGAACCCTTTCGACTTCAGAATAGCCTTGTGACTGAGGTTGTTAGACTATTTACGGAGATGCATGTGGGCCCGAGGCACGAGGCTCTTCATTGTGTCGTGCCTCTGATGATATCTCACCTGAAGACGCCCTCTTCAGAAAGTGTTTTGGCAGCCGCGGGGAAAAGTGCGACCCAGCAACGCAAAAGCGACGAGTGGAGGAAGGCTGAAGAAATGCTGCGATGGGTGTGGAGAATCTGTATTCAATCTCAATCCTCCCAGGATACGCCCGAAGAAAACGGGAACCAGCAACCTGGCTCTAAACACTCTCTTACTGAGTTAGCGACAATTGCGCTAGGCGAACTGTACAGGTGGGCTTTAGTCGACACAAAAACTAGACCATTCGGAATAGATGGAATCTCCTGGCTCGAGAGACAGAAGCCTGATCACTCGGAATCTATTTGCAAGGTCATCGACCGCTATGTTACTGTTGCAAATGGAGTTGAACGAAATGAAGACAGCAGCGCTGACCTTATAACTGCAACGAAAAACGGTTGCTTGACGACAACATTGCTCGCTCTCACTCGTCCGGTATCCAATATAGAGAGCGAGCAGAAAGGGAATGCTCTTTGCTTAGCGGCTAAGCATGGCTGGGCTGAAGTGGTACACGCGTTGCTTGAGCTCAACACTGCGCCGGATTTCCAGAATGCAGCAGGCAGAACGCCATTATCATACGCAGCAGTAAATGGCAACGTCGACATCGCAAGAGACCTCCTTTACTGGGGGAGCTTCCCAGACTTGGGGTGCCCTCAAAACAGGACACCTTTGTCATATGCGTCAGAGTCAGGAGCTCACCGGATCGTTGAGATGTTGCTAAGCGATATACGTGTCTCTCCAGATCGCAAAGACAAAAATGAACTGACACCACTGTGTTGGGCTGCAAGAAACGCTCGTGACATTGTAGTCGAGCAGCTACTCAATACGGGTAAGGTCGACCCGGATGCGATGAAGAGCAAGGGGGGAACTCCACTGTGGTGGGCGGCATTAGAAGGCCATGAGAGTATTGTGCAGCGGCTACTCAATACTGGCAAAGTTGACCCAAATGCACGCAATAACGGCAATGAAAGCAATAATATAGCATCAAGGGCAATGACACCACTAAGCAATGCGGCATGCAGAGGCCATGAGACCATCGTCAGGATGTTACTTGAGACCGACAAGGTCAACCCAGTTTCGAGAAATGAGTGGGGGGCGACGCCATTGCATTGGGCGGCAGGACACGGGCATCAAAACATCGTGAGACAGCTTCTCGAGACCGGAAAGGTCGATCCGGACGCAATAGAGGACCATGGCAACACTCCGCTAAGCAAGGCGGCCTACAATGGGCATGAGATCATCGTCAAGATGTTACTCGAGATAGAACAAGTCGACCCAAATGCGGTGGACCAAAGCGGACGCACACCATTGACCCAAGCAGCCAAAAGGGGGCATGATGCTATCGTTAAGCTGCTACTTAAGACCAGTAGGGCTGACCCGAATCCAAGGGATGATTGGAAAAAGACACCATTGCATTGGGCAACACGATTTGGGCAGAGCGGCGTCATCAAACAGCTACTCGAAAGTAATCTGGTCGATCCAGACGCGAAGGACATTCAGGGACACACGCCTTTGTGGGAGGCAAGATATTATGGACATGATGCTATCGTCGCGCAACTACTTGAGACCAACAAGGTTGATCCTGACCCAAAAGAGACTTGTGATTTTGTCGCGGCCAATATGGCAGCCAGGCAATGGAAGATTCCCGAGGCAGTTGTGGCAGCAAGGAAACGAAATCACCCCCTCCAGCAGAGAAACGGGATTTCCGAAGCATGTTTGGCACGAAGAAAGTGGGACTTATGTAATGCATTATCAGGCCAATTCAGAGTGTTCAAATAAACTTGCCTGCTTTTCAGGCTTACCATACATTTTAGCACCATGCTAGCAGCTAGCCCTTGGGCTATTTTCGTTTACTGCAACCCTAAGGAGATATGGCCTCAATATCTTACTTTCTGGCAACAACACCTGATGCTCCGCTTTGACAGGGATGATCTTGATAATGCCCAGCATTGGGCTATTGCAGTTTGTATGAGTCAGATAGGCAATGAGCCCTGACCGCAAGCTCTCAGCTTGCTGCCCGAACACTTGAACTTATTGCCTAATAAGTTTGAATATGTGTATACCTGTTATCTACCTAGCAGAAAAGGAAGAGGCTATCTGCCACAAAGATAAATAACGTAATCTTTTGGGTATACAAACATGTAAAGCTGATCCAGTGCGTATACTCTAAAGGTGCGCAGTTAAGTTGAAAGGCAATTGAGCCATTCATAGCCATATGAATTTGCCAGATATGATAGTCAGATGAGATAATTAGACATCCACGTCTCGTACAAGAAGTTCAAAACAGTATACGGCAGGGATAAGGCGGAAAGGCGGCAGAAATGCATTTCATGCCCCACAACCCCTCATCAACAAATACTTCCTCATTTCTCACCTCTCTACAGTTCAACTACTTGACCTCTCAGTTCACTCACACAACTCATCCAAAATGTCGCAGCCAGGTACGTACTCGTGGAGGGCACTAGGAGCAACCCCCCTTTCCTAGCCCTCCTGCAAGCCTCTAATCCTCAGTCCGCAGACGACAATGCGCGAACGGTTCTGCGCAGCCTGAGGCTTTGCTGAAGATTAAAGTAGAATATTATGGAACAAATGTTTGCTAACATATGTGTCCTATCTAGACAACTCCCGCGCAATCGCTGGTACGCTATCTACGTCGTCTTTTCATTAATCCAGCGATGTGCCCCATTCCCGATCCTCTCCCCATTGAGCCGTGAACTATGACTCAGTCGGCAATAATAAAATAGATAGATAGGAGCCTATACTGACTGATCGACCCTACAGAGCAGTTCCTGCAGCACTACTATACCACCTTCGAGGGAGACCGCTCAGCCCTTGCTTCTCTCTACGTAAGTCAACTATGCCCGAGACTCGAGGCTAGAAACTATACACTAACCCAATCATTTCAACAGCGGGATTTGTCCAAGCTCACCTACGAGGACGAAACTTTTGAGGGCGCGAAGATCATGACCAAGATTGCTGTGCGTGAATTCCAAATTTGCGGCTATGCAGGGCTATTCTCAATTTGAAATTGTGCATGCTAATGCAAGATGGTATTTCTAGGATATGCCCGCGGCAAAGCGCGAATTTGCTCGCTTCATGTCCCAGTACTATGATGGCGACAAAGGCATTCTGATCATGCTGCATGGTCTCCTCGTATGTTATATGAATCTATCCTTATTCCTGTCTCCTGGCTAATGATCATTCGAAAAAAGGGTGACGAAGGTCTTCGGATGAACTTCATCCATACCTTCAACCTGCGTCAGGACGAAGCAGGTTTCTTTGTGAGCAACGAGATGTTCCAGCTGGTCTACAACGCCTAAGTCATAGTCTCGCAAATAACGACCATGGCAGAATGACAGGAGAAAGGACTTTTCTGTGAAAAAATACCCCTTGGTGGAGGGAATCAGAGCCAACTGTGTTGCAAAGGACCTACAACCATCAATCTTCGATACGAATGAAGTCTACTTGGACCAATACAGAAATACATAAGATTTCACTCTGTATAAAGCTACATAATAGCATGGTGAAACTCTGATTCATATGTAGCCGCTAATCACTGACTCTGAAGCAATGGCGTCTCCTCAGACGGACGCTCGAAAGGCTCATGTTCGGCTCGCTCATCAGCACGAACAGGCCCATTCAATCCTCCATTCTGATCAACATGGTGTCCCGCTTCTCCCTTGTCATTGGACCCAAAGTACTCAAAGTAAATCGCCATCACCAGCAAAGTACCCTGCAAGCAAGCCGTGACAACCAAAACCCCCCAAATACTCCAACCGGCCCATCCCTTGCGCGCAGCCAAGCTACTCGCCCAGACAAGACTTCCAGGCGTCTGAATGCACATCATTGGAATACTCAAACTCCCCACACAGCGCAGCCGGAATGTAGTATATATCTGCGGGAAGTACTGTATAGACGCGAGCACGGCAGACAAGACACCAAGGAAGTTCGCCCAGGCTGGCAAAGCGGCTGGTTGGCGAATATTGAAAGCAACAGAGATTATTATCGTTGCGAGTGCGTGTAGTAGGCAAAGCCCTGTTACGACGAGCGCGGTGCGGTAGGTCGGTCCGTTGGGCGTGGAGGATACGGCGCTTACTGGATCCGTTGGGGATGTTGCTCGTGGAAAGTAGATCACGAAAAGGAGCAGACTTAACGAGATGCATTAGAATCTCCTCTCTCATGGCTCACCTCCCATTAGAGATACCATAGGATATGGACTCACATCGAGAAGAAGCAGAGCCACTGCGTGCCCACTTGGAAGACGCCAAGCAGCCCTGCGAAACACGCCAGGCCACTGACCTCCTCACAGCAGGCGACATCTTGGGCGGTAGATGGGAATACTAGGATATTGGCAAAGGCTGAGGTGCCGGATGTTACCCCTAGCAGCACGAAATAGGGCGATATCCCGAAGGAGCTTCGGCGGGCGATGATGCGGATGTGTTGGGGGAGATACGAAAGGAGGATGCCGATGACGATTAAGCTGGGCCCCTGATTAGTTACTGGCCGTCAACTTTGGTTATTTGAGAACATACACTGATAACACGGTCTGGAAGGCGTTAGGCGAGGCCAGCTCGCGGCAATATGGCGTTGATGGGTCCATGTTGGAGTTGGAGAGCTATGGAGGTCGGGGTAGCTCGCAGATCAGGAAGCTAGCTAGAGCCAGCTTGAGCTAGAACAAGAACTAGAATCAAAACTAGCGAAAGAAGGTCTAAGGATCACATTTAAATCACCAAGGTTCAAACTTGCACTGCAGGGGAATCAGGGGAGAAGCAATCCCCGCAACAACGTTGGGTATCCGTGCCTCGGCGCCTGAGGTTAGCTCAACTTCAACTTCACTCTATAAGTTATAGTGCCCCCTAAGTGTCAGGTATCTAGTTCAAGCTCAGTTGATGTTTATTTGCCATTCCGTAACAAGATTCACGTAAGAATTGGCATGACGGAATACGAAATTGATGAATCATGCATCCAGCCAAGGCAAATTCCCCAACTACGTCACTGCGCAATCATCCCTGGTCCTTTCTTGCTTTGGCGCTTTTTAAAGCATTCCTATCCCCTTCTCTTCTTAATGCTCACTCCCTGTTCTAGCTCCGACATATCGTTTTACGAAACTTGAAAACGACAAGATGAAGCTGAATTTGGCCACTGGCCTACTATTTTTCCTCGCGTCCACGGAAGCTGTGGGAGCTACCAGCTGGTGGAGCAAAGCTGGTACGTTTTCATCAGGAGAGAGTGTGTTCCGCAGGCTAACGACAGCAGTTTACAACAAATGGCACGAGACTGAGCTCGAGCGATGGCTGTCTGACCATGGTATGATATACTTCGCTAGTCCAGCAGCTACATCTATTAACAAAATAACAATCAACAGACATCCCTCACCCTAGTCCTGCCGACCGTAGGGACCTGGAGAACTTGGTCAAGTCCAATTGGGATATCAGAGTGCAGAAGCCCCTGGGAGCCGTGGCCGACCAAATCAACGACCAAGCTCACCACGCAAAGGAATGGGTGTTCGACTCGTAAGTTGTTTACCTCGATTATTCCACGAAAGGAAGCTAACCCATACAGTTGGTCCGATTCTCAGTTGAAGGCATTCCTTGATCGCCATGGCATTCCAGCTCCCCAGCCCCGCAAGCGCGATGTCCTGATCCAGACTGCGCGTGAGAATTATGAAGCAATTGCCAAGAAGGTCGGTCAGACCGCCTCTTACCCTGGAGACTGGCTCTACGAGTCGTGGTCCGATTCCGATCTCAAAGGATGGCTCGACGAGCGTGGATGGCCCGCTCCTCAGCCATCAACTCGTGACAAGCTCATCGCCTCAGTGCGCCGCAACTCTCGCATTGTCAGCTTGCAGGCACAGAGCATCGCTGCGTCTGCCTCTGCTTCCGCTGAAGCTGCTACGCACTCCCTGAGTGATGAGCTTTTCAATGCCTGGTCTGACTCGAAGCTGAAGGAGTTCCTCGACGAACACAATGTCAAGGTCCCTCAGGGATCCAAGCGCAATGAACTCATCGCTCTCGCCCGCAAGAACCGTGCCTATCTCGTCGGCCAGGTCTCCAGTGCTGCCTCTAGTGCCTCTAGTGCTGCCGAGGATGCGTTCGGTGCTGCTACCACCAAGGCTGGAAACCAGTATGCGCGCGCTACCGATGACGTCAAGATGAAGTCCGAGGATGAGTTCAACGCCGCATTGAAGGGCTGGTCAGACTCTCGCCTCAAGGCGTTCCTTGATGCTCGCAGCGTCCCCGTTCCTCAGAATGGCAAGCGCGATGAGCTCATTGCCGCCGTCCGCGCTAACGCCCACAAGGCTGCCGGTGGATGGAACCAGTACAACTTTGATACTTGGGACAAGGAGCACCTGTTGTAAGTCTATTCTTCATATCGCCAATCTTTTCACGCGCTGACTCTTATAGGAAATACTTGTCTGCAATGAACAGCAAGGCTGCTAAGAAGGCCGATGCCTCACGCGAGGAGCTCATTAAGAACGCTCAGGACTCGTACGCCAAGGCTTCTAAGGCTGGCGGCGAGCAGTACGCCTCTGCAACTTCCTCTCTTGCTCAAGCTACCGGATCTGCCAAGGATGCCACCTTTGACCAGTGGTCGCAGTCCGAGCTCAAGAGATACCTTGACACTTACGGCATTCCCGTCTACCAGGGCTCGAGCATCAATGAGCTCCGAGCTGCAGCCCGCCGCAACGCGCAGTACTTCAAGTACGGCACCACGAACCCACAGGACACCATCTACGCCAAGGTCATGGATACCTTGCAGTGGGCCTTAGAGCAGCTAAAGATCGGCGCTTCTAGCGGCCGTGCTCAGGGTCATGAAGCTGCTGAAAAGGCGCAGGAGAAGGTCTCCGAGAAGACCGAGAAGCTGCGTTCGGAGCTGTAAAAAGCTGTTGCTCAGATCCAACTGTTATTTATCTTTCTATTCTACAAGGTTGGATGCCAATTCGGTTTAGCTTCTGCGATATTTCTTAGGTTACGATGATTATGACATTTGAGCTTTGGGTTACTTGAGGTACTTTTTGGTTGTTTTCAGGGCCTTGATTTTTGTTGACTGTCAATAACATGCTCGCAAATACAAAACTTCAAGGAAGCCCTCCAACTTCTCTTCTTTGGTCAAAATAGTAACTGCTTCGTTCTACAACATAGCACAGAATAATCCCGAAAAAAAAGAAAGATTGCTTAGCTTTTTATGAACCTCAAAAGGATAATCATGACCTGAGTTTTCACTGGTCCATCGAGAACCTAGAGTATTTCCAATCAGGTCATCTCACTCCCTAACATACACCGAACATATCTGTTCAATTCGTTTATGCCGTTAGGACGAAGGAGCTTCGGGGTCACCCTCAGCAACGAGCTTTCCAACAACAAGGTACTTCTCCGAGAAACGCTCCTCCCATGACTGCAAATTCTCCAATTGATCCTCATCCAAATCCTCCAGCTTATCCAAAGGAGCGGACAAATCCTTAGTCAACATCTCCTCATCGAAGCTCTGGTGAGCCAAGCCGCGGGATGCGTCACGGCCAGCAAAGTTCTCGTAAGGACCGCCCTGTTCAACCCATGTATCGTCAGCGTGTGTCCAGCTTCAGCTCCCGTTCTAGACCCAGCCCTATTCCTAGACGTTCCACGGGAATGGATTCCAGCACATACCGGTCCGTAGAAGTTCCTTCCAGGAGAAACATCAAAGACACGACCCCGTACGGCGAGGTAGACGGGCTGGTCGTTCAATCCATTAAATTGGATCAGCGTTTTGGGTGTGTAGGTCTTGAAGACGACTGGTGGGGGGCCGCGCGGGAGGGCGACTGGTGCCTTTGGTCGGAAGTGCCAGTAGATTAGCACCATGAAGAGGGAGAGGAGGATTAGGTTGATTGGTGATGCGATCGACATCCTGGGTGGTGTTAGTTGTCGAAGTTCGGAGCTTTGGAGATGAGGTACAGCGAGGGTGCGGGCGCTGGGGATGGGGACACAAACACTTCGGGCTGTGGTACAGAGTCTGCTTGTTTGTTAGCAGGGTTGGACCATGTGGGAGGTGGCACATTACCGGCCATGTTGATGTTGAGGTTGGAATGGAGCAGTCGGGAATCTCGGGATGAGCGGGGAGCTCTATACTGAGCACGTGATTGTCATTTGCCGAGTTGATATACTTTCTATTTACTTGTGCTTAGTTGTACTTCGTATAGACGTCTCGGTGTTTCTTGGTCTATTCTTATACTATATGGCATGTGAATGATTGGAGAACAGGCCTCCATGCTAATTTAAGACGCCAGCAGGCCCTGAGCTGTTTCATCTCCACTGACCATCCCCATTTTAATTCGTTGCCTAGCCAGTTAGCTTGAATCAGTGATGCCATGTTGTTTCTTTGCCTTTCCCTGTATTCTAGATCTTTTCTCTGAATAGTTTCTTTTCTTCGATTCTATACATCTCGAGAACTTGGCTCTATATTCCGCACGCTTCCGGGCTTGTCCGTGGTCTGCCGCCCACAAACAACGGTCTCAACCCCCTTTCCTTGAGAGGTCGCCCTTTTTTTTGTCTTTTGTCTTTCATCTCATCCTTTTGTACGTGCTGCATGGGAATTCTGCTTTCTTTTGCGATTCTAATTGTATAGATCTGCCGCGTATCCGCAGATCAAAATGTGGTCCAAAGGGCCATTCAAGTCTCGACGGAACCCCACATCAAACCCGTCTCCGTCTCCTCCGGGTTCGCGGGATAAACAAAAGGGTCTACCTCCTTTGCCTAGGTGAGTTTGGCGGTTGGAATGCTTGAAAGTAAGATCTAATTATGGCAGTGACTCGGTCAAAAAAGCTCCCTCACATGACATGAAAAAAAGATACTCAGACGTCTCGTCTATTGGATCGCCAGGTCCTGGTCATGAATGGCATGGTAGCCAAAGTAGCTTCTGTGTGTCACCAATAGAGGAAGGACAACCATTTCCTCCTGCGCAAAAGGACTATCGGGTGTCTTCGGCACCAGCTCCGATTCTTATGGCTGAGAAAACATACACAGCCTCACAGTCTACGCTGCAGCCTGTCCAGTCAGTTCACAAACTCACTCGATTTGCGCCTGAGCGGCCAGCGGATTGGGACAATTATGCGCCTGAGCCACCCGCAACTATAACAGGCAAAACACGCGCCACCTCATCACACAAGCCCTCTGGATCCCATACATCCAACTTGCTCACTTGGGGTCGCGCGCAACTCCGCCCCACCAAAAAGCTCAACGAATCGCGAACTCGAATGAGCAGCGTCTCAAAGAACGAGGAACCTGCACCAGAACTCAGAAATAGATCCTCGTCACGTGTGTTATCAAAGGAAGCGTTGTCAAAGGAAACACCCTCCAACCGCGCCCCAGAGCCGAGTCCCCAGATTGGAAGTTTCGGTTTTGTCCCGTCAACAGTTACAACCATCAGTGCCGGTGGCCCAGTTTACGTGCCCCCAAGGCCAGCAACAGACCACGCCCCCAGTCACCCGTGGCCGAACCCGCCAGTGTTTAAATTCGACGACGACGATAGGATCGCCAGCATGATGCTTCGAAGCGATGAGCCAGCTTCCCGTTTCAGCGGAACCACTGACACGGCCACTGACGCGGGCAGCCAGGACGCAAGCCCGCGCGAGAGCTTCCAGATTGAGAACCGGTCCACAGATGACCTTTTGTCAGCCTCTTCTATCATGTCACGACGCCGACCAGTTCCCAACGGCATGCCCGTCTCGAAGAAGTCTTCGACTGATATTTCCAGGAAGCCTGTTCGCAAGCCTACCCCGTCCCAGGTGGCACAGATGCCTGCGGAGAATCAGACGCCTCTTGCGCCTGAGGAGCCCAAGGATGCACAGGGCCGTATTGAGGCTCTGGAGACCAAGCGGAATGAACTTGCCCAGCGCAGATTTAACTTGCAAACCATGGTTGATGAGTTGAATAAGGTTATCCAGCCTACCTCTATTGCTTACGATTTGGCCGCCAAAGCTGAAGTTAAGAAGAGTCTTCAGAGTATTGGGAATGAGATCGATGAGATCAAGAAAGAAGAGCATGATCTTGGAATGAAGATCGCTCGTGCATGGCGTCGGTTCGACGAGAAGGAGAATAATGGCGATGGTAATAGTCTCTGGGTCAAGCGTGTCACTAGTTAATGGCGGTTTATCTTCGTTCATACATACGGAGATTGATGCAGTGATCGTTCCTGCTATTTGGTTTGAATCCTTTTGGTTTGACTTTGTTCTCTGGGTGGTCTGCATGTTCTTTTGTTTTCGACTATTGGGGCGTGGGTTGTTTTTAGCGTTCAATTCCCCTACTGCGCAACTATTGCAAGGCAGGATGATACCCCATTCGATTCGGAATTGTCCAAGCTATTGAGCTTTTTCGTTCATTTGTTTTGTTTTGACGAGTTCTAATTCTCACTGTTCACTGTTCTTTTACTCAATCTGGACTGGAGGAATTATAGAAATGTGTAGATTTGCGATCAAACGTGAGGTAATGGTATGTGTTGGTGGCTAAGGCTATACAAGGACACATAGAGAACCGATGAGTGTTGTCATAATGCTGGCGCTATCATTTGAAACCACCCATCCTCCGCTCTCGATGAACATGGCTCGTGGAAGTCGTGAAAGAGTCGAGGGAAGCCTGGCGTCGGGCTCGTTGTGGGGGTTCGCCGATGGTTTTTCGATCGTTTATTTCTTGCCGGACTTCTTGATGCCCTGCTGACCGGTGTTGAGGGGACCCTTCTTGCCCTTGGCGGCCTCCATCATGTCCTTCTTGGCCTTGGCATCTACAATGAAGGTCAGTACACGATCTGAAATTGCGGAGTGGAAATGAGACATACCAGCCTTGAGCTTGGCCTGGTGAGCAATGTCATCCTCATCGAGCTCCTTCTTGTCCTTCTTGGCGGCCTTCAAAGGCTTGACCTTGCCACCTGCATGTCGCAAAAACGTTAGTGAAGTTCTTCGATGAAAGTCAATATGTTGCGCACCTTCTCTGCCTTGACCACCCATTTCGTCTGAGTTAAAACCGTGGGAACGGAAAGAAAAAAGTTCTCAAGAGAATCGGAGCGTTTTGGATGCGATTTTCAACGGCGAAAAAAAAGCACATCGAGGGGCGCGCTTATCATATAGAGGGGACTGTGTTTGACCGCTTCCTCTTTCTAGACTAGTGCAGAATCTGCCCTATCTTCAACCTCAAATCACGATTGCACATCTTTTACACAACTCCATCATCGACACCTGCATTTGCAATCTCTTAAACTTGTTTCGACAAGTTATGCGACTGGAAGGATAATCTGATACAAGGCTTTGGAGTGAAGGCAGGCCTCTTACAGCTGGTTGGACTTTCACAAATCCCTTTGCTTTCAGAAGATTGTTTTTCACTGGAGCTCCTGCTAACTGAGCATTCCTTACTTGCTTGAAGCCTCCTCCAAAGGCCGACTGAATCTGAAGTGAGAAGAAAGAAGAAGAAGAAGATCACCCGCGCATCTTGTCGATTTACCTCGGCCCGTCGCAACCATGTCGCATCACAGATCGAGGTCCTCATCGACCCATTCTGAGGGTGAGATCGTCGAACCAGGACCAGAGATGAAGGCAACTGCGTCAAAACCTCCTTCTAAAGGCACCAGCATTGACCGTCCCACCAGAGATAGTCCACCCTCTGCGCCCTTGTCTCCCCCATCACTGGATGGCGCTAGTTCGCCACGCCGCCGGAGGTCGCCCAGGCCCCGCTCTCGCTCGCCATATCGGGATAACAGAAGCTCTAAGCGTCGACGTGACGATGATTACGAATACGAGAGATACGAGAGCCGACACCCCCGCCCCGAACTTTCGCGAAACTACGGGCCCAGATACGACGACAGGAACAGAGTTCGATCTCCCGACCGCCGGCCGAAGTACTACTATGACTATGACCGCGATGATAGTCATGGCGGGGGTTTGCGATACAGTGATGACTACGATCGACGCCAGGACAAGCGGCCGCGCACCCGCAGCCGATCCCCATACCGTGAATCGAGAAAGGCCAAGAAGTACTCAGGCGACGAGCTTGATCAGAAGGTAGATGGTGTTGTGCCTTCAGCGGACTCCGGAAGACACAGACCCACTGAACAGGTATTGAGCGAGCGAGGAAAGGCATCTGTCGCCCGGGATTTCAAGCTTGGTGCTGAAACACGAGAGAATCAGGAGCAGGCTTCTAAGTTCCAGGCCTCCGTGGCTGATGAGTACGTTTACGATTATTTATATCATGGACATGACTAACAATGTCTACAGAGAGCACCCTAACCCCGAAACTGTGGATTCGCAGCAAGCTGAGCCAGTCGACGAAGCCGCTGAGCTTGAAGCTCGCCGTAAACGTCGTGAGGCCATTCGGGCCAAATACCGAAGCCAAGCCACTCCTCTCCATCTCAGAGCAGTGGAAAACATTGGTGAGGGTGAGACTGATACATCTACGCCTGGCACTGAGCCGACTAGTGCAAAGGAAACGTCGGGTTTGTTCCCCTAATATACCTCGGTACAGGCTTAGAACCTAACATGTTCACATAGATTCCCCTTCAAGAACTCCACTGGAACAGCAGGTCGATCTACCCGATTTCAGCCTCGGAAACGACGTTGATTTGGCCAATTCCAAGGCTCCTGTCAACGGTGCTGATGAAGATGAGCCTTCTGCTGCTGATTATGACCCTACCCTTGACATGAAAGAAGAGAGAGAGAAGCACAGCAACGTACAGATCAACAAGGACGACGTCTCATCTGCAGCATATGATGAAACTCAAACGGCCAAGCAGGATGTCCTCATCCCTGATTCGAAAGACGATGCATACGACATGTTCGGAGACGACGATGACATGTTCGCCGAAGACGCCCCGCCAGCACATGCCTCAGCCATGTCCGCTGTTCCTCAAGGCAAAGAACTGGATGTTAGCATGATGGATAACTGGGACGACTCGGAAGGCTACTACAACGTCCGACTTGGAGAGCTGATTAACGGAAGATATCACGTCACTCAAAACCTAGGCAAAGGAATGTTCTCAGCCGTCGTACGCGCAACCGACACTAAGACTGGGAATCTGGTCGCCGTCAAGATCATCCGTCAGAACGAGACCATGCGCAAAGCCGGTATGAAGGAGATTGACATCCTGGAACAGCTGACGGCGGCCGACCCGGAACACAAGAAGCATATCATCAAGTTTGAGCGACATTTTGAGCACAAGGGCCATTTGTGCATGGTTTTTGAGAACCTTAGCATGGACCTACGTGAGATCCTGAAAAAGTTTGGCCGAGATGTCGGTCTCAACTTGCGAGCGATCCGGGCCTACGCGCAACAGATCTTCCTCGGACTGAGTCTCCTCCGCAAGTGTAACATACTGCATGCTGACCTCAAGCCGGATAACCTTCTTGTGAATGAGCAACGCAACATTCTGAAGGTTTGCGACCTGGGATCGGCGTCTCCGGCCTCTGAAAATGAGATCACGCCTTACCTCGTCAGTCGGTTCTACCGTGCCCCAGAGATCATCCTAGGCATCCCTTACGACTTCGCCATTGATGTGTGGTCTATCGGCTGTACACTCTTTGAACTGTACACGGGCAAGATTCTGTTTACCGGTCGAAATAACAACCAGATGCTTCGCTCGATCATGGAATGCCGAGGCAAATACCCACCGAAGCTTCTACGCCGCGGGACCCTGGCGCCCCAGCATTTCGACGATATGCTCAATTTCCACAGTGTGGAAGAGGACAAGATCACCGGGCGGCTGGTTACAAAGATGGTGGACTTTAAGAAACCCACGCGTGACCTGAAGACCCGACTGATGAGCCAGGGAACGCGCGGAATGTCCGACATGGACGCCAAAGATCTGACGCTGTTCGTGGACTTCCTCGACCGCTGCTTGAGTCTGAATCCCGAGAAACGAATCACGCCCGCGGATGCACTGAAGCACCCGTTCCTGACGCGCAAGGTGTAACGAAGTGGCATGACGGAAGGGACCACGGTTTCAGCATTGCAGCGATTGCCTGCTGACCAGGATGGCCCAGCCTCCTGGACCGACCCTGTCCCGGCACAAGGATAATGTAATCAAGATATCGGCGTTACAGGATGATCTCGAGGGTTGATTTAACCCTAGTCCATATGCATCACTACCAACAGTATGTAACTTATCTCTTCAAACTTGAATCCAAAATCCAATCCAAGTCCAGATGCACACCAAACATTCTCCCCCGGTTACAGCCCGTGTCGCTATGTTTACATCTACATGTCCCTGTAAACATGCCCCCTGTTACCGAGGGGCTGGCTTAAGATCCATCCAGTCCAATCCAACCCACCCAACCCCTCAGACCGTACAGGCGCAGCGCCGTGTAGCCACCCACAACCACCGTAGACCTACTCTATAAACAAAGAACAAAGAACAAGTCCAACCCCTCTACATAACATCATGCCATCCTGTACCAACCGGACCAGCCCCAGAACCGGACCCAAGACATAAGCCAGCCCCTACCATCTAGCCACAACAATAGCCTCAGCTCCCCCCCGCCCTCTAAAGCCAACACTAGCGAACAGACCCAAACTCTCGGTTCCATTCCCTCACAATCGACAAAGAAAGCCGACAGCGCCTACCAAACAGATCTCCATCCACTCCTTTCCCCTTTCCGACGCCCGACCCCGATTCCCGGGTAGAAGGTCGACGAACAAACCCTTTTTCTCGTCGGATCTGAGGACCGAAGGCTATTCTACTCCTGCTTTCGGTTTGGCTTGTTCTAGATTTCTTTCTGTACCAACCTTTGCTCCTCGGTTCCGTGGGTTCGGGTTGCGAGTCTCATTTTTTGGGTGTGGGGGAAGGTGTATTCCCTTTGCTGGGGGTATGGAGGTCCAATTTACGGATGTCCGTTCATGTTAGGGGTTCCAATGCTATAAGTTACATGTAGACTCGAGTAGAACCTAACTTGACATTCTGGCCGGATAGCGCGGGTACACCACTCGCATACCGTGGAACATTCCTAAAGTCGATCGTGTTCGTATTACGCCTCAGGCCACCCTTTGTGTCTATAGCTCATATCTCACTACCTCATACCTGGCTCTAGCATGTAGTCTGCAGGTCACTCTATTAGAAATCAGTTCTTGGGTGGTTTATTCTTGGCTATTGGCCCGGTCGGGCTTGAACGAGGTAATTGTGAGCGAATGGGAGAGGCGGTGGGCTGGTTGGGTGCCGATTGGGGAGTTTGGCTTTTTTTTTTTTTTTTTTTTCCCTGCTTTGGCTTTTGTTTGGGGGTGGCTAGCTTGGACTATACATGTACATTGGATAGTTTGGGACTAGTGTTGGGTGGTGGGTTTTGGTTGGTTCATGTCGCTTTACTACTGGATATGTCCGGGTACTGTACGTAGATTCGTAGGTGAAAAAGCAATGAGGGTTTCTTATGCGCATGTGGATGTGGACGTGTCTACCTGATCGGTAGTTTTGTCTATAGTGGAAGAATTTGTACAATTGCAAGTCCTACTGATGAAATAGAAGCAAGTGGGGACGAATTCCAGAAGCCCCTTGCCCTCGCCACCCGGGTAGAAATCCAGTAGCTATGACTCCGTAGAACACAATGGCGATGGCGTGGCAAAAGACAGCCGCAAAGCTAGCATTTAATCTCCGACTGAGCCTACCCACTACAGGGATTGTACAGGAAAGAACAGGAGTAATCATGATGTCGAGATGTGTTTATATTGTGGGTCCCCGCCACCTGCATCTAAGGCAGACTTTGGGCGCTGAGGCAAAACAGGAGAGATACTGAAAAGAGATAGAAGGGGGGGAAACAAGGATGATCTGTGGCGGTCGGCAGTTGCTGCTGAGGAGCAACTGACTCGACCCAATAGAGGGTGCTAGTTCCACGGGATTGTGACGGTGGAATCACAGTGTGCTGTGTGATGCTTCGTATGACAGATCTTGGATCACCTCTAGCGGTGTAGACGAGCCACCGGAATGAGAGCGGGACTGGACCAGAACTAGAACTGAAGCGGGACTAGATCCAGAGCTTGAACCAGATGCCCCCAGTACCACAGACCAGAGTATCAGAGGCAAGAGAGGAGATGATTCATGAACAATAAGCAAACCCTAAGTAGCCGCCGGGTCCGAGTGATGGCCAGCTGCATTGCCAATCCTGGGGTACATCGCTACCCGGCAAGCTGCAAGGTCGAAGGGGGCGAAACGGGCGTCACTTCTTGATATATCATAATGCTCCTCCTGTGTTGTACATGCTACTAGTTGAATTGGGACGTTCGGGTCTTGGGAACCGATGTGACGCATCGGATACTTGCTTCAGGTGATTGGACCGGCTGCGGGCGAGGGTGATCTGGTGCCTTTTGGGTAAGGGGGCCATGTTTATTGACTTGATTCTCACCGCAATACTAGGACTCCGTACAATAGACATGTACTACAATAGTCTACGCTGCACTCTCTATATGAGTGGGGATATGGGGCAAAACATGTCTAAAAACGTCCGACTCGGATCAGGACATGGCCCTTGCCTATTATGACGCAGGTGGATAGAAAAGGGAAGACAAAGACATGGGTGTGAAGACCCCGGCAACCGGGGCGGTTCCCATGAGAATACAGTCACTAGTCCAGCCACCGAGAGGATAAGGAGGCATGGGTTGCACAGGACCAATACGAAGACACCAAGACTCCGACCATCTGGACTTCTCCCAGATGGTCAACGCACATTAGCGCCAGGAGAAGATGAGGTGGCCTGTGCAGTGCTCAGCAGGGCCAGGTGTTCTCGAAAACGAACAGGGCAAATGGTTGGCCATAGCGCCCCTCCTTCATCGCCTCACTTCTAGACTCGGACTTTGAAAGTGGAGTGAGGGAAAGACGGTGAAGTTGATCTTTCACTTTCTGTTTCACTAGTTTCACAGTTAGAGTCATGAAAGTGGAGGGTACCGCATTCAACCACTCAACAGTATCCTAAGAAAGTAGTATGGGTCCGATCTGGGAAAGCGGGGCTGGGAAGGGGGCCATGAGGAGAATGCGTTGGCAAATGTGTCAGGAGGTTTGGGAATACGTGGGCGTATTGCCACAGGGAGACTGTGGTGGGAGTGGCCTGGGAGTGGCCACCGAGAAGGAAGGAAGAATAGGGGGGGAATTCTACAGGATGGAGACGATCGTTATGTGGAGCTGACCAATCACGGGCGGTGGCGGATGCAGGCAAGAGGCAAAATGGCATTATGATTGGCAGAATGATACACCGCTATAGTTAGACGCATCATGGATTATTTTCTTTTCTTTTTTTTGGAGTGGATTTATTATTTTGGGATGTGTTATATTTGTTAGATTACTGTTATTCCGTGTAATCAGTATTGTTTTGATGTGGATCCTCCACGAGGCTGCCATCCTCTATTAATATTCCCCTTCGCCGCTATACTTCCATCCGTATACCCTCTTACATATACTTGCCTTGTTTCTATACTCTCCTTTCGCCTTCATATCTCTCTCTCTCTCTTCGCTGTGCCTCTTCTCCCTTACTCTCCCTCTCTTAAACACATATCTCCGAGGATTGGAATGGATGCCTTGTGAATTGCCGTGGACCTCAGGACGCTCTTAAATATCTCCCTGGATCTCTCTCCCTTTGCTCTCTCTATTCTTCCAGGACGACTGTAACAATGTATCCGGCCATGTTACCAACACCTCCACCTTCGCCAACCCCCCGTTGTTATGCTCCCGAGGACCGTTTAGGATTCATCTTAGCCAACCGGCTGGAACTGACCTCAGTCCTGGGCGTCGGAGCCTATGGTGTCGTCTATACCGCGGTGGATATCCACACCAACGTGGTCTATGCCGTCAAGGCTCTCAACAAAAATGGACTGGATCCTCGACAACTCAAGTTCCAACAGCGCGAAATTAGACTGCATCATCTGGCCAGCCAACACCCCAATGTGGTTTCTTTAGTTCGCATCATGGATTCCGTGGATTGTACCTTTGTCGTCATGGAGTTCTGCCCAGAGGGAGACCTGTTCTCAAACATCACCGACAAGGGCCACTTTGTCGGGAACGAACCCTTGGCCAAGAGTGTATTCCTCCAGCTCCTGGACGCTGTACAGTTTTGCCATTCCCTCGGGATCTATCATCGGGACCTCAAGCCCGAGAACGTCCTCGTTACAAATCAGGGAATGACAGTCAAGCTCGCCGACTTTGGCTTGGCCACCACAGATTACTTTACCTCGGACTTTGGATGCGGCTCCACCTTCTACATGTCGCCTGGTAAGCCAACCTCGCCTCTGAAGACACGACAGTGGCTAACTTGAAACAGAATGTCAACAGTCCAACGCCCGCCCCATGTCCTGCTACATGTCCGCCGCCAACGACGTCTGGAGTCTGGGCGTGATTCTAGTCAACCTCACCTGCGGTCGCAACCCATGGAAACGCGCCTCGATCGAGGATTCCACATTCCAGGCCTATTGCAAGGACCCCTTCTTTCTGAAGACCATCCTCCCACTCTCTCCCGAGATGGTATGTATCCTGAGCCGCGTCTTCGAGCGTGACCCAAGTAAACGCATCACCATCCCCGAGCTGCGCCAGCTCATTCTGGAGTGTCCTCGCTTCACGGAGAATCCCATGGCCCAGTCCCCAGCCCAAGCCCAACCCTCCTGGGTGCCGGATCACCTCAACTACATTCCTCAGATGCCAATGTTCATGGGCCCCATGGAACCCCTGCATGCCCAGCCCTCCAACTCGTCTTCGGACTCGTCGCAGTACTCGGCCTTTTCCCAGTCTGCCGCCTCCGACGGCTCCGCTATCACCGAGGACTACTCGGACAATACTATGTCGCCGGTTGCCTCAGGCCAGATTCCCGACTGCAAGGTGGTATTCCCGTCTGCTTGCGCTGAGCCTTTCTACCCTGCGGATCCTTTCGCTTATGGGGGGTTGGGCTACCATTCCAACCTGCCGCTCGAGGTCCCGGTCTAGATTGCGCCTTGCTCCATGGGAAATACCCAGTATAACGCCAGCTGCATGATATGACGTCTTTTACTCTCCACCATCAGGCGTGAATTCCTGGATTCTGCCTGGTTTCCATCCTGCATATCTCGGGTCTCCTTACTCTCTCCACTTTTTTCCGCTCAGCGGATACCAAAAGCGGCCGACAAAACAACCAAAAGTTGATCGCGTTGATCATGATCCACTGGATTCGGCCACCAGCTTTTCTTTCCTTTTGGATATATATTTTCCCTTTTTTTTTTTTTTTTTTTTTTTTTTTATCCGTGGACTTACAACACCCTGGAACCCTTTTTGGATTACCAGGTTTTTTTCTACTGTTTTAATATGTTCGACACATACCGGAGGACCCTTGATTTTTACCCAGTTCCGTGTTAATATATTGGGAACTATGACTTGAAGAGAAACGCCCCTGGGAGGGCTGATGAAACGCGGGGTTTTGATTATTTGTTTCGGATTGGCGTTGACCATTATAGGTCTGGGGTTTGGATATGGATTGAATGTTTTATTTTCACTGTTCATCTTTTGGGAAGGGTATTTCGGAGGGGTTTTATGGTTCTGGGTGGTGATATGATGATATTTCTCGGTTTATTCCTGTGCATAGACTTGTTTTCTTTTTCACCCTTTTGGCATTGGCATTGGCGGGACCATTGACTCTTGATTCTTGATTCTTACGATATGATACCTCGACACTGCGAAAATATGTTACAATCTACACCGCATTTCTATTGCATATAATATCTACAATATAAATACATCGACAGTTATATCAAGATCTACCCCTGTCTGGTTCTCCGTATTCCTGCTGTACAGCTCGGTCTATTGTCACTTTACACCATCTCACCCGCATGCGCCAAATCTTGGCCAAACCCTCTCATCCCTACAGACCCCTGTCCTTTTCAACAGTTTCCTGTCCAACGTTACCCCGTCCAACAAGACTCGAGCGCATTGAGAATGTTTCGTGTTTTTGTGAGATGGACCCGTGCCACCGTGGAACCAACCGCCTAACTGAGACGCATTCTCTGGTAAGGTGAAACGCATATATGTCTACCAACACCAGATCACCAACATCACCACCACAACTACACAAACAAAACCTACATATTCCTTCCTCCAGTAACACGAATGGTTTCCCCATTAACATAAGAAAACCAAGGCGAAGCAACCCCAAGAATAGACCTAGCAGCCTCAACAGGACTAGCAGGTCGCCGCAGCGGAATGTCAGGGTACGCATTTGCATCAGCCTCCTTCTTCTTCTTCTCTTCCTCCGCAGCAGAGCCCTTCTTACTAGCAAGCTGCTTACCCGGAATTCCAAGAGCAACCTTTGTACCGTCCGGAGTCGTGATGAAGGCGCCTTCTTCCTTGGCAGCCGTTAGGCGCGTCGTTACGTAGCCGAAGGCGATGGTGTTTGAGCGGACGCCGAAGGCAGGACCCCATTCCTTTGCGATTGTTTTTGTTAGGCCTACTACGCCTGCTTTTGCGACGGCGTAGTTGGCTTGGCCGCTTTTTTTGGTTGTTAGTTTGGTGGTTGTGATTCGTTTGATTGGAATTGGGAGTGGGAGTGGGTTGATGGGACTTACGCATTACCGTGGATTCCACTCGTGCTGCTAATATTGATGACCACGCGTGGTTCTTGATCCTTCACACGGAAGTAGGGTGCTGCTGCGCGCACGAGGCGGAAGGGCGCTGTGTTGTGGACTGCCAGCATGGTATCCCATTGTTTATCGGTCATCTATAGATATAAAAGAAGCAGTTAGCACAATGTCTCCCGCATAGAAAGCAAGCATAAGAACATCGAGATTGAAAAATCTACGGAGTCCACATACCTTGTGAATAACCCCATCCCAAGTGAACCCAGCATTATTCACAATAATGTGAATCTTGCCATTGCCGAATTCAGCTGCGCGCTTCACAAGCTCGGTAATGTAGTCGCCGTCAAGGATGTCACCAACAACCGCAAGGGCACGGCCGGCCTTGACCGAGTTGATGGCGTCAGCTACGGCATTGGCTTTTTCTGTTTTGATTGACTGATTAGACAAGCTCAATGAATGAAGTCACTGGAGTGATAGTCTCACTGGCATCAATGTCAGCGACAATGACCTTTGCGCCTTCGTTTGCGAATAGACGTGCGGCCTCTGCGCCGATTCCCTGGCCTGCGCCGGTGATGATGGCGACTTGGCCGGCTAGCACGCCGGCTGGATAATTGAGGTGCTCATTGACCTGATTGAGGCGATCGGAAGGGGCCATTTGGATGGTTTGTTTTATTTCGAGTAGAGAGGGAAGGCTTGGTTACATGTAGGTGTGAGAGGGCGGGAGTTTCTTATAGAGAGAGGCTCTCGGCGATAGTGACTGCCGAGGCTGTTGCGGACCGAGCAGTGTGGGGTATAAGCCTCCCAGGTATAGACTGCACTTACCTACTATTCTCGTTACTCGTTGACTTGAGAACAATGTTATACAGGCGATATGTTTTCCATTTCGTGTTCCTGATATAGCCGACCTGCGTTTACTGTTCAGCTTCAGCCCGTGGATCCGATCCCATCGCATCCTTGTGCCCCTCCTCTTCTCTCTTCCCTTCTCTCCCTTGCCTTGCCCTTTTCTCTACACATTCACATCCCATCCATGTCCATATCCCACCCTTGGCGCACCAGATAACGACAGACTAGAGTTGACTTCCTATATGTGGATATGATGATTATACTTCCAAATCAAAGACATTCGTCGCGCATCACCCGTCCAGAACCGCAGATACATTCACCCCACGAAGTCGAATGTAAAAATGCCAATACGGTAGCTTCGTAACCTGCAATGATAGGAAGCAGCGCTTCGCTTCTGGGTGTACCTGATGACAGCTCAGTATCTAGATCCGGGAGGAGACCAACATGCTCAGAAGGAACCCAGTGGGCATGGTGTTCTTCTGCAGCCTTTGGTTCGGACGGTTCGTCCACGTTCAACGTTGGGATTTGGAGATCAGTGGCTGTAGCAGCGATCTTCAATGCCATCAGTACCTCTCTACATTGCAATAGTAGACCTCGCAAGAGGAAATTGCGTATCTGCCGGTTTTCCTCGTGGCAGATCTCGTAGTATCCGTAGCGGATGTCGGTGCCATGTTCTGGTCGTGGGATGCGAGATGTCTCGCGCGAAACCCAGTATTCGAATAGCTGGAGCGTAAGGTTGAGGACCGAGATGGTTAGCAGGAGGGTTGTGCTGTCTTTGGCGCATTTGGTACATTGGAGGAACACTTGGCAGGCACAGAACGTGCATTTGATCGTCTGCAGACTGTGATCAAGTCGGAGTGGTACTGACCCGGCCAGGAGGTGGTTCAGCCGGTTCATATGGAAGAGCTGCATGTCCAGGCATTCGCATGGCGAGAGTGGGTACGATGATGCCACGGAGCCTGCCAGGGATGGGCTGGCTATCCCCTCTGCTAGTGATTCCCCTGATAAGAATGTCGGTGTGACTGGCGTGTGTGGATATCCTATGCCAGTTGGGATTGCTGGACAGGGGTCCACGAGGTCGGTGAATGGTGAACTTTCGACTGTTGATACCTTTCCAGGACAGACGGAGGATTCTAGTGTGGTTGTATTTCCAAAACTCCGGGGACTTTCCCAGAACCCGGGTTGGTTTGATATCGAGCAGACCTGTAGTGGGTCATGATTAGCAATGTGCCGAAGAGACTATGGGATATACTTACATCGTTGTCAATTACTGGATCAGCAATGGTATTCCCATACGCACTACCAAGCGGCTCCATATCGGCCACAGGCGCCACAAGTCGACTACTGCGAAAGCCACGCATGGCCGGCTTTTCTTCTTGCAGTTGGCCCAACTTGCGGAGAGTGGCCCGGTTCTTGCTGCCTTTCGGTTTGCCGGATCGATTGGCGAATCCGTATTGGCACTGTAAGCCGTGGCGTAGACAACGGGCGCAGACACTCTTGCCAGACAGATTGCATTTCACCTTGGATTGGCGGCAGTTTTCGCATGCAGTCCGGAGCTTTGGTGCATCTCCGGCATAAGATCTGCTATTGGACTCCGCAAGCATTGGGGCCGCTTTTGGAAGAAAGAACAATAAGCAGAGACAAAAGAAGCAAGTGGAGTCTGCCCAATACGATGTGGATGATACTGTGGCCTGGGTTTGATATAGGGGAAAAGAAATTTGAGAAATAGAAAGCCAGGATGCAATCATACCACGCACATCCAATGAGGCCAACGCCTCCCACCCCCCCCCCCTTGGCCGTGGATATATATAAACAAGCTCAAGCTTCAAGGAGCAGAAATGTCACTCTGGCATCCGGATTCCATGTACCGACGGCAGCCGCATACAGAGGTCAGCCGCTGTGAAACCCCAGATGCTTCTATCTGATCAACCACGCATGGGATGCCAATTGGCACCGCTACTCAGAGTGGAGATGAGGCAGTCTCGAAGACTTGCCAATCTGACTCATCCAAACTAGGAATTAAGCACGAATGCCCAGCTATGCAGCCTTCTCTTTCGGCCACTGCCCGTGATGGAACATAGGACAGAATGGAGCACTCACGCGTATGGGGTACCGGCCAGGGGTCCTTTTGTTCAAGTCATACACCCTGATGCAACGTTGAAAGCGCCAATTTCGGGGCTAAGTTTCTGTTGGAGAACCCCAAGAATCTACCGTTGACAAGGGCAGTTGGTCTCTAATCGTACTAGGGCGTTGTTCTCTCACACAGGTACCTCCAGACAACGCCTCCATGTGAAAGAAAAGAAAAAGAGCGGATTCCCAGCGGCTGACCCGATCCAGCTACTGCAAATGAACTATGTGCTCACCGCTTCATCTCCTTCTCGTCGTCATCGTTGCACATAACTGATCCGAGTTATCGTCAGCAGGGACTGGACCCTCGAGAGGGCTGTTGAAACGGTGGTCACGTCACGTACGCTACATGAATGTTTCGTTTCAGGCTACTTTGAAAAGAATGCCATGAGTATGCTGTCCGACCTCGATTGTGCTGTGCTAGACCCCATCTTCTCAGCCGCGTGGAATCTGACAGGTCTCGGCCACCCCACTGTGCCGATAATCAAATGCCTTCAACAGCCCTGTCAGGTGGGCAACGGCTGCGCAGACCACTAGCACGTGGAAGATTTGATGCGAACTCCCTACGATGTCGAATTGTCCGGGCATAAGGCGCTCCGGTACTCGGGCCGCATAAATACCTGCTCCAAGGATATACAAGAAGCCTTGAAGAAGTAGCCAGCTGAGACCAATCTGCTGTCGCATTTGATTGAAGCCAAAGTGGAAAACTCCGTGGAGCACAGGGAAGGCGGCAGATAAGCCCATTCCGACAAACATGGCGGCACGGAACGGACGCCAACGCGGCGTGCGGAACCGAGGCAAAATGGACACAAAGACACAACCCAGTCCAATAGTACAAATCATAGTCCAGTACCTATGCTGGAGCTCGGGTACACAATAAAATCCATAGAAGACGCTGGGAACAAAGCTGCCCACGATGAGTCCCACGATCCCAATGTAGTCAAGTGAGTTTCCAATGCGTGCAACCACCGGTGAATGGTTAGAGATGGTGTGATAAGTGGCGGACATGCCCAGGCAAAAGGCCGCCCCAGCAAAGAAACAGGCAAAGGCAATGATATCAGAATCGGCCGCATTCTGGTATCGGGGAGCAAGCAAGTGGTAGAGTTGGTACGCGGCAGGCGCCGCAATCACCGCCGGTAACAGGTGGGTGTAGATGTTGACGGTCTCATTGTGAACGTAACCCAGCGATTGAAATGAACCTAAAAAAGAGGACGAGGCAGGCCGATATCCAGTATGGATGTGATGATTATCGCGTTGCCAATGAGGCAAATCGTCCCAATGAAGCAGTCGCTTTACAACATTGGGAGACGCTTCGAGGACACTCGTTATCTTTGCAGGCTGTATGTCGGTCTGCTCGTCAATAGGGCGACGCTGGCGAGCCATCACGTGTGATATGCAAGTATGGTAGGATGTCAAGAGAACTTGTGAAGTTGACCAGCAGAATATGTACAAATCTGCAGAAGAACAAGTGAATCAGATTGGTAAAAGAGACGTTATCCTAGAAATCAAATAAAAAGGAGAAATACAATGTTGGGCAGTTGGGGTAAACCAGCGAAATCGCCCTGTTGGGAAAATGCCTCGGACCAGCTGGTGCAAACAGTGCAAACATGCAGTATATCAATCAACGACTGGACGTTCATGTGCTTCCCCACCCCCGGAAAAAGATGAGCCGCCTACGCCCTGTAGCAGACTCCCTAGAAAATGTGGGATTCGTGTCAAAGGGTGATAAGAAGTGTGTCTGAGATGCACACCCTCTCAGAACACCACTAATATGCATTCGCAGGCTGCTAGACCCGAAGGTCCAGACCGAATACTTTGACAAGATAGTCGACCGATATATGCGCTTCTGCGCCCACCACTCCAAAGACCTCGACGCCGCACTGGCCTCTCTCCCTACAAGCGCTTCAAATGACGCAACCTCCAACCCGCCTGCTGCCCTGCGATCAACATCAAAACCCCCACAGCGGGGTGTTCCGCCACCGTCAACAGAGCTATCTACCCTCCTCCTGTCCCTGCGCAAGCTGCGCGAAGCTGTTCTAGCAACGGCATCAAATACCACAGCGACATTCTCGCAACGGGTCCACATATTCTCGATCCGCTTGTCTATCCTGGCTCATCATCCACCATCATATTTCCCCTCGCTACGATATAGCCTCGACAAATTACACTCCCAATCACACCCACTACCAGACTCCGAAGCCAAGGAACTGGTCACATATCTAATTTTGGATTATGCCTGTCGCCAACAGGACATGGTAGCGGCCTATGAGCTGCGCGCCCGGGCGCGCAAGGAGCATGCGTTCCATTCGCAAACAGTCGATAAGGTTTTGGCGGCGTTGTTGCACGATAACTGGGTTATCTTTTGGCAACTGCACAACAGCGTTGACTCGTACACTCGCGCTGTGATGAATTGGGCCTCGGATCGCGTCCGCAGGCACGCGCTCAAGGCTGTTGGCAGTGCTTATCTCAATGTGCATATTAGTTGGATTTTGGGTGGTTGCACGGGTGATGAACAGAATTGGACGTGGGACAAGTTGGTCGAGGTTGAGAAGCTTGGTTGGGCGAGAGAGGATGATAAGATTATCATTAAACGGCCGAGACAGCTGGCTGCGCCTAAGCCGGCGCCGACTTCCACATGAGTACATGAGTACATGGACCGTGGTTTTTTTTTTTTTTTTGGACAAGAGCATCTTGTGGCATTTCTTTTCATGCATGGCGTTGGTTGGAAGTCATTGGTAGATTGGTATCTTTCATGGAGTACTTCGTATTCATAGACAGTGTTCAAATTGGCATCTACGTGAAATTCAATTCATTTGCCTCCAGGGATAATCACTTTGAATTCGAGTGTTATAATTTTAGATCCGAGTTTGGTCGATCTAGATTAGTGTGTCCTGTGACAAGTTGCTTAGAGATCGTGTCAGCTAACTGCCCCTTCATATGACCTGCATTGTCGGAGCACAATTCGTAGACCGTTGCCATGTTAAAGATCAACCCCGCAAAAGAATGGTTGGCCGAGACTTGAGCCTCAAGAAGCTGACGGGACTGGAGAAGGGTCAGCAGGTTGGACTAAGGTTTGAACACATCCTTGTTAGTAAAGCACATACCTCATCCAATTGGCCGGTGTAAAGTAGACAAACTGCCATGTTCTGAGCCACCAGAGCCCTATCTGTCCGCGTCTTATCTTCGCCAAGGGCGCGCCAGTGAGCTACTGCATCTGAGTAACGACCTTCCGCCATACTCAACAGAGGCTCCAATAGAGCTGCCTCCTTGGTGTCTTTGGACCCTCCAAATACCTGGCTTGCCGCATCAAGATCACCAATCCGTAGTAGCAATAATGCTCTCCTGAATTTTGTGGTCTCAGTCTCTGACCCAGGTGCCTGCAAGGCCTCGAGAGATCGTCTTGCTGTATCGAAATCACCCATCTCTATCAATGAATTCACGCTTCTGACACCAAGGTCTGCCAATCTTTCTCTCCATAATTTCCGCTCGTCCTCACTGGTTTCGGGGCGCATAATTTCCTTTCGAGCTTCCAAGCCAATTTCATACAGCCCACCAATGCTTCTGCGTGAGTCACCAAAGCCAATACTCTGGAGTCGTACAGCGAGCACGCGAAGAGGCCATGGGACGATGTGGCGAAGATTCGGCGCACGGATATGGGTTGGTTCATTATCATCATTTTGAGCAGTCCCGGGCTTGTCCAACATGAGGTCAATATAGTAGAATGCCGAGCTCAAATCTTCGAGAGCCTTCGATTCCTGTGCCGCAAGGATTGTATTCCCCGACAGCTCCAAACATGCCAGTCGTGTGTAAAACAGGGAGAAAATGAGTTTAACATCCGTCGGGGAGATCAGTGAGGACGTCAAAATGGCCGCAGAGAAATGCGCCGCAATAAGGAACCGGCCCTCAGCCACTACCTTCTCGAGGGCGCCAAGTGAGGTTGATAGGGGTTCTCCCGGATTAAGAATAATGAAATCGGAGCGCAGCGAAGGCGGGATATCAATATGTGAGAGAGTATGGTAGATATTATGTCGAAGAAGGAAAGATAGGTCTTTCCCTAAGGTTTCTGGTAAATCATCTGGGGCGAGCGGATCTAGCTCGTGGAAAGATGCCCCGGTGAAATGATCTGAAGCAAGCATTGATTTGCGTTTGGTTGGCGAAGTGGGCAAGCTGGATGGGGCGAGTGGACTGGATTGAATTAGAATCTAGATGTAGCGGTGGAGGGCAAGGTACAATGCTCACTCATCTGATGCATCTAGAGGTCCTCTCGTTGAGCTGCGGGGCCGAGAAGCTGCACGGGTAATCAGTAAGGGGCAATTTGGGGATATTGACGAGGAATGAAGTGGCGCTCACACCTAGAGATATTCCGGTGATGCTTGTCGTGTACTGGATTCATTTTGAACACTTCCAAGTGTGACAGTGACAAAGACCAAACTGCTCTGCGATGAACAAAACATCTGATAAGCTATCGGATTCTGCCAGGGCGGTGGACGCCGGATCTGGCGACTTGGCCGCGATCTGGCGTTGCCGGATGCAACAAGCTGCCACACGTTCCCTACTCTTCGCTTCTTTCTCTAATTTCCTTGATCTCCTTGATCTTGCACCACTCCTTACCTCTTTAATTGACACTTTACAACTTCAAAATGGGTGCGACTCACAAGTACTCGGTCATTCTTCCCACCTACAATGAGCGGAGAAACCTCCCTATTATCATCTGGCTGATCCAGAAGACCTTCAACGAGCAGTATGCGCCAATGTCGACCCAAACTCGATAATAAATTGCTAATATATTTTTTTCTATTTAGCAAGTTGGATTGGGAGGTCATTGTCGTTGACGACGGATCCCCTGACGGCACCCTCGAGATTGCGCAGCAGCTCCAGAAGCTCTATGGCAAAGAACACATCATCCTCAAGCCCCGCGCAGGCAAGCTCGGTCTGGGAACCGCCTACGTCCACGGCTTGAAGTTCTGCACCGGAAACTTCGTCGTCATTATGGACGCCGATTTCAGCCACCACCCCAAATTCATCCCCGAGATGATCAAGATCCAAAAGGCCACCGACGCCGACATTGTAACCGGAACTAGATACGCAAACCTCGGAGATATAAAGGGCGGTGTCTACGGCTGGGATTTGTTCCGGAAGTTCACTTCGCGCACTGCCAACTTGATCGCCGACGTCATGTTGATGCCCGGTGTTAGCGACTTGACTGGTAGCTTCCGCTTGTACAAGAAGCAGGTGCTTGAGAAGGTTATCCTCAACACTGAGAGCAAGGGATACAGTTTCCAGATGGAAATGATGGTCCGTGCCAAGGCCATGAACTACAAGGTTCGCGAGTGTCCGATTACCTTTGTCGACCGTCTCTACGGTGAAAGCAAGCTGGGTGGATCTGAGATTGTTGAGTACCTCAAGGGTGTGATGAACCTATGGCTCAAGGTTTGAAATGTTCAATGCGCGTTGTCATCGGAAATTGTCTTACCCAAATGGTCCAATTCGTCCAGTCCCAATTCATGCCTGGACTATCTACTCTACTGCCCTGTGCTGTGATATACCCCTCTGCTATTTCAAATCCGTGCACTTTTGGGTGGTGTTTGAATGACCTGTTTATTGTGCATATCAATTCAATGTTCTCTGTCTTTCAATTATGTATTCCATGTCTCTATATGACCATACCCCACAGCTTAGATACTGTGCAGGTATCGTAGAACGCGATCAATAAGCTCCTGTTGGCCCTCACCCTTGACATTGTGGCTGGCTCCGACAATCACACCGCTGTTTTCCGTATCCCATGAGCCGCCTCCGGCTTCAGTGGCCTGCTGCCACCTCTGCAACAGTTTTTGCTTGTCCACCCAGTGTGGGCAGTATTCATCATTGCCAGAATACAAAAACAGCAGCTTAGATTGGATATTTCCTTGAGTACCGATCTTCCCAAACGTCTCCTGCAGGCGCTCGTCGCTCAAGTCAGAGCTGAAGAGATCATCCTCAGATGGATGTTCAGGGCTTTCAGGGCTGACCAAGCTCAAGAATCGGCGAGCACTCAACGGCGTGTCGGCAGGATACGAAAGCCTTGAAGTGAGATGCATTGGGAGGACATTATCGATGTTGTCCTTGGTGGATAAGTTCTGCTTAGAAAAGTCCACGAGGTCATTGTACACCTTCTTAAGCTCATCGGGGTTTGACGATTCGGCGATGATTGCTTGTAGGCCTTCTCTGTCTGAGGCAGGAGCCTGCAGAATGGCACCGTCAAGTTCAGGGCGACGCAAAGGCGCCTGTGAGGTGGGGTTGGGCGAATACAGGTAGTGAAGGACATCTTGGCTACCTGTGGAGTGACCCATGATTGCGATCTTTGCGGAGCTCGCTGTAGGACCGGGCTGTCGAGATGCCTTAAGATCGCGAATGAATCGGACGCAGTGGCCGAGTTCTTCTACATCGCGATCGAGGCTTCCCACTCCCCATCCGCCATAGGAAGAGGAGAGCAACACGGAAAAGACAGACCACTCGGTGTTTTCCAATGCCTTAGCTAGTTTGGAGACATATGGGACTGTGCAGAATCCATCTGTCAGACCTCCCACGAAGATCAGGCTATGGAGTTTGTTGACGTCTGATGGTGGGGTGAACTCGAAGGCCACCAGTCGCGGAGCCTGGGAAAATTAGCTCAATATATACATATATGTACATATATATAAAGTGAGTCTCTTACATATTCATGAAGTACGCCGGCATGCGACTCACCGCGGCTCGCGTGTGAAGACATGATATAGATGTTGGTGTTGGCAGCTGGTGAGTGTCGAAAAGGACGGTGGGTGATCAGCAGTTGACGTAGGCGGGGTCGGATCACCCATGATTCAACGTCCTTCACCCTAAGATATCAGTGACAGGTTTTGCAAGCATTCCATGCAAGATGACATTTGCTTACGGTACAGCAGCGCTCACTACTCGCTTTAGGCTTAGCCAGCTTGGAGCTGAGCACCCGCCAAGAGCGATCGCGACCTCGGGAATATCAGATGACTCAAGGCAGTCTTTCTTCGAGTTGCTTACATTAAAGGCACCAATTGCTCACAAAACGTGAGAGTCACAAATTATCAGAATAACGAAATTCAGATATGAACTCGATCGCAAGGATACGCACCCCTCGCCTCAAGAGCATACACATACAGCCAACATGCCGATACATCAACACAAACTCTCGAGCTGATCAGATAATGCAACTACCTGATGGGAGAACCCTGGGATATGCTGAATATGGCCCTGAAACAGGCTATCCATTGATGTATCTTCATGGCTATCCGCAGTGCCGCTATGAAGGCTCTGTCATGGAGAACACTCTTCATCGACATGGGATTCGCATGATTGCCCCAGATCGACCAGGATTCGGCCTTTCAACGGACAAATCAAATCGCCGTATTATGGACTGGCCTGCCGATGTTCAAGCCCTGGCTGGCCATCTTGGTCTCCCCTGCTTCGCCCTGATGGGTGGTTCAGGCGGTGGGCCCTATACATTGGCGTGTGCGCATGCACTTCCTCATGAAATGATGTCCGCAGTCGGTATTCTTGCTGGAGGAGGAGACTGGCAGGCCGGAGCAGACCACATGCCATGGATATATCGGATATCAGCTCTTGCGGCAGATTATTGGCCGGCTGGATTGCAAGGTTCATTGGGCATTTTGGTTTGGATGTTCAGGAGCGGATTAAATTCACGAAAGGGGATCCAATGGCTTGATGGCTATTTGAGAAAAGACAAGGAAAAGCATTCCAAGACAGTTGAAGAGCGAAGAATGGAGATACTCCGCGCTTTGTTTGAGCCTTTTAAACAAGGCGCCGGCCCTGCTGCATACGAAGCGAAGCTATTATCACAAGACTGGGGTATTGCATTTGGAGACATTACATACAACAACCTTCATATCTGGCATGCAGGGGAAGATTGGAACTCACCGCTGCCGATGACGGAGTTCTATGTCAAGCAATTGACTAACAACCCTTCTTTCAAGGTTTATGAAAACGACACACACTGGACGATCCACCGGCATCTGGATGACATACTATCGGAGTTGATACCAGAAAGCTCTAGTACAAAAGCCTGAGTGCTTCTACTCTGGTTCTAGGTCAAAGCGCAGCAACATCAATTCTCGCCCAGTGTTGCAATGGTATCACGTCTTGTACACACTAGTCTCTGCTCAATCATATGGCGTCATATCTCAACTTGCTCGTACTTTAAACCGTTCTTGCTGTGACATCCTGAGTCTGTTGTTGCATCCATGGAGTAACCAATAATCTTGAAACTGAACTACGCAACTGTGCAACTTGATAATTTCTATCAGAGAGAAGTATCGAACTTGGCTAGAATTGGGCGCTGCTGCCAAACATCCATAGAGATTTGAGTTTGCACATCAGAGAGGTAGAGTTGGGTGTGTATGATATGAGGTCATTGTTTCTCTAACTCGGGAAGGTGGTATACAGCCTTGCCCACCATCATAGGATATCGATTGCTCTTCGTGTTGAGGGACATAGTGAAATGAGATAGGTCAACTATGCAAAAGGCATATTTCCCGAGGGACTTGCCCAAAGATATGGATCGGAAATTTCGAATCCAGTTTTTCAAATGAAATGAACCATAAATGAAGATGAATATAGCATTCAAAAACACTTGATGCATGAAATGTAATAGGCTGAATAATTTGCGGCGAATAAACAATGTAATCGGACATGCGCTATCCGTTTTTGGACTAGCGTCACCACCCTTGGCCGTCCATTGAAGCTTCACGTCATTCTCTCATGTCAAAGATTGGACAAATTCAATACACAAAGCAAGCTTTGAGAAAGCTTTGGGCTATATCTCTGGTCTGATTGAGTCTTAAGGTACTGGATGTACTTTACGCACGCCCACTATCGCCGTCTTTGACGCGACATATCTACACAAGATGCCATCCGCACGCAGATCTGGGCGTGCCACGGGCACCAGGAAAAGTTACACCCAGGATGTTTTTCAAGTAGCTGGAATCAGCGATGAATCCGATAATGGTGGACAAGCAGCGTCCTCCAAGCCCAAGCCCAAGCGTGTCAAGAGAGAAGACTCGCCTTCTGATGAGGAATTTGTTGCTGCCTTTGGCGACGAGACCAACGGCGGAATTGACAATGGGGAAGAAGAAGAAGATGACGAAAAAGAGATGGAAGATGTACCCGATGGATCCGATTTGGACCAAATGGACGTTGATGAACCCAGCGTCATCAACAGAAGAGGCAAGGGGAAGAAAACGAAAGAGCGTATGGCAGTCCAACAACGCGACATATCCCTGAAAAAGCGAAAGCCCGACGGCATCATCGTTCCAGATACAACTGAGACACACTCTCGTGGTCTTATTGATCCCAAGGACCATCTATCCAAAAGTACATATTACAATCTGACATTCGGTGCCGACGATCGTGACCTGATCGCAGCCATTTATTTCCGTGGCGTATGGAATCTGGGAAGTGACTCGGTCTTCCCAACTCGCGCTACTTTGGAAGGACCCAGACCGGATGGACATGCCTATGGACCAACACACGGTGTCCATCCAGACGACGTGAAGAGGGAAAGCACGCGCGGATGGGACTGGTACTATGAAAAAGAGCCCAGAGAGAGATTCCAGAAACGACAACGCATTGAGAAGATCAAAGAAACAGCGGCTCGTCAGAATTACTTACCGCAACCCAAGAACCGACACCACGACATTCTCCTTGGGCCCTATGACAACCAGCAGCTTTTCAGCCTGGAGTACCACGAGTCATTTGACTATGGCAATGTCTGGGGAGAAAGGCAGTCCAGCGAAAATGAATCAACAAGGAAGACGAACAAAATCCGAGAGGGCTGGATTTTAAACCTGGGCCACAAGATCACTTGCATGGCTTGGGCTCCGAACCACGACGGTCTCACCCAGTACCTTGCTGTGGCCGTACCAATTACCGAAGAGCAAAAGAAACCGCACAAAGCTGATTGGAACGAGCCCCTCTCATCACTCAAACCCTCGCCACCTTTTCCTTGCGCGATACAAATCTGGGAGTTCAAAGCAAAAACGAGTGATACTTCGACGAAAACTCTTGACATGGAGTCCAAACCACAGCTACGACAAGCCCTCTGTGCTGAGTGGGGAGATTTGACGCGGATGTCTTGGTGCAGACTGCCTCGAGCAAAACGAGACGAAGATGACGAAAAAGGAACAAAGTCCATCGGACTACTAGCGGGGGTTTGGGGGGACGGGAAAGTCAAAGTATTGGACATCAAGTTACGCCGAGGGTCAAAAGAGACCGAATACAGTATGTGTCTATTCTGTAAATCCTTGCGAGTCCCACTAACATGAAAGCTCTAGTCAAACTCCACTCACCCGCTTTTGAAGCAAAACCGCCCAGCGCAATCTGCACATGTGTCACTTGGATGTCTCCTAGCGATATTGCAGTAGGATGCAGCAATGGATTCGTGGCTATTTGGAACATTGCATCCTCTGCGTCTGAACCACTTCCCTTTTTCTATCGACCAATTCACTCAACATGGGTGTTGGACATTACATCGGTATACCCAAACCATCCTCAACATGCGATAACCATTTCCATGGACGGTGAAACTTATATGTGGTCTATTCTGGATCCCGTGGCCGATAAAGTCTCGACAGTCCGCATGCGAATGCCAGCTCCTCACATCAGTTATTCTCCCATTCTTCAGTCCGCTGTTTCAGGCGATGAGCAGGAATATGCCCGCCTAATCCCAATCCGACGATTCTTTACGAGCAATGGCATAGGGAGGTTCTCCAGCAACGTCTCAGCCTTGGCTCCATGCAGTTTCTCGCACCCCTGCGTGCTGTACGGGAGTGCTGCAGGAGAGGTGTTAGGAGTCAATCCTTTCCGCCGAGTGGTCTACAACAAGGAGCAAGTGTTCCAGCAAATGTGGTTCACACATGAATGGGTCCCAAGCTCTAAAGCCGGCACTGCAGGGACTAGCCGATTTTTCGATGGATACCGGGCAGACAACCAGAGACTGGTCAAACACAAGACTACCGACACTAAGCCGATCACTGGCATTACGACCTCCACAATTTACGAAGAAGGCACCCACGTCACAGCCCTCGGGTGGAACCCCAACCCTTCCTGTTGTGCCTGGGCGAGTGCAGCGCTGGGTAGCGGGCTGGTGCGGGTGGAGGATCTAGCTATCTAGTCAGAATCCTGCCGCAGCAGCTAGGCAATAGTTACAGAATCATAAGACATACTTCCGATTGACATGTCGATCAGGGTCATTCCGCCATCATCGTGATTCTAGAGGTTCTAAGAAAAGTAATCAGGCGACAGTGAAACGCAACGTTGTGTCAGAGTGGATCCCCAGCCACACCGGATGCGCTTACATAATGTCGATCATGGCCACGCCACGCTATCCGGCAGCGTGGTTGGCACATCCATGGACCCGGGTGGGGCTCAATTTAGGCATAAAGTAAAGGCTGGTCTGAGTCTGTATATCCCCAGCCATCCCAGCCGCCTATTTTTGGTCCAATGATGGGAAGTTGGATGAAACTGTCAATATGATTCATTGATTGAATTTATTTTCTTCAACTTTTAAAACCCTCTGCTTCCGCTTTCCTCTACTCTCCATTCACACCCACCTCTACTCTTACTCCATTTATTACTTTTTGCAAACCTTAAATCTTCAATCTTCAACATTATTCTATTTTCTACATACATTACCAGCGAGCCTTCTTCTATCTCTTCATAATGCATTTCTCTACCGCGGCACTTCTTGCCTTCTCTTCTGTCAGCGTTACCTACGCTGCTCCCTTCGCCAACCAGAACGAAGACCTCTCTCGCCGCAAGACAACCTACGATGTCGTCAACGTTGACGGAGACTCTTCCTCTTCTGCTGCCCCACAGATTGACACTGTTTTTGAAACATCAACTGTCACTGCTGCCGGCGCTCCCCCTGTGCCTGTGACTGTTACTGTCACCGCCACTCCTTCGAGTTCTTCCATCGCTCGTGCTGCCAGCTCCACTCCTTGCTATGAGACTCCCGCTCCTCGCACGGATATTCCCCTCCCATCTTTTGCTCTTCCCGAGCCTAGCTCAAATTCTTTCTTCCGTCGTGGCCTGAGAGCCGCTGGCCAGCCTGCTCTTTATGCTCGCGAGTACGCTAGCTCTGCTTCCAGCTCTGCCTCTGCTTCTCTCTATGCCCGCGAGTACCCTCGGCCATCCACCACCGGTGCTCTCTATGTCCGCGAGTACTCAACCTCATCTGTTCTACCCTCGGCCTCAGCTTCCCTCCATGCCCGCCAGTGGGCTACTGCCTCCCCGTCTTGTTCTGTCTCCCTTGTTCCCAGACAGTTTGGCGGCTGGTACTCTTCCGCTCCCTCGTCCACTGTGAGCGTGCCTGTCTCCGCCACTCCTCTGGTCGCCCGTGGCTGGTACTCTTCTGCCTCTGGCACTCCCTCTTCCAGTGCGACCCCCACCTCGGCTGTTCCTCTCGCCGTGCGTGGTGAGTTTGGCTGGTACTCTCCTGTCGCCGGTTCTTCTTCCATCGCCACCCCCACTGCCTCGCCCTCTCTTGTCGCTCGTCGCTTCGGCAGCTGGGCCTCTTCCAGCGTCTCTACTCCGGTCGTCAGCGCTTCTGCTACTCCCGTCGCCTACTAAGGTAGATAGCACCGAGCTATCTGTCCTATCATGAACTGGCGAAAACATGACGGTTCAAGAACTTATGAGGCCTTTGTTATGGATCGATATGACTGCGAACACGTTACACATTTTGCCATCCTTCGGACATGAACATGATTGGCTTGTGAATAAATTGACCTACCCCCATCATGAATTTGGGGGTGCATACTCGACTGGCGTTTTTATCGGAGCGATTTTTGAAGAACTTACGATTCATCATGTGTATTCTTTTTCTTCTTGGTCATGGGATGACTTGTTTTTAACTTGGGCTACATAGACTGTGATCGAATATTTTACGAGCCCCCAATTACATAGATAGGTTGCACGCTGCAATGAGAATGAAATGAAGATATTATTATGAATTTGACTCCGAATTAATCAATTTTTAGATCAATAAGGTAGCAAAGTAGCGAAGCAGGTTTTCTAGTTGATCTTAGGCTGAAATTAGGGCCGAGTGGCTGGGATTATGTAACGGGGTGCATGTCGGCCGCGCGGTGGTTGCCCCGAGAGACGCGCCCGTAAACAGCACATCCCTCCGGTCACCTTCGACCTCGACACATTGTGACCTCCAAGGGTCTCTTTTGTTGTTTCTTATCGCAGAGTCTCATTGTTCTGTTTCTTTTCCTTTTCTCGGTCTTTTCCACACCTTTCAATTTGAGCAAAGGCTGGCCGAGGCTCAACCACAATCATGCCTGGGACGGTGGCAGATGGACCTACGGTCTCCATGTCTTGTATGCTGTGATCCATTATTATTCTTTATCATGCGCTAACATCCCTCTAGTTGCAAATAACTTCTGGGGTAAAGATGATGCTGGACTTCAGCCTATGCTGGACCGCATGCATAGTTCAAAGGTTACAAACGATGAATTGAAGGTTTTTTACAATCGTATGTGGCTTACATCATAGTCTCGAGGATATAAATACTGATATTGCTTACAGTGCGAGCTTCTATTGAAGATGAATACGCGCGAAAACTCCAGGCTCTCTGTCGCAAGACACTCGGCTCATCTGAGACAGGATCGCTCCGGAACTCGCTCGATGTGGTTCGTGGAGAGACAGAGGCAATTGCCAAAGCACACGCAGCAATTGCAGGGCAAATGAAGACGGAGCTAGAAGAGCCACTATCTGCATTTGCTAGTGGTATTAAGGAGCGAAGGAAGATCATTCAACAAACCATTGAACGCCTTCACAAGACGAAAATGCAGCAAACGGGGATTGTCAACAAAGTACGCCTATTTCCGGTACCGTGAATAAACAAAAAGCTAACTATGCAGACACGCGATCGTTATGAACAGGACTGCCTTCGCATCAAAGGATACCTCGCGCAGGGACACATGGTGATGGGACAGGAAGAGCGCAAGAACAAGGCCAAGCTTGAGAAGACACAAATCCAGCTTGCGTCCAACAGCAACGAATATGAAGCCGCTATTAAACAGCTCGAGGAGACTACTGGTCGTTGGAACAAGGAGTGGAAGTCTGCTTGTGACAAGTTTCAAGACTTGGAAGAGGAGCGTCTCGACTTTACAAAGAGCAGTTTGTGGACATATGCGAACATTGCCTCAACTGTTTGTGTCAGCGACGATGCTGTATGTTTGTCCTCTCTCAATGTTGTGCTTCGTACTAACGTTCATATAGTCTTGTGAGAAAGTCCGTCTTTCATTGGAAAACTGCGAAGTGGAGAAGGATATTATGGCATTCATTAAGGCAAGCGGGACTGGTCAAGAAATTCCAGACCCTCCCCGATTCATCAATTTCTGCAAAGACGATGATACTGGTTCTGAGATGGATGAGGCCGAGGGATATTCGGTTGCCCAGTTCCAGCGCACCATGAATCCTGCGTTCCGTACATCATCTCCTCAACCGTCGACCTTCGAGTCTCATAATGACCCATCGTCCGAACTTGCGGCTCAAATGGGCCACCCTGCCCCTCCCGTTAATGAAGCGCCAATGCCGCAACCTGCCTCTCAGCCTGCACCTTTGGATCTCCGTCGTGGAGGTGCGCCACCCCCGAACTATGATCCTGAGCGACATGGAGAAATTGGAGCCGTTCCCCATAACGCATACCCGACAGATGGTATGACTATGTTCTGTCGTGCAGGTCCCCCATCGGAGCGCAGCTCGGCAGCCAGCGCATATCGTCCATCTAGTCGCGACTCTCAGAGCGAAGTTTCAAACCCTACCTCTATGTCTAGTGTTGAAGCAACGCCTACCAAGAAGTCCATCCCGAAGCCGACCAACAGTGCGCCCCTTCCAAGCCCTTACGAAGACAAGCAGACACCATCGCCAAAGAAGAAGAGTGCGTTCTTCAGCAACAGCCCCTTCCGTCGCAAGAGTCGCCATGATAAAGAACGTCCTGTTATTCCTGCTCAGCCAGCCATGTCCCCACAGGCTGCGCCGCGCAGTGGATGGGATTCACCTACTGCACAAATGACCCCAACCAAGCCAATCAGTCCGCCAAAGCAGATGAGCCCTCCCAAACAAATGAGCCTTCCCAAGCAGATGAGTCCGCCTAAGCAGATGAGCCCACCAAAGCAGGTCAGTCCCGCCAAGCCTCCATCTGGTCCACCTCCTGCCGCGGCTCCTCCTACTCGCATCTCTGCAAGCCCCGAACCTGTTGACCCCCGAGCCAACTTCCAGCTCAATGTCGGTAACAATGTCTTTGACGTTGCTTCTCCCGAAAAGAACTCGCCAAACAAGGGGGCTCAGGCAGCCAAGGGAGCCGAAGACGACTTGGATCCCATGGCACGTGCTCTGTTCGAATTGAAGTCAAACGGAAAGCAGTCTGCGACTCGAGTTTCCGCTGACAGATACGCTGGTATCTCCACGCCTAACCCATCTGCGCCTTCTTCTCAGTATGGCGGTAGCAACGCCAGTACTGCAGCGCCTCCCGCTTACAACGATCCATCGGTTAAGCGACTTGGAGCTCCTCAGCCCGCCTTCACTGCCAAACAAATGCAGAAGACAACCCAAAAGTACACTGGCCAAACCCAGACAATGCTTCGGGGCCAAAACAGCAGCATGGGATCCAGACACAGCGGTCAAACCCAAGAAGTTCCTCGTGCTAGATCACCTGCACCAAGACGAAGCGCCAGCCCTCAGGTTGCGCCTCGAGCTGCATCCCCACGTGTGGACACTCGCATGAGCCAGAACAGTAGAGGAGCAAGCCCAAGCCCGGCCTCCTACCAGTCCAACAGCATGCGAAGCCAGTACAGCCAGTCCCCAACTCCTCGTCGCGCTGAAAACCCAACCTACTCTCCCAACGACTTCCAGAGAAGGCCCTCTCCCTCCATGAGCCACCGTGCTGTGTCTCCTCAGCCTCAGTTCCGACAGCAAACTCGTCCTTCGAGTGCCGGCGGAATGGAGTTGCAATTGTCTGGAAACCATGGTGATATGTACGGTGCTAGCAGCCCCGGTGGATACGGCTCGGCCCGCTCCAGCGGCCGTCCCTCATCTACTTACGGTGATGGTCCACCTATTGGCCGATCCCGCAGTCGCACTCTGGCTGTTGCAGAGCCTGGACGCAAATTCAGCCGCGATGGCCGTCCCATCTTGCATTTCGGTAAGTTTCATATTCTCCCTTGTATTGGTGTACCAATATCTAACTTCTCACAGCTCGTGCCATGTACACCTACAACGCTGCCATCCCTGAGGAGCTTGGGTTCGGCAAGGGCGATGTTCTTGCTGTTCTCCGTCTCCAAGATGATGGCTGGTGGGAAGCAGAAGTCACCAACGCCCGTGGCCCCCCCGGTCTAGTGCCCAGCAACTATCTACAAATCATCTAAATACCCCCTCGATCTCACGACCCGCCACGACCCTCACAACGATTGTCCTGAGGGAGATACTCTTTCTCATGTTCTCACGTAGATACCATGCTTTCGTCAACCCTCTTTGCACATTCACGGTCCTTTTTTTAACTCTACTCTATTCTTACCTTTCTTTCTCAACATGGTGCTACCATCTCGTCTCGACATCGCGAACAGCTCGTTCAATCATGTATTTCTGTTCTTATGGATGTTTTTGGAAGCTTTAGCGTGCGTGTTTTGGGACTACCTTTTTGATATTGCGCTTCGTGTCAATTTGTTGGATTTACATTTTCCTTTTCTACGAGATGTTCTCGGATGAAATTGTATGATGACCGATCTCGGGCTATGGAGACCTCTTGGGGCTCTATGGTCGACCTTTTATCCCCCTTGATCTCTTTTGAATTATTGATGGTTATGTTGGACGCTCGTTCACTTTTATGGAGGATATGATGTGACTTGTTTTAATTGATGCCCTTTTACTTCTGTGTTTTACGCTCTCCGCTGGTGTGTAAGCTGTAAGCTAGTTAGATGCCATGAAAATATAAATTGAATGAGATGGCTACGCCGACACTTTTCTGTTCTGATATAAAATATAAAATCTTCATATACCGTAAGCCGTATATCGTCTTGTATCCTATTGCGCTGTTGTTATGTTTCCACAATTACATATACTGTAGTGGTGAAGCCGATGGAAATAAAATAATAATACTGGTCGTGAGTCCTTTTTCATCCCGGGCTTACATGCTCTTATTGATTCACCCAAGGCACGCCAAAAGAGACAAGAAGTAGATGATAAAGAGATAAAAAAGGGAAGCTCAAAAAATGCTTAGAGTAGTACACTCACTGTGAGGGTTCTGGAGAATCGTCTAACGCTTCATCGCACTCTCAACAGGTTGTGGCCTCTGTTGGAATATAACAATAGCCAATGCATCACAGATTGTCAGCTGACCGTATCAGAGTGCCAGCATAATCATGATTTGGAATATGTAAGGCCTGAAAGTTATAGTCTTGGAACTGCCTAAGGTAGGGTTTAAGGCACGGCTCAGTGGGGCCACAAGTACTCACACTGACCAACCAGGATGATTGCCGACAGCCGAAGTATAAACATGCGCTGCATCGATTATATCGTCAAGTATAGCGCTGAGTCGCCGGGTGTATTTTCACAACGTACTTCCCACGATCCGACTCGACAAGAGGCTCCTTGTTTACATCGAATCCCAGTTCCAAACTCACGCTAGTAGTCGCAGCTGCAGGCGTCGCAGTATCGCAAATATTTTTCGGATGACCACCCCACCCCGGATGAGATTGCTTACATTGATTGCCCCCCAGCTGAACAGATAATTACCGAGCCATGTCCCTCACAAGAGCAGGCGACAGCCAGGCTCTGCGCCGATGTCTGATCCTTTGCACCCGAAGAATTCCCCAGCAACAAGTACGATTTCGGTCAATTAGCCTCAAATAGCCCGTGTGAAGACCGATATATGCATCAGAGACTTCTTTCATCTTGGAACGATGGTATACCTGGACTGTGTTTGATGGCCATAATGAATCGCAAACTGAAGAGCTTAGGGAAAAGAAGCTCTTGTTCTTCGTTAACCGACACCTATGTGATGCAAAGCCATATTCAATTAGGGAACCGTTGCTAGACGAGGAGATTCAGAAATCCATCGTGAGAGCATTCGGGGACTGCGATGACCAAATCATGATTCGAGCTACCAATACATCCGAAAGTGGGGAGCCCTTCGAGGACAAGATTAAGAAACTCAAACTCACTTATGCTGGTTCCTGCATGCACCGGCGACTCGACGGCAGTGTCGGAACAGCAAAGGCCAGATGGTAGCTGGAAAGTGATACCTCTTTCGGTAGGCCAAACTGGGCTCAACAAGGACAAGGTTGCCAGGCTACGCGAGCACCCTGATGAAGATGAAAACGAGGCTGTAATGGATGGCCGAGTACTTGGGCTTGGGGTCTCACGGGAATTCGGTGATTGCAAATGGAAGTGGGAGCTAGGTTTTCAGGTGGAAATGAATCGCAATTTCGTGCTTTCTCTGCCCATGCCAAGGTACAACTTATCACCCCGCTATACCTGACAGCTAAGCCTGGCGTCACCAACAACCGAATTGATCCCAGCAAATCATCGTTCTACATCACGGCCCCAGACGGCCTATGGGAAAATATGTCGAATTAAGAAGGTGTTGATTTGACTGGAAGTGGTTAGCATGCGACGACAAGGAGGAGGTCGAGGTGGAACAATACTACATGTCTGACTTTAGTCGGTTCCATGAGGGAGTCCCTTACCCATTTGTGGGGGAGCGGACAACTGTCCAAGATGAAAGAGCTGCTATGTATCTGACACGCAACTCTCTTGGTGGAAATCAGCGTGAGATGAGTGCTGGCCGGCTTGCCATGAGCTCTCCGTTCTCCGGTAATGTGCGAGATGACATTACTGTACAGGTAGCTTTCTTCAACGAGGGCTAGAGCAAAGGCGCATAACTTCGATGTCAATGGTAATACTTCAATGTCTTCCATCCACCTTCATTTCTAGATTCAACTTTACCTTCACTTCTCTATCTTCAATTCACCTTGACTCCTAGTTTCAATATCATGAAGTCGAGGTAAGTTTTGAAAACGTAAATCATCAAACATAGTGATAAATCAATAGTCGCAAAAAGAGATGAGGCAAGATAGGGTTTGAGGTTAAGGCTGCCTCAGACTGCTATAATATTCATCAGCGAGTGCTGTTCATATTGATGTTATATCCCAGACATAACCCCAAAAATCACAGACAAGGTGCTGGATCTTCGTTGGCTTTTTTATATTACAATGCAAACTCCTATGATTGCTCTTATTCAGATAACTGGGAATCTTGCGCTTGGGTTCACGGGACTCTTCTCTCGATATTGTCGGCATGGGTTCATTTGGTCACAATTACTGCTTAGCACGAAGCTTATGTCTAGCCACGCCCTAGCACCACAAAGTAGATATATCAATAAAAGAGAATGCTTTGTTCAGACTGGTGCCTAGGGATGAATGTGTGTAGTAGAGCGAATGATTTAATCTACAGTACACATACACGAGCAGTGACTATGCATCGTTCCTTTCAAGATCAGTCCAACTTCTGTGCCATGATAGCTCCGTGAGGGACTGATGAATAAATCTGCCGCCCTATGTGTCAGGCACTCCATCAACACTCATTCCCACACCCTTGCTCTCCAATATTCACACCCTTTGTCTCTGATATACCAACGCTCTCTCCCCTCTTTATCAAGCACATCAACCCGGATAGCAGGATGGATCCGAGTAACTCTCAAGAGAAAGTTAGCCATGAATGCTTTCGCTGTAGCCAATGTTGTTGATGCGGGGCTCTTGATTCTGGCTGCTTATCGGAACGGGGCATGGATAAGATTGCTGCAGATACTAAGGCTTTGGAGGAACAAAAGCTATCTGCAGGAGATATCGTACATCTTGTTGGATAAAAAATGTGTCGACTTGGCTTTCGAAAGGGTTTGGCTATCACGGAGGGCCTGAGAACATGTTGCTGGATTTCAAATCAACTAACACAACTTAAGGACGAACATGGGCTACAAGAGGGACTTATTAGTATCTCTATGGTTAGAATTGGTCTACTTGGCGCAACCAATCCCATTGGCACACCCGGGATTATATATTTTGATCATCACATGAAAAAAAAATTTCCCCGATGAATCCGAGATCCTTTTCTCTCTCATGAATATGCGTCTAAGTGCCATTCAATGTATCATAGGTGAGTCTAGGCAGATGTGGACCTAAATTGGTGAATGAAGCATTTGATGCCAGGCCGATTATCACAACCCTCAAGTAAGAAATTCACGACAGCAAGGAATTAATAAATCCACAATTACAAGAAGCATCATACAGACAAGATAATCACAGGTGCCAAGCATGAGCTGTACACGAAACAAGACCGAAGCAAGCAAGCATTGGCAAATGGGGTATATGAGAAATAGACATGCTTCTCTGCGGCTTAAATTCAAGTACAGGCAGATTTCAAAGCAGGAATCATTCATGCTCATTCGTTATCAACGAAAGAGTTGGCCAGTCGACCAAAGATGGGAACCTCGAAGTGGTCCAAGGTGTCGACTAGAGGTAGGTGATTAGACATTTGATGAATGCGAACAGGGGACGTTAATTGGAATTAAATTTACCATCTTGATAGGCATGCATGGCTAGGAAGCCAATGAGTAGAAAGTCGATAACGAGAAGTACCCATGAAAGGAAGCTAGACCAGCAGAATATGAGGTGGATAACCTATTTTCACAATATAAGTAGACATACGACCGAGAGGACAATAAGGTACTCACAAACATGGCAGCAAAGAGCATGCTCGATTGCCAAGCATGGAATCTACAACACAAATTAGCATACTATGTAGTAGAGATGTCCACCGTCTACCGCATACCGCACGTAATCACTGTTGTGCTCAATAAGCAGCAACAATACACCTCCGACCGGGGGCAGAAGTAGATAGGCTAGCATAGCCTCCACCTCTATCCGAATAGGGAGACTTGTCTCAAAAGGTCCTAGAGTAGCAAAGCCCCCACCATTGTAATTGTGACCAGAGGGTACATTCACATGTGCATCGAGCGAAGCTCTTGGGGAGCGGAGGTTTGGAGACACGCGATAGCCATCATTTGGAGGTGACAGAGCACGCTCAATATCTGGCGACTCGTCTTGGTAAGGAGCGAAATTCATGATGGGATGAAGCGAGAAAGTGGTTAGGGGAGAACTATTGATGTCGGGGTAAATCCTTATCGTTATCGGACACGCGACGCGTTGGCCTCAGGCGGAAAGGGTATATTGATTTTTGGAATATCTTCATAATTGGGCATGAACAAATCATATGATACATGAAAGCTACAGATATTATTCAAGGCTTCGCCCGACCGCGTGAGATTGCATTTCCTCGCGCGATCCCACTACCTGGCCGACTGGTTGCCGTGGAGCCTCGGGTTGCCGTTCGGGATGTACTGACACTCGGGGTTCTGCCCAACCCAGTGCTTCGGACTGTACCTCTGGTGGTTCCTCGAGTACCCCGGGTGCCCCTTGTAACCTGTGTGCGTCTCATTTCAACTTCCTGCGCTTTGCGCGCTGCCGCCTCTCTTTGTTGTTGAAGTAACAGCTCACGTCTCTCCGCTGCTTGCTGTCTTTGAATCGCTTCGTTTTCGATATCCGCGACATCCTGAGTAGCGCCTTGCCAATTGGGGTTGAGAATCAATCGTTGGTTATGCTCGGTTTGGGAGAGAATGCGGGTCCAAGTATTTAGGAGGGTGGATGCCGAGGTGACCGTTCGCGATACCGTCTAGATTCGATCATTAAAATTGTTCTGGTGATGTAAATGAAGTGCTTAATACCTCCATATTTCCCTTTGCAGAGTCAAGGCTGCTCAGCAATCCTTCAATGACCTCGTTGATGTTCCGCACACCCTGCAATTCTGTGTGGAGCGCGGCCTCTCGCGCTTCTTTGTGGTCGAATAGAGGATCCCCGCCATCACGGGAATTTCGAGGTTCCGGTGTGATTTTCTTCTCAGGAGTTTGAGAGTCGACGTTCTTGCGGGCTCCACGCTTGGAAGGAGAGTTCCAAAGGTCCTCTGTGTCATCGTCCGATAGCTGGAGTCTCTCCATTTCCTCTGCCGTGCTGCGGAATGCCATGTTGATTTTGTGCCGCAAACCACTGTATGTACAGTTCGAATGATTTCGATGCCTCGGTGGGTTCCGGTCGCAAGAGCAAATCAAGCGAGCCCTGCAGATCAGGTTGAAGATCCACAAAAAGAAGAAAAGAACGAAATAGGAAGAACGTCAACAGTCAACAGTCGCGGGGGTTTTCAGCCACCTCATTTATCGGGCGGTGAAGGATGTGGCTGGGCCGCCAAAACATCCAGCCCTTCCTAGCAACCTCACCCTTCCTTCACTCTCATCGTTCTTTGTTATAGCTTCCCCTTGGAAATTGCATATTTACGCTTGATCTTTGCGCCCGTCAATCTCACTTCCGCCTTCATTATACTCGAACAACATTCGGCTAAATCACGTTCCGCCCTTGTTTCGTCCAACCCTTGCCCTCGCCGCTTGATTAAGGTCGCGAAATTCAACAACACACGTCTACTGTTATCAGTATAGAACACATATCTCTATCAATAAGGCTATCAGTCTTTATAAACATCTTAAATCGCATTATCAGTGGATATGGCGTCAACACCGCCGCCCCCATCACCAACCTCGCTCCGGGTTCCTCGAGCACCGCGTTTTGGACCCAAGCATGACAATTACGAACCCTACCCTACACGTTATTCTGCTAGACTAGCAGGTCAACGCGAAGTCAAGTCTCGTCAAGTTACGCCACCCACAAGTCACTCCAGCGCATCAAACAAAAATGGTGTTCCCAAGAGAACACTTTCACCCTTTTCACCTAGAACTGGCCAATCGTCCCCCAGAAAAGCAGCAAACTCTCGCATTTCACATTTTGATTCTGAATCTTCACAACCCCGCACTTCGACTGGTCAACCATCTCGATCATCTGCAGAGCGTGCTCTACCCACCCCTGCTAAAACACCCTCGAAGAAGAAGATAATCAGCACTGATTCCTCCACTTCTCGCGCCATTTTCCCCACAAGCTCTGCCCCCAGACGCAAGAAGTTGGATATTGCCATGGACCCGTTTGATGACCTTGGCACCCCTCTGGGCGGCTCGACTGGATACACTCCTCATGTCAGAGGCCAACCTGATCCCCCTCTGATGCGTGACATGGGTATTTCATCTTTTCCCATTCACACTGATTCGCGCGATCGTATTCCTGTACGTGCTGATCTTGGTGGGAATCCTTTTGCCTCCAAACCTGGCAGACCTGCTACTCGTTCGACTACTACCCACGACGATGGAGTCTGGTATGTCTGGTAAGTACACTTCACTTCCTACTCATGTCGATACATTCTAATTAAAATCTAGCCGTGGCAAGAAAATCTTCAAGCGCTTCGAGGAAATGGAAGCAGATGAGGATGAGGATGAGGATGACCTCGGCCTCTTGGCTCGCCGCCCTGACCTGTTCACTGATGAGCCCGACATGTTGAAGGTCAAGCCTCTCACCCGATCTTCTATCAAACCCCGTATTCTATTCAAGCAATCCAAGTCCGAGCCGGAGAAAGAGATCGCCGAAGAGGAAGATCTCACCGATGTCGAAGAAAATGACGCTCCATCTCCCGCTTCTGCTGATCTTGCTTACGATTTCGCCGTTGACACTGTCACTCCTGACTTCGACAAAACCGACCCTCTCGCCGCTCCTGGTGCTCCCGGTGGCGTTTCTGACTCCCGTCTTGGTGGTTCTACAGGAGACACTGGAGACACTGGCAAATCCATTCCTGCATCCAACAAGCGAGTTCGCACCGACAGTGGCGCTAGCCTGTTCAATTACTACCCGCTCAGCAAGAAGCCGTCCGCAGTTGAGACCCGCGCTGACCGCCTCAAGCGCTCCCGCGAGTCGCGAGGCAGCCCTGCTCCCCGAACCCGGAAGGCCCTGCGCAGTGGAACTCCTGCTGAGGCCCCGACTTCTGCGGAGCCAGTCGTTGATGTCTAGATACATCGGGACCCCCAAATTTTTTTTTTTTTGATTTTCAGATTGCATAGTTGTTCCAGCGTTGCAAATTATTTTCTTCGTTCATGCTTGACTGGCCCTGTAGGATGTGCGACAACATATGCCCCCCTGCCAATGCACATCCATCTCGCATTCTTATCCTTTTTTTTCCAATGTGCTCTGCCCATGGTTGACCACTGCTATGTCCTCGCGCGGTCTCTGGGATTTTCTCACTTTTTCATCTCGTTTATTGCATTGTTTTCAATTGATTTTTTCTTGAACTGGCGCCTCGGTTTGGGAATTGCGAAACCTCAAGGATACCTAACGACAACGTCTTCGGCTGGATAGGTGGCGTTTCTTTTTCTTTCTTTTCTTTTCTGGTCTCTGGGTCTCTGGTCTGTTTTTGTGCCTCGGTTCGCTTTGTGTTTCTGTCGATCTTTTTCTCCTTCAATCTTGTGATTTCCGGATACCTTTTTCTGGTTCTCGCTTGGGACTGAGATGGCTTGGATGTGACTCTCATATGTCTTGTTGGTGGTTTTGGGTTTGTTCATAACCGTGGGAGGATATTATGGGACAAAATAACAGCATACCGAAACACCCCAAATTGAATTATCAAATAGGTACTCTTTCTCCATGCTGTAACTATCTACTCGTAAACTTATTTGTTCTACTTCGTACCCACGCGGTTATTTCATCCTGGCTTCGACGTCATGATCGATCCCGTGACCCAAGTAGCCCTGGTTACGACCTACAAGCTGGCCAGCTCTACGAGCTGCACTCATGATCAAACCGTAATCTACGAAGGGAACGTATGTTATAATAAATACATCTATTCAAGTAAGGACACTATCAACCACCACTCCAGGAGGAAACCAACAAAAAAACCTTCGCCTAATGCAACCGGTCCACTCGGGACATGCTTTGAATTCGTAACAGCGTAATTAGGATTCTTTTCCAATGGGTAAAATTGGCAACCGAGTGGATTGAAGAGCGTGAGGCAAAAACCACGTCAAACAAACTCCAAATCATCGTCGTCGTCATCGTCCAAGATCGCCTGCCTTCCACCAGCCGTAACTTCAGCCGGCGCACCAAGACTCTCACGACCAGCTTCTCTAATCCCCTTCGAAGTAATAAACCGTGTTTTCTTCACACCACTGCCGTGCGGTGTGCCATGAGCACGCTTCATAGGACTCAAGCGGACATTTCTTGCTTTGCCGAATGTGGTCAGATCCATACTGTTCGTGGCTGAAGGACTCTTGGGCATGGTAGGTGTTCCTGGGGTCTTATCCTTGTTTGGGGTTTCGTTGCCGGCTCTTGTGCGCAGATACTCGGCACCTACGCCTCCAACTCGGCCTGAGACGAGTTTTTGAGTTATGTCTCTTTCGCGTTGTTGAGCTGCGAGACGGCGGCGCATTTTCTCTTCTTTGTTTTCCGAGCGGGGGCCCATCATGCCGGAGGCTAGGAAGGGATCATCGTCGAGGTGCGCGGCTGAACCTGCGACGGGGTTGTATGAGGCTCGACCGGCGCCGCGGTTCTTTGGGGCTGGGGCCACATAGTACAAAGATTGGGATCCCATGTCATATGATGGGCCATCGCGTTTCAGACCCTGACCTCGACCGCCTCCTCGCTTGGCTCCTTCGTTGAAGAAGCCGGTGCGGGCCCCGGATTTACCACCTGGCCCGAACATGCCCGTGTCGGCATTGACTCCTGAGCGTTGACCCTGGGTCCTTCGGAGTTGGATGTCAACGTGGAAATCGCAGAACTCTGTCTTTCGGCCATCTACCCAGGATTGACATGTCTTTCCATCTTTTCTCACGGTCTTGCAGAATCCGATATCCCGGGCATAGCCAATTTCGAGAACTGTGTCATCAGATGACGACAAAGACAAGCTGAACCGGTTTGTGTCTAGTTTGTGCTTGGGAGGGGGCATGATTGTAGGGTTCAAGATTGCAATCAGCGTGCCTTCGGAAATTTTGTAGTAACGGGGGAAGGCAGTGCCGAAAAGGAAGAGATCGACGGTCCATTTGAGGTCCGTCAAGGTAATAACAATGTACTTGTTTGTGTTGTTCAGACCATCGTCATAGGGGTCGTCTGTTTTTGCAGTTGAGTTTCCAGATGGTTTCACATCTCTGGGATCAGACTTGGACGCAACAATTCCAAACACCACAAAGTCTCCTTCAATGTCTTCGGGCAGTTCGAATGCAGGCGCCTTCACTGATTTCAGTAAGTCGGGGATGCGGAGAACTTTTTTGTCTGCGAGTGTGCGGCTCAAGAATGAATGGGGGAGAACCCGATTTGATAAGTGTAATGATGAGTAGGACTCGAATTTTGACGAGTCAGGGGGCTTCATCGGGTCGCCATCTTGAGACGGCCCTGTTGCTTCTTCCATTGTGTTATTCCTTCTGTGGAGATGAGATTGTCGATCGTTGGCACCACCATTTGCGTCAATGCGGCGGATACTCGGAGTTGTCTGGCTGCGCTGAAGTCCAGAAGGGCGAGCTTGACCCATAGCTCGAAGGATATCCTCGCGACTAAAGGACTCAGCGGGCCGCTCACGCACCGGGGAAGATGGCTTCGCATCAGCCGCGGCAGCCTTAAAGGCCTCGATTTCTGTTTTATCAATTTGGAAAGCCGAGCTACGGTTTGCCTGGATCCGCTCTGCTCTCTCCATTCGAGATTTCTCTGCTGCTCTGCCCTCGGCCATCCTCTCACTGAAACTTTTGATTCGGCTGATCCCTCGTGACCCGGGGGAGGTCTGTGGTCTGGACGAAAACACATCGTTGGGGCGCGTCATGCCACCATCTCGGAAGCCAATCTGGCTGCTTGGTCGAGGATCGGTCCTTGAGCTTGGAGGTCGTTTCAACGACACATCACTGGCTTTCCATCCCTTGTCAATGCCCATCTGGTATCTTCGTGGCGATAGGGGGTCCACAGCAGGAACCTCACGCCGTGTAGGTGATGCCGGGACCTGAATATCATCGCTCGTCGTTCTTCCAGCGGCAGGTTTGGCACTTCTCGGTGTCAGGGCATGAGACTCAGCTCGCGAAGCGCTGATAGCAGAGCTTGGGCGGGCGTCTTCTTCTTCAAGGTTGGAACTGGATCTGCCGCGATTCTTTTGTTGAAGCTTCTTCAATCTCAGGCGGGCTTTGATCTCGGCAAGCTGAAGCTGCAGCGTTTCTTCATCCTCCTCGTCCGCGTCCTCCTCGTCCAAGATCTGGTTCGCTTTCGATCGAAAATTGGGTGTAGTACTAGAGCGCTTCAAAGGCGACGTGAAGTTATCGCGATTGCGCTGCATGTCTTGGTATCGTCTTCGTCCGGCGGGCGAGCTCAAGAGAGCCGCGCGGGGCGACTGGGGTGGCCACGCAGGCTCGGTCACTGTGGAAAGCTTGTCAGAAAGCGACTAGCGTAGACAGTAGGGGAAAGCCGTACTGATGAATCAGAAGTTCAAGGGTAATCAAAGACCGAAAGCACCATTAGCCTGATTGGCTTAGGCCATTCCCCTGCGCAAAATTGAGTGGTGATACGCCTAATACGCGCCTAGGTATAGATGCGGGGAGCGAACACTAGAAACCTAAAAGAAAACAAAGTAAACACTCGCAGGGAGCTGAAAGTCGGGGAATTCGCGATGTAAGATGAAACACTCGCTAATGCAGCAAGGGCAGTGACTGATCACATTACTGCGGGCGCGTCGCGTCGCGCTCCCCTTCCGTTCCCACTCTACACTTCTACTTTGCAACATCAACATGAAGACCCGATCTGCTCCTGCAAAGGACAAGAAGTCTGAGACTACCGAACAATCTCAACCAAAGGCTCTTGTCTCGGAGACACCAAGCAAAACGTTCATCCTCCCTTCCGCTAGCGACAATGCGCGACTCCTCAGCCTGCCTCAACCCCAATCGGGGGAGTTGAGCCGTTATTTCTTCTGCCCGGAGCGTGGTTTATATGAATTTACGGTTGTCGCACCGCCTGCTCATATGGCAAGAAGCATTCTGTTTACTCCCCAGACGCACCAATTCACACTCCCTTCGGAAGAGCAGAATGAGGTGATCGATGACTCCTCCCTGAAACCTACAATTACGAAGAAGGCCGAGCTTTTTGTAGCCACGCCCATTGATGCCATGTTCTTCATGGTTCCTTTGTTGGCCCCTTTCTCGAAACCAGGACAATCCCTTTTCCAGCCATTGGACGATATCATCGACTCGAATGATGATATGCCGAAGCATTTCCGCCAGGTGCTTTACGATGAAACATTCAGGAGCTCTCTTTTGACTCGGGTGGAAGCTATCTGCGATAGCGTCGAAGCAGGCGACGAGAAGATGTTCCGTTTCAACGAGACAAAACTAGTCAAGGAATTGATCGCCAAGGCAGAACGGATGGCGGATCGAGGATTCCCAGTTACTCTTGAGGAGCGTTTCATTCGCCAGACACTGGCAACACCCTTGATGTCGGTCAAGCGGGAAGATGTCGTAACCAGCCAGGAACTACCCGAAGACAGCGAGGAGGCCTCGAAATTAGAAGAAAGACAGGATTCACCATCGACAGTAGCCACAAATGCCACACCATCTGTTGAAACACCCGCTGGAGAATCCACACCTGTACCTCAGCCACCCGGTACAGACTCAGCAGCCCTGGACCACGTAACTCGCCTACTCCGAATCTCCACGGCACTGAACTACATGAAGGAGTGCTATCTACCCGACGAAATGGCCGCACGACTGGATGAAATTCTTGCATCGGCGGAAAGTCCACTTGACTTAAAGCCCTTGAAGGATCGTCTCAAGAAGATTGCAGAACTCCGTGCCCAAGCCCTCGAATCCCGTAACATGTCCGACTTCACTCGCAAACGTGCATTGGACGATGAAGAAGAGGATGTCCGCGCCGAGAAGAAGCGGAAGAAGGATGAAGAGGAGAAGAAGAAGAAAGCTGCTGAATCCCAGGCTGTTAAGAACTTGAAAAAGGTCAACATATCTGGTATGCAGAAGATGAGTGCTTTCTTCGCTAAGGCTCCTCCCAAGAAGAAGACTTGAGGGAGCTCTGTTGATCCCCAAGTGAATACTACATCCGGTCCCGCACCGCGCTGAGGCCTTCTTGTGTGGCTTGATGGTCTGCCATCGAGCTTTGACAAAGCACCTAATTCTGACTATAGATGTGAATTGCATTGGCATCTTTGGAATCAAGCTCCCCAGTTGGCGAGATTACTTGAGTACCATCAGCGCGATCAAGGGATGCGCTTCGTTCCTCGATGCCACGTTCTTCAATCTGGAACCTGCATGATGGCTTGCCCAAAAGAACCAAGCTTGTCTGCAGAAAGGAACATCAACACCTAATCTGGACTATCTACCATGTCACACTACTGTATACTATTGTTCAATAACCCAATACTCAAGTTGTATATAAACACCCTTCGAATGAACTGTTCCAACAATTTTGTATGTTATCAAGTGAGAGGCCAGTAGCTCTACCTAAACATATCTTGCCTGCCACCAAAAGTCAAAATTTAGAGAGGAATCTGGTCAATAGCAGCGCCGGTAACCCTAAGAACCGAAGTTAGCCAATCACCACGGACACTCTCAAAGGGAGGGAACAACATACAAGAAAGACCCGTTAGAAGGCTTGCTAATAACCATAGCTTGTTTCAACTTCTCCTGAGTAATATCAGGGAACTTCTTAAGATAATACTCCTCCCGCAGGGCCTTGGTAACAGCCTCAACCTTACCCTGAGGCAACATGTGAACAGTACAGCCACCCCAACCAGCACCAGTCAACCGACTACCCCAAGTACCAGCCCGACGAGCAATAGCACAGATATCATCGACCTCAGGCGCACTGCACTCATAAGAATCGCGGCACGAAGCCTGGGACTCATTGAGCAATTGACCAAGATAGTGAATGCGCTTCTCGTCCAGCTCCGTCGCCTTGCTGAGACAAGCCTTGAAATCGAGCACGCGGCGCGCTTCCTTGAAACAGTGCAGGGCGCGCTGGCGGAGACGGAAGCGCTCGGCTTGAACGGGGAAGGCGGAGAGGAAGGTCGATTCCAGTTCTGGCACGGTGATGCTGAGCAGCGAGGCCATTTCTTCGCGCGTGTAGCCTTCTTCTTTTGTGAAGAGGTCTTGTGTGGCTTGGATTACTGAGTCGATTTGGTATTCCAGTGGGTCTTGCAGGCGACCTTCCTTTGTCATTAGCTCGTTTTGGAAGTTGCGGAGACTGTAACCTAGGGAGCTGTTGTCCTTTGGTAGAGTGAGGCCGTAATTCTTGGCGAGGATTACAGCAGCAAGGGTGCACTCTGCTACGCGCAGGTTGTAGTGGCGTGGGGCGGTGTCGGCTTTGTTGGAGGTCACGAAGCTTTGGGCCATCAGGAAGGTGATTTCGTCTGCGGCTTTGGGGATTGGCACGTGTTGGGCTTGGAACTGGGGGAAAAATTGGGTGTAGAGAAGGTAGCCGCGCTTGGAGAAGATTGATGCTGCTTGGTCCATGCTGTTACGTTTTATTGTTAGATTGTCCTCGTCGACACTTAGCGATTGAGTGGTTAAACTTACCCGCCAGAGTAGACACCGACAGCACGCTCCGAAACAACAGCAAGATCCAGAAGATCCTGTTTAGAGACATTGTGGTCGTTGGCCTTCATGACGGCCAAGGCACTGGCACAAACGAAGGCAGCACTGCTAGAGATACCACCACCGGGAGGAACATTGCCGTCAACAAGGATCTCCATGCTAGCAGAAACAAAAGATCCATCGGACTTCTCCTTGCGCAGGAACTTGAGAGCACCGGACAGACCGGCGCGGAAGTAGTTCACCCACTCGTGCTTCTTGGGGTCAATCTCGACGTCCTTATCGTGGGGCACGCTGAACTCGCGCGTGGGGAATTTCTCGGGTGACACATTGGCGATCTTGATGATCGACTCTGTACCACTGGCAGGGACCACCTTGACGGCCATGATCACGTCGACGCTAACGGCGGTTGGCAGGACATCGTACAGTGAGTAGTCGATGTGCTCGCCGATGATGTTGACACGGCCAGGACTGCGCGCCACGAAGTCCGGGCGGTAGCTGTAGGTCTTATTGAATTGGGAGACGAGGTTAGTCCATCGTTGCTGGTGCTGCGGTGCAACAGATGCCAGCGAAGCCTCGTCTGTAGCGTAGACTTCGGCGATGGACTCTGTTTGCGGCACGAGCTCTGGGGTCGACATGGCGGGGTGGCGGGGTAGCTGGGGGAGGGAAAGAAAAGCAACAGGTAGTAGAAGTCGAAGAAGAAGTCAAGAGAAAAAAGTGAAGCAGTGAGAAAATCAAGGGACCATATGTTTAGTGGAGATGTACACGCCCCGGTTTCGACCCCGGGTAAATTCAGTGGGGTGACGGCCCATTGTCGCATTTTGGTCTTTCGGTGTCCGATTGCAGTCACTTTGTGGGGCCGATTCGGCTCTCTCCAGGCTGTCTCCTTTCTTGCATTCATCCACAGCTTCTGATTGGTTTGTTTAATTCTCCGCTATGCCCACATGCTATGACGCACATGTCCTATAATGCACGCATGGCAGAACCATTTTCCATTGTACAGAGCTTGATGATTACGATCACAGTCTAACCGCTTATGGAACTTATTGCCATTTCTCCTTCACCGCCGCCTCTACCGCCTTTACGTAAACATTCTAGGATTGACCTCTCTATACACTGCTCTCAGTTATTTCAACGAGATTATCCAAGCTGTCAAGCAAAGAAATGATGCGAGAACTTGCAAGTATGTCTGCACCAGACGGTTCTTACCAACAACTCCTTGAAGCGCCTGAGGATTACGGTACTTTGGGTGACAATGGGCCCCAGCGTCCAGAAACGACGTTCAGATATAGATCTACTGTACCATGTCTTTCGCACTGCATGAGGGTCGCACATGGTGTGGCTAGCAGATAACGTTCAGAACTTGGTTCATCCTGCTAATTTACGGAAGATCGTGGATGTCCATGTTGAATGGCAGGGTCCCGTGGAATATTGTCCTTGAATTGGGAAATGATCAATACCTGTGGGCATTGTTATTTCGGGGCTATGGTTCATACAAACGGTAGATCTTGGGCATGGAAAGCAAGGAACACTTGCTGAGTCTAGCATTATGTAGTTACACATGGCGGAGATTTCAGGTTATCTATTTCCGCAGGTAATTTGCTCTATAACCGCACTCAGCCCAGTGCCGCTCATTTTCAGCATGCTATGATGGTCGGCTCTCCAAGCAATGATCCCATCGGGCCGTACAAGAACACCAGCTAGATCACCTCCCAGGCTAGCCCATTTTCCATCGGCATCCCTCCAAGCCGAGTCTCCAATAAGCTCAACTTGGGCAACTCCGTCGAAAGTCTTTTCACTGTATGGAACCGATACAAGAAACAAGAATTCGTCGTACGGGATCAGGTCCCGTGTTGATCGAACTATCCCGTTCTTTTCTATCCATGCATGGGGTAGATGGTGCCCAGGTAATAGACAGGGATGGTACTTTAAACAGTCCAGTTCTCCATTGCGAAGAAGCTGCCTGGCATGATTCGAGGTGGTGTTTTGGCTTTCTGGGTCGATGTTGGGATAGAACCATCCAATCTCGGCGCTGAGTGCATGGAACTCGCCGTCCAGGATCTCTTGGGCTTTCTGGACAGCTTTTCGTCTTTTTTAGCCTTCTGTTGAGTCTGGTGTGAAGTACTCTTCCATTGCTTTCACGTTTGAAGCGGTATCATTCTCGGGGGATATACCTAGTGCACTGTCCATAATTAAGGCATGGGATTGGAGGTTATGCAGACTGGTTTTTGCAACTCGGAGTCCGATGGGGCGGCGTTCCGCCTCATATGTATCAAGTAGCGCATTATAACGACCTAGCTGATCACTGCGGATTGCTACACTGAGTTTCCAAACTAAATTGTGCGCGTCTTGGATTCCTGTATTCAGCCCTAGAGCTCCCCAGGGTGGAATCCGGTGCGCGGCATCGCCAACAAGGAAGATGCAACCCTGTTCACTCCGATATCTTTCTGCGACGAGACTGTTGACGCGCCAGTGGGATATACTTTTAAGATCATTGTCCAGATTGGGGATCTGAAGGGTATCATGGATCCGCTCAATCATATCCTCGGTCTTGAAGTACTGAACATTCTCAGGATTGACAGCACAAGCAAAGAGCCATTCTTCCGTCGTCGTAGTTGCAGGGTATGGACCGAGGTGATAAAGATACCCTGTTCGGATACTACCACCTTTCAAAGGGTCGATGAACCAGGTGATGAAATTCCTGGGATCGGGATGGTGGGCACTCAAAGGTGCTACGATATGGGCAGAGACCATATCGATAATATCCCTTTCTCCTTCCCACTTGATACCGAGCTGGTCAGTGAGGCCACGACCTCCGTCAGCTCCAATGACATAACGAGCTTCAACCTGGTAAACACCAGATCCATTGTTGTCGCGAGTTGTCAAGATTACACGATCACCATCTTCTTTGACATCTGTGACTTCCACTCCATATCTAATTCCCTGTGGATTGAGTTCAATAGCCTTTCTTTGAATAATTGGCTCCAATCTGATCTGCGGAATGACAACGTATGGGCATGGGCTTGCCTCCTTATATTCTCTCTGGTAGGCTCCTCCCCCCAAGCATCACGTCCAATGATTGCTTGGCCTGTTGGCCCGAGGTTTGTACGCCAGGTAGTGCGGCTGGCTGTTTCTGGTGGTGCACGTTGTTCCAACACCTCTTTTTCGATTCCTATCTGGCGAAATATCTCAACTGTTCGCATGTTCATGCCACATGCTTTTGGGTGAATTGAAGTCGAGGGGTAACGCTCGAACAAGATATGTGGGATCTTTTGCTGAGAGAGGAGAACGGAGGATACTAGACCGACGGGTCCTCCACCAATGATTGCGATGGGATAGCTTTCTAGTTTTGTCATCTCGATGTGTCCAGCTGACTTCCGTTGACATAGTTTCCTATGAAACTTAGTAAATTTATAAATTGAACACTTTTATTTGTTTCTAATGAGAATGCCCCTGAGCCCCGCTACTCCACTTGATCATCCCTGTCAGATATAGCGGGGCAAGAGTAAAGGCAAGATTCACATCTTTCTGTCAACAACGGGTGTCTGTACCATTCCTGTCTCCGCATAGTATTGCTCCCAATGCTGGACTAATCGAGCAAGGGTATCAGGCTGAGTCTGTGTAAGATTATGGATCTCTGCGGGATCGCTTTCAACATTGAAAAGCTCCCACTCGTCCTTGCCACGGGGCTCAGCAATCCAGACTGCCTTGTACTTACCCTCACGGATGGCTCGCATACCGAACAGCTCCCAGCCATGGATGTGCACGTTTTCTTTGTGGACGCTGGTGGTTTTATAGTCATCAGAGGCTAGGTGAGAAACCCACGATTGGCCACGAGGCAGAACGACTTCTCGTCCACGGAACTGTGCGCCTGGGTGCGATACTCCGGCCAAGTTGAGGATGGTTGGTAGGATATCCATTACTGTGGTGAATGCATTCGTGATGGCTTCGGGTTTGGCATGGAATGGAGGATAACGAATCACGCAAGGACAGCGGATTCCACCTTCTGTTACCCAGCCCTTGAAACCTCTTGAAGGGGCGGTTGCGGCACAGGCCCAGCGAGCACCTGGTTCGATATGTCAGATACACTTCTCTACTAAGATCAATATCTCTCGGTATACATACCATACCACACGAATGAGTCAGGCTCGCCAATGTTCTCCAGTGTGTTGTTATAATATTTGGAAATGATATCTCCCATCATCTTTTTGCCTCCCATGAGCTGCAAAGGAGTCAGTCAAAGTTAGATGTCTAGATTGATTGAGGACTCTTACCGGTAGAGCCTCCAAAGCTGCGCCTTCAGCACCATTGTCGGACATGAACAAGACGAATGTATTGTCCAGCTCGCCGGTAGAGTCAAGGTGCTCAATGACTCGACCAACATTGGTATCGAGTTGGTCAACCATCGCAGCGAAAACCTCCATCTTTCGCGCGGAAATCTTCTTCTCTTCTGGTGACAAGTCGTTCCAGTCTTTTCCTAGTTTCCCAACTGGAGAGGCATGTTCCACAGCCTCATCCACCAATCCCAACTCTTTCAGACGTTGGAGGCGCTTCTGCGTCAAGGCATCAGGTCCATCATCATACTTGCCCGCTGCAGAAAGTTAGTCATCGCACGGCATATAATCAGAAAGTGCTGACCATATTTCTCGACAATCTCCCGGGGAGCCTGTAGAGGCCAATGCGGCGCCGTATACGGCAAATAAGCAAAGAATGGCTTTTGCGATTCCTCCTCTGAGCGATTCCCAAGGAACCCAATCATCTTATCGGTGAATGTTTGAGTTGAATAGAAGTCCTTAGGAAGATCTGCTGTTCGATCAAGGACTTTTTCTCCTTCCATCCAGAAGCCAGTCGTGTTAATACATGGCGCCTGGAATTCGCCGTCTTCTAATTGGGGCTCATAGTTGTAATGATTACTAGCTCCTGGAAGTAAAGAGAAGTTCTTGTCGAAGCCTCTGGAGCATGGTGCAATTTCTTTGGTCATTCCAAGATGCCTGTTCTCATTTAGCTGTGTGATATTCCAAGTTCAAGCGTAGAAACCAACCATTTTCCAGACATGATTGTGTGGTATCCCGAGTCTTGTAGGATCTCTGATAGAGCTGCTACTCGCCAGTTTAGGTAACCCTCGTAGCCGGGCTTGTTCTTAAAGTGGTCTCCAAAGTTTCGCATGAATTCTGCCATTTGTCCTACAATGTGTGTAAGCATATCTCTCTTTAGGGATGAAGGGTCATAATTAGTACCAAGTCCAGCAATGTGGTTATCTGTTCCAGAAAACAGCATTGACCGAGTCGGAGAGCATGCAGATGCTGTGTGGAAGTTGGTCAGGCGAATGCCCTCTTTGGCTAGCTTGGCAAGCGCTGGTGTCTCAATTTCACCTCCATAAGGAGAAATGTCACTGAATCCAAGGTCATCAGCGACAATGACAAGGAAGTTAGGTTTTTTCTCTGTGTTGCTCATTGTTACGGCACTGCTGCAAATAAAACGAGGTGAAATTTGAAGGATTATGAGATTCAAAACACCGGAAACAGCCTTTTTATATGTACTGCGGTAATATCTCCCACCGCAAGACCAAACTGCTGGATTCTAAACAAATATCTAACCGGAATACCCGACTCTCCTCAGATCTTATATCTCTGGTTGCGCAATCAGACATATTCGTCCAATCGTTTAGATGCGGGGGGCTGCCTTAGCTAAATCGGCCGCGAGCTAAACTATTTGCCGCCCCTCTTCCTCATTGTTCGGCATTATTGCGCCATTTTAATGCTTTTAGTGACTCGATTAGAAGTATCTCAACGGCTTGTACGGAGTATATGATTTTGAATCCAAGGGACCTGAAATGAACTCGCTCTAGTTTGTACATATTTTGGTTGGCTGTCTGGCCAATCAGAGCTCGGAATGTCGGCATTTGAATTTAGCTAAACTTTGATGTATTTACTGTGTCGAGCTTCTTTATCAAAGCGGCTGCTTTGTATAAAAAGATATTTGCTACTCATGGGGGCGGGGGGCATTTATTCAAATCCATTAGATCGCATATACTATACGGCAATACCATTGTTGTCAGTTTTCGGTGCCATCGACCAGCCTCCCCAGGGCTTTCATTTAAATCTAAAAATAATACCAGTCCTTTGGGAGCTCTTGATAAAATTCTACTGCCTGAAGAAGATGAAACAAATCTACCAATATGGGTATCACTTATAAAACAGTTGTCTTGAATTTAATCACCCTTGGAACCTCGAGCCAAGAATCGCCGTGTGCCCATATACTATAATAGTTGCAGTTGAAAATCTGACCCAATTGATTTCACCGGTACAGTTTATTGCATGAGATCCCAAGACAAGACGAAATTGACTTGCTGGGCCAGCCGAGACCCACGCACGCGACAACACATAAGCATACTATTGGGAATATGCCTACAGCGCTATTTATCTGATAGTAACGACAAGCCATTAGCCATAAATATATGTGATTGTAGCCATTGTATACTGATCATGGTGCGATGCCTTCAAAGGCTGGGGTGCAGGGGGCTGAAGATATAGCAAGGAAGAAGAGTAGGACAGGGGTTGAGTGTCACCTGATATGCAAAATACGAGGGAAATGGAAGTGGCGGGGAAGAATACCAGGGCTGGAAGTGAAAGCTTGAGCGATGTAAATAGTAGGGCACAAAGCTCTTGAGCAAGAAGTCAACAGCTTCACATTTATACATCCCGGGGAGCTTAGCCCAGATGCCCGGCCGATCTAGATCCACCTGACCGAAAATGGTCGGGATCTAAAATCAGGCCACAAGGCTAGAACTTCTGTATTTCCGTCGACAAGGCTCAGGACATATAATTCGCGGTAATTATGACTGGGACAGAGTGTAAGTTAGCTTTAAGACCATACAAGCTTAGTTTCAGCCGCTGACTGGCAGTAAATCTATCGTATTGGCCGTTTTTATCTGCCGAGACAGTACCACGTGACACGAAAACACGCACATCAGGTGACTCTCGGCGGCCGAGGTCGGAGGGCGCGGAGGCGTCACGAGCCAATCAGAGGCCGTGAATTGGTTGACTCAGAGCGGTCGGTCCATTTGGGTTTAAGGCGTTTTCTCCCCAGAGAGTCACGGCAATCTTCAGCGGTCAATTGAAACTCATTTTTCCTCCACCACTCTCCTCTCTACACTCCTGGCTTGGCCGTCATCCGCGATGATGCCTTTAAGACCATCAACAAGCGCTCTGCGCGCATTCCATACCCGGAATATTGCTGGACGTCGGCCTTTCTCGACATCTTTTGTGGCTTCGGCCGCTTCGCCCCACCGCTCTTCTATCCAGAAGCGTGGTCAGAGCACAGCTACGGCTTCAGCTCCGTGAGTTTTGTTCTGCTTAATACAATGGCTCATTTCTAATTCGATCAATCGTCAGGGAGTCCAGACCTGTGCCCAGTCCTGCTTTCAACCAGGAACCCCATCGCAATGAGATTTCTCCCTTGCAAAACCGCCATCTCCCCGAGCTCGATGACTCGTATGTTCCCTCGATAACAGCCAGAGAACACAGAAAACTGACATATTGGCAAAAAGAATGGTTGGCATGAGCGGTGGTGAAATCTTCCACGAGATGATGCTGCGTCAAGGTGTGAAGCACGTCTGTGAGTGATTCATCCCTCTAGCCCCAAATTGGCTGAGCCTAATATTTCATAGTCGGTTACCCCGGTGGTGCAATTCTCCCCGTGTTCGACGCCATCTACAACTCCAAGCACTTTGAATTCCTCCTCCCTAAGCACGAGCAGGGTGCCGGCCACATGGCCGAGGGTTACGCCCGTGCCTCTGGCAAGCCCGGTGTCGTCCTTGTTACCTCCGGTCCTGGTGCTACCAACGTTATCACTCCCATGCAAGATGCTCTCTCCGATGGTACCCCTATGGTTGTTTTCTGTGGTCAGGTCCCCACTAGCGCAATTGGTACCGACTCCTTCCAGGAGGCCGACGTTATCGGTATCTCGCGTGCCTGCACCAAGTGGAACGTGATGGTCAAGTCGGTTGGTGAGCTGCCTCGCCGTATTCAGGAAGCTTTCGAGATCGCCACCAGCGGTCGCCCCGGTCCCGTCCTGGTTGACCTGCCCAAGGATGTCACCGCTGGCATTCTCCGGAACCCCATCCCCATGCACAGCACTATCCCCTCGCTCCCAAGTGCCGCTACCATGGCTGCCCGTGAAATGAGCCAGAAGCAGCTCGAGGGCACCATCAACCGTGTTGCTAACCTCGTTAACGTTGCTAAGAAGCCCGTCCTTTACGTTGGACAAGGTCTCCTTGCTCGCCCTGATGGTCCTGAGATCTTGAAGGAGTTTGCCGACAAGGCCTGCATCCCTGTCACCACCACCCTCCAGGGTCTTGGTGGTTTCGATGAGCTTGATCCCAAGGCTCTCCACATGCTGGGCATGCACGGATCTGCCTACGCCAACATGGCTATGCAGGAGGCTGATCTGATCATTGCCGTTGGTGCCCGTTTCGATGACCGTGTCACCCTCAGCATCCCCAAGTTCGCTCCCCAGGCGAAGCTTGCCGCTGCCGAGGGCCGTGGAGGTATTGTTCACTTTGAGATCATGCCCAAGAACATCAACAAGGTCGTTCAGGCCAACGAGGCCGTTGAGGGTGATTGTGCCGACAACCTCCGCCTTCTCTTGCCCCACGTCAAGGCTGTTGCCGAGCGCCCTGAGTGGTTCGAGCAGATTAACGACTGGAAGCAGCGTTTCCCCCTGTCCCTCTACGAACGTCAGACCGAGGAGGGCCCCATCAAGCCCCAGGCTGTCATTGAGAAACTCAGCAACCTCACTGCCCACATGAAGGACAAGACTATCATCACTACCGGTGTCGGTCAGCACCAGATGTGGGCTGCTCAGCACTTCCGCTGGCGCCACCCTCGCACCATGATCACCTCCGGTGGTCTTGGTACAATGGGATACGGTCTTCCTTCCGCCCTTGGCGCCAAGGTTGCCCGTCCAGACTGCCTGGTCATTGATATTGACGGTGATGCTTCCTTTAACATGACCCTGACTGAGCTTTCTACCGCTGCTCAGTTCAACATTGGTGTCAAGGTTCTCCTGCTCAACAACGAAGAGCAGGGCATGGTCACCCAATGGTACGCTCTGTTCTACACTACAATGCTCTAGTTACCTTGGACTAACGTTTTTACTCATAGGCAAAATCTCTTCTACGAGGACCGTTACTCTCACACTCACCAGCAGAACCCCGACTTCGTTCCTCTGGCCCGTGCTATGCGCGTTGCTGCCGACACCTGCTTCAAGGCCTCTGAGGTCGAGGAGAAGCTCAAGTGGCTGATTGAGCAGGATGGCCCCGCCCTTCTGGAGGTCATCACTGACCGCAAGGTTCCTGTCCTCCCCATGGTGCCTTCTGGCCGTGGTCTGCACGAGTTCCTGGTTTACGACGAAGGTATGCAAATTCCAACCCGATTATAATGTCAGATTCAAGATTAACACAATACCTACAGCCAAGGAAATGGAGCGCAAGGAGCTCATGCGCCAGCGCAACGTGGACTTCCACGTCCGCAAGGAGTAAGTGACATCCAAACAACGTCACCTTGACAATCATGTTTCTGTACTTTGATATCCATGGCGTTTCTTGGCTGGTTCACCAAAAGCGATTGGGGCAATGTCTGTTGAAATCAAAACAAGAAATCCCTACACAAGATTGCTCCTGGGGACCTCCATGGCAGAAATTTCGGTGCTTGTGGGCCCTCCACCGATGGAGTGCGTGTCCTCCGCCCTATCCTCGAAACAAGGATGGCGAAATGCATGAAATGTGTCGCGTTCTGTACGTGTCATCTTGTCATCTTTGGGCTCTCTTCTCTTGCCAGGTTGATCCTCTTGTATATAATCATTGACATTTCAGGTCCCGCGATGGGATGTGAAAATTGAGTTCGAGTCTCATAAAATAGGCGTATTTAGTCATTGAAAGTATCTATCATTTTATCTCATTTCTTCGTCCTCCTTTGCAAATTGAAAGGCTTCTTCCTGTCGGTCAATACACCAGGTGTTTGTGAAACGGTTGATCGTTCTGATTGATAGACATACCGTTAACATCGACAGGCACGTTATGATGAGTATTCACGTTAAGATCGGCAGAGGACATGATCGATAACATTAAGTTTTAATCAATAGGCACGTTCTGATCGATAACGATCTATAAGCTAGCTGATCTTGGCCCTCTTGGCCCGAAGTGCTTGACTTTAGTGGCATAGTAACCGTTAGGTGCCTTAACGCCGGCCCGTTTCTTCGTTCTTATTTTGTGCGTAAAAAGGCAGAGACTGAAAAATTAGAAAAGTAGAAGCGATCAAGAGCCGGCGAGGAGCCGCTCACACAGGTGGTCACGATGGATGCGTAACTAGACGCATTTGCCATGGCCAAAATATACGTACGTTATCGGACCGCAGTATTTAGCAATGTTCACATTCTGTCTCTTCCCACTATCTCTCATACCTCTTTCTATCTCTTTTATACTCTTCGCGTTTCGTGACAACGTTGACTCACCTTCGTGGACGGTTGACCTGCTCATATCAAATCCAGTAGACGACTAACCTAAATGAAGAAACGAGGCTCTTACTGGCCTCATTACAATACGCCGACTCGCTCACTTGCGCCATCTTGCCTCTCGCATCATTTCTTGAAGTTGCTTGATCCGTGATCTTTCACCTTACACGATCTTGCTCTCTTCAACCGCCTCACCAGGGACCATATTATCATCATGGCTTCTAAACAGTTAGTCTCATTTCCCTGTCACTTTTACGAGCCGAGATGACTGACTTGATAAATGCAGACTCTGTCGCGACTTTGCTAGAGGAAAATGCAAGTGGAGAGCTTGCAAGTATTCTCATGTGAATCTGCGACAGGAGGTCAAACTACCCCCTACAGATCCGGATCACGGACCAACGCACACTTTAAGCCTAACTCCCCTAGAGAGGGAAGTGCAAGTGTGGAAAGCAAGCATTCCTCTGGAAAAAGCTACCCCTCGCCCCTCATCGCAAACGAAGTCTGCCATCATCCAGAAAGCGAGAGAGCTTATCAGTACCAATGCTACTTCACGACAGGAAGTTGTCGAGACACTGGCGACTGAACATGGCTTGAAATTCATCCTAGATCTTGTTCTGGATGAGTTCCAGAACATGTCTGTCAAGACAAAGCAGAATATCTTCAAAGCTCGGATTCTCCCGCTCCTGCAAACGGTCTCACATTCCGATATCCTGTCTTCGCCCGTATTGGAGCAGTCAGTGGGTACCATTTACAACGTTTTGTTCGGCATTGATGGTTCCAGAGCAGCCCGTTTGCTGAAATTCACGTGTGATATTCTTGCAAACTTGCCTAGGAATCAAGGCAGTGCTCTGATACTGCAGACTTCTCTGCTCACCTTCTCTCGCATTATTGATCTCAACTCTTCGGCCATCATCCAAGAGTGTCTCCATGCTGAAGCTCAACGATTTGAGAAGATATTCCGCTCGATGGATACGGATGACTTGACGGATACACTTCAGCAGTCTCGCATGGACCTTGAGCATATCCTTCAACGCATGGAAATTGGAAAGGAGCTTCCAATCAGCGACGCAGAGAACAAAGCTTATCCCACGCTCGATTCTGAATTTGTGACTCAATATGGAACGCCTGGAGGCCGGCATGATAACGACCACGCTGATATTTGCGATATTAGGATCATGCCGAGCTTTGAGGAAATCTCCAGCAGAGACACGGAGTACTTGCCGGTCGTTAATCCATTTCAATGGCATGTTAAAGGCCTCGACGGATTGCTGGATCGAAATTTTCGACTCCTGCGAGAGGACACCGTCGGCCAGCTGCGAGACGCAATTCACCATGAGCTGGACCAGTCTCACCTGGTTGATCCCTCGCGAAAACAGCTACGAAAGGTTGTTTACCATGATCTCCGGGTCATCGATCTAGGGTTCAACTGGATTTCAGGCTTCTTCTTCGAAGTTGAATTCCCGCAGCCTACTGGAGTTGCCAACCAAACACCCACGGCCCGAGAAATGTGGTGGAAGACATCCAAGCGTCTAAGCCCAGGCGCCCTCGTGTGCGTACTTGTCAAAAAGCCCCAGGAGGAAAACTTGGTACTATTTTGCACCGTGGCAAACAGGATCATGTCATCCAGGAAACGCCAGGAAAATGGAACACCGTTGTTCAAGACAGACCCAACATCTTTGTGGAAAAATCCCCAAAGCGCCTCAGTTACGCTGATGTTAGTTGATTCCAGACATAGCAATCTTCAGATCATCCTCAACCTCAACAGCCCTAAGAGACCGGTGTTTTTTCTCGTCGAATTCCCAGGCGTTCTTCTTGCGGCCTTCGCGCCAGCACTCAACGCACTTCAGTCTATGAAGCGCGGTAAGTTCCTACCTTTCTCGGAGCTTTTCGTCCCTTGGGTCATCGAAAGAGGAAGACGACCTGGGATTCGGCCGCCACCGTACGCTCTATCTCCTGGTTTTGAGTTCAATCTTCGCTGCATCATGAAGAACAACGCCAATTTCTATGTCCACCATGATCGTCCTACTGATTTCGAATATCTCGAAGAGAATTCAAGCCTGGATGGTGCGCAGTCTCGTGCACTGGTCAATTGCTTGGGGCGACAGCTTGGTTTAATCCAAGGTCCACCTGGTACTGGCAAGAGCTATACCGGTGTAGCTCTGATCAAGGTCTTGTTAGCAAACAGGAACAACAGCACGGGAACCGGTCCCATCCTGTGCGTCACATACACCAATCATGCACTTGATCAGCTCCTTGAGGCATTGCTGGACAATAAAGTGACAACACAAATTGTTCGCATTGGTGCTCAGTCCAAATCGGAGAGGCTGGGGAAATTCAATCTTCAACTGATCTCCAGAGAGGTAACAAAGACAAAACTGGAGAGAAGAGAAAGATGGCGCGCAAGTGAGATACTCTCAGGGTGTGAAGATGACTTTCGAGCCCTACGCTTCAAAACAACTCCCCCAACGAATCATTTCAAGCAGTTTCTTCAAATTTATCACCGTCGCCACCACAATGAGCTGTTTGGGATTGAAGAGGATGGCTTTCAGAGACAAGTCAAATCCACACCTGCGGCCATTCTTGACTCCTGGATTCAGTCTGCATCAGAAAGTGATACCCGCTCTCGGCCTGTGAACGAACTGCTAGAAGCCAATGTCTTCGACATGTCTGGCAAGGAGCGCCAGCGTCTTTATGACTATTGGAACAAAGGAGTTTGCCAACAGTTCGACGTAGAAGTGTTCCGGCTTGTCAACACCCACAAAGATGCCAAAATACAGTTCGATTGCGTGCAGGATCAGATGCATCTTCGTTGTTTGGCCAATGCCGATATCATCGGCGCGACTACAGCAGGCCTTGCCCGACGACTTGATATTTTCCGGAAGCTCCACTGCCAGTTCATGATATGTGAAGAGGCTGGTGAAGTCCTTGAATCGCATCTTCTGACGGCTTTCCTGTCCACTGTCGAACATGCGATCCTTATTGGTGATCAACAACAGCTCCGTCCACAGGTCCAGAACTACGAGCTTTCCAGCGAGAACCCTCAGGGAGGAGGTCGGTACGCACTCGATATCTCTTTGTTCGAAAGACTGGTTAGTTCAAACCCAGGTCCAATGAGCTGCGGACTGCCTTTCAGCACGCTGGAAACTCAACGACGAATGCATCCTTCCATCGCGCGGCTAATTCGCGAGACGATTTACTCAAATTTGAAAGATTCACCATCGGTTGAAATATATCCAAATGTCATGGGAATGCGGAAAAGATTATTCTGGTGGGATCATCGTAAGGCAGAGGAAGGACCATCGGGCGATGTCATGTCAACCTCTCACTGGAACAGGCACGAAGTCGACATGACCGTTGCGCTACTGAATCACCTCGTTCAGCAGGGAAAATACGAAAGCGGGGATATCGCAGTGTTGTCTCCGTACCTGGGCCAGCTTCACCGGCTTCGACAAAAGCTCGAAGAGTCTTTTGCCCTCGCCCTCGGAGATCGTGACGAGGAAGATCTCAACAATGCCGGTTTTGCGAACGAGGAAGGCACGGAGAAGACTGTGGTCAAGACGACTTTACTTCAGACTCTTCGTGTTGCTACAGTGGACAATTTCCAAGGAGAAGAGGCAAAGATTGTCGTGATATCTCTCGTTCGAAGCAACCCAGAAGGCCGATGCGGCTTATCCGCAATACTAACCGAATCAATGTTCTCCTGTCAAGAGCTCAGCACGGGATGTACATCATCGGCAACTCCCAGACCTCTATCCATATTCCCATGTGGACGAAGGTCATTGACATTCTACGGCAAGGCAATAACATCGGATCTGCTTTGGAATTGACTTGCCCTCGTCACCCATACTCATTGATCAAAGTCTCAAATCTGGACGATTTTCCAAAGTTCTCGCCGGAAGGAGGTTGCCACTTGCGCTGTGTCCAGCGTTTGGCTTGCGGACATGCCTGTATTCAAAAATGCCATTCGGAACTTCTTCATAGCGCCGTCTTGTGCCTTGAGCCTTGTCCTCGACCTTTCCATGGATGCAATCATTCTTGTCCGAAAATATGCGGGGAAAAATGCTCAGAGAAGTGCACAGTTATCATCTTCGAGCAGAACAGAAGACTCAACTGTGGCCATCGGATGCAGAAGATTCCTTGCTGGCAGCATCAAGACATGACGACCGTTCATTGCCCAGTTCTTGTGAGAAAGAAGGTTCCGGGGTGCGAGCATTTCGTTACAGTCCCATGCCAAGTCGATGTGAGCTCGCCCAACTACAAGTGCATGGCCCAGTGCCGAAGCAATTTGCCCTGTGGCCATGTATGCAAGCGCGTGTGCCACCACTGCCTCAAACGTGGACCTTTAATTACCCAGACATTCCATGACCGATGCCAAAAACCGTGTGATCGGAAGCGTTCGACGTGTGCTCATGGCTGCGAGCTTCTGTGCCATAGTGACAGCCCCTGTTCCCCATGCCGGGCTCCGTGCGATGTGCAATGTGGCCACTCGAAATGTGGACGCAAATGCTTTGAGCCTTGCACTCCATGTGCAGAGCAGAAATGTCTTTCGGAATGTCCTCATAGCACGTGCTCAATGCCTTGTGCGGCTCCTTGTGATCACATCCCATGCTCCAAGCGTTGTGAAAAGGAGCTTGCTTGTGGCCATCAGTGCCCAGCTGTGTGTGGAGAGACATGTCCTTCTTTCTATTATTGTCAGATTTGCGCAAGCGACAAAATCAAGGACAATCCAGTAGATTTCATCCTAGGTCTGGCGTACAAGGATACGAATCTGGACGAGAATCCCTGCATCTTTCCAAAATGTGGACATTTTTTGACAGTCGAAAGCATGGATGCACAAATGAATATGGGCAAACATTATGAGCTCGACGCTAACAACAAGCCTCTCGTAATCAAAGCATCGTCTACTCCGTTTTCTATTGAAAACATCAGAAGCTGTGCTACCTGTCGTGGACCCTTGAGAGATATCGCCCGGTATGGTCGATTAATCCGACGTGCAATCCTTGATGAGTCGACGAAGAAGTTGATTCTGTTGCTTAACCAGCAATATGTTCCCCTTGCACAGGAACTTCCCGTGCTCATTGAGAAGATGCAAAACCTGCCGAGCGACAAACAGTCTTCATGGCCAAGTTCTATCACAATCAGTGGAAATCGGAACGACCAAGTCAAGATGATGCACGAAATCATCAAAAGCACAAATGGTGATCGATGGAATGGAATGCTTGACTTGCGAATTCGAATCGGCAAATACCGCAGTCGTGTTGAGCCTCACGAGCAGCCCTTTGAAAGGGTCCGTATCATGGTCGGGGATGCTCAGAGACGCAAGAAGATAACGGGCGACTTGAACTTTCCCAGCAGTATTCTCCAGACTAAAGGGTACATCCAGGCCACGGCTCTACTCCTTCGCCTGGATATTGCTTTGTTTGCAGACTTTTCCAGTCTCATTTTCCGAAAAGGCGCAAATGAGATCAGCCTTAAGATAGATCTACAGGGTACCAAGAACGATTGCGGGCTCCTTACTCGTGTAGCCCATGAACATGACCGAGTTCCGCAACAGGTGGAAGGTTTCCTCTACCTGGCACAACTTTGCGGCCTCGAACGAGCACATGTTCCACATCTGGATAGGGAGGTCAATCGCAATAAATATTTGCTTGAAGGCCTGCTATTCATCAATGAAGCCAGGAAGCGTTGCATGAGCTACCCCGGTCAGACACGAGGATTGTCGGATGAGGTGGACTGCGCGGAGACCATGCTGAGAGGAACAGCGTTCTGGTCGATCATCACTAGCAGGGAACGCATGGAAGTCATTTCAGCAATGGCCCAGAAGTTCCAGGGTACTGGACACTGGTTTTACTGCCGCAATGGACATCCATTTACCATCGGGGAGTGTGGGGGAGCCGTGGAGACAACCTTCTGTCCCGACTGCGGCGCCCCAGTAGGAGGAGAAAACCATCAAGTTGCAGCAGGAGTTACTCTGGCAGAGGATCTGGAGCAGAGACTGACTGAAATGGGTATTTGAGGGAGAGTTTGATGAGTTTCATAGCTTTGAGGAGGAGGAGGATGTTTCTTTGTAGTTAGGAGTTGGGCAATTCAATTTGTGACGTTTCGGGGAATGTCCCTGTCACGTTAACTCCATAGCTTATCCTCAACTCACCTCCTTCCACTCCCCATCCACACCTTCGATTTTCTATGAATTGCTACGATCGCAAGCCTTCTGCCTGAATAATTGCTTTCTGCAGTGCATGTGTTCGCCCGCCAGCTCTCTCTCCCCCTAGCTTCCGCCCCTCATTCGTTCCACGATGGCTAGCCCACCACCCGTCACCGAGGACCAGAACCGCCTCCTCGAGGAGGCATTGGGGGTGGTGAGGCAGCAATCGGGCTTGATGCGCAAATGTCTAGAGACTCCTGGAAAGCTCATGGATGCGCTCAAATGCGGGTGAGCTCCCCTCCAGGCAGCGACCTCGGGTGGTGCGCAATGAGTCGAGTGCTAACAGCTTCGTGTTTTTGCGTCTACAGATCAACTCTTGTCTCCGAATTACGAACCCCCAGTCTCGGTCCGAAGCAGTATTATGAATTGTACATGGCAGTCTTCGACGCACTGCGACACCTCTCCGTTTACCTAAAGGAGAACCACCCGGTCAACCACCTCGCCGACCTTTACGAACTCGTCCAATATGCGGGCAATATCGTCCCCCGTTTGTACCTTATGATCACTGTGGGTACTGTCTACATGTCCGTCGAAGATGCGCCGGTCAAGGAAATTATGAAGGACATGATGGAGATGAGCCGAGGTGTCCAGCACCCGATCCGTGGCCTGTTCCTGCGATACTACCTTTCCGGACAAGCAAGAGATCACTTGCCATTGGGTACCGGCGACGGTCCCGAGGGTAATATGCAGGATTCCATCAACTTTGTTTTGACGAATTTCGTGGAGATGAACAAGCTCTGGGTCCGACTTCAGCACCAAGGCCCCTCACGAGAGCGGGAGAGGCGGATACAGGAAAGACGCGAGCTGGAGCTGCTCGTGGGTAGCAACATTGTTCGACTCAGCCAGCTGGTTGATCTTGAAGGGTACAAATCTGGCATTCTACAGGCTCTTCTGGAGCAGGTTGTACAATGCCGAGATGTTCTCGCGCAAGAATACCTGCTGGAAGGTAAGGATTTTTTTGGTGTCATGATTCAATTTGATGCTTATTTTATCAATAGTGATCACCAAGGTTTTCCCCGATGAATTCCACCTTCATACCTTGGACCTCTTACTTTCCGCAATTGCCAGACTCAACCCACATGTCGATCTGAAGAAGATTGTCATTGGACTTATGGACCGCCTGTCTTCATATGCGGCAAGAGAAGCAGAGTCGGCGACAGAGCCAGAAGCACGGAAACAGAGCGAGGAAGAAGCTGTCACCCGGTTATTGCAGAAGCTCGAAATTTCGAAAGAAGCCAAAGAAGAGGAATCGAAGAAAGAAGCCACCACCGATAGCCCGTCCAAAGAGAATGGCACCGAAGAACCAGCCAAGGAGAGCACCGAGCCTTCTGAGCCAACAAAGGAAGAGAAGGGCAAGGAAGTGGAGAACAGAGACGATGCAAAGCCTGGAATTCCCGCAGAGATCAAGCTGTATGATATCTTCTATGATCAGGTGGTCAGCTTGATCAAGACACGTGCACTACCGATCCAAGATACTATGGCCCTTTTGGTGTCACTTGTCAACCTGGCATTGAACATCTATCCGGACCGGTTAGAATATGTCGACCAAGTCTTGGACTTTGCCACGCAAAAGACTACTGAATACACTGACCACGCCGATCTTCATTCGGCACCAACTCAACAGCACATCTCCCACCTTCTCAATGCTCCCCTTCAATCTTATATCTCTATCTTCACAGCCTTGGCATTGCCACATTACCTGCCACTCTTGACCTCGCAGTCATACCCCACTAGGAGAGCTGTTGCCAGCGAAATCCTCCGCAGCCTTTTGCGAAACAAGATTCTGGTTTCCACAACCGAAAACCTTGATCGTGTGCTTCAGGCAGTGAGGGTGCTGATCAAAGAAGGCGTGCAGCAGTCGGTTGGATACCCTGGGGCACAGTCCGGACGGCGGGGAGGGGAAACTGATGAGACAGTGGAAGAGCAAGGGTGGCTTGCAAGATTGGTGCATCTGATTCAGGGACCTAACAATGACACCCAGCTTAAGGTAGAATCAACCCGAAGAGTCCTACTCAACATCTACTAACGGTTCGAAACAGCTCCTTCAAGCAACCCGCAAGGCTTACACAGATGGCAACGAGCGGATCCGCTACACCACTCCCGCAATTGTCACAGCTTCTATCCGCTTAGCTCGGAAGCTCAAGTCCAGAGAGCACTACGATGATAACTGGCAATCACAATCCTCGGCTCTCTACCGCTTCATGCACCAAAGTATCAACAACTTGTATCAACGGGTAAATCCCGGCTGCGCCGATCTTGCCTTGCGCTTGTTTGTGATGTGTGGTGAAGTTGCAGACCAGACCGGATTCGAGGAAGTCAGCTACGAGTTCTTTGCACAGGCATTCACCATCTATGAAGATGCCATTAGCGACTCGCGCGCCCAGTTCCAAGCCGTCTGCATCATTGCCGGTGCCTTGCACGGCAGCCGTGGATTCTCCAAGGAGAACTACGATACTCTCATTACCAAGGCTGCGCTGCACGGCAGCAAGCTCCTGAAGAAGCCCGACCAATGTCGCGCGGTCTATCTCGCCAGTCACCTCTGGTGGGTTGTTGAGAACCCTCAACGTGGCGAAGATGACCCTAAGGACGTAAGTTTACTCCAAACCTTCCAGCATTGATATTCATATTCACTAACATTCAACCATTAGCTCTACCGCGATGGCAAACGGGTTCTCGAATGCCTCCAGCGCGCCCTCCGTGTCGCTGACGCATGCATGGACACCGCCGTCTCTGTTGAGCTTTTCGTGGAAATTCTCAACCGCTACGTCTACTACTTCGACCAGCAGAACGAGACCGTAACGACCAAGTACCTCAACGGACTCATTGAACTCATCCACTCCAACTTGCAGACCAGTGAAGACGAGCCTAACGCTAGTCTCGATGGTCCCAAGCGCCACTTCCATCGCACACTGGAGTATATCCGCTCGCGGGAATACGAAGGTATTGTGACAGAGCCGCCTAAGTAATCAATTGATAGGTATTCAAACCTTGTCGGTCGAGTCTCCATCATTCATTTCGAGGGAGATGGGCTGTATGTGATATGCCCTGTGGGGGTTTCTGCTTTTCTGTTCTCCCGGCTGCTGGTGCTTTGATTTTTCTCCTTTTATTCCTTCGTCTCTATTTCTTTTTCTCTCTGTCTCTTTCCTGGAAGCCAGTTTTTCTTTGTTGTGTTGCTCTTTGTTTTCTTTCGTTCCCAGTATATACAACTGTATCATTGTCTCCGGATATCACCATACCCTTCAATGTGAATTGTATCTGGCTATAGACAACTTCTTTTCTGTCTTTGTAAGACCCCTACGTATCAATACTGCGTTGCAAGGCGCCCTTGATACTCTACAATAGGTACAGTCTAGACACAACCGTACAAACTGACAGAAGTTTCAATTCCCCAGCAATAAAATTTAATTCCAGAGTTGATATCTACCTATAACGCTTCAACCCTAAGTCCAGCCAGCCCCCTCCCATCAATAGTCTCAACAATACCCTTCAAATCCGAATGACTGGTAATCTTAAAAATCGACGAATCCTCGATATTAAAGAAATAAAATGCCCCATCCCCAACCTGAAAAAGAGACAAGGCCTCCCCGGCCTCAGGATCCATCGCAAAAAGAGGCTTGACTTCACCCTCAATGCCGAAGACTGTGATCATTCGCAGGACATTGCCTTCCGGGCCCCATTGTTCGTCACCGCCCATTTCGTCGTAGTCATTTGTCCATTGGGTTGGGGGTTGGACCTATGGGGCGTTTGTTGGTGGGTGTTTGGGATAGAAATTGTACATGCATGCACGGGAGATACTTACTTCGGTATTAGTCAGGACTTTGTCGTCCACCAGTCTTAGAAGATCGCTCATTTTGTGTGTTTATGGCTTGGGTTGAGGGTTGAGGGTTGGGCTTGAAGAGATATATACTGTTGCGGCAGGATCAAATTTGATAGTGGGGTAGATGTGATCATACACTTCCCGAGCTCCGTATGTTTGATTTGCCCTAACCCCCTGATTAGATCTGTCAATGAGAGACTTAGAAGGGATGGAGGTGATACATTCTAGCTTTATACAAGATGTACTACGTAATGGATAGCAGTGTTGGGTAATGTGAAGTAACGAGCAGGATCCAGAGTGCCGCTCCATGCTGCTGAGATCTAGGATGAAGAGCGAAGTATACGTTAAAAACTACTCCATGTTCTACGCAGCAAAACCCAAAAACACCAAAAGACGAAGAAACCTTCGATCATGCAATTGGTCAAGGACGATTGACGGAGCGGGTGATTAACCCAAATCTCCACGGATATCGCTGCATAATGTAGAAAGGCCAGAGACTCATACCGTACATAAAACAAATCCGGATACCTTCAAGGATCACTTAAGAAGGGTACCAAATACACAAACAAATAACCCATATCAATAGCAGAACCTTACAAAGGTGAAGATGTGACGTTAACCCATAACGCTTCAATGAAAAGAGGATAACATGAAAAGGAAAATATGAGAGGGCATTTCAAAGTCGTTCCAGCAAGATGTGCCGAAGGAGGCCACAGGAATGTTCATCCTTGAGGCTGGGCGGGCATCAAGTCATGCTCAGGATAGAGAAGCCCCGCCGAAAACTCCAGCCGAGGGCGAGGAATATTGACGCAGTACTGAGGGTGCTCCGCCGAATCCACCAAATGGGGCCGGGTGACTGTTGCTGGGGATTGGACTGCCGATGTCACCGGGAACGAGGCTACCTCTGTGACCAGAAGCTGCACTGTTGAGATCAGGCTCGAACCTGACATATCTGCCTTTCTGGTCTTCTTTGATGGAGAAAGAGCCACCACCATTCTGGGAGCTGCCCTCCGTATCGCAAATATCAAGCATCTCGTCCAACGAGATTGATGGCTCACCCAAGGGGCGCAGGTTTTCCACTTGAGCGAGAACAAGGTTCATATCATGGAAAGGTCCAGCACCCTTTTGGGGGCTCATCATGCTGTTGAGGTGCTTGCAAGCTTGAATAACCAGAAGACGGACTGTAACAGGTCGAGAGGTGTGAGGACGGTGATGTGCGCCAGCTGTAAAAGCATTATTGTGAGGCCATCCTGTCCCAGCTGCTGGTGCTCCCCATGTAGCAGAACCACCTGTGAAGGGGGAACTTCCATAGTGCGGACCCCATGTGTTATTTCCTATGGCAGAGCCAACCGGGAAGTTATTTTGCGGGGATCCCAGCGGATCCGAGAATAATGATGACCCTTGGAAGCTGGCTCTTGTCGGCCCTGGGAATGGCCCAGGAGCAGGAGCACCGGGTAATGACTGAGACAGGTTCGACGGATAAGTAGCATCAGTATCATCAAGGAGCGCACTGCTGCCAAGATGAGCACTCAGACCATCCACCTCCCGCTGCACAGAGGCATTGCCATTGTTCTGCACGTCTTGGGCGGAACTGGATGGGCGCTTGATAGGGCTAGGGCGTGTGATGGGGAATGGCTGAGAACCATTATCCAACGGAGAGCGATCGAATGAGGTAGAATGTTGTCGGGAATGGGTCTTCGGCATGCCACCTTGTTGCAGAGAGAATCCACCGGGAACACCATGGCCAGTGAAACCGAGGCCGTGTCCGGGATCAGACGGGAACACTCGGCTTGGGGGCATGGGTCGAATATTGTTCATACCAGGGGGTGCAGCTATTCCACCAGGACCGGGAAAGCCTCGCAAAGGATTCATCATTGCACCATTTGGTGAGTACATCGACTCTGGAGGAATACTTGACCGCGGAGTCATTCCTGGTATTCCAGGAGAGTTGGACGACAAGCCACCAAGGCTTGGGAAGCCTGGGGGGTTTACCTCGGCCGAGAGGTGAAAGAGGAGCGGACGGCTGAGGGTGATGCAATGGAGGAGGCTGAGGGTAGCTTTGTCTGCCACCAAAGTTCAATCCCGACTGCGGATGGGCCATGGACCGGGGGGAGATAGAGGGATGGTGGGACGAATCCGCGCTGTTAGGGTTAGAATGAGGGGAGGATGTAGAAGAGCCGTGATGAGATGTTTGGCGTGGCCTTCCAGGAGTTGAGTCCTTAGGAACAATTGGCGAGGACAGAGAATGGTGAGGAGAGGGGAGGAAGCCGGGAGGGACCTGAGGCGGATAGTTGAAAGGGTGAGTGCCGAAAGAGTGTGGTGAAGTCTTCGACTCGCGCTTTCCACCTCGCTCTCGTTGTTCCTGTTCGGCTCGGTCCTTCTGTGCCTGCTCCTCACGCATCTTGCGCTCACGATCCTCTTTGGTTTTCTTCTCCTGCAACTCGCGCTCTTCCTTCTCTTTGCGCTTGGCTTCATCTCGCTTTTTCTTCTCCTCTCTCTGTTCCCGCTGCTTGCGCTCGGTTTCGGCTTGCCGCTCTCTTTCTTCCTTGAGACGTCGTTGCTTCTCAGCTTCTTTGCGGGCGCGCTCCTCCTCCTGAGCTTTCCGTTCGGCCTCACGTTTCTTGCGCTGTTCCTCTCGCTTCAGTCGTTGCTCCTCGGTTTTCTTCTCCTGGGCAGCTTTGGCGGCGGCTTCTTCGGCAGCTTTCTCGGCATCCCGGCGCGCTTTCTCCTCTTCCTTGGCTTGTCTCTGTAACCTCTTTTTATCCTTCTTTTTCTGCGCTTCCCGGGCCTTCTTAGCATTCCTTTGCTCGTTCAGCGTCTCCTCCTGCATGAGCTCGTCAATTAGTTGCTTTTGGCGTTGTTCGGCGACCTTTTCGCGATATGCTGTCATGACCCTTTGCTCAAACATGCGAGCCGCAAATATCTGGAACATTCGCCGCCCTTCCTGCATGCGCTGTGCTTCGGTCATGGTATCCTGTTGCCGTGATCAGTATATGAGCCTAACAAGTTAACATCTTGGACGCATACCATTTCGTCCTCGTCGAACTCTTCCTCCTCTTGACTGTCATAATCCTCATCGTCTTCCTCGTCGTCATAATCTTCATCGTCCAATGGACCGTGATTATGTCCGTGGAAAGATTGATGGGCAGCAGCTATTCCGTACTGGGTATCTTCTTCTCGTTGCATTCGCCGTTCAGCCAATTGCTCCATCATATCGATGAAATGCTTGCCGTCGTTTTTCAGGAGATCATCCGCAACCGTGAGAATACCATCTAGATAAGCGCGAGCATCAAAGTTAGCTTTGCAAGGCTTTTTTGGTAGCTGTTCATCTTATGGCATACCTTTAACGGTTAAGCTATTCCCAAACGCGAAGAAGTCAGCTCGCGCTGCACGAGCCTCGTCATCCTCGAGGTCCTCGTCACTGTAAAGCTCTTCCTCGTCGTCCTCGTCTTCTTCTTCTTCTTCTTCTTCTTCGTCGTCGTCTTCTTCTTCGTCGTCTTCCTCCTCGTAGTCCTCTTCTAACTCCTCTTCATCTTCGTGCAACTCTTGAACTCGGCTCCGTGATGGGTGAAATTGGCCGTGCGTTCGAGTATGCTGCCCGGGTGATCGCAGAGTTGAGTTATAAAGTCGAGGTGGAGGGATAATAGGAGCTCCTTCATCGAAGGCGCCTTGGTTGTTGTTCGCATACTGTTCGAGCTCTTCGTAATATGCGTCGTACAGAACTTCAAGCTCCTCTTCGATTGCGGTGCGTTTCCTCCCACATACTGTACAGCTGCATGAGTGCTTTTGCTGTTCCTTCATTTTTTTCAGAACAGCATCTTTCTCCACTTTAACAAGCTGTCGCCGCTCCTCTTCGCCCAATTCAAACCAGAAAGTCCGAATGTTTTCGCGTTCCTCCAGAGAGGATTGGTTCCAGATGCTGCTATTCTTAATGGGTTTGCCGGTGAACCGACTGATGTAGGGTAGAGCTTGCGGAGGCGGTGGAGGGTGAGAGAATGTGGCGGACTGGGTAGAGAGCGGTGTTGAGCTGCCATCAGCGTGGTTTTGCGAGTCAGATCGACCTTTTCGATTTTTCTTCCTCTTTGATCTTTCGCCGGCAAGATGGTCGTCATCGGGGTCATTCGTCATAGATCCGCGGGGTAAGTGTGAGGCTCCATATCCGTAGTTGGCGCTCGGTACTGTGCTGTGGTGATCTGCATGGTCGAATTCGTGGTGGTCATCGCATGAGTGGTGGTCATCGGTTGCGAGCAAGTCCGCCGCATCTCCGGGAGCGTAAGTGTGGGAATGTTCCGCAGCTAGGCGGGCGGCCTGCTTCTGTCGGCGTTTCTGCTTCTTGCGATTCACGGTCGGTGCTGGTGTAGCCATCGTTCCGGAAGATGTGTTGCCCTGAGGACCCCGCGCGTGGGATTCGCCGTTGGTTGCTGGCGGAGTTGCTGACACATGTGTCGACATGATGGACGTGACTAGAGCTTTCGGGGCTGCTCTGGCAGCATACTAAACGCACCAGGAAGAGCTTTGAGTCAGAAGAGCAATGTTTCGCAAGGTGGGTAAAGTGAGGAAGGAAAGCGGAGAACGGAAGACCCAAAGCGTCAACCAACGAAGCTCCGGCGGCTGCAACGCCTGGCGACAACTCACAGGAAGTATTCCCCTTGGCAGAAGCACGGAAAAGGGATCAGTCGCGCTCTTTGTGTTTCGCTCAAGACGCGCTTCCGTGGCAAACAGGAGGGGTGGAGGTAGGATAAGATGGGAGGAGGGGGTTGACAGGCAATAATCCCGGCGGGTCACGACGTGTCTGCTGGGGTTAGGGTTGTAAGCGCTGAGGATGTGGGAAACCAACAATGTGCTATAGCCAGGATCAGCAAGATATCAAGGCTGAGCGCCGAAGAGGTACTGATCGAACGCCAATGGATGATGGAATGATGGGCTTTCCTGCGCTCTGGCTGGTTAATCGTGCCGCCGCAACGGGATAGCCGCCGCAAGCGAGCTTATGCCTGAATCGTCAGGCGTGAACCTTGAAGTCACTTGGGCAACGAAGTGGTTTACTTGGGCGAGGGTGTGGTGGATAGACTGGGTAGTTTCAGTGATTCTGTAGACAAACAACTTGAATTCCTCGAAATATTTGGCTATTTTCAGGTACAACATGCACTATTGACGATTTATGCTCATACAACACCCGTCACGTGCACCGCCGCCATCCATACTGCCCGCTATAAGGGCGGTCAGGGAAATCGCAAGGGTAAACATGTATGAGCGTCAGCTCCACCAGAGAGTGTGAGACACCCTAATTAAAAATATCTCCATAGCAAGCGAAGGGAAAATAGGGTGCCTATAGGACGATCGGACGGAGAAGATACCATCTGCGTATTTAGTTCCCCTCAAAACTCGGCCTGAGTAATAAATATCCGCTTGGCTGTAAGCGCCTTCTTCCCCTTCATCTTATCGTCAGCTTCCACTCTTTGCCCTTTCAACTTTCACACACTCTCTCTTTCTACCTCTCTTTCTCTCTACCTTTCTCGCTCTCATTTACTTAGGTTTCGTGTCCACGTCAACCGATCAGCCTCAGCCCGCCTCCCCTCCTATCCCCAAACTCGTCACGTCACTGGCATCTCCAAGCCACCCGTTTGCCTTCTTCTCGAAACCTTTTGGGCACTGACTGCCCAGGGCTGAAATTTCTCCTTGCATCTGCCCACTTTCGTGACGCTTCGTAAATCGATTCTCGATCTGACTAGAAGTGTCATCTCAAGTGTTGATCCACCTCCGCCTCCGCTTTCCATCACCCTTGTGTTTCGCGAAAGCTTGCAACGCCATTAAATATGTCGCAGCCTCAGGATGATAATGTGATGCGAAGGTATGTGCTGCACAACCTGTGGTGTCTCGCCCCTCACCGTCTCGTCTCATGAGGGGTTGACGCATCGCTAAAGCAGTTGCCTCCACGCTTGCGATTCGATTGCTTGCGGCATTGGAGCCACTGGGATAATTTCATGGGCTAATTTGAACCCACCCACAGGAAGCTTGTGATAATTGGCGATGGTGCTTGTGGAAAAACCAGTTTACTCAGTGTCTTTACGCTCGGATACTTCCCCACTGTGAGTTTGCCCCTAACAATCCCGAGGACGAATGATCATCACTAATACGTCCAATCGCAGCATTATGTCAGTATTTCGGACCGACCTCTTACTTCGCATACATCATTCTAATTCCCACTAGGTGCCCACGGTATTCGAAAACTACGTGACGGATTGCCGAGTCGACGGACGCTCGGTCCAATTGGCTCTTTGGGATACAGCAGGACAAGAAGACTACGAGCGTTTGCGACCATTGGCATATTCCAAGGCCCATGTTATCCTCATTGGATTCTCGATGGATACTCCAGATTCGTTGGAGAACGTGAAACATAAGGTACGTCTCGGATATATTCAAGGGTCACCTGTGGTACTGATCTGCGATATAGTGGATCGAAGAAGCAAACGAGCGCTGTCCTGGTGTGCCGATCCTGCTAGTCGGATTGAAGAAGGACCTACGCGAAGACCCACTAGCGATTGAAGAAATGCGCAAGAAGTCCTTGAAGTTCGTGACAACGAAAGAGGGCAATGATATCGGCGCATCAATTGGAGCTCGCAAATACCTCGAATGCTCATCCCTGACAGGCGAAGGCGTCGACGATGTCTTTGAAGCAGCTACCCGTGCCGCGCTGCTCACGTTCGACAAGCGCAAAAGTTCATGCTGTGTGGTTATCTGATGAAGCGATTTGGGACGTGCAAAATGCCGAATCTTTCTCTGCCAGCGCTCGATTTATTCTCGACTTGGATCTCGATGTCGCCGTTTCTTTGGCGATCTATTGACGCTCCCTTGTATCATGCATCACTGGCGTTTGGGAGGTTCTTATGCTACCTGGTCGATTGATCTGGGTACGATGTCTGCTTTTCAGCACTGTTGGCTGTGTCTATTGCTCTCTGCTTTTTACGTCTTTCCTTTTGATGTTTCTGTTCCACTCATGCACGTGCAACTCCGGATTCCCCTCCTTGCCTTTCAATTCCCCGAAGTGCGTTGCGATCTCGCTCCTTTATTTCTCTTTCTTCTCATGTAGTAATTCCTGTCACTTTTTGGCGCCTCTTACATTGCGTTTGCCATTTCGTCGGCTGCTATATAATTTACCGTTTCTTTCGGCTCGAGATAATCGTCTGACATTCACATGTCAAATGTAAAATCACGTGGGGATGTGAATCCAACAAAATAGTAATGGTAGTTGGATTTCAATGCAAATATAAAGTAAAAGGAAATGCATATGATACATAGCGCCAAAATGATACATATCTTTGACCCTGACCTCAACCCCACGAGGTCAAACCAACAATCACATCAACCCCCCAATTGGAATCCAAATGGAACCCAGACTATCTCCGCTCAGGCTTCTTCCAATCATAATTCCACCCCTCAGCAGGAGGAGAATCAGTCTGCATACGAGCATACTCGATAGGGAACATCTCAGTAAAGATACCCTTCTTGTTCATCGACACACGGAACAGCTTGCCACCATCACCTGCACCAGTACGCAGCTCCTCACAAGCCTCCTGCATACTCTGATACTGTCGCATAAGCTCCAGCTCCTGCTTGCGGCGCTGCTGCGCTTGGAATAATTGCCAGGCACGGTGGATGGTCCAGTGGCGGAGGTAGCGGTTACGGGAGAAGCGGAGGGGACGGGGCGTTAGGGGGTGGTGAAGGAAGTAACGGATCATGGCTAAGGGCAAGGTTGTTAGTTTCTTGTTTCATGGTGTTTCTTTGGAGTGGATGGTTTGAGATGGTCGTGTGATAATAGCTCTCGCCATTGGAATTGAAACTAGTATATCGGAGTTCGGGTTGAAACATACTAATGCGCTTATCGGTGGTCGAGCCACCAGACTTTCTCTTGGCCATTGCGCTTGTCGTCGAGAACGAGGATGCTTGCAGCGCTGCTGTGACTGGGCCGGGCTTTTGTTGCTGGCGAAGGATCTCGTGGCAGACGCGGGAGACTGATGGGCGCGCGGGTGCCATTGACATTGGAACGCGGAATACATTGGCCAGAGAGGCCAGGGCCGGTGATAACGACTTCATTGTACTGGTGTTCTGTTTGGTTGAAGGGTGTCGGGAGGCTTAATGCGTGTTGAGGTGTACGGGGGAATAATTCCTTGACGGCAGAATTCTGTCCGCCTTTTAGCCGCGCGCTTGCTGGGACCCGCGAAAGTGGGTCCATGTCAATATCAAGATCATGTGCAAGGCAACACAGGTCGAGCCTCAACAAGACTGGATTGAAGCAAGCAAGCGCAAAAACAACAACAAGGTAAACGACAAGCATTAAGAGAAGGAGGGGGAAAAAGAGGGGGGAATTGGTTCAACGCATCCGGGCTCGGTGCGGGAATCGATACTACAGCCGGCGTATTCAAGCAAAGAAACCCAATGGCTGGCAATGTCTTCGTCGGGCAATAGTCCTGTTGGAGTTACTAGCTAGATGACCGGGGGTCGTGGCCACTTTACTACGTGCTTAACACTGGTTTTACCCAGTGCTTTTCCTGATGTGGGGTATGGAGTTGGATGTACTTTATTCCCTGACAGGAGCAAGGCCATTGGCCAGGCTTGCCGTTGAAGTATTGGAATAATGCTAGGAAACTAATGAGTTATATCTATTGACTGATTTGTTTGAATCACCATGGATTCTGTACATTTGATAGTAAAAACAGAAAGGCTCATATTTCCGAGGAAACCTACGATTGAAGATCGCATCAGATAGAGCGATGAAATGGTATTTGGCGGGGTGTCAAGTGTCGTGAAAGGCATCAATTGTCAAAGGTGCAGCCAAATTGGTCATAGAGTATGCCGTCATAGATTATGCCACAAACGCCATGTAATGCAATCAACGCGCCGGAGAAGACCTGGGAAGCAAAAAAGAAGAGGCTGAAACGATGAGAGGCGAAAGAGACGATTCGAGGTTAGCCCACGGAACGCTTGGATGCGTGGTGCTTCTTAGATCGATCGTAGTTCAGGACCTTGCGACGACGGTGTGACTGAGCGAGTTTCCACCGGCAGTACAATACCAGTGCGTCCTTAAGCAAGACGAAGACGCATCCACCGACAACACTGCGGCCCCAGCGAGTCTGCAAAAGACTCGGGCGACCACGCTCCAGAGCCACGGATGGTGTCGTCCACGCTTTAGGTAAGACGTATTTCAAGAGTCCACCCATCGAGGCTGAAATTGCTGGGAAGACGAGTGCACCGAGGACAGCATCAGCCAGGTTACCAGTATCGTGGATAATCTCATTCCGCCGCCCCAATCCAAGCGGATTATTATTTGCTTCGGGGGCACCGGCATTGGCACCTTCTCCCTGTCCTGCAGGAGCAGCTTGACCAACCGGGGCATCCTCCTCGCCCATACCCATCTGCAGCTCGAGGTCGATCTCCATGAGAATTTGGCCGTTCCCATCCTCGAACCGATTCAGACCCTCCGCCTGGTCTTGTTGTTGTGCATCATCCAAGATCTCCTCCGCGGCCCTAGGCTGCACTTCAGCAATCCACTTCCTCTCCAGCCCACCAAACAGCCGCTCATACAACGCCCCATAGAAACTCTTAACATATGGCAGCGCAGCGAAAGTCATAGCAGGTGTAGGCGGCCAGATATCGAAATCAGGCTCCTGGCCAGGATTATGCGCAGCAAAGAACAGCACTGGAATAGCTGGGAGAAGGCCTTCAGCGTATCGAGTCCGAGAGAATATCAAAACAAGCGGGATGAGCGGCAATCCCAGATTTAAGCCGGGGTTCCACGGGCCATCGATACTCTCACCCATGATTTGTTTCGCTTCCTCCGTTCCGAAGACAAGGTACATGGAGTACACGCCGTGCGCGCAGCACCCGGCCCAGACGGTACCCGCCACTGTGAACACCATGCCTGGCAGAACTAGTCGGCCTGCTACCCGCTCGAGTAATCGGAGAATGTCCACCACGTAGCTGCGCGGGCGGGTTACCACGATTTCAGTCTTGCACTGTGGACATTGCATTGTTATTGCGCTTCCATTGCCCCTGCGCGACCGCGGGTTTTCCATGTCGGCGAGCCAATCGAGGAGGCAGGCTTCGTGGGCTGTGAGGGCGCATGGACATGGTGAGCGCCATTCTTGATTGAGAGGTGAATCTTCTGTTTCGTCTGTGTAGCAGATCCAGCATTTGCGCGGTTCGTCTTGGTCTGCGGTGGTGGCGGGATTTGATGTTCGGTCGAGGGATTTGGTGGAGGTATCCGAGCCGCTCTCGATAGCTTTGGGGGTTGATGTGCCTTTATTTAAAAAGACAGTTTCTGTGTCGTCGGTCGACTCCGTCTGAGGCGTGACGCTCTCTTGGAATGTGGAGGTTTCGTCATGGTTCGTAGCGCCGTCGGACGATATGGTTCGGCCAGGCGCTGAGAATCCGGCGGACTCCATGGTGGATGCGTGAAGCAAAAATCGATGGCTAAGGGGGACAAAGACGATAGGTCATCTTCGTGAAATCGCCTTAAAGAAAAAGAGGGGAGCTTGCAGGTGGAGGTTGGAGTCGGCAAAGAGCCGCGGCTGTCAATGGGGTCACGTAATCACGTCATTGCCTCCGTTTAGTCTTTTGCTTTCGGACAATCTTGTTTACTTCTTCAATATTGGGGGCCTTGGTCGTTCTTTAGGTAGAGCTTAAGTGGATGCATGATTTAAGAGAGCATCTTTGTATCGCTCACTTGCATTAAAATGACCAGATCATACCCTAGATCATTCTCTATTCACTATACCAAGACTAAGACACACTAACCCACTTTATTCACATGCCACGTCTTTTAGCGGTAGTGATCAAGAAGAGGCCGAGAACCAAGTTTCTTTACATGATTCTGAGTACAGTTCTATTTACAGAATTCAATGGCAAGAAGCGGTATATAAGGACATCTGCTTTGGTGCGATTGACAAAGCGAACATATAGTGCTTCGGTGATTCGCCGTTGAACAGAGTAGAAATGCTAAATTGGATACAGAAACAATCTTACCAGTGTCTAAGGAAACAACGCTCTATAAAGGGGGTGTGGCAGATGAAACTGCTTGTCGATCTAAATGCGCCTATCGATCCTAGAGCAATGATCACCAATATGCGGTGGATATTATAACGTTCAACTCTAAACATGTCATGACTGCTAGCATAAGAGTTAAGCAGAGCTAGAATTAGAACAGTATAGCAGGACTCCCAAAGATCTTAATATTTGTATCATAGTGATGGCGTGTATATGAGGCCATACTGGTTCAGGAACGCATACCTTTCGATCAATACAAACTCACCAGACCAGTATAGACTACCATCTACCAAACAACCCTCAAACTAAGACTCAGACTGCAAAAGAACCCAAGATTCAAGACCAAAAGCAGAGATCAGACAACAAATCATTCATTAGACAAGAAAAGAATAGGCTACTATCTGCGCACGATCTGAGCAGAAGACATGAACGACATCCTAGATAAGCCAGGCAACGCAACGCAACTACCCAGCCACACCTACTCGTCATCGTGAACATGACCATCAGACTTCCTCTTCCCATCCGCCGACGCAGCAAGCGTCTCAAGCGTATCATCCAGCTGGCGCGCAGCAGAGCTAGAATCAGCCAACGCCTGCGCAGCACCTGTCATTTCAGAAGGCTTGCTCTGCTCTGCATCCTCTTGACCCTCTTTCAATTTCGAAGAGCCGGCTTCAGAGGTAGGATCGATTGACTGCTTGCTTGGTGGGTCGATGATAGGCTTCATTGTTCCTGACGATGCTTCTATGGCTTCGGGGGCTTCTGCTGAGATCTGCATATTGTCTAGGACTGGTTTGGTGATTTCCGGTGAAGATGAAGATGCGAGGTCTAGAGCTGCGGCCGGAGCTTCCGGTTCTGACTCTATAGGTTCTTCCTTGGTGCTTTGGCTTACCATGGGTGGTATCTCGGCTGGTTCTTCGGCTGGCACGGCTGGCGCTGCTGGCGCTGGCGCGGGGGTTTCTTCCTTCTCGGGGTTACCGACTGTCAGGCTGCCGTCGTGTCCGATCTGCCAAACGTTGATTGCTTCTGAGATCTTAATCTCTGGGATTGTCGGGAGCTTGGGGGTTATCTGCTCCACTGCTGGCTTGCGGCGGGCCGGGCCACGTGCTCTACCCTTGCGAGCGTCACTCAGAGGTTGCTTTTCTGCTGCAGGCTCAGGCTCCTTTGGCTGGGGCTTCGGCTGTTGAGGGCCCAGCCCGATGCGGGAGTTCAGATCAGTCAGGAAACCGGCCTTCAGAGCGGCGATCTTGTTTCCACCGGGACGAGCTGGAATTGCAGGCTTGGCCTTGACTGCCGGGGCTTCTCGCGATGCGTCTTCCGTACCTACCGAGGCGGGGGAAATAGATTTGGCGGGACGAGCCGGAACCTGGGGCTTCGGTCTCTCTGGAATTGATGGGGGTTGACGCTTTTCCACTGGTGAAGTAGCTTGAGCCTGCTTCTGGGGGCGGGGAGGAGGATTGGGCCGAGATGGTACGTCGGGGCTTTTGACTTCTTCCTTGGCAGGCTCAACCGTGGTTACCAGCTGCTGACTATCCGGAGCATCTTCCCAAATATCTCTACTAGGGAAACGCTGCTTGATTGTATCTGGACGCGTGGGCTTCTCTTTGGAGCTCTCGCCTTCTAGGATATGAGTCGCAACTTGATGTGAGTCAAGCTTGGTGGTTTGCATCCTGCGGTGGGCCTCCTGTTCAGGTGTTTCAAATACCTCGGTGGAGTCCCGCTTGGGTAAATCCGGGGTAGTCACTGTGGCATGAAGCTGCAGACTGTTGGGTGTATCCTCCCAGATATCCTGACTAGGGAATCTGTGTCTGAGTGAATCAGGTCTCTTCTTGAAGCGATCCGCAGCGGAGATAGGACGCTCTTTCTTCGAATCGTCTTCAGGGAACAGCGGTTCATACTCCTCGACATTTTCGAGGGGGGTATGGGTATCCTCGCGGGAGTCATAGCGAGTCAACACAGGGAACTGGCCTTGCCCACTGGCCGATCTACTGTTAGAACGACTATGCGAGGCACTCCCAGTGCGACTGCGATGCTCCTCTTCGAAACTTCCCCGGCAATCAAATGTGGGCGAGATCGCAGGATGCAGATATGCCGACTCGGGACGCACTTCATCCGCAGCTAGAATCGGTTCTTCTTCGTCCTCATCATCCTGGAATGTTGGCTCACTCTCCTCCGTCGCCGGAGTCGGGGCAAACCCATCCGGGTGGTGCAAAGGATGCTTGGGATCATCCACGTGGATTACATCACGCTCTCCGTTGCCATGCGAACTGTGTCTGCGATGACGCAGCGGGGTTCCTACGGGTGGATTCTGGCCGGCTTCCACAGGGAAACTCATATGGCGCAGAGGCGACTCAACGGCCGGCTGAGTTTCGTGTCGTGCATCAGGTGGGGGAGAAACCATGCGGTGCATGTATTCATCAGACGCCATATATCCGACCTCCTCTTCGGGAGTACCCGCGACAGCTGGGGAGGTACCTGATAACAATTAGCTTTGAAACTGTAGCTGGCAAGTTTGAAACACTTACCAAGGCCGGAACCGGTCTGGGCGGAGCTTCGAACGATCTTGTTGAGGTCGTCGCTGCTCAATGCCCAATCGGGACGCGGAGTGCCGACACCAGGACCGTACTGCCCTTCCTCCTTGACGAACTCGTCCGGGTGCTTATCATACCAAGCCTTCTCGAACTTATCGGGATTCTGGACACCATGTCCATGCAGACCATAGCTTCCAGGTGGCAAGGAAGAGTCACGATGACTGCGAGTACGGTTGTGGTTGCGGCCCGAACGTTGCGAGCCCTGCTCGAGATAAGGGCTCGGGGATGGCGCCTGGACGTCACCAGCATTGGGATACATGGGCACACGGAAACCCTGCTCGTCACTGAGCTGAGCGGAGTGACGACGGTCATGGGAGGCAGTTGACGACCCAGCGCGAGAGCCACTGGTGCGAGAATGTAACGAGCGGCTAGAGCGGTCTTGTTCATCACGAGCTGGAGATGCTTCGTGACCTATTCCCGCGGCGGCGGCCTGTCGAGAATCGGTACGGGTGACAGCCTGGACTTTCGCTTTAGCACTTGAGGTGGGCAACGAGGGTCTCGGTGCATGGATCTTGAGATCACTGCTGACATTGCGAGTCTCCGCGGGGGTTTGATGATGGTTGTCCGAGATATTGACCGGGTCGAGGTCGGCATATTCGATACCCTCCTCACCGAGAGATGGGATTGTCACACTAGGAGGACGCGGGGGCAGATCATTGGAAATGGTACGAGTCACCCCGGGACCGCTCCATTCATTGAACGGCGAGGGAGCGTAGCTGTCACGCATGGGGGAAACTGAACGATCGACTCGACGGTTGTTCGGGCGGGGAGGAATCTTAGGAGCTTCTAAAGACGACGGCTGAGGCGATCTAGCCGGTCGAGGAGGGACGGCCGGAGCAGCTTGGGTCGACATGATGAAGTACTATGAGCTATCGACGAGTCAGCGGCAGCCCAACCGAATGCCCCACGGCCACGATGTACCATGCACAGGCTAGGTAATGACCTGGACTTGGCGCCACCAGGATTGCAGGGGTTCAGAGCATCTAAGGGGAGCTCCCGCGGGGGGAGGTATGCATCGTTGACGCAAGACAGGAGAAAGCAACAGGGCCCCAGCAACAGATAAGAACATGCAGAATGATTTGCTTACCCAGATTTAATATGAACCAAGATCGGTCCAATTGCAAGAAAGTAATCAAAATGACAGAGGCAGAAATAGCAAAAAAAAAGCAGAAGTAGCAGATATTGAAGCAATTCCGCAAGTTGCGAAGATGATGTATGAGTGTCCGTCCTGCCCGTGACGTGCTCAGCTAATCGTACGGTAATATTACAAGTCTATCCCAACCAACAATTCTTCCTTTTTTTTAACTTGCCCCAATGAAGTCAGTGAACTATGAATAGCGCCTTGTTTTTAGGACTATTTGAGGCATTTTTCTCGGGCTACCAGCAAATGCCTCACTTGTGGCTTGGGCCTCATATACCTTTCAGCCTAGAACTATGCATGACATGTTCTAGATGTCTTGACTGCAATCAAGTCTCACAATGCAATTCCCCTGAAATACCAAAACCAGTCTAGACTTTGCACCTGATAAGACGATTATTTCACTCTCGTGGGATTGGCTGTCGGATCCGCGGCGGTGAGCGTCTCCTCTCCGCATTGCATCATCGTTTTCTATACTTTAATTTCCACTTCCCTTTCTCCTTGCTTCTGTACGATCTTGTCCAGTGCCCATGCGCACCTTGCCAGTCTATCCCAGCCCTATGAGACAATGCAAAAACCCGTCATTCCGGAGTGATCACCAGAGCTATGAGGATTTGCGGGGTAATACCTGTGACCAGGTATTCCAAGGTTCTTTCAACAATTGGACCGCCCATTCGCCTGCGTTCCTGTTTTTATTCTCATTTGGTGACTTGTCTCGTGCGGGGAGGGGGCAATCTTGGAAGTGCCAAGTCCCGAGGTTGTCAGCTTGGATACGTGGGTTCTGTAAGTGGCATTTATTCGGAAAAGGCCTCATAGTCGATATTTGTAGAGGTATGGATTGAGTATTCCGAACCTCCCTATTGGACGGTTGGGCTGTTGTCTACTTGTCAACTCGCGTGTGGAGATCGAGTACCTATGGAAATAGGCTATTATCCACGTGCGCTAGGCACGAAAATTCAATGAACTCCGCAGTGTCTGATCCAAGTAAGCTGGTGAAGCCAAAAGTTCAATGAATGCACTTTAAACAGCAATCATAACACCTATTCTGGACTCAATCAACAAAGGAGAGGGGAAAACCAAGAATATACCCGCGGGACAAACGCTCATCGATATTGGAAAACAGACATGCTCAGGGTCATCTCGAAACAGACCGAGACATACAAGTACAGGATGATTAAACAAAAAAACAAAACGAGTTCATAGCGCATTCCAATGCACGTTGCCCAAATGGCATTTTATCCTTTCCGGCGTCTGCATCGAGCATCTCACATCACCAACCCCTTCATCGCCAGGATACCAGCATCAGTCTGGAATGGGAAAAAGCAAAGAACAGCCCGGGTTAACATCGTGGTATCGGTATTAGACAATCATCTGCGCGACACCCTGACCTCCCAGGGTCTTGCTGCCAACAAACTCCTGGCTCTTCAGACCTGCCAGTCCGTAGAAGAGCGCTGCGATGAGGAGAACCACGGCGGCGGCGATTAGGCTGGATGCGCCGACGGAGATACTGGCGAATTGGATAGCACTGAGAATGCCGTACATGGTGGCGCGCATCCAGTTTGTTGTGAAGCGGCGTACGAAGGCATCGAATTTGGAGGAGGTGGGACAGATTCGGAGGAGGAAGGGTACTTCAACGAAGACGAGCACGAATGACGAGGCACTGTTCGGGTTAGATGCTGGTGATTTTGCGGGGAAGGAGGGCACCGAGAACGGAACTCACAGGCAGATGATACTGAAGATGAGGCGAAGTCCTAAGTGGAAACAATTGGCGAGACCAAGCGCAAAGCAAAGGACAATGCACACCACGCCCGTCCTGGATATCTCGTTAGAATCATCCCTGTATATGCGAAGCTGATTTCCGGGGTAGGTTGAAGAGCTGGCAGATGCGACAGACACCGATCGATGTCTCAACCATAGTGCTCTCCCACGATAGTGCTCAGGCTCAACGGGAATCTGAGAGGAAGTAATGCGACGCGATAGACTAACCATTGTCCGTAGATGCCTAGAAAAGAACGTTAGCTCTGAGGATCTGCTGGCGGAACACGCCGGGTACTTACTGAAGTTGCGCGAACGGAATTCTTCAGCCAGCGTCATGATGTGCAGGTAAATATCAAGCGATCTTGTATTCGAGGATAGAAAGATGCAGATTCAGAGATGTCTGAGGTGTCAGGTCGGCAAGGTGCACACGCGGCTTAGCTAGGGCGGTCAAAGGTGGAACAACAAACAAAATAGTTGAAACGGAAGACTGAGCTGATTTTGAATGTAAAGGTATGATTCAAAGTGGATAACTGTTGATCAAATAATTATATCTGAGTTCGCAGTGATCATCCAACGTTTCTTAAGCCAAGTCCGACTCCGGATTCTCTCAGGCAGACACCAATGGGACTAAGTAGCCTCCGTTTACGCGAACTAAGGCTCCAGCGTATGGCAATCTTCGTATTTAAATGAAATCCGCTCTGTGGATTCATCCAGGGGTACGAATATATGAATGAAGATATTGGAAGGAGGAACTGGGCCTTCCAAAAAGGCAACGTATGCAACATCTCGGCTTTGATATTGCATTCGCTATAATGTGCTTTTATCCAGGGTGACGGATCCCTTTCTAGTAGACATGAATGGTATCATAGTGGGATCAGTACAAGCGAGCAAGCAAGAAAGAGAAGGACAGTGGCCAATCCTGTCATACAATGTTACTATAGGAAGAGAACTAGGCTCTCTATTGCCAAAAATTAGGACTGCCTTGGTTACATTAACCCTACAGTAAGTAAAACCAGGTGCATGCCAAGAGCTTAAAAGTATACAGGCATGTAGGTAGCCAATTACTTACACCCCAGCCTGCACATCGTGGCCCGAGTGCAAGCACATAGGGTTTTGATATCCTCCAGTTGCGAGCTCAGGGGATTGGCGAAATCTCATACAATCTGCGAGGTATCAGTACATGTTTATGAAATGCTATCTTCAATTTCACCTAATACTTTTAAGCATGTTCCTCTCGATTATTTGTCTTTGTCGAGGATCTTGGTTTCAGTCTACAAGAACAGTCTGAAGAAGACTAAGTAACCCAGCAAATATATGACGATAATATTTGCGCAAACTTGCTTTTCAAGCTCATTAAGCTCGGATTCGAGCCCTCGGTTGGTTTCACATGAAGAGCTCTCGCACATTCTGGTGTTCAACAGGCATGCTGCTGTAGTACAGCAGTAAATGAAGAGGATGGACTCGAACATAAATAAGAAGCCTGATGGTGGCGTCGATATTTCAATCTCAAATTCGCAATTACAATCACAATTCATTAACATATATCGTGATAGCTCTACTCTTCATACAATGCATTTCACCATCTCACCCGCCATTGTGGTCTTGCTCTGCATGCAAGCCCGAGCCCTACCCGCCAACAATACTCTACTCGACTTTGTCATGCCGAATTTCGTCTATGTTCCCTCTGATACAGCTTATCGGCTTTGTACTCAGGGATGTCTTCCTGCTGCTCTTGTTTGCGAGGGTGCACCGCCGGTATATATATCTCTACAAGATATCCTGACATTTTCTCTGGGGGAATCAAACTGCTGGATCCATGCTAATTTTGCATAGAATGGGACCAAAGCGACGGTCTGCAACTCTTTCAAGCTTCATAGCCCCCTCCTTGAGTGGTATACTCATAGAGATTTTGGGGTTATCACCTTTGAGTGCAATTCACCTGTTGACACCCCGGACTGTTGGACCTGTTGCATCAACATCAACCCTATGTATTGATAGTTATTCGACAAACGGTTTACAATATCAGTCGTGTTTTAGAACAGTCTATATTGACTACGTGGTCTCGAGCGTGGAAAGTAGGACAGGAAATAGCTTGGTAGTAGCGCTTACCTCATGGTTTGCCCTTTGTGGCTGGCATTTCACGCTTCAAGTATATTGTAACACCATACTTCTGTTTAAAGGACCATCAATCTAATCGTTGGTGTGACCGTTGACTGGGAAATTCCACGGAACAGTTGGTCTAATTGTTGTGTTCCTTTTGTACTTGATATTTATAGATTTCAACGTTTATTTGGTCTCATCTTGTTCTAAGTTGCAGCATTGTTTATCATACGCAAAGCCAAAAATGATGCTCTAGACCTTTCAACCCACCATGGAGATTTATGCACAGCCCATGTAATAATCTAAAGCATGTATCTGAAGAGAGGAGACCGGTCGCCCAGTGAGTCTGGGTCTTCGGGATACTCAGAAGGATCCACAGCGTCTCGCTTGCGGTTGATGCGTTGATAAGACAGGCGCAGAGCAACTACTGCCACCATACCAACGATGACGAAGGCGAGTTCAAGTGCGTGGCCGAGAATATAATTGGGTGCATCCTGGGAACGGTAGAAGTTGGACGACATTGCTGTTCAGACCGATGTTAGCATACAAAGATATTTAACCAATAGGCGTATCTTTACCTCCTGCGAGATTGCCGATTCCAATGTGGATGGCCATGCCAGCAGCTCGCTTGTAGTCACCGGCCATGTTGACACTCAGCCAAGTAACGTTTCCGGGGAAGGCAGGGTAGATACCTTTCAATTACTTCGTTAGTTGATGTATATTTGGATTTCAATTAGATGTACTTACCGATGACTGCCACGAAGACGCCAAAGTAGACAACTCCTGGAACGCCACGCCCTGTAGATGCGAGAACGATAATAAATCCAGCAGCTATCATGCCCATGTAGAATAGGATAAATGGTGATCTCTGCTTTCGTCTGTCTGAGAACCAAGCTGCAACAACCGCTACAACAGCAGCAGTAATATAGATTGGTACCTGTAACAGACTGATTAGGTTTCATGGTTAGGAAAGCAGTTCAATGCTACTCACAGTGAGAAGCTGGGCAGTAGAAGACTTGTATCCCAGGTTCTTGATAATAGAAGGAAGGAACAGAGAGATGCCGTATAGAGGACAAGTGATGCCCCAGTACACTTTGCGTAAGTTAGCAGAAGCACATTAACATTAGCGTACACACTTACTTAGAATACCCAACCAAATTTGCCAGTCACTCAATGCGTCAATCACATAGCGAATCTGAAATTTCTCATTCTGCTGAACCATCTCGTGGGAGTCTGCCGAGTTCTGAATCCTCAAACTGTGGATAACGAAATGGCGTTCCTCCTCGGTCAAGAACTTGGCCGTCTCCGGGGAATCGTGGATTGCAAATGGGGCGACGAGGGCAACGAGGACAGTCAACAGACCCTCGAGGATGAAAATCCATCGCCAGCCTGCATATCCGCCCACACCGTCCATTTTCTAAACGAATCAATGTTAATGATACATTTAGTTGATGGGAAAGGGGAAGACAGACCGCAATGCCATACGCTAAAAGCCCAGAGAATGCGCCCGCGACACTTGCCGCGCTGAAGAAAAGTGCTTGTCTGAATTGTGCTCGGTGGCGGGGATACCAGAGAGTGATATAGTATGCAACACCGGGGTACAGACCAGCCTCTATATTTGCAACCATATTTAGTTTGGATCCTTGGGTATACTTCTGCAACGCTTGTGATCAACGTACCAGCAATTCCCAAGCAAATACGAGTGGCCAGCAGCCCTCCGTAGCCCTTAACAACTCCCATCAGAGTCTATATGCAAGATGTCCGATATTAGTATGGCCCCCGTCAACGACACTCAATCCTCAACTTCTCACCATGCAAATCCCCCATGCAACCATGATGAAAGGCAACCATCTTGATGGCTTCAATTTTTTTAGAAGAAGATTACTCGGGAGCTCGAAAGCCGCGTAGGTAAAGAAGAACACGGTCACTATAACAAACAATGGTCAACAAGCCTCATTCTCATGTCAGAATCGCAATTCAGAAGAAAGCATACAAGTCCAATTGTACTGAGGTCCAGTCATATGGAGGTCTTCCACCAGCCCCTCAATTTTTGCGTTTCCGATATTGCCTCGGTCCAGAAATGCAAGTAGATACAAGGCACTTAGCATTGGGATTAACCGAATGTCCATCTTCCGGAGCACTGCATTCTCATCAATACCTTCAAATACCACTGGGCCGAGGCTCCCTGATTCGGCATCTGCGATGTGCTCTTTTTGCTTGAGATCGGCGCTGTATGGTAGGGGAATGACTGCATTCTCGACCTCGCGCAGGCCGGGTTTCTCGGGGGTGTCACTCGAGTCTACCATGGTGGGAAATGAGAGCGGAACAGTTCTTTAGCAAACATGAAGGAGTTAGCTAAGATATAGCACTGATGAGGCTGGGATAAGGAAAACGCAGTGAAGGTAATACCTGTACACTTGTTTCTGATAGAGGACAAAGAAAGGAACAAAAGCCTCCCAGCTTATTCCAAAGATATAAATACCAGATCCTACCCCTCAGAGCGGGCATCATTCCGCCCTTTATAGTTGCATTTCTCTAACGGGATAGTCTCGTCCGGGGTATGCAAGTCTACCCCGGACAAAGCTGGAGTGATCAGCGCGACCCTTGGCATGAGGGGTATACTTCATTCCTCGGCGATTACGCTGAGTGGAGCATTTCTTGCTTTGACGATGTGGACATATCTCCTTCCGAAATTGGTAATTGAGTGTCTATGTTGTGCTTTTTTTAAGCTTTCAAACATCGCACGCCACATGGTATCACTGGCATGCCCATTGAAGTATACATGCAAACTAGCCCCTTCCTTCACAGATTATTCAATAAAGGCTCTTGCATAAGCTATTCTTTGCTACTATTTCCCACAGTAATGCCTTCCATTCTACTCACAGACAGCCTTTTCAAGTCAACCTTCAGCCACCCGGCAAACACATCCGCCATCAGTTAGATCATCGCCGGGAACAATCCGGCACCAAATCATCATAACATCACAGCTAGCAAACCCTAGCCCAGTGGCTAAAAACACATCCCACTCAACCTGTCTATCCCACAAGGCCTGCAATCCTCTCAACTCTCCCGATTGCCCGCCCCAGAAGAAGCCACCATGCCCTCAACCCCGTGGACTAGACTAGACACAAGCACCCGTGCTATCGCCGTGATCGGTGTAAGCGTGATGGGCCGACGGATCTGCATTATGTGGGTAGCAGCGGAACCCTCGGTAATCCTATGCGAGAAACCAGAAGCCAGCTACGACGGCGCAGTCGACTACATCAACAACAAAGGCGCGCAAGCAGGCAAGCTAGGCGCGAAGCCAAGCGAATTGAGAGTCACCGCGTCGCTGGAAGAAGCTGCCGGAAACGCATGGATGGCCATCGAGGCTATTTCCGAAAAGCTGGAGATCAAGATCGAGATCCTGGGCCAGGTTGACAAGGTTGCCTCGGACTCTGTTATCACTAGGAACTCTTCTTCCCTGAAGACGAGCGAGATGATCGTGAAGACGGAGAAGACTTACCGTATCTGCAATGGTCATTACTATATGCCGCCTGAGCAGGTTTACTACGAGGTCATGTCGTGTGGACATACCGATCCTGATGTATTTCCGTTTTTGATGGAGAAGGCTGCTATGGCGGGTTTCCGGCCTGTTTACGCCAAGGTTGATTCGACTGGCCTGGTTTTCAATCGCATTTGGGCTTCTATCAAATGGGAGGTTTTGTTGGTGCTGGCTGAGGGGTTTAGTGATGGTCAAACTGGTGATGAAATGTTCAAGGGTTGGTTCAAGGCAGTCAAGGGATCTTGTCAGACGATGAATACTGTTGGCTTGGATACCGTGTACAATATTGAAGTCATTTTTGTTCAGCAGCGCGGTTTGGATCCCACTGCTGGGGGTTGGCTGAATTATGTTGACAAAGGTAATTTGGGCGTCAAGGGTGGCAAGGGACTCCTCGGCTAATGTTTACACCAGTGTCTTTGCAACAAAAGTGTCCTTGGAGAGGACATTGACAGACTCCTACTGCTGTAAGAAATTCAGTGTTTTCAGGTCAAACACCACCAACTGAGATTATTGATTTGGGTATCAGATAATATTGCGTTCTTGCTTCCGGGTATATAGGGATTGGTTCACCTGAATACGTCAATGGCATGACTGTGGTTCACAGTAGGCTCTCATGTTGTGCATGGCAGTCGTGAGCCCCATACCGGACAATAGACGATTGATGATACCCGAAGCTCATCGCCAAATAAATGTACAAAAGTCTTAGGGGACAGGAACAAAATAAAATGAAAGCCAAAAGAGAGTGAGAAGGGGTGTGAAGATAAGTATCATCTAGGAAAACCGGATAGGAAAACGGCAGTCATGAAGTATTAGTATCCACGGTGAGAAGAGGGTATTAGGTTAAGGAATGTCGAATGTGGGAAGAACAAAAAGTTCCAAGCAGGAAGAATGTAGATGATACAAACACTCTTCGCAATTGGGGAGAAAGGGGTATAATGAATTGAAGACATTAGGGGCTGACCACAGGGCGCAAATTGCAATCATTAGGGTATAGGCACCCACTGGGTCAGAATTAGGAAAAGGGAATTAGTGAGTCAAAATGGAGAGAAAGACTCCAAATTGTTGACCAAAGAAATCAAGAGGGTTTCCGGCGGCGATGAACCTTCCATTCCGCCTTGGCCACACGCATGAACATTTCGACGTCTTTGATGGGAACCCAACTAGTCAAAACTTTCATGATATTTTCAAAGTCGGATTCGAGGATGATTTCACGCATGCCATCAATAAGAGCGGCGGATGAAGCGTGCAAAACGTCGAGGCCTTGACCAAATGTTCTTGGATTGTCAGTAGAAGAGTCTTTATTCTTCCCTGAGGCTCCTGACCGAGTGTCTTCGGCATCTCCAAGGAGCATGAAGACATCCCAGACCCGGAGTTGGGCCGGGAAAGGGATTGAATAGTTGAACAAGGTGAGATACCAACGGGTTCCATAGGCCGTGGGTGGAATTCCAACTTCGTTCTGAAAATGATGTTGTTAGCAAAGATACATCTCACGGGTTGGTTGATTCAGCTTACCAGTTTGCTGGCTACTTCACCACCAGCCAACCACTCTCGTTCAAAGTCGGCCAAAGCTTCCATCAAACCAGCAAAGCCAGACTTGTATAACTCTTCCAGGCCCCGCAGCTGCCATAGTCTAGCAAGCATTATGAAGGCATGTTCTTCGTCATAATATGCAAGTAGGGTAGCTGCAAGAGCGGCCATTCCTTGTACATAGCCCGTGTCGGGGAAATATAGTGACATAGCATGAAGCACACGGAACAGGAGTCTTTGGCCACCTCTATACCGTCTCCGGAACATGATGTGACTGGAGATGGTTCTCGGCACATCGATATCAATCTGAACATCGTCAGGCGAAGAGACGTACTGGAACTCATGGAAAGCCTCTATAAGCTCTTTTTCAGAGGGACTGTTTTCATGACGTCTAGCACTGGCCTCAAGGAACGAGTACCAAGCTGTAGCTCGCCATCTGTCTGGAATGCCTTTCCATGTCCGCTCGATCAACTTCGAGCTCTGCGTATCAAATTCAAAGGTCATGCCACCGCCGTCTTTGGTCTTCCGGGTTGGCTTGGCCATCTTGGTCCACTTGTCCTCGCGCTGCCACTCCTTTTTCCGCATTGCGCGTGAGATCGCAGTATCTTCTTTCTCATCAGCAGCGGACTCGGTGGGCAGAGTGAGCATGTCAGCGGCCTCATCTTTGGCCTTGCGGTCTCGATTGTGAGGGAGACGATTGGTCGCGGTGCGCAAACGAGATGTTGAGCGGCGTAATGGCGCACTAAAGTTACTTTGCGAAGATGATGGCCGGCCGGCCGTGGAGGTCTGACGGGTTGGAGAACGACCATTGAAGGAACGATTGCTAGCGGAAGCAGTTGGTGGACGTATAGAACGTTTCCGACGAGGTGTCTCCGAAGCAAGAAGAAGACTCGTAGTGACTCGCTGCAGTGGGTTGATCTCGGAGCCGTTGGCGGTTGTTGGAGGTCGAATGAAGCCATAACGATCAACTTCTCCGGCATTTACGTTCTGCCAATACTCGGCACCTCCTGCTAGCTCCTGGGTTTCTCTCTTAATTCGCTTGCGCTCGACTTCAGCTGAGGCCCGTGGCTTTGTTTCAGTTTCAGCTTGTTGAGGGCCAGGGGCTTCGGAGTCTGTGGCTACACCCTCCTCCCACAGAACACCATTCTCAGAAGCCATTGCTTTCGCAACCTCAGAGTCAGTGACATTATCCTCGCCCTTTTCGTACATGAGTCGAACTCGCCGTGACAGCATGTCTTCGTCGGCCGAAATGACTCTGCTTGGAAGACTCAACTGTCTCGGGCGAAGGGTACCTTGCGGTTGAGCGCGTCGCGGAACCGCCTTCGGTGTTCCATTCTCACCTTCAGTTCGACATGTGGTGATGGAAGGGGAAGGAGTCAACTCAGGAGTTGGGCGTTCCGAGGGATGTTCCGGCTGCTTCTCAGTCTGTGGCCCAGGTGATTCATCCAATTTCTGAGGTGAGGTGGATTCTGGCACTTGTTCAGGGTGTGCCTCCAACTTCTCCTTGGACGGCTTTGGGTGAGGGCGGTTTGCATTGCTCTTGATCAAACTTCCACGAGTGGAAAACTTCATCGGCTTATCCAATCCCTCTAAAGATGCCGTCGGTATCTCAAGGGGAATACCAGAAAAGGGGCGCTCGATCTGAGGTACTGGCGGAGGCGAATCCGAGCAAAACTTCCTGTCCATCTCCGCCGAGCGTTTCCTCAAACCACCCCATTTGCGCTCCGACCACCGAGAGCCAGGGCGCGAGCCAGGCCGTGAGCCTGGCCGCGAGCTAGGACGAGCGTTTGGCTCGTCTACAAGAATGCTGGGCACACTGCGCAACGAAGGGGGACCCTCCGATCGAATCGTCCGGCTTCCGTCTCCGGTTGGCGTTGACGGTGCAAGACGCGAATGTTGCTTGATATCGCGCAGTGACGCATATTCGGAAGGAGCATTGTCACCGGGACCAGTCGAGGAATCACTCGTGCTTAACGATCGGCCATTGGGAGCTAGTGGCGCATCTGGCGTGGGTAACGAGACCGACCGAATTGCAAGAGGGACGCCAACAGGGACAGTGTTTTCGAAGGGCACGGCGCGAATGGACGAACGGGGCTCCGACCGGTCGGCGAACGATGTAGAAAGCTCATTAACCATTATCCTGGCATGACTTGCGCATGGATTGAATCGCAACAAGGACAGAAAAGAGTGCGCGCAAAGAGCGAAGATCGGATCGTTGGAGGGGATTAAACAGCAAACTCTAACCAAGAAAGGAGTGACAAGGATAGAATCTCAAGCATCAGGATTTCGTCAGGGTTAAGATTAAAATTGAGGCCCAGGAGATATGGGGAGGTGGAGTATTTCGGGGGGTGGTCTTGGCGCAGAGTACAACACATCTACTCTTCCCTCATTCCTCGGCTAACACCTCAACTCTTTTCTTTTCTTTCTCTAAAATAAGTTCAAGGGGGTTTCATGTCCCACCTTCGGCCGTGTGGATCAAAAAGAACCAGGAGTCTGGTGGAGCCCGCTAGTTGTGCTTAGATTAGAAACCCCATGGACGTGCAGGATCAAAGACATTCCCCATAGTCTACGTAAGTCGCTAGATGTGGTAAAATCCTCAATTTTTCTTCCCCATCTATACGCCTCCGAAATGTACAGAACGTGAACTCCGGCAGAGGCTGGGCCATCAGCCAATGCAATTCAAAAGAAAGGGGGCCTATCCCCAACTATAATCACGAGAAAGGGTGTCGTAACGGCATGAAAGGGTCATTGCGATCCAAAATTTCTGTTTAATGTTCAAGCCACAGCAGTCGTGTTAGCCCCAGATGGTGAGTCGCGAGCAGGTCGACTCCGGTCCACAGGCTCTTTGGGTAATAGTTCGATCTGGCGGACCAAGAAGCTCTTCTCGTCCGTAAATTGATCGTCGTCAGTTCTGTCTTCTAAGAACTTAGGCAGGAATCGCAACAATCGATCGCGATTATTGATCAAAATTCTTTGCACCGCCACCGATTTAGTTGGGTTTGCCACGAAGACCTAGACATCATTAGATGGAGTGTTTATATAAATCCGAGGGCTAACATACCTTGAAAACGTGGAACCCTTCATATTGTACCATCTTGCGATCATCGCGCAGCAATTTCATGCAGAGTTTCAGGTTTTCACCACTCTCCACATATGCCATCATCACGTTATAGTTTGCACGGTCCAATAGGATCTCACCCAAAAGCTTGATGCTCTGTCGTTTGGTCACATATGAGTCCGAGTGGACAAGGATGTTGTTGAATCGGCCGAAGAAAAGATCAAAGTTGGTGGCCAAGTATGCAGTGACGAGGCTCTTATGACGGGTCAAAATCTCCTGTAGAATGTAGGATTAGCCAGTATCAAGCCGTGAATCATCGTTCAAACCATACCCGGAAAGTTGTGAATGCATCCGCGCTCACTTCAAAATTGCTCTTGTCTATCCAGTCAAAGAATCTCCAAAACACACCATCCCCTCTTTGAGGAAGGTTCGGCTTCAATTCCGACAACCGCACAGCAGCCTCGCCCTCACTCGACTGGTCATAAAGCACAACAGCGGTGATGACATCGAACTTTAACGCCTCTCGGAGGATGACACCACATGGCATGGCACTCTGGGGTTGCATGTACCCCCGACATAACTCAATAATGATTTCTGGTCGATGGTGGACCAGGTACGAGATAACTGGGGGGTCTTTGTCGTCTGCATATGAAACAGGTCGGAAGCGAAGGATATGCGAGAATATGGTTTGAGTGTCTTTTCTGGCTTCAAACGGAAGTAAATGGATGCTTCGAGATAGATCATAGAGCAAGTCTTCTTGTAGAGTTGCTTGGACGAGAGCGTGGACTTGTTCGGGTGATGTATTTACCTCTAAAAAGTCATGTATTAGCGGTTGACTCCTAGTTGATGCTTCCGCAAGACGAACCCTGTGTTCCTTGCACCATCAGCTTCATTTGGCCGAGCTGCTTGGCCAGCTCGTCTTCAGTCTAGTCCATTGATTAGTCAACCCATCTTGTAAACTAGCACCTTGCTGTTTCGAAACCAACCTTGAGGGCATTTTGCGAATCATGGATTCTTGTTAATATCTCCTTCGTTGATCGAACGATCTCGGCGGGTTGCCGCGAGCGACCGCGATTGAAGAAGAAAGCCATAGGGAGATGAGGCTATAAGTGTGAATCGGGAACAAGTTTAAGGAGCCGTAGAGGATATCAAGGCAACATGGGGAAAGCGCGACAATTCAAGGGAGAAGGTCAAGGACATCAAATGTGATGTATTCCGTTGCCAATAAACAAACTCGGAGCGGGGCAACGGGGGTGTGGCCTGAGGCACTCTCTGATAACGTTTTTTTTTATCAAAATGCTATCTGCCCCTCCCCCTCCACTCTTCAATTTCGTGCAATTGATCAGTTATGTCTGCTTCTGCTGTGAACCTGCCTGCTCACGAGGATATCCCTGACTCCGTCTCGGATTCTTCCGATATCAGCAACGAGGAGGGTTGGGAAGATGTTGAGCCCGATGAGGAGTCGAACCCTGTTGTTGGGCTCTTCTCCGAACAAGTTTTCCCTGATGCGCGCTCAATGCTAAAGGAGTGTAAGGAGAAGTATAACTTTGACTTGCTGAAGATCCAGAAAGACCTTGGTATGTGCAGATTTCTCGCTGCATAATCATGTTTATGAATGGAGCCCAAGCTAACTTTTTTTTGTAGGCTTGGACTTCCTCGACAATATCAAATTGGTCAACTATGTTCGCTCCGAGGTGAAGAAGGGAAACAACACCCCCGACTTTTCTTCCAAGTCCAAGTTCGAAGACGATGCGTACCTGAAGCCCGTTTTGGAGGACGATGCCCTTTTGTACAGCCTGGATGACCTCGCTGAGGAGGGTGAAGAATCTGCCCCTGGAACCGAGGCCGAGCGCCAGGTTCTTGAGCTCCAGGAGAACCTTGAGCGCCTCCAGACCCAATTCTCTGAATACCGTCTTGCTGTGCAACAGTCCATGGATGATCAATTGTCCAAGGAGGACCAGAAGCTTGCCGAATCTACACCGAAGCCCTCATCCCACGCTATTGATAGACACCAGGAGGCCGAAGATGGTTACTTTGTCTCGTACGCCTACAACGGTATGAAATCTGTTTTATTAAGTATGACTCGGTTGCTAATTTCTTGCCAAAGCGATCCACGAATCCATGCTAAAGGACAGTATCCGCACCGACTCCTACCGTGATTTCGTTTACGAAAACAAGCACGTTTTCAAGGACAAGGTTGTTCTTGACGTCGGCTGTGGAACTGGTATCCTTTCCATGTTCTGCGCCAAGGCTGGCGCAAAGAAGGTTATTGCTGTGGACAACTCGAACATCATTGATCGGGCCAAGGAAATTGTTCACGACAATGGCCTCGGAGATGTAATTACTTGCATCCGTGGTAAGATCGAAGAAGTTGCTCTGCCCGTGGAGAAGGTCGACATCATCATCTCTGAGTGGATGGGTTACGGTCTCCTCTTCGAGGCCATGTTCGATTCCGTTATCTACGCCAGAGACCGCTACCTTGTTCCCGGAGGTCTCATGGCTCCATCGCACGCCACCCTGCGCGTTGCTCCCTATGCTGACCCCGACTTCATCGCCTCGCACATCTCATTCTGGCACAACGTCTACGGCTTCAAGATGGACAGCATGCTTCACAAGATCTATGACGAAGCTCTTGTTCGCAGTAACCAGCCTGAGACTATTGTTGGAGAGGCCCAGACTTTCTACACCCTGCCTCTGCACACCATCACCGTTGAGGAATTATCCTTCTTGAAGGAATTCCAGGTTACTCTGAACCAGGACATTGATTCATTGGACGGATGGGCTATCTGGTTCGACATTTTCTTCATGCCCTCCTGCGAGTCTGTTCTTCCCGAGGATGCCATTCCTACGGAAATGCAAAAGAAGGGTATTGTTTCCTTCACCACTGGTCCCCACGGAACCGAGACCCACTGGCAGCAGACTATTTGTCTCATTGACCAGGCCAAGCACAAGGCTCAACCCCTCAAGAAGGGCCAGACCATCTCCGGCAAGGTTGGCTATGAGAAGACAGAGAAGGGCGCTCGTGGTGTTGACATCAGCGTCCAGTGGGACTCCGACGCCGAGAAGGGCGTCCAGCTCTGGAGCCTCCTGTAAAATGGAGCAAGTTGTGACGATTTCTACGCCAAAAAGAAAATACATGGGACCATTTGCATTATGATATAGTGATAGCAAAGATTATTTGCATTTAGAACTTCACAAAAGGGTATCATAATAACGTTTTTTGAGTCATGTGTAGTAGAGTAATTACCCTAGGAATGGTTTCTTGATACAGACTTCCTCGAATGCCTGGAAGCCTCGCGGACATCGTCATGTCTATCACGATGGCTGCGATGCGAAGAACGGCGATGAGAGCGAAGGGGTGAGCGGTCTCGACTCTGATCTCGACCTCGACTTCGACTTGAATCTCGATGACGGCGCTGAGGCCGATGAAAGCTTCTTTCTTCTTTCTCGGACGTCTTTTGAAGCGCATCAAGTTTGAATCCTTCAAGGCTGTCCACTGATGTTGATCGTTTCCGCCGATGTCTAGACTGGTGTGTCTCATCGACCTTGAGCGACTCAATCTCCTTCCGTTTGTTGTCATTCCATCGTTTGCGTTCCTGCTCTGTAGCTTTCAGTTGCTTAACACCACGCTTCATGGCAGCAAGTGGATCATTCACATCCATACGAGCTCGCTCCCTCTCCTTGCGCCTCGGATCCTCATTGCCCCATACATTTTTCTCGGACATAGCTCCAGGGGCTGTTGCATCCTGACCAGCTGATGAATACCACGGCTTTTGACCAATGGTCTCTTTGAAACCTGCTGCGTTGGAGAAGCGCATGGTATACTGATCTTCATAGCCTCGTTTCTTCCGTGCATTTTCGGCCTCAGCCTCTGGATTCTTCTCTGATTTGGCACTTGCAGTTGGGAACAGATTGATATGGCCCGCGGCATCTAAAATCGGTGCTTGTGTGGTCTTGTCCGACTTTCGAGAAGCAAGTACAAGCTCGTCCCGCTTGGCAATAGCATGCGCCGCATCCTCTCGGGCATATCGGATGTCTCGGTCCGTATCGTCCTCCCCGGCTACGCGCCTCCTCTTGCGGAAGGGCCCGGCATCGTCACCGGCTTTCCTGCCTGCTCGGGTCGCTGGATCGGATGACGGACGGGATGGTGGTGGCGGAGGTGTAGGAGGGCGTTCGCCTCGTAGTATTTTGATCCTGCGCTCGGCATCGACCTCTTGCATGAGGCGTTCATCCTCCTCTTCGCGGGCTTTCGCCTGTGCCTCGTCGCGCTGGACACGGGCGACATTGTCTGGGTTGTAGACGTTCCATGATTTTTTGCCTAACAAGTGGCTGAACAAAGGAATGTAAGTCAGTAGAATCTCTTAGATAGCAAGAAATCGCACTTACAGAGGCATGTTTGGCTGGGCAACGTGGACCCTGACATGCACGATAGAGGAAAGTCTTATCGATAATGACGTTCCCACGGGCCGACGCTGTTCCCGGAGTGGCCAAAGTGCCCTGACAGCTTTACAGCTCCTGACTTCTCTCGCCTTTCTTCATATTTGTGTCTCTTGTGAATCTCTACATATTCAAGGGAAACATAATATCCACACAACCAAATTTCAGTCTGCTGCGCCTCAAGGCTGACTGGTTTACATCGCTGCCTACTCGTTCCCGTCAGAGTGGCGGTACAATAGCTTCAGCTGTCCTCCTCTCATCCTCGTCAATTAGCAACTCTCAACAGACTCACCATGTTCAATCGCGGCAACATTCCAAACCCATTCGGTGGCTCCAAAGGGGAGTCCGGACAGCCGTCCCCACAGGGTTACTCGAGCCCCAACCAAGCACCCCCACGGTATGATAACAATCGCAATTCTCTGACCAGGGCAGGATTTGAAGCCCCTATCCACGACAACGATGTACCGATGACTGATGCGTTTGTTGATCAAAGGGGATACGGCGGCCCACCACCACTTGGGGGAAGACCTCCGCAGCAGATGCCATCTAGAATGCCAGCCGGACAGCGAGGTCCAGGCCCGACTTGGACTTTGCAGCCAAGCAAGAGTCCGAACGATAACTACACTTTTGGTAACCTGTGAGTGGTATTTTTACTGGTATATATGTTCCGGTGCTAATAGCCACAGTGTCGCCGTTTCGCCACAAGATATCCCACCTTCAAGAGACGGCGCCGATGTCCTCCTCCTCATCAATGATCTCTATGTCTTCTCCGCTCGCCCTCTCGATGGTTTCCCTCCCGGTCTTATGAGCATGTCTGACCCCCAGCGAACATGGGCGAACATTGGATTGAGAGATGCGATCAAGGTGCAGCTGTATGATCCGTTCAGCCAAGGTGGGCAGGCCTATCTGGGCTCAGCAGATATTGAAGTCAGCTTCGCATCTACCAAGAAGCGTGTTGAGGCTCCTTATGATCAAGATGATTTGGCAAAGGCCGTGATTAAGGTAGGTCAGCCCTATCTATACTATGAACAACTACTAATAAGTTCCAGAACTTTGAAAATCAACTATTCTCGCCCGGTCAGAGAATCTTGATGGATCATAAGAGCATTCCCCTTCTTCTGCAGGTCAAAACCGTTCAGCGGGTCGATTTGACATCGGAGAAGGTTGATCTCAGCTCTGGCGAGGTCGAAACTAACCCAGTAGCTAGAGGTATCCTCACACGTCACACTCAGCTCAACTTTTTCAAGGATGCGCAAACCGGTATCAACGTGAAGGCATCTAACCGCCGTCCAGCGGCCAACTCCATCATTCAACCCGGCTTCAAGTTTGAGGATATGGGTATTGGTGGTCTGGACTCCGAGTTCAGCACAATCTTCCGTCGTGCTTTCGCTTCTCGTATCTTCCCTCCTGGTCTGGTTGAGAAATTGGGCATCCAGCATGTCAAGGGTCTCTTGCTTTATGGGCCTCCTGGAACAGGTAAAACTCTGATTGCCCGACAAATCGGAAAGATGCTCAATGCCAGAGAGCCCAAGATTATCAACGGTCCAGAGGTTTTAAACAAGTATGTTGGTCAGTCAGAAGAGAACATTCGAAAGATGTTCGCCGATGCCGAGAAGGAGTACAGAGAAAAGGGCGACGAGAGCGGTCTCCACATTATCATCTTCGATGAGTTGGACGCCGTCTGCAAGCAGCGTGGTAGTGGAGGTGGTGGCGGCACTGGTGTTGGTGACAGTGTGGTTAACCAGCTTTTGTCCAAATTGGATGGTGTTGACCAGCTGAACAACATCTTGTTGATCGGTATGACCAACCGAATGGACATGATTGATGAAGCCCTGCTGCGTCCCGGTCGTCTGGAGGTGCACATGGAGATCTCGCTCCCAGACGAGCATGGTCGAAGCCAGATTCTCAACATCCACACCGAAAAGATGCGGAACAACAATGTTATGGATGTCGACGTTGATCTGATTGAGCTTGCCCATTTGACCAAGAACTTCTCTGGTGCTGAAATCGCCGGTCTGGTCAAGTCAGCTTCGTCCTTTGCATTCTCGCGTCATGTCAAGGTCGGTACAATGGCCAGTATCAACGACGATGTGGTGAACATGAAGGTCAATCGTGCCGACTTCCTCCAATCACTCGACGAAGTCAAGCCCGCCTTTGGTGTCTCCGAGGAAGAGCTGTCAAGCCGCATCCAGTACGGCATCATGCATTACTCCGAAACCATCAACGAAATCCTACGGGAAGGCGAGCTGTTCGTGAAGCAAGTCGGCCAGGCCGAGTCAACACCCCTCTTCTCCGTTCTGCTTCACGGTCCCACCAGCAGCGGCAAAACTGCCCTGGCGGCACGTATTGCCATCAATTCCGGCTTCCCTTTCATCAAGCTCATCAGCCCGGAGGATATGGTCGGCTTCAGCGAGCCCGCCAAGATCTCGCACATCAGCCGGATCTTCGACAGCGCCTATAAGAGTCAAACAAGTATTGTTGTCATTGACAATATCGAGCGAATCATTGATTGGGTGCCAATTGGTCCTCGCTTCAGTAACACCGTGCTGCAGGCCCTTATGGTCTTCCTCAGGAAGCAGCCCACCCACGGTCGTCGCCTGTTGGTTCTGGCTACTACTACTGAGCGTGCTTTGATGAAGCAGCTGGATATCTATAACTCCTTCAACTCGGATATCATGGTCCCTAACGTCGGCTCCTTCGGTGAGCTGAAATATATTATGGAGCAATCTGGTGCATTTGATGCTCAGGAGATCGCAAGTGCTCTTGAGAGCATTGGTGGTCTTGCTGATGACGGACGCGTCAACGTCGGTATCAAGAAGGTCCTTTTGGGTATTGAGACCGCTAAGCAGGATTCTGATAAGGTTGGTCGATTTGTTCGTGTTATCAACCGAGCCATTGAGGAGGAACAGAGCTTCCAGTAAAGGGTTTCTATAGATGAATCCTTGTCAAATAGCCTTCATTCTGGCTACAATTGATTTTCAATTAAATTAAATGTTTACCAGAAGTTATCTTTGCAACGAATAGCACTTCTTTCCGATAGAGGAGTGCAGTTGTGTCTATCCTCGGCATAATTTCCAACACCAATTGGCATGTTCTGTCACCATTTTTATAGAACCAAAGAGCATACGATAAATGAGCATCCCAATTTTGTAAACAGCACGGTTGGGCCTTCATCCAACAGCCACTCTTGTCGTCTTTCCTAGTGTCATTGCGGCTCCTTCCTAGAACACTTACGAATAAAACCTGATAGATATAATACGGGGCCCTTTAGTGAGAAAGAAAGACAAGGCCCCTGTCCTTAATTTCAACAGATCAACAATTGATGTTCCTAAACGGGAAAGGAGGGCTAACCGACTACAAGCACCTGAAACATCTCAGCCTTTGGCCTTAGGCTTCCAGTACAGCTAGATAACATACCATACAAGGGCCTTCCCTCTCTACAAGGGGGGTAAGAAACATACCCCAATGCCTATTACAACAGATCTACAGGCATCGACTACTAGCTCATACGACGAAATTATGTAAAACATGTACCATTCAGAGAAATCCTCTGCCTCAAAGCCCAGAAATCCGTCTGCCCACCCACAATATAGAGACGTGCCTAGAAAAAAAGCGTCACAGACGCGCCAAACCCAACTAGGAATACGACAAAGAAAATAAATAACACCATATATCCCAGTCGGAGCCCAAGAGACCCCGAATCATCCCATCATATCAGTCATCAAAGCCGGCCCGACCCGGTTCAATACCCGTCATAGCTATACTTTTTCAAAGACCGGCGGTACTCATCCGGATGAGCCTTCTCAGCCTTGGTTTTGAGCGCACTGTCCAACAGCCGCATTCGTCAGCCTCGTCTTCTAGAAGAACGTCTCAATCGGCGCTAATGCCGCTCAGCCCGCTTTGCCTGCATTGCCTAACGGCTCCTGATCGACGTGCACGTGCCAAGCTCTATTTTCCGGCGGAGCGGAAGCCCCCTATCGCGGAGCGGAGCGGAATTTGCACGTCAATCGGTTCGCAAGGGGGTGGCATTTAGGATGAGGGGGTTCTTGTTTGCTCACCTTACGCGCTTTTGTGTCCATTCTAGATCGCGCTTGGTTTCTCGGGCTGTTTTCAGGCCTTCGGAGAAATTGGCTCGTGCGCCTTTCAGACGTCGTTGAGCTAGGGCTTGGAGTTCTAGCAGTTCTTGTTGCTTTGCGTTTAGCTGGCCCGAGCTGGCACGTTAAATCGTCGTTAGCGTCATACTCGCTGGTTGCTTCCTGTGAATTTTTGGATCTTTTGATCCTGTGATTCTCGCGAGAAGTCTTTCGAAAACGACGACTCGTTATCTTGCAGTTTTGCGCTGGGGCAACTCACGTTTGTGCCTGTCTTGCCAGGCCCTTGTCCAATGGTGTTGGATCAAATGCATTCTGCATGCGGTCACTCAGGACATCGACGACATCGACGCCAGAGTACGATGCAGAGGTGGATTCATAGTCGCCAGCGGAGCTGAAAGTGAGTCCGCCGGACGAACGACTGCCAGCAGTAGTGCTTGCATCAGAAAGACTCGGCGGGGAGCCAGGCACTCTGGAAATGGGGTAAAGACCCGCTGGTGCCGGTGCCTTCGAAGGCGCATGGATAGGGTAGGCGGCGGGTTGATAGTAGTGACGAGAAGTGGCCATGATGACAGACTGCTACGACGGCAAGTATACCTTTTAAAAGAGGTAGTGAGCTTGTTGGAAGAGTATGAACCTATATGAGGTAAGGCAGAGGACTATCAAAGGTGTGAAGAGAGATTGGAAGACTGCAAAAGGGCCCAGGTGGGAGTGATGAGAAAGGAAAAGGAAGAGAAGTCAGAGGCCCCCGGGTCACAGGAGGGACTTTATAACCTTCAACGGAGAGTCTTCCCTCCGGCGGACCCTCCTCATCCTGACAGAGGCGAGGGTGACGGCAAGGATGTGAAGGCCTCGAAGGAGCCATTGGACCACTCGGGGGCACATTGGTCTCCCTCAGTCCGGGTCCTCCAATCCTCGAGCTCCGCCTGCACCTCAGTCTCCGTATCTGCCCGCCGATTTGCCTCTTGGACCGCCCTAACCCCGCTCAGAGTGGGAAAAAAAAAGACTCAATTTGTCTGGTCTAGCACACCAGCCTTCCTCCACTAGGGTTTCCGCCGTTCCGTGGCGTCTTGGTCCAAAACCGGTCTCGATCTACGCCCCCCAATCATGTCTAACTTTCTGCGGCCAAAGCGCTTGTTGAGAGTATTCAGGAATTGGCCAGGAGGGCCGTGGAGGGGTGGGTTCGAGGATGGTAGCAAAGGTGGAGTTGGGCCAGGTGAGATATAAATATGGACTTTGCCCTCCATCCTTTTTCTATCCTTCTTTTCCGCTTTCCGCACCCCAATTACTTTTTTGTTCTTATTCCACTGAACTTATTTTGCCTCGGAAATTCGGTGGCTGGGGAGAGGGTCGATCAAGGTTGATTCGCTTGCCGAGATAAGCTTGTGAACTACACAAGAACCAGTATGGCATCGATGCGTTTCTCAAAGGATCTGACTCTTCGAATCTGACATGGCTTTTAGTTGAGAGAATGGGCTGAGCGGTTCATATCGCCGGGATTCGTTTGAAAAAAGCCAAAAGAGGAAAAAAAAAAAAAAGAGAAATGTTTGACGGCCTTACATCATGAGATCGGAGCCCAAGAGCCCAAAAACGAGGCCGAAAGAGGGTCACACGGGAAGATCAAGAATGTTGGAATGTTGGACATCACTGCATGAACCGAACACCGCGGAGGAACGGGCATTGATTCGAAGGGAGCCATGTTCCCAGTGGCCCCATGCGAGGTTCGAGCAAGATTGATCCCGGACTTCGTGCGACCAAAGTCTGATGCAAAGGGAACGAATGAGAGAAAGGACCTCGCTGATCCTTGCTACGTCGTTTGCTTCAATGCGGCTAATATTTGCAGCAAAGACGGCAGTCAAAAGTCCTCTCTGCCGTCCACCAATGGCCATCGATCTCTACGTCCAGCAGCAGAGCATTGCAGCATCAACAAGCGCAGCAGACGCCCATCAACGTGGAGCACGCCTCTCTCCACTCTATGCAGATGGGCGATGACTTGCTTGACCCCATCTCCAGAAAAAGGGGAGGGCCCCTGCAGGCCACAACTGCAACCCAGCAAATGTTGTGCCGCATACCCATCATTGGATGAAGATGCTGACCAAAAAAGGGAACAAAGGCATATCCTTCAAAGGGCCCGGGTGTTTGATCGGGAACCCTGATACTGATATCTGCCTAAGAGAAGCCTTGCAGCCTGACCACGATATGCCCCGTTCATCCTACCTGTGACACCATCTCCCAATCTATGGCCCTTAGCTTCAGACCGGCAGGGATGCTATTTGTCTTTGCTACGTTGGCTGGGCATTCCTATTCGGCCACATCAGACATGACGCGCACAACCTTGAGAATTGGACATCCCTTCCCTTGTCAGGGCCCAATGTCCGGTCCTGATCCGCCCCTCCCTCAGGCCCAGAGCCATTGCGAACCTTTGATCTACAATTCCGAAAATGACTACAAGTACGGAGAGCGTACATGATGTTCGAATCGTGTGCGATCTATACACTAGGGCCAGAGCCAGACTCTGGGTCGAGTGGAGAGGTGGATACTATTCCCTATTCCCACAGTTTCAGTCTTGAGCAGCCACTTACCCATTGATTTCAGCCTCACACAATACACACATTCGACTTGCAAAAGGCCATGATTTTTTTTCCAACGCACAAGTGGGGTTGAGGCGGGGACTGACTGCTTCACCGCCACATGCAGCGCCATGACTGGCCATGGCCAACTCACTCGCTTTCCCCTTCCGAGCTACTCGTTTATTGGCCTTGGTACTCTTTACATGACCATTGCTTGCGGGTTGAACCTCGGTTCTGTCACTAGATCTCTACATATATCAGGGGCAAAGATACATACTTCACTCTCATATACGGCTCGACTTTTTTTTCCTTGCCGGAACAGAGATTTGGTGGCTTCAGAGCGAGGCTGATTCGTCTCTTGGAACGCCCATTCCGATTGGTTTCGGGTTATCTGGTCGCCCATGAGTAGACTTCAAGTACCGATGATTCATAGTTTACGCCTTGCATGTCTCTGACGCCTAACGGTGGTTTCCCTTGTAATTACAAGCCCCTTTGGTCTAAAGTTTACTGCTTGACCTTAGCCTACCATGGCCGGTGCCACTGTGGATTGATCCTGGCACCTGTCAGATCTAGGGCGGATCAACCGGTTCTCATACTTGAGATCCAGGCGGCTTGGAAATGTCAAGACTATACAGTATATTGTTGATGTGTATATTGAAATTCTCTCTCTACAATATGGAAACGATGCTAACATTCCATGAATAAGATGGACTCTTTCCTGTGCCATCCAAATTCCGAATCAGCAGACCCAACACCAGGCGGATGGAAAGAGATGGAGAGATAGATATGAAAAAAAAAAAGGGTTGAATTATTAACAAATACAGATCCAGAAAATATATAAATGTCGTGCGCTCATAGTCTGGTATCACAAGAGAGAGAGAGAGAAAAAAAGGGAGAGAAAAAGCGCAATGAAAAAAAACCCCCCCCAATTCTGCTACTGTTTGTTCTCGAAAAACAATTGACGCCATGATGCACAGGACCGGAAGGCAAACAGAGGGACACCACATCTCAAATGAGGAAGTCCAAAAAAGGTTGAGGTAGAGAAAGTGCCCTCAGGTCCTGTGAAAATGCTGGGGAATAGTGTCCGAGGCTCAATAGCAAATGCAGATCCGTATGTAGCATGCAACGTCCAAAAAAGCAATCCAACCGACACAGCAAGGTTCTAGTGGCTCCTCTGTACAAGTGATCGATTCCAAGAATCCCAAAAAGTCGCTCCATGGCCCATCGTAAGAAAGCGGAATGAAAGAGCCAGCGGAGAGCAAGAAGGCTAAAAAAACAAGAATAATAATAAAACAAAATATGCGAGGTGAGCAGCAAAGGTTGAAGACGCAGATAACCTGAGGGGGGTGGGTGGTAAGGTCATCTGAGAAGATGGTATTAACGGCGAGCCGCAGCTGCGGCTTTCTGATGCTCTGGACCGAGGCGGTCCCTTAGAAGCATCAGAGGTCGACCGGGTTCGAGAAGTCCCATCATCATCTTGCCCAATTCGTTGTGTTTGATCGGCTTGGTGACGTAGTCATTGAAGCCTGCACGGGCAGCGTCTTCAATTTGATCTGTCATGGCGTTGGCCGAAAGGGCCATGATTGGAATCTGTGGATAATGATTCTTTTGTTCCCAGTCACGAATATCTTTACAGGTCTCGTAACCGTTCTTGATAGGCATTTGGATATCACACTGCAATCATGTTAGCTGCGTGGGTAGGAGGGAGGAAATAGCGAGCGGACACTCACAATGATGAGAGAATAGTATCCGGGTTCTTTGGAGAGCACCATGTTGGTACACTCCTCTCCGTTGGATGCCGTTTCTGACATGAGTTTGATCTTATCCAAGTATTTCAGCATAACCTGTGCATCCGTTAGTATTGGTTCCCACGTGTTCGTTTAAGTCAGGCAGAAACTTACATCGCGGTTGGTTTCGTCGTCTTCCACAAGCAAGACTCGATAACCTTTGTTGCCCAAAACTTCTTTGACCATCTTGGATACGGTCTTGAAGTTGTTGTTGATTTCGCGTGCCATGTCTTGGTTACGATCCTTGCTCAGCTCACGCTTGCTCTCGGGGTCGAAAATGGTTGAGAACGCAGAGGGTTTGACAGGCTTTGGCACAATGAAGACCTGCTTCCCTGTTGAGGCCAGCTCTTTGACTCGCGTGCTGATTTGGCGTTTCTGGTATAGATCTGAGATAATTACCACAACCGGTGCGGGGTTCATCTGTGAAGTAGAGACAATGTGAATGACTTCGAGAATATCATCAGTTGGAAGATTCAAGACCAAATGCGTGCAAGGCTGCTGATCGGAAGCATGATGTATCATATCTTTCCACTCATCAACATCAGGCAATGATTTGATGTTAAAATGAATTTCGCCAGGTACAACTTGTTCGATGTGCTGCTTTATGGCCTTGCGAGAATTCTCAAGCGAGCATAAAATCACGATAGAGAATGGACCGTTGGATGGGACTGCGACAGGCCCCACTGCTTCATTTGGAGATGCGGATGCTTGAGACGAAGGCGATGTTATACGGGCTGGCGGATTTGATAAGTTTGCACCAGGCTTCGTAACGGCAGGTTCAATTTCTCGACTTGAGACAGTATCCGGCATGTTCGACAGGGCCTTGTTGGTCTGATCCAAAGGAGGCGGCAGAGGATCGGAGCCAATATCAGGGGTCGGCAAAGCAGAAGAAGCTATTGAGGGTGGATAGAGATTCTTCAAGCTGAGCCCAGAAGGCGAGTCAGAGCTTTGAGGATGCAAAGGCGGCGCTTGTTGATAAGAGGTCGTTCTGGAATTTGCTGGCCTTCTGGAACCGCTCGAACCATGGCGAAGCAATTTAGGTTGTTCCGAGGGCGACGGTGGCGGAGGAGCATCGACCTTCACATTAAAAGAGAACTTTGCTCCCTGGCCCTCTTTGCTGCTAGGAGTGAGCTTGCCGCCATGCATTTCAACAAGCTGCTTTGACAGGAATAGCCCAAGGCCACTGCCTGCATGCTGCTGAGAGCCATTTTCTCCAAGCTGACTGAAACGTTGCATAAGTCGTTCTGCATCCTGAGGGCTGAATCCTTTTCCGGTATCTACAACCTCGAAATTCATGAATGCCTGGGTGTCCTTGTCATCCGCAATTACATCGCGATGCATGTTACAGGAAATGTGAATTTCACCTTGCGCAGTGAACTTGACCGCGTTTCCGAGAAGATTGATGAGGATTTGGCGAATTCGGAATCGATCTCCGATCACCATAGACGGCACGTCTGCGCCTATGAGATAATTGATCTCGAGGCCCTTATCAATCGCCCGGGAGGCGATGGTGTCAATCACATCCTCGATCATTGACCTGACGTGGAACCAAGATTTGACCATTGACATTTTTCCAGCTTCAACACGCGAAACGTCGAGGATGTTATCGACCAACTCGCGAAGATTGGTGGAGCTGTTTTGGATGGTGTCAAGCATTCGTCTCTGGTCACTGTCAAGCTGTGTATCAAGAATGAAAGGAATGGTGCCCAAAATTCCATTAAGTGGTGTTCGAATCTCATGAGACATGTTACTGAAGAACTTCGTCTTTGACTCCATTTGGTTGTTCAGCTGTTGCATGGCCTTGTTGAGTTCTCTCTCAAGGTTCTTGCGGTCGTTGATATCGGTGCATGTTCCGTACCAAGAGGCTTCCTCGCTTCCGAAACTACTAGTTTTGACACGTACTAGGCGAACCAAATGCCATCTGAAATCACCACCTCGGGAGCGTAGACGAATCTCAGTAGAGTAGAACACTCGACCATTCTCGTCTTTTTGCAAAGAAGCCACTCCGCGTCTCACCAATTCATCAAGAGCTGATCCGACTCCGATGATGGATGATGATGGGTCAACGTCGTCTGAGTCTGCATGGCGGGCCGCTTTGTTGAGAGATAATCCTCCACACTTTTCAAGGTCATCGGGATGCACGTGTTTCGCGAATCCAAGATCATGTGCTTCCTCGAGGGTTTGACCCGTGTACAAATTCCACTGCTCATTTACGAAGATCAACCCACGATTTTCTGTTGCCTCGAAAACGACTTGTGGGATTGAATTGGAGAATGCTCGATACTTTGCGTCGATAGCAAACTTCTCTCTTTCCTGAGTTGCTTCAAGTTCAGCAATATGTTGCTCATGGATGTCAAGGAATGAGCCGATCCAATATAGCAATTCTCCTGTTGCTGATGAGATCAGTGGGTTTGCCCGGAAAATGAACCAACGGTACGCTGATTCGTCATTGTATCTTCTGACCCGAACCCTTTCAGTGAACTGCGCACCCGTCCGTAAAGCATTGGCCCATTCGCTATCGACATGCTCGCGTTCGCTGCTGTGGATATTTTGCCACGGGTCACGCAATGTGTGCTCCTGTGGCTGGCTTCGTCTGTATGCATCAAACTTGCTATTAGTCCATATTACCTCACCGCTCTGAGGCTTGGCCAGGAACAAATGCAATGGTATTGAGTTCAGCATTAAATGGGCGATTGTGTCGGGCACTGGGCGTGAGATCTCTCGCTGTAACTGAGCATACAGCGAATTTGTAGATGCTTGACGTGATGACTGTTGAGTTGGAGAAAGAGTAGGAAAGTGGGGTCTGGATTCCTGCAACGGAGATCCGACTATCACACTCGGGTCTTGTAGATTCGTATCATCGCAAGTGGTCACTTTGCCAACCATTTTCCCGGGAGAAGCTGGCGTCGAAGATATAATGTTGGTTTTTGACTTAGGAAGCCGAGGTCTGGTTTGTGGAACATTCTCTCGGATGCTTTTCTGCGGTGGAACATTGAAGTACCCATCAGCACCTTCTCCGCTAGAACGTGATGTCAATCTTGGAGAATGAGTTGTGGATCCATATCCATGTCCTAATTCAAATCCTGGTGTCCCAAATCCAGATACAGCGGGACTGAATTTCGCAGATGAACGGTCGCTGGGGCTGGTGATGCTAGTACGTGCAGACATGTGGTGGTTTTCACCAACAGAGTAATTGACATGACCACTCAACCCCGCAACAAGTTCCAGCTCGCTGCTTGCATCTGAGAATGTTCCCCCGAGACCTAGAAGGTTACCATAGCGTGGAGTCTCCACTTTTGATGACAACTGCTTTTCAAGCTGGCTGACTCGTTGAGCCAAGCAGAAAGAGTTTGTCAAATGGGGCATCAAAAACGCGAGTGATTGCCTAAGATTTGGCGGATAGGGCACGATCGTAGACAGTATTGATACAATGGCAACAGGAAATCGCAATGTCGACGAGGAGTTCTGGTTGAAGTGACCGCCGTGTAGAAGAGGAATGTGAATAATGGTTCTGGATTCATCAATTCCAATGGCTTCCAGAGGGAGATTATTGGAATAATCATGCGAAGGGGGGTTCTTGGCGAAAGCGCCTTCATCAACGGAATGGTTTGTAAAGAAAGGGTTCTGGTCCGCGTGCGTGCGAGGTGCAGGCGACGGAGCAGGAGACTGAGACCACGGAGATTGAGGGATTTGCTCGTATTCGTCGTAATGCCTCAGCCTAATGGGACCTAAGCTCGAAGGCAATGGGACCGGATTTGTGTCATGATTCAAGCTCGGTTCGGGGCCATCGACAATGGGCGTGATTTGAACGGTTTCGCTCGGGCTTTTAGCAGGTTCGTGCCAAGGATACGAGAAACCTGCAGAGTCTTCTGAATATTGGCGAGTCAAAACTGCAGGGCGGGTCCGCCCAAATAATCTGGGCACGCCTGTGCGCTTGATGAGAGGATCTGATTCCACTTCTAATGCTCGGGGTATCGGGAACACAGCCTGTCGTAAGCCACCGAGGAGGGAGTTGATGGTAGCGTCTGCAAGCTCTTCTTGTTGGCCAGCAATTTGGACGTGCTTTTTTGCAGACTTGGTGTTTGTCTTGGAAGGTTGGGATTGATCTAGGTTGGCGGCTTTCTCCTTGTTCTTGTCGAAACCTGCGAAAGAATGGCGCGATGCTAGGGACGGCCGCGTGATCGAAACTTTCCTTTGTAGTCCCTCCTCAGGTTTCTTCGGGGCGGCTTGTTGGTTCTTGCGTGGTGTGGCGGTTGTTTCCGCGTGTTCGGAGGACAGTGGCTTTTCGCGCATTTGGGGGTCATCTAAGGAGGTATCGATGCCGCCATTGAAGACTGCTTTTTGACCCCATGGTACGTTCTCTAGATCAGTGACATCTCCAGGAACGGCAAGCGATGCACGATCGGCGCCGTAATGAGTTTGTAGAATATCGATCAGATTGGACCACCATGACTCGAGTCCTGATTGGGAGTTCATCTGTAGTGTCAGATCATATAGATTGGGGCTGGCAAAATTGGGGTCATCGACAACACTTTTATGTTGATCGGGTAGAAAATCGGGCCTGGGGTCTGCTTGATTCGTTGAAGGGTCATTCTTAGACTGAAATTCCGCCGTGGACGGGGACTTCTCAGATGGAAGTTTCAATTTGAATTGTCCCACGCGCCCTGCCGGCTCAAGCCCCATCTTGGCAGCTCGTTGCTGCATTCGTGGAAAGGGGTATGACGGTGTCGGTTGTGGGTGCTCAGGAGATGGCATTTCAGTATCGACGCCTTTGATTGTTCCGGCCGAGTCTGTCGAGCCTGTGGATGGGTGCACGATGGTGACTGGAACCTCCACGGAGGTGTTGGACAATCTTCTCTTTCTTGGGGTATCGTTCGAGAGGGTGGGACCGGGTTGAGTCTGAGACGAAACTGGAGGCTGAGTTTGCTGCATTTGCTGATATACGAGCAGCTCTTCCATCTGCCTTCGTAACTCCTTCAGAGTGTGTGAGCTCCGTCCTTGCTCTTCTTGTCGCTCACGTTCCGATCGCGGGTCTTCAGTGATCGGCGTCAGACCAATATTATGTTCCGAGGAGTCGCCACGCGATAAACGAGGTACTTGGACCGATCCCTTTTCCAGGGCGTCCACCCTATCTGCAAGTTCATCTGCCAACTTCTGGGACTGGTGACTATGTGAGGGGCGGTAGCCGGGCGATCGGAGAGGCTGCATATGTGTTTGAGATACGGTTGACGATAGGGTCTCGGTGGGCGAAGGAAATGAAGGACTCCTCCTACTATGGACGTCCCCCATTCTCACCGGCAGGAAAAACTTGTGGGAAGGCTGGGGCACAGGGAGGGTGAGGTTATGTCATGACCATCGGTAAAGGTTGGAAAAGCGCCAAGGAAGAAGGTGAGAGCCGGATGGATTTAGAATTCAAAAATCGAGAATCCTAAAGATAAGCAAAGAGGAAATGTGTTGAACTGTTAGAAACAGGCCCCATTGCTTGAGTGGATGAAGGGAAGGAAAAGTGGACTAGCAGTGATGCACCGGCTCTGGGGGGGGGGGTTATGACGTAGAGCCTCCTTGCGAAATAAAAACTTTGTCTTGTCGAATTCCGAAGGGTTTTTGGTTATTTAGTGAACTATAGAGTGTTTGGTGCAGTGATTTGTTCCATTCCATCCTTAAACGTCCATGATCTATCTTCGAGCATATATATGGTGGAATCCCCTTCATCGTGCCCTAAAGTACCTGGATTCATTCCTTGGATCCTCGATACCCGGTACCGGTGCCACGAACTCCTCCTATCCTTCTATTTTTACGAACGTACTCTGGTGATTATGCTGGCCTGAATTTTGATTGAATAGGCGAACCTTGCAGTATGGTTGGTCCAAGCATCCTCCATAAGCCACATGATCTCTTATTGGTATTGTCCTAATATATCGATATAGATGCGCCAGAGCGAAACGAGGAGGCCCTTTCCTACGGTCTAGACCAGGGGAAAAAGGCCATTGACCCCCTTGATCAGCCTCTAACTCACTCGGAATGGAGATTCTAGAAAGCCCAAAATGTATTGTGACGCTGTGCAGAGACCAACCCCCTTGGGAACGAGGTGATCGACCAGCCGACGTCAATGGGGCTCTTGTGGCGCTAAGTTGGCTCGATTTGGTAATGATTGGTGCATGGGCTGTCGGCGCCCCTTTTGCGCAGAAACCCACTGCATATACCGTCTGGAGGACATTGGATTACAAGCCATGTCAGCGCCGACGGTCATCCGATCTACATCAGCTGAGGACCCCCTGTCGTCAGCCGGTATAATAAACATTCCTATAGTGCCGACTGGCTCTCCTTATAACTCCATCTTTCTTCCGTTTACAATATATATTGAGCCTCCTGCATTATCAACCTAATATTTAAAGTTAACGTTGACAATAACCATAAGTGTGCTGTTCCTTAATGTCCATGTCAGCGATTCCAGTTATAACATTATAATCCCCTTCCCCACTCTAGATACATTGACTCTACTATTACCGATAATTGATATAGTCCAAGGGACCCACGGTACTCTACTCTGTGGTGGTGCCTATACCAGAATCTCGCATGTCTTTCATAAGAACCCTTAAAGGGAAAGTTGCGGATAAGTCCCATACTTGAGCCGGAAAAGTATATTTAGACAAAAGCAGCCCATTTTTCAATGACGTAGAAGAGAACCGCCTTAAGTATGGATGTAAGTCATATTCCAGAGAGGTGTCTACTGTACTGTGTACAGTCTAGTAAATCCAATCACCCCGATCCGGTGTCTCTGTCTGCCCACCTGGGCCGCAGCAGCAGTAGCAGACAGGCAGGCAGACAGGCAGGCAGGCAGGATGTCCAGGTGGTCTTGTGAGAGATGACTAATCCCAACCTCAGGCAGCAAATCTTTATCTCCAACGTTCTGAGGTTCCCTAGATTGTTTCAGCATAGATCCTAGTGTTGGATGCCACGACCTTCTACGCCTAAAGGCGATAAATCTCATCAATAGCTGGCAACGCGACCAAGCTTGCATAGTTCATTTTCTTGTGGCCGCTTGCATCCCTCATGTCCGATCTTCTGTGATCCTATCCTCCGCGCCCCCACTGAATTTGACCCACGATACTCCTGCCAGAGAAAGGCCCATGGCCATACGCCAGGCTAACCCCACAAAGACTGAGTGATGGAGGATACTCTTTTCGGCGAAGACCTGCCACTTCCACCGGCCCGACTGTTTGAACGGTTAGGTCAGTTGCCTGGCTATACCTGGGACCAGGCGACTGAGCCCTTCCACTCAACGTACAACCACTGGCATATTTCAGGATTTCGTCATGCCCTGGAGCCCGACCTCTCAACCCCTATAGCCAACTCCTCCGGGCCTGCCTCCTCCGGACCGTCAAGCTTCACCCGCTTCTCCCCTCGCACAGATGCCCGGCCGTCAGCTCGAGCTTTGCGGAGACCAAGCGCTAGCGAAACAAGCAGTGAAATTTCACTCTCCCGGGGTGAAAACGAACAAATATGGATACCCGTTATCGCACGAATTTCTACCAACATCGTCCGACTCGAACGCGAATTTCACATGCTCAGGTCGATTGTGCAATCGTCTGATCCGGATTGCAACCACACAATAAGACCAATCGACTTGGTTAGACTACAGGCAGACTCTGGCGATTCAAAGACACTCCTTGTTGCGATATTTGAGTCCCCAGGTCATGACAGGCTGCGGGATCTGGTAACTTTCGGCCCTGCCTCGTTCGTGGCCGGATCCAGAGGTGAGGGCAACAACGCCACTCCCAACGAGCAAATTTCCTTGCAAGCATTTTTTGACTTCGCAATCGGGGCTTGTGATTGCTTGGAAATCTTGCATTATGGCCTGAAGACAGTTCACGGTGAAATTCGAGGAGATGCTTTCCACTTCTGTGCCGACACTGGATCAGTCAAGCTTGCAAATACAGGCAACGGTGCTAGGGCATTTGATAACGTTCTTAGTGAAGGATGGTCTTCCGTATCGCGCGAGCTTGGTGCCAAATACAAGCTGCAATTTATTGCCCCAGAGCAGACCGGAAGAATGCCCACGGAACCAGATAGCCGCACTGATATATATGCGTTGGGTCTCTTCTTTTGGTCGATGTTGGTCGGAAAATTGCCATTCGATGGAACCGACCCCGTTGAAGTTGTGCAGAACGTCTTAGGCAAGAGATTGATACCAGTTTCTGGGAAACGAATGGACATCCCAGATGCGCTCTCCGCCGTGATCCAGAAAATGACACAGAAGGTGGTTCATGACCGTTATAATACGATCTCCTCGGTGAAGAGGGACCTGACAACTATTATGAAACTGCTTGGCGATGGAGACAGCGAAGCTTTGGGCAAGTTCCAAGTTGCGCAAGGAGATGTTTCTTCCTTCTTCACTCTTCCATCGCAGATGTTCGGACGACAGGAAGAATACGACCGGATTATTGGCATCATCGAAAAGGTTCAGAAGCGCCAGGAAGTGGCTTTAGCCAAAGCCGGGGCCCAAAGCCCCGGCACAATGCATGCCCTCAACTCATCCTCTTCGGTTTCTGATAGCCGTGTCGAAAGCTTTGAGCTAGCTTCCGTCTCCAGTGATTCCGGGTCCTTCCATTTGCCTCCAAGATCGGTCTCCAATGCCACCAGCTTTCACCTCTCACCTGTGAATCCCCAGGATGCAGCACCGACCAGCGACACGTCATCTCAAACACCAACGTATGGAAATTCCATGAGCCCAGCCGACGATACGCAAACCCCAAAGTCAGAATCGAGTCGGATGAAAAGCCCCTCACATTCTCGATCTTCTTACAACACAGATCTTTCTACCGGCCACAGCAGTCAACCACCTCCAAGTCAGCATGCTGTGAGCACAACGGATTCGTATAATTCCTTGTCTAAACGGTCCGGAGGGTATAGCCGTCGCAGCGGGCGTTGCGAAGTGATCACGATCAGCGGAGCCGCTGGTATCGGAAAAACAGATCTCCTGAACCGGATACAGCCCACGGTCCGAAAACTTGGCTGCATAGCCATCACCCGTCTAGACCGAGCGAAACGAGTTCCATTCGAACCATTCGCAAAGCTTCTAGCAAGCTTGCTACGGCAAACATTCTCCGAACGAGATGTTACAACGAACTATCATAACAGCGTTCGAATGGCATTGCGACCAATGTGGCCAACTCTCCATAGAGTTTTGGATCTCCCTGAACAGCTGATGTCCCCGGGTGCAAAATACAGACCAACCGATGCCAAGCCCACATTCGATATACCAAAGAGCGAGCCATCAAAGCGCGTCAACATTCCGGGTTTGGATCAAGGCCAGACTTCTCTCGATTTCTTCTTGTCTAATGCTGCTTCCAAGAATATGAGACTCATGGAGACTTTCCTCGAAATTCTCAGGACGCTGTGTCAGTTCAAACTGATCACTGTGTGTCTAGATGATCTTGAGCACGCCGATGACGAAACCTTGGACTTGGTCCTGAAAATCATCAAAGCGAAGCTTCCTTGCGTGCTTATACTATCGAGTCGGAAAGATGAGATTGCCTCGGATCAAGTCCGGGCTCTATTCGAGACAGATATGCCGACAATCACACCCATCGCCCTCGAGCCTCTTGCGGAGGAGCATGTCATGGAAATCGTGGCTGCAACAATGCACCAGCAGCCCAACCCGACGTTGACACCTCTTTGTGCTGTCATTCAGGAAAAAAGCCGAGGAAACCCTTTCTATGTCCGTGTCATGCTTGAGACTTGTTACAGCAAAAACTGCATTTGGTATTCCTGGAAGGACTCAAAATGGTTGTTTGACTTGGATCGAATATTTACAGAGTTCGTGGCTCCTGTTTACGGAGAAGGGCTTGGACTTGGGTTCCTTAACAAGCGCCTTGAGGAAATCCCACTAGCTTCTCGCTCAATCATGGTCTGGGGTGCCCTGCTTGGGAGCCCATTCTCATTTTCGTTGGTGCAAAAACTTTTGACAAGTGAATTCCTTTATTCAACAGAAGGCGATGAAGACGTGGATCTCACATGCCCACAAAATGTCACACTCATCCGGCAATCACAAGGTGACATAGTTGTTGGCTTGCAGTTCTTGGTACAGGCCAATCTGTTGAATGCTGGAAAGACAGATGATGAATTCAGGTATGTGGATTGATTATTTTGAGCTCACAAAGTCTAACTATTTCTGAGATTTGGCAACGAACGGCTTGTGCAAGCTGCCCTCTCTTTAAACGAGAGCCGCAACATAGAAAAGATGCATTTCATCGTCTCTCAGGCATTGATGAAATATTATCATGATC